AGGACTATTTAGGATTACTAAAGTTAAGGGACTAGTTAATTATTAACTAGCTCTACTAAAAACAATAAATATCCACCTAGTATTCTATATATCTCTCCTTAAACTAGTACTACTAGGAGTACTACCTACTCCTATTACTAAAATATAACTAATTAATCTGAATACTAAATATGAAGTAGAGGCTATTCTCGACTATTAGTATTTCTATAGTAAACTAAAATATTTAATTAAATAGAAAGGGTACTTATAATTAGAAAATACTTAGGAACTTAAATCTAACCTCTACTACCTTAAGCTTCTACAGGAATTCTATTAAAGAAATCTAGGTTTACTTAGAAGGAAAAGGACCTAAGGTTAGGGACTAGGCCCTTAAAGAAGGACGCTAAGTAGGTATTAAGTTCAAAGGCAGGGAACTAAGAAGTAGGATTATCCTTAATAGGCTTAGAGAGAGGCGTCAGAGGACAAGTAAGGGTTACGGTTTTTCCTATCTTAAATCGATATATAAGTTATTTAGAAGTAAACCTCTTAATATACCCTAAGGTATTATAATCGTAACGCTTTAAGCGAATATACTCAGAGTATTATTTCGAAATAGATAAATCTAAGAAGTAAGTATAGGAAAGGCTATAGTAGAAAGAATAAAGCTTTACAAGTTACACGGCACGCTTAATACGAAGCGCGAGCTAGATACTCTATTTTTTCTTTATCTAAGCGATACTTAATTTCTTTACAATACTAGATATAATAGATAAGAAAGATAGTCGTTAGTAACTATTAACGTTTCTTAAGGTTATACTTAAGTATAGGGACTATACTAAGCTAAGAGGGAGATAGTATTACGGACCCTTAGCGCTACGGTTTAGTTGGCACTTATATAATAATAAAACTATTAGTAGTACCATAGGGGTATTAGTACTAATAAGGGAGTAGTACTATCAATAGGGTAGTACTAGCTAGGGAATAATATAGGACAGTAAGTAGTACTACTATATACTTACGCTTCAGTAGTAATAGTTACTTAGATCACGGTAGATAATAGGTCACGTAATAGATCCCTAGATCCCTGGATCCCCTTATAAGAAAACAGATCTAAGGATCTAAAGATCTAGTATCTTAAGGGATCTAAGGCGAACGAAGGTTCTATATAAGACTAGTACATCTACTATTAGATAGGAGCTTCGTACTTAACTTTAAATAGTATTCTAATACTTAGTAACTATTTTCTAGTCTACGTGATATACCTACCTCTTAATTATCAGAGATCAACTGCAGCCTTCTGTATTTATAGCGAGTAAATACCGGACCGTTACAATTTTTAGTATTAAGGGTCCTAGCGGCGGCTAAGTTATTACTTGATAATAATCCTTTAATAGAGGATATATTATCTTTATAAGTTAGTACCTCTAATGAGAAGGTGCTTAAAGTATAATAGTCCGGTATTTACTCGCTATAAATACAGAAGGCTATTATTAATCCCTGATAATCAAGAGGTAGGTGTATTATATAGACGGAAAATAGTTACTAAGTATTAGAATACTATTTAAAGTTAAGTATAAAGCTTCTATTTAATAGTAGATATACTAGTCTTATATAGAACCTTTATTCGCCTTAGATCCCTTAGGATACTAGATCCTTAGATCCTTAGATCTATTTTCTTATAAGGGGATCTAAGGATCTAGGGATTTATTATATAACCTATTATCTACTATAATCTAAGTAACTATTATTACTAAAGCGTAAGTATATAGTAGTATTACTCGCTTATCTTGTATTATTCCTTAGCTAGTACTACCCTATTAGTAGTACTACTCCCTTATTAGTACTAATGCCCCTATAGTACCACTAATAGTTTTATTATTATATAGGTGCTAACTGAACTGTAGCGCCAAGGGGTCCGTAACAATTAGGCGACAGAGTTGTAATACGCGTTATAGGCGTTTTTTCCTTATCTCTTTGCCTACCCCTGGTACGTTCTGTAATATTCGTTCCAAGCGTATTTTCACGAATATACCTTGAGGGGCTTTCGTCTCTTACCCGATTAGGGTTAGAGTTAGAGCTTTTTAGCTCTTGTAGTTCTCGCTGTAATAAGCGATTCTCTTTAACTTGCTCTCGTATTATACTACGTAGTTCGGCGATTTGGTCTACTAGACTCTTATTAGCTGAATCTCTTTGTTATAAGCGAGACCTAGGTCTAGCTGTAGAAGCTTCTTCTACCTCTGATTAGTCTATATTACTAGCGCTAGGTATTTGCACTCTAGTAGGGGTACCTTAAATCGAGGAGAATAACTTAGCTTCGTCGTCGACTCTTAATTGGTTCGATTCGTCTTGATTTTCCGTAGAAGTCGTATTTCTACTCGGAGAGCTATTATTATAGCTACCCTAAGTATTATATCGAGAGCTCATAGTTCGTACTATTAATTAGCTACTAAAATCGCGGAAATCAGTTAACGTTTAACTGAGATATTATTAAGTGATAATAAAGGGTTTTTAAAGGGTAAGTCGATTATAAAAACAACCCCTTTAGCGTATAAGCCTAATAAAAGCTCTTTTCACTATTATAACGTAGAATAGTAACTGTTACGTTACGTACTAGCGTATCTTGTCCTATTATAGAATAATAACCGTTATAATAAGTACTAAAATAACTCTTTTTAGTGTTTTACGCTTATAAGTTAAATATATATTTAAACTCAAGGATTTGATTAGTTCTTTCAGGGAGCTGCGCGTATTAAAGAATAAAGGCTATAAAAACGGTCTTTTCTACTACTGCTAGGAGCACGCTAGTGGGCTCGCTTAGCTCTCTGAAGTAGCTCTTATTCGCCGTTATAATATAATAACGTTTCTAAGAGGGATATTAGCTCTCGTAATAGCTAATAGCGAATAAGAAGCTAGTCCGAGTTGGGAGTGTTCTTAACGACTAGCACGACGCTTAGTAGTCGGATTATATAGCTAAGTCCCGTGACCTAGTTAGATATTCAGGGTTAATATAAGAGTATTAGGTAATAACAAGCACTTATCTACTTTTAGCTAGCCTCGCAATTCTAACTAATAGTAAAGCTAAGCGATTCTAGCTTTTAAATAACGCTAGGCCAAGCGTAGTCTTATAACTTCGTATAAGTTGTCTATTATCGTATAACTGAGTAAGTAGCGCTAGTAAAGTAGTAACGATAAGGGTTAAAAAACAAAGGCTCGCTTAGGGTAACGAGTATAAGTCGTCAGGATATTATTACGCCATCACCGGCAGTATAATTTAAGCTTAATATAATATAATAGCACGGTTTAGCGTTAGCTAGCATATAAGCGAAATAACCACGGATCAGGTGATAACCTCTCTATTAGCGCGAATATTAAGCTAAGGAGCCCTCGATTCCGTAGAGGGCGCTCGAGCCTATATAGATAAATTCCCCGGGCTATTCCCGATTAGGCCTAATTACACTTAACGTAAAACTTGACGTAAACTCCCATAGTAGCGTAGAGCTATTTCCCTTTACGTATAACTAAGTAGGTAACTATCGGTAAACCCCTTCAGAGTTAACCGAGCTCTACCGAGTCTTACCGAGCTTTGCCGAGCTCTAGACTCTTCCTAATCGGGTATAGTAAAGAAGTAGTTACCACTACCTTTACATCATCTTTAAAAGACTATAAAATCAAGTATACCTACTTTTAAAAACATAGCTATATAAATAAAAATTAGATATTCAGAAAGAGAGAGCTTTCTATTCTTAAGTACATTTCAAATATTAAAGAAATAGTTATAGCGTATTAAGATCTTTTAAAGTATTTAAAGAATTATATCTTTTTAAAACGCGTATCGCTTAATAAACACGAGATTTCAACTTAAATCTAAAGGTATATACCTGATCTTCAACTCCTAGACCTCAGGAATTAAATAATATTAATCGATAGAGTAAATCTAAATCTACCCCCTTCATTTAAGACTTATTCGATACCTTTATTATACAAGTAATAGTTATTATTTAAAGAGCAATTATCGCCGAAGCGATTCGACGATTACACTAAAATAGCCCCGAATAACCTTAGACGCTTCGCGAAGAGGCCTCTTACTTAATAATCACTGAACCTTCCAAGACTTACTAAGCTAATTAACTTACCAATCAAGTCTCTAGTCTGTCTTACCCCTGCCCCTGAGCGAAGTCTGAGAGCTGAGATAAACTTTACTGTAGTAATACGTCTGCACTGCTTGAAGCCGATTCGCCACATCAATTGCTGCATTCGAGCAGTAAGTGAGGAAATAGGATACACAACGTATAGGTTAGGACCAAGAAATAGTTGTCGGGATTTCATTCTAGGTTCAAGCAACGGTGTAGCAAATCGCATTGGTCCCGTGGGACGGCAGGCAATTGTACTGTCCTGGAGTTGCGTGGACATGTACGAAAGTACTTGAAGGGAATATACCCGAGATACCTTACCTCCGTCTCACACGTAACATTCCTTCCTCCAAAGTAGTGTCGCAAATAATAATCATCAGTCAGATCTAGGTAACTGCAAGCTCCGTCGCCAAACACGTAGCTCACCAAGCCATTATTAGCAAGCTGGCGCTGGCCTGGGTGAGAACGTTTTTCTGCTCCTGGTCGTCCCCTCCCCCTCGATCTGTGAGCATCAGTCATGATTTGGTGATGCAGCGCAGCTTATTAATTTTGTCATCAGCGCACTAGGCCGGGAGGGGCCAGTGTGGCCCCGAAGGCCTCATGCTGGGCACTATTTGATTGGACAATTGGCCATGCAGCTAGGCTGGCTAGGGTACGGTACGGAAGGTACCTGGGGTGGATGATGCGAACAACCCTTCACCAGAGAGAGTGAGGGGCAGGGACGAAGATACCCAGGGTTCCCTACCTACCTACCTTACCGACGTATAAAGACCTGCGTGCCCTCGAATGGACCGGACCCTTCATTCATTCCACACCTCGCCTGTCTCTCTTCCGTCAACTAAACACTCAAGTCTGCAACTGTCCCAATCCCAACCACCATAATCTCTCACCATGGCTCCTAAGGTCGCAATCGTCTTTGTGAGTTACCCCGCTATGCCTGAAGGTTTCTCCCTACAGGTTGTAGCAGCGTGACTACCGACATCATTGTAATGCCAATAAAGCAACTACCTCGATTTGCATCTCCACTGTATCTGCCGATATGCTTTGCCGTTTTACTAACTTTCTGTCTTCTTAGTACTCCATGTATGGCCACATCAAGGCTCTCGCCGAGGCTGAGAAGGCCGGTCTTGCAAAGGCTGGCATTGAAGCCGACATCTACCAAGTTGCTGAGACTCTCCCTCAGGAAGTCCTTACAAAGGTGCTTATCCCGAACAATCCCTCATATCTCGATCCTTCACAATTCGCATTCCACTCAATTATATTCTAACACTACCATAGATGCACGCTCCTGCCAAGTCTGATTACCCCGTAATCGACGCCGCAACGCTCCAAACCTACGACGCCTTCCTCCTCGGCATCCCAACTCGTTACGGTAACTTCCCAGCCCAATGGAAGGCATTCTGGGATACCACTGGAGGCCAATGGGGATCTGGTGGCTACTGGGGCAAGTTCGCTGGTGTGTTCATCTCCACCGGAACTCCAGGTGGTGGACAAGAAAGCACAGCTATCGCTGCGATGTCCACCCTTGCTCACCATGGCAGTAAGTGTTCCTCCTCTAACAGTACAATGTACTCGTGAACAAATACTGACCCTTTCTTTCACAATAGTCGTCTACGTCCCCCTCGGTTACGCACACACCTTCCCACAACTTACCAACCTTAATGAAGTCCACGGCGGCTCCCCATGGGGCGCTGGAACCTTCGCAGGTGGCGATGGATCCCGTCAACCCTCGGCCCTCGAGCTTGAAATTGCCACCATTCAGGGCGAGCAATTCGGCAAGAAGGTCTTGTCCGTCAACTTCGCTTGACTACAAGGCAGTGACAGTGCAAAGAATGAGGTGAAGGCTGCTGAGAACGGGAATGGAGCGACAACAACGAAGAATACCCAAGAACAAAACACAAATACAACGAAGGAGAATATTGTGGAGAAGAAGAAAGAGGAGAAAGACAGCGAGGGCCCTTGTGGGTTGCCGAGCAAATGTGCTATTTTATAAATAGCGAGAAAATCGACATTATAGAATAAACAAAGGCAATAATCATTACCATATTCCATTCTGCCTCCTCACACGAGAAATCTACAAGTGTATTTGCAGTCTCCTCGCCGCACAAGACTGCTCTGAGCTAAAGAGAGTCCTTTCTTAAGATGAGTTCTGTTTGCGTACCAAACCTGTAGATATAGTCTGCGCAACCTCCTCTTAAAGGTTTACGTGTTTGCTGGATCCTCCCTAATATGATGGGCAATCAAACGTCCCTTTTATGTTTTCCCACTTAAGAAAATAACATGAATATTTCCAGTATCCGGCATTCAGGTATTCTGTCCTGCCTCATGCCTATGAAACGACGGGGCTCCTTCCTAATTCATCTATCCAGATTGTTAAGCGAAAGGGTCCGACGAAGAGGATGGGTTCGATACCCATCGTTAGAGTAGAATTTATCTAGTATCTATACATCTATCTATGGCTGTAGGTATGTACTGTCTATTCCATCCTGTCATCAATCCCATCAATCTATTCATGTGAGATAATATGAAACAGAGGAGAGTGGTCCGCTCGCTTAGCGACAGAAAACAAAACAAAACAAAGCCCGCTCGCTCGCGCACTTCCAGCAACACATGCAAAATTAAAATGAGATACTTGTCCCTAAACCCATCCGCTCTAACGCCTGGCTAATGCAACAATCGATTGATGGATCCCGCTACTGAAGCATCGATCGTATATCCCTACATGTACTAAGAACTTGATGTGACATGACACGATCTATGCCATTGCAGTATCAATCTTCTTCCCCTTGACGCTCTTCCACTCAACACAGCCCGATCCAATAATCGTAAACGCCGCCATAATAGCAGCCACGAGGAAAGCCTGCGTAAGCGCGCCGTTATACGCCATTATGACGCCTGGAAGGTCGGCTTTATTGAGATCTGGCGAACTCTGGAGGGAAGTAGCTCCGATTCTGAGGACGGAGAGAGGATCGACGCTGGGTGCGTACTTAGCGAGGCCTTCTACGAGCTTGTTGGAGAAGACGTTTTGACCGATGGAGACGAAAAGCGCTCCCCCAAGGGTTTGGACGAAAATGACGATGGAGGTACCGATGGGAACCAGAGAAATGTCGAGGACAGTCTGGACTGCGATCAAAGGCTGTTGCATCCCTAAACCTATGCCAATGCCAGCGATGCATTGATATCCGATCCATTTTGCGTGGCCAGAGTCTGGAGTTAATGTTGAGAGGAGCCCGACTCCGACGGCGCCGAAAACCGAGCCGAGAATCATGAACGGAGCGTAGTAGCCGAGCACCGTAACTCCAACTCCGGAAAGTATGGAAACAATGATCAGAGATAAAAAACCTAGTAGCTAATACTCTATGAATTTGTAGCAGCCCATGCAATCAGCAAAATATTCATAAATACATCTCTTTCATCCATTTTGCAATCAGCAAAACATAAATGCAAATACTTCCAACCTTTTCTGCAACAACTAAAACATAAATGATTCCCTCTCTCACTCAAAAATATAAATTGCCTTCTCCACCATACGCATAAGTTTATTTGTGTCAACTTTAGCTGTGTGATGTTGTCCTATATACTCATCTGGGAAGACCTTTGCAAAGAGCAACTCTAAGGAATAACTAGGTGATCCCGGTACTAGGGTTTGCCACAGATGAATTGGTGCTCGGATCCAGTGATCTTTGCTGGGCAGAAATTTGCTCGCACCCTCCTCGTTATGCTCTAAGGAACTCGTAACTGCGTGAAAGTCGAAATAATTGGTACTCCACTCGATCATAATTGAATTATGGTTAATGCCGATCTCCTTGAGCTTAGACGTTAATTCGGTCATAGTGATTCCTTCGGTGACGGTATCGATTGACTTTTGAGTTATGCCGTAGACCCATGTAGCGAAGCCTTTTCCTTTCCTAGAACTCTTACACAAGATCTGGCAATGAGTGCAATTATGATTGATCTTCGTGTCGAGGAGTAATGTGCCGTCTGCACGGTAGATGGCTATCTCAAATAGCAGGCCGGCGACTCTATCACATTCTGTGTCCACATAAAAGTAGCGGCATATTCCGTCACGAGAGCCAGTCAGGTAATTTTTTAATCCTTGGAACTCTTTGGGTAATTTGATATGTCGGGACGCTAAGAAGTCGTGCATTTCCTGATAGGTCGTTATGCTCGAGCCTGGTTGGTTTGAGTTTCTTCGGTTAGGGTTGTTAACTCGGTCTTGCCAGCCACTGGTTTTGGATTTGCCTAGAATCTTAGTAATGAAAACATAACAGGCAAATTTGACTCTAACTTACTGTCTGATGGTCTCCATTCACGATGCTTCATATGGTGCTTCTCACAGCGAACCTTCAGATCCCATCTTGGCTCAATACATTTCGCCCAGGAGCATAACAACACACCATCGGCAGATATTTTTGAGAGGCTTCTCCATCTCCCGAGACGGTTTCCAGTTTTGCAACAGTCGTGACATCGGTTCTGCAAGCGCAACGCCAAAGTTGTCGAGGACTTATGCTTCAGTACTCGCTCGTATAGGATAGCATTGTCGATCGATAGTTGAGCATTATGAGGGCATGGAAATTTGCCATGCCTCCAAGATACACCTTTACAGACCATAGTTTTTTGTATGTATTCCGTCTCTCCATAATGAGCCAACTTCATGTTGTTAAAATCTCGAACGGACATCGTATCAAGCATTTTGGGGCTAATAGAATTTGGCTCCAGATCCTCATCGTAAGCATCGTCCTGATCATTATCGTTATCGTAATCGTAATCGTAATCGTCTTCCAGATCATCATCGCAATCATCGTCGAGCATATCGGCTTCGTCGATTCCAGCATAGTTGGCAAGCTCTCCGTTATTTTTTGCTTCCGAGATTTCGAATGCGGTAGCAGTGTCGTCCTCTTCGACCTTTATATCGCCCTGAGTAAGACACTGCGTTGTCATTTCATTAATAACAACTCGTACAACCTCACTGGGCATAACTCCAGTATTGCCTTCATGGTCCAAACCGTTACCGAAACAAAATTGGAGATATGTCGCATGCTCTACCCGCGGATCGCTGTAGTAACTTCGAAATATGTCGGGCTTTCTAGTCCCATCGCATGCTGGTATGTGCTCTCGAATTCTTCTGCTTATCCCGCTTGAGCGACCGCATTTCGGGCATAAGTACTTTCCATCAACATCTCTCTTGACTGGTTCCCCTTTACAGCCTTTTTCGTGCGCCTCGACATTGCTTATAAGGTACCATTCCCCACAGCCATTCAAGCATAATACCTGGCCCAGGTCATTCCAGGTCCTCATCACCTTTTTGCACCTGTGCAGAGTCCTGTAATGCAAAGGGCAGGTTGCATTGCAATCCGGGCAAGTGTAGTGTAGAGTTCCCTGGCATAATGACTCGTGTCTGTCGATGTTGGATGGCTGATGATATTGGCCACAACCTTTTAAGCACTTGCACTTCTTTTCTTCGTTCCACTCTCTTAGTGCATTCGTACACTTATGCCTCCGCAGTAAACGTCCTTCCATGGGCATGTTACAATCTGGACATTGGATCATAACTGTAGAACTCTTTGAATGCTGTAGCTGATTAGTCTGTTGAATAGAGAATATAAGCTGTGCATAATACCTTGGCAGCCAACTGCTTCCTATTCATTACTTCCTCCTCCATTTCATAATATATAGAAGATGAGAAACTGAGACGTCTTTATGCTGTACAAATATACTCTAACAACGAAATAGGGCTCTGTATACGAAGTTGATAACTGGAGTCGAAATATTGGTTATGCCAACCGGCCACGGCACTCTGTATTCCGTTCGTGAAATAGAGGTTTCGATATATCGTTGTTATACACGGGATAGCCTTGATGACAACGGCAGTAATCGAATACCGGAAGACTGGTTCTGCTTGACGAACAGTCACGCTGTGCCTACTACCATCAACAGACTGGCAGAGTAAGGCCAGGGGATAACAATACTCACAATCACACCAGAGCATCTCCCACCTAGAGTTATGCCGCGAGTGCGGTTGTGGGTTAAGTATTAGAGGAGTGAAGTTGGAAAATGAAGAAGTGGAGAGGAAGACGAGATGATGTGATGTGAGTGAATTCGTCAAATATGGAAACTTGGAAAGAGCAATTCACTCGGTTAGGAATTCACCCCAAACATTACCACCTCGCGACTTCCCACAGAGAGCTCAATCAGCTCCTTAGTGCCAATCTGCTTGTGAAAATGACTACAAAAGACAGTCTCCTTACCCCAAGCTCCCTCTCTTCATCAACAATCAACCTGCTCAACCACATCTGCTACATAACGCCATCTCAGTTCAGATATTCCAGAACCTAACACAAGCTTATCCAACGCATTACTACAGTAAGAATTTCCTTCCAATTTGTACGTTAACTTCCGCTCACCTTTCACAGCATCATTATGTCTACCAATACACCCGGCCCATCGCCAGTCCGTGAACTCAACTCCTTTAACAACAGCAGAACATATAGTCGTCAGCCACTGACCGTTATGCGCGAGAATGCTCTGCTGGCTCAATTGGAAGTCTCATCCAACAAGGGACGACCTGTCACTTATGCCCTTGCAACCATGCGCGACCATGGTCCTGCACTCCTGAAGAATCGAGTCCGCAATGCGAACCGCCATAGAGACCACCTGCTCGTTATGCCAAATCAAAACAGACGCCGCTCCGGCCGCCCTCGTGATACCAATACTTCTACTATGGTAAGCATATCTATAAGTTTATTCCTTTATGCCATTAACATATTATTAGAAACAAATCGAGGCCTCCCGTACCAAATGGATGAAGGTAGCAAGAGGTTCATTCATTGTATGGTCTGCCCTGGTCGAACTACATGGCTTTCTGCCTTCCCATACGGCGGCACATAACATGGTGACTGCAATGGAGCGAGCAATCCATACAGATTATCTCGCCGAGATGAATATCTTGGACCCCAACCAGACGGTTGCAAGAATTAACCGTTTCGATATGTATCGGCGCTAGGAATGGAGGATCTACACAAGCATAACGGGGGGTATTCTGCATACGGGGTGTTCTTCTGCTGAAGCGAGTAGTCGATACAACACTAACAACACTGGGTGCTGGATCGGCTGAGGAGCTGAAGAGCTGAAGAGCTATTTCCATAATATCTTACAAATCAAATGAGATTACGCAAGACCTTATCAATGAAAAGGAATTTTACGTTGATAAACCTGTGAGTTTCTCAAGAAACGTTCTCGAGCGAAAGGCCTTACTGTGTTGACCAAATTGGTAAGACAAGAGAATGATAAGAGTCAAAGAGGCAATTGGTCGGCTACTCAACTTGCAGGTCCTGAGTAGGATAAAGACAATTCGTTGTATACTCTACCGACCAGTGCCCATTATTTTCGTCCCATGCAGACGAAGCCATTTCCTAAATCCTGTTCCAAGCGCTCCAGCTGATAACAAGCCCAAAGTACTGTTGACTTCTCAAGACTTTCCATGTATGCAGGTAAGATGGAATCAATACAACAAAACGTTGCGATGTAGGAACTAAAGTCCATGTGATTATATCTGTACGGAAACCTGTGATCACTGGACAGTAGAATAACCCGGCCAGAGAAGCACTTGAAAAGGCATAGCATAACGAGAACCGAGCACTGAAAACCCTGACAGTTGCTTTCTGCAAATGATCTTATTCATCTTATCATAGCTTTTGCCGCCCATCTATCAACTCCCATATGCAACGGCTGGTGACGAACATGCATGATAAACTAACAGACAGATCCCTCCGTCTTAGGAAGTGCTTGGGTCGAGCGTAACACCATTTGCAATGGTAGCCCATCCAATTAAACGCCAATGCTTCTCGATACGACGAGACAACGCAACCTTCTCCCCTACGTTTGTGCAAGCCGGACTCGTAAGAACCAACTTCGCGGCATCCTGCTTGACAGCCACAACCTTTGCACCGGTAGCCGTGGATCCGATGTTTACCATCAGAACTTCATTCTTCGCAAGCTTGGCAACCTTGGCTTGCTTTCCATCTGCAGTCTTGACACCCAGGAGTCTGCGGAGGAGGTAGTAGTTGACTTCGATTTCGATGTAGATATCTGGTAGTCTGCCCTTCAATCCAAGAACGAATCCAACCAGACGATCAGCTCGGCAAAGTGTGGGGTCGATTCGAGTTCCAACACCGATCAATCCACCAGGTACTGCATACTTGAGCTCGTTGTTCTCGGAGTTCAAGGTGACGATTCTACTGAAGATGGGCGTGCACTTGATAGCTCCCTTCTCATCTCTGGTCACGATTCCGGGTCTGATCTCGATCTCATCGCCTAGCTTTACAACACCGTGCAAAATACTGCCACCAGCAACACCTCCCTTCAGCTCCTCAATCTCAGCACCTGGCTTGTTGACGTCGAACGACCGAATGACAATCATCTGTGGGTCCTGGGTGAAATCTCTCAGAGGAACAGGAATAGTATTGACAATCGCTTCGTTTACAGCATCGATGTTGAACTTCAGTTGGGCGGAAATTGGGATGATTGGTGCTCCTCCTGCAACGGTTCCTCGGATAAACTTCAGAATGTCCAGATAGTGTGCGTTTGCGCCTTCCTCTCTCATCAAATCGACCTTGTTTTGTAGAATGATGATCTTATCTAGCTTCATGATTTCAATAGCTGCCAAATGCTCGGAGGTTTGAGGCTGTGGGCATGATTCGTTACCAGCGATCAGAAGGAGGGCGGCGTCCATAACTGCTGCGCCAGACAACATAGTACTCATGAGAATATCGTGACCAGGGCAATCGACGAAACTGCATCTGGATTAGCTATTGCCTCCTATGAGATATTCAAGATACTCACGAGACATGTCTTAGCAATCTATATGTACCTGAACATCCTTCACGTTCGCAGGGTGGGTCGACCTCTTTCTCACTCTTGTAGCTCTTGAAGCATGTTGGTCTTGGGCACTCCTCGTTATCGCACTTGTAGATCTTTGCGTTCGCATAACCAAGCTTAATGGTAATATTTCTCTCCAATTCGTTCTTGAATCGCACTGTCTGCACTCCAGAAATAGCCTTCACGACCGTCGACTTTCCGTGCGCCACATGTCCAATCGTTCCGATATTGATTGTTGCTTGTCTTGCAATGATCTCTGCGGTGAGGGGGGTCAAGGATTTGAGATCGAGGTCTTTGGGCTCGGTTTGTGGAGGGAGTGTTGGGCGTATTATCGTCGGCGCAGGCTCCTTGTGTGAAGATTTCTTGAGGGCGGATTTGATGGGCTTATCTTCGAGGTCATCTACATGGTCATCAAAGTCCTGTTGCGCATCCAAGCCAGGGGAGCCTGGGGCGGAATCAGAGTCTGAATCCATGTCATTGCCGTACCTATCTCCGTTCGCCGCCATGATGAAGAATTTGTTCGATTTTAATACAGGCTTCAGATTGTACGGTTTCGACTTCGAGGACTGTGCAGAGTTCGAAGGACTGTGATGGTTGTTGTGGCGGCTTGGAGATGCCTTTGACTTGCAGCTGCAGAGTCATAATTATTTAGTGGGCAGTCGCGAGCCTTGCGGGGCTAATTCCCCTCCCACGTGACAGGGTCCGATGGCTTGGAACGAAGTCCGACCTTGGAATTTGGCTCAACAATCGCATTGCCATCCATAGAAACTACGAAGAGACAATTCCTTACCGAACAAAACGCGGTTTAAACATGGCGACCGCAGGCATAGCCAAGACCCTCCCGAGATTTCTTTTACCCAGATTGAGCTGGCAAGCACCGATTCAACAAAATACCCTACGGGCAATAAGCACTCAATCAACCTACAATCCTCCGAAACGGCAAAGAGATGGACCTCCGAACAGTACTTCCTCCTGTAGAAGAAACAATGCTACTTTGCGGCCAAGGACGAGTATTCTGCAGAATCCAGCACACAGGCGGGCTTTCCACGCCACTGCTCGCCAGTCTCGAGACCACCACTTCGACACACTTAAATTCGTCCAACGGCTGAAAGAAGAAGGATTCACAGAGGCCCAGTCAGTAGCTATGATGAAAGTACTCAGCGATGTAATCGAAGAGAGGTGCGCGTGTCCTAATTTCTTACATGACATTCAGCTAATTCGTCTCAGTATCCAAAATCTAACCCGTACCATGGTCCTCCGCGAAGACCAAGCAAAAGCAACATATACCCAGAAAGTAGACTTTGCAAAACTGCGCTCGGAACTCCTTTCTGCAGATTCGACGGAATCTGCGACCACGAGAGCCTCCCACGAACGCTTGACCAATGATTTGGCAAAGCTAAATAGTAGGTTAAGGGACGAGGTGGGCAGAACGCAAGCGTCTGTGAGGCTAGATCTGAATCTAGAGAAGGGCAGGATCAGGGAAGAAGCAAATGTCCAGGAGTTGAAGATCAAGGAAACGGAAACGAAGATTGAGCAGGAGGTCGCTGGGCTGAGGGAGAAATTGGAGGCGGTTAAGTTCCAGGTAAGTTTTAGCCCTGCATGTTCACATATTCCGGCTCAAATGCTAACACCAAATCTTGACTCTACAATGGTTGATGGGAGTATGTACTGGTACCGCTGCTTTGATTCTTGGTGCTTGGAGATTGTTGATGTAGAGCGATACCCCTTACTTTGGTGCCTGCTTGAGGCCGTTCATATGATGATTACCAATAGAGTCAAGCACTGAAGCCCGTTTCAATAGCGGTGCAACGATGATGACTAAACTATGTCTGATGAACTTGTTTCCTTGGTTTTAAACAAAAGAATCTAGATCCTGTATGCTCCTTTCAAGAACACACCCGAGCACTAGATGATGCTTGGCTTTAATTATACACCGAACGGAGAATAAGTAAGCGGAACAAGCCATGATGATATCCAAAAAGAAGCTCCTCATGCAGTTAGTACTTAGACTTGTCATTTCTTTTCCTGTTTCGCAGTAAATGTTCATTTAGTTCTCAATTATGCTATGTAGTGTTCTGGAAGTCCGGATAACCTCTATCTCTCCTTGCATGTGTTCGATCTACTATCTGCTGGGAACAGTCGGTTTGTGTAGGAGGGAAGGAAACAGCCGAAGCATCCTCTTTCATCGCAATTAAGCAGACAAATCACTCCTCAGCCAATTGAGAATAGCGATTGAAGGTCGCATGGTGCTCCCCCCACTCTCTCTCTCTCTGCGCGCTGTTAATCCATAATGCAATGCCCAGTAGAGTGCGCCAACGCCAGACCTGCATCGGAATAGAATTTGGGGAATTGGAAATAAGAATTGACGCGGAAAGAAATATGGGCGCCGTGCTCTGCCTCCTTGTGCCTTGCTATGTTGTATAATGCTATGTCGTCCGGTCGGACGTGCTTGGGCGTACGAGATTCCAGTCAATCTTGCTAGATGTCTCTACCTCCATTTGGAATAAGTATTGGAATGAATGCAGACTTGCGAAGGTCTTGGTTTGAGTTAGCAAAGCTGCTCTCGCCCCATCTGTCAATAAATTTGCAGGACTTCGAAGGAATGGACGGATGACATTCAAGGGAAACTCCTAGACCTGGAAACTCTCATCTGTCAAGGGATCTGTTACTTTCGTGATCCTACAGAAGTGCCGGCTGCTATACTTGTGGTCGTATGAGTGTCGAGTCCACCACACTCGATGGAATTGCAGTAAGAGCTCGCTTTGGAAGTCTTTAAGAGTATTGAATTCCTTCTCGAACGAAAATCTTCGCTTGCGATACGCTGCAATTTGGGCTGGATTCATGCTTGAGTCGTCTTCAGAATCGGAGCCGGAAAAGGAAAGGTCCTCACCAGCGTAGTGGAACTCAACGTAAGCTCTGAGAGAGGCTTGGACCAGCAGCTTGCGCACTTGGTGACCTCCCCTTAAGTCTTCGAAGGCTCGACGGATGTGCGAACCTCTCAAAGCTTTTCGATACTTCACGAGCGTAGTCTTTAACGAGCTCATGAACCATTCGGTCTTATTACCAAGTGGCAGACTTACGCTCTCAGCAAAGACAGCCAAATCGATCAGAGCGGTAAGTTCGTCTGACTTTGATCGACGTTGATTAGGTGTCAAGCGACCAACACTACAGACGATCCACATCATTGCGAGATTGAACGTCTCAAGCGAAACGTTAGTAATCTTCATGGCCTTGTCTTGACGCGAGTTCGCCTCTAGCCAGTCTCGGAAGCCTGGGACCTTGAGAAGCGCCGCCTTAGGGACCCGACAGGGATGGATACCAGAGTCCAATTCTATCTGGACACCATTTTCGGTGTGCAAGAAACTCCTGTCAAAATTAGTTGGGTACTTATACTTGCGCATGCGTCAACTTACAGAACCCACTTGTCTGCTGACTCGTGATTGTTCTCCTCTTCCTCGGCATCAGGTTCCTCCTCAATCGAACGAGATCGCTTGGGCTGACGGCCACCAACCTGAGGAGAATCAAGTTAATATGATTATTCCGGTCGTTTTGGAAGAAGCTGATAGCTTACCGAACTTACTGCTGGTCTCTTGAGACATGCTGTCTGAGATGTCCGGGCGCGACTTGGGCCTACCCCAGGGCTAACCGTCCCGCTCTCATCTCGATCACTGCCTCCAAGGCCATACTGATCTTCTAGATCAGCAGCTGTGTCAGTCATCCTGCCAAAGTTGAGCTGTAATTCTCTTCTGACGCCTTCAATACCAGCCTTCGGGAACAGAGACAAAAGGTGTGCCTCCTTCTCGTCTTGCGTAAGCTTGACCTCTTCTTCTTCTTCTTCTTCCTTTCCCTCTTCCCTTGAAGCATCTCTTACGAGGTGGGTCTTTTTCAAGCTAGTTCCACTGGACATGTCCACGTCAGAATCATCTTCGTCTTCCCCGCCACCACAATGATCGGTATCGACCTCATGTTCTGTATCCGATCCGGAACCAGAGTCGTCTTTGGGGGGAGACATTTCAATGTCCGCATCTTCGTCAGACAAGGATGACAATCCGGGATCTGTAGCTTTGCGAGAGCTTGTAGCTATATTCTCCAGTGGTAAGCCGTAAAGATCCTCGTCATCGATTTCGTTCTTCACCGGCGACACTTCGATATTCGCGCCCTCCACCTCGAAGCCATCATCGTCAGTGAGCTGGTAGGCTGGAATCTTTGGGCTCTCTGGTAGAGTAGGGAGCTCGCCGAAGCTCCAGTCAGCACCGGGAATGGGTCTCATTGGGAGGCCGTGCTGAGGTGATGATGTACTGCTCGAGGACGGTGGAGTATACGGTGGACGGGACTCCAAGTCAGAGGATGTATCTCTGCGGGAGGTTAATGGGTTCTTGCTGAAATATTCCGAAGGCTCCGATTTGATGACCTTACCAGAAGCACCCTCTCTGCTTCTACCTTTGCCAGCGTCCTGTCTGATCACCATTTTATCTCGCTTCTCAGTTGGGACAACAAATTGGTCGAATAGAGCATTTACTGTATCTTCCTTGTTCCCATGGAAATGGCGAAATACATTCAGAACATGTCTTGGACTTTCGTAAGGGCAGAGTCCCATGATATTATCGATTGTACTCCGAATGGCTGAATCGGTGATGCCATTGACGACCTCGTGATATTCTCGAATGTGGTCCTGTTTTGCTTGATCGTCTACAACCTCATCCTCACTGAAGTCTTCTCCTTCCGGTTGAGAGCTCGACAGGAGCTCTAAAGCAAAGTCTCGATTACCACTGGCCACCTCAAGGTATTTCTTGATCTTCTTTTTTGACGTACGGCCTTCTAGAAAGTCAAAGAGATGGTCGATAGACGCTTGGTCTTCAGCTGAGATCGAGGCAGGCATGCTTGCTGGTCGCTCTCGAGGGCTTTTGAGGAGGATTTGGGTTGTTCCACGTTGCTCTATGAATGATATAGATCAATTCAAGTGGTTTATTGAATTGCGTGTGCAGTGTGTTCCTCCGTCAAGACCTCGCAGTTGGCAGTGATAAGCTCCGCCTTGAGGAGTTATCGGACTCGAAGAGCTTTGAAGATCGTGGATTCGAGTGGATAAAGAGGAGCCTAAATGCAGTACTTGTAATGAGTTGCTTTGTGTTGGACGGGTTGAATTCAAGGCACGAAGTGGTCAAGCCAGGAGTATGAACGCTGGCAGGGGTAGTGTTGTTGAAAGTGAAGTTGTCCACTCTACTTGTAACATTTGAGAGCCTTGTAGCTGTTTAGAGTTAGAGAATGATTACTAGAGGCAATAAATCTGGAGGTGGAGAGGATGCTGATGTTTCGATATTGGAGAAGGAGAGACAATGTGGTTTTTGTGGTGAGGAGGAAAGTAACTATGCTAACGTTCTTGAGATTCACTTCAATATGTTGACAAGGAAGCCCTTGATATCGAAGGGGGCCGCTGCTGCTGATGTGAGGTTGCGCAAACAATTGAGCACCACTTGCCTTAAAAGTGTTGAAAAAGCACAATTTACGGCAACAGTGGTGGTGCACTTGAGTTGGTAATATTTCAAGATATGATTTCGGATGATGGAGTAATTGCGATTGTTTCTGAGATAGATAGAGAGGCGATGTGTGGAGTGGCGGCAGCGGTGGTGGTGGTGGAATGGAGTGAGGAGACTGGAAAGCCGTGGTTATTTTATAGACTGCTAGTGGAAGCATGCCGTTCCTCGCTGCCGTTCCTTGCTGCCATTCGAAGATACAATTCACTCCACTCAAATTTGTATTTCGAAAATGGTGTGGAGACTGTTGTATATCACCTTTTAACGATGAATTGGAGCTTGGGCTCTCTTTGTTTACTCTAAGCCGAAATGGCTCGCTTAGCATTTCCAACTGAAGTCGTCTATTGTGTTGCGCATCGCAAGTCGGGACAGTTACATGAAATTGAAATGAATGCCCACTGTTCGTATTCCACAATGACGTGATTTCTTGTTGGGTATTGTTGCACATCGCAATTGATTTGTGACGCAAAAATGCGCAGAATTGCGATGAAATTGCATCAAACAATATTTTTGTCCCGCGCCCATTCCGCTATGACGGCATTTTCCAAGCAGAAGCTGCCGTCTATCGGCCGTATGTATTTTGTTGCCTGTCGCAAAATTTCGAGTTAGTTATTGCAGGAGGGTAGTGGGGTGATGCAGCGGGGGTTGACAGACATATAGAGAGTGAAGTAAAAGGAAGTAAAGTAAGATTACATCAAACCAAGTAACTTTCTACGCTGGAAGGCTGCGTGCGAAGCAGCATAATTTTCAATCCGTGTTGCATATCGCAGACTGCGAAGTGAGTTATTGCTGACTGCCTCCTTAGTCGGGAAGTAGTGTACAAGATTTTCGGAAACAATTATAAGGCAAACGAGATAGCATTCAGTGCTGATCTTCATCCTCCGAAACGCTTCTGAAAAATGTAGTGTGGTATGCGTGATGCTTCGTTTCTAGGGTATTTACACTCTTCCGTCCATCCATCCACCAACCCATCGGTCCGTCAGTCTCAATAAGTACAGCCACCCATCCCTGCCAGCCAAACACCAACATGTGATCTACCAGCCAGCCATGTATACAGTCAATAATTCAGGGTCCAATAGAGACCAAACGCCGTCCCAAACATCCGTGGCAAACCCAGCTTCGTACTCCCAGCCCATCACATCATAGCCTCATCGTCTATCATCACCTTCCTCATCATCAGCAGGTTCAACTCGAACTAGAATCTCCTCTAGCAACCCCTCGAGAAAAACATCTACGTCCTTTCCCATTCCAACAGGCTCTTGCTTATCGAAATGGTCAATTTCTTTGCAGACGTGAGCGAGCTTGTACACTAACTTCCTCAACTTCTCGTGTGCTGCCTGCGCTCGTTGCTGCCTGGGTGTGGTTCCAGTATTGCGAAACATCTGCTGTAGATGATACTGCCGGCGCTTGAGAGCCTCCTCAAGAGCTGGAAAGATCACATCATTTAAAGCATCAAGCTCTCCAGTTGGACTCGTAGGTGCTGGCGACGGCATGGATGTTGGCGTTCGCGAGGACTCTGAAGAGAAGCTTTCTCGCGATGGAGTATTGTCCCGTAATTTCGATGGCAGAGCAGGTAGAGGTTGTTGGCCGAGTTGGCGAGGATTAACGTTTTGCGTTGCTATTGGCTGCGAATGAGATGCTGGCAATGGCTTGGACATTCCTGCATTTGGTTGATTTGTAACCCTCTGCAATGGCTGCCCACGGAATGGCGGTATTTCTGGCAGCTTGATAGGACCGAGTTTCGGCAGCGGTTGTTGTGTTGGGAGTCGAGAAACAGGGTCTGATTCTCTTTCCATTTTTTGATAATTGGAAGGTGGAGGCGACTTGACAATTTGAGGCGAGGGTGTCGATCCTATATTCAAGAATCCCATGTCTCGTTGAAGTTGCTCCTGCAACGATCTGTCATAGTCTGGAGAGTCGGTATCGGGAGGAGAATAAAATTGCTGAATTGGTCGCGGTGTTTCCGGTGCGAATGATCTGTGCTTTTCTGGAGATGGTGGTAGGGGTATTTTGGCCGGAGAGGTAGGCTGCAAGTTCGGAACAGGTCGTCTCTGGGGTGAATTTTGACGTGGTGGTTGAGCTGAGGCAGGAGAGTTCATGGCCTTGACGGTATCTGCGCTCGAGACATATCCTGAATCCTTCATTTTGGTAGGAGATGAGCTTCGTGGTCGCTCGGCGTAATCATCTTCGCTCTCTGATGACCTTGATGATCTCGCATTTGTCGCTGATTCTCCCATAGCATTAAGACCAGCTCTGCCAGTACCCCTGGCAGTACCCCTACCACCTGCAGGTCGCACAGTACCGAAGTCCCACAGATCTTCATTGCCAGCAGTTGATCGTGGGGCTTCTTCATGTCCGTCGTCTGAATCATCGTCGTCGCCCTTATGATGTACTGCCCATCGCTCGTATCGTTCAACTAACTCTGTCAGATACGATGTCTTCTTTGCCCTTCTTACAAATGGATGCTTCAATAACTCTTTAGCAGATGGTCGCTTCCGAGGATCTTTCTGTAGACACAACTCAACAAACTCCTTGAATGCCTTTGAAAAGTTGCCCTCTAGCTCTGGTGGTGGATTCTTTGGGATCAAGAAGAGGACTTTCATGGGGTGGATATCAGAATAGGGAGGTTCGCCGTTTGCCAGTTCCAAAGCCGTAATCCCTAATGACCAGATGTCTGCTTTGTGATCATAGCCAGACTGCTTGATAACTTCAGGAGCCATCCAGAATGGAGTACCGACGAAAGTATTCTTCTTGGTCATTGTAGCCGAGAGCTGTCCAGAAACCCCAAAATCTGCCAATTTGACCTGGCCATTAGATCCTAGCAACACATTGGCAGCTGCAAACCTATTAGTTCTTGTGACAGTCATTTCTGGGAGTATGTGTCGTACCTTTGATATCCCGATGCAGCTTCTTATCTGCATGGAGATAGTCCAGACCGAGAAGCAATTCCCGTATAATGATTGAAATGTAGTCCTCCCCAATTAAGCCTGGCTTCATCAGATCTCCGCAACTGCCCCCCGAGCAAAACTCCATGACAATCCATAAGTCCGAACCTCTCAAGTATGATCCGTAGTACTGGGTGACGTAGGGCGAGTGTAGCTCCGACAAAATAGAGATCTCCTGTATAATATCCTCCACTTCGTCCTCTGCATTTTCGACATCGATCACTTTGATAGCAACTGCTTGCCCGGTGCGTTTGTCAACTCTGCAGCACATTAGCGGAGGTTCTAGATAGCTTGGGAAGACACCATAAGCTGACTCACCCTTTGTAGACTTTGCCAAAACTGCCACCGCCTATTTGCCGTTAGCATTTCTTTTCTTGTCCAGCTGTAGACAAGGCACCATACCTATACAATTCTGCTTGGTATAGAGCGTCTCTGGATCCACGACACCACTCATCATGCCACCGCCGCTTGCCATTGTGCAGAGATTCTGTTCCAGAGGAAGAGGTCGGCAGGTACGGACGAGAAATACTCGTGTGCTCTGTTCCGCCGAAGCTTGGTCTCCTGCTGGGGATATCCCTAAGCTCTATTGGCAAGGATGTTGTGTCGCAGAAACTGGTTGCTCCAGCCGCGGATGAAGGAGTCAGTCAGGCAAAGCTGCTGCTGGGCATGAACAGGAGCTCGGGTCGATCCACGGCTCGAACTATCATGCGTACCGGGAAAAAGACGGTCGGTCGGGTCGTGAGTTTCGCAAGTAAGCAAAGGCGCGCGGAGCCTTCGAGGTCGTTAACGTGGTGATGGTGGGGTCGCTCCAGGTCGGCGCGGACTCGAAGTAGCGAAAGTGAGGGACAACAGGACCACGTAATTTACGTGAGGAAATTTGATAACAAGTGAATGAATATAGTTGTAGAAGAAAGGGAAGAAAAGAGAAGATCTCTCGAGTCGATTGTCCTAAGAGCTGTAAACAACGATGCTCGGAGCCCGAGACTAAAAGAGCGTGTATGGACCGTGGTTCAAGCAGGAATGGAAATCCAATCCAAAGCCAATTCAAGTCGTCGGCGTTTCAAGAATCCGGGGAAGGTAAGCACGACAGGCCAGGGCATGCACCAAAACAACAGAAACGTATACCCAGGGCATCAAGGAGTGAGGTCGGAAGGTCGAACAAGTCGGAGAAAAGAGATGAAATCAGGAACACCCGTAAACTTCAGAGTCAGAGTTAGGGAAAAAGAAAGGAAGGGAATGCAGAGAATCCATTTGCTACCGCGGCGTCTATCGAGTGTTTTGCTTTTTCCTGGTGCGGAAATACCGTCGGAATGTTTTGTTGTTATCTCACTTGCATGCTCCCCCTCAGCCAATCGTTCAACGGCCTTGGCTGTTGGCGTGTTGATAGCAGCCAGGGGTCACGAAAACATCATCATATGGTCCAAGCGACTGAGAGCCAGTCAGATATGCAGGTTGGCGTCCAATCAGCCACAAACCGACCCTAACAGTGACTCTCGAACAAAAGCTCCTGAGGTGTTTGTGATGCACCAGAAACATTAGATGCTTTCTTGCTCATTCATCATATCATCTATGGTTCAAATAATTGCCCACCAACCCCCGATTTCCCTTCTACATGCAGAGCCGAACGAAGCGAGCATGAACGGAAAGGGACAAACAACGCCGGCCATGTATCTCGAATCTGTGAGATGGCAACCCTAACCTGCAATGTGCATGCCATAATGAAAAGACTTTACTATCATAACGCCTATGCATGAGATCCCATATGCTGTGAAACGACATCTTATCACAAGGTATCATGTCTAGTCCTCGAGAAACTCCACCATGACTGTACCACCGCCGAGTCCTGCATCTTTGATCGTGACATCGAGGTGCTCGATCAGATCTCTCATCTCCTTGCCCATTCCCCCACCTTCCTTTAGCTCGAAGGGCACTCCTTCCTTGCCCTCTAACGGCTCTGCCTTCAACCATTCGTAGATCGTTCTCACTGTATCATCTTGGCTGAATCTGCGCACGACACGGCCATTTGGATGTCTAAATTGAATTCGTGGCCCAGTGGCAGGCTCAACGTGAGGACTTGTGGATGATATGCGGGAGAAAGGTGAATCTGCTTGAGGTTGGCTGCTACCAACATTGGTCTCTTGCTCGGCTAGGTCCGCTTCAGCAATCTCCTTTCCTTTGCCCTTCACATCTCCGAAACTCTTGGTCAGGTCATCTGGATCGTCCGGTTTTGGGCCAGGTGAACCATTGCTTGCAAGACTGTTCTTCAGAGCAAGGTCTAGCATCTCTTCCTCAGTAAGTCGGTCCACGTCAATAGATTTCGACTTCTCTGGTTTCCGCTTGGCAACAGGATTCTTCTTCGTGACATCCAAACTATATCTATCGAGGAATTCCACAAGTTGCATGAGAAAGTCTCCAGCCGGTGGGACTGGTGGTCCCGACCAAACTTTAACCTGCTCTCCAGTTCTCGGGTCAACTATAGCGATGTGTGGGTATGCGGAGTCACTATCCTTCAGTGGAAAGTAATATTGGACGTACTGAGCACCTCGGGGGTCGTCTTTCGAGTACTGAATGAAAATGAAATTCTCCTTCACGAGCTCCTTGATCCCTTCATGCTTCCAAATATCCCTGTTGAGTTGCTGGCAGTCGAAAAATGAAGGATCTTGCACGTTGACCAGAATCCACTTTCCGTCCTCCTTTGCCTTATCTCGCGCTGTGTCCCACGGTACCTGCAGCATGAGCTCAAAGGGTGGTCGAAACAACTCTGCTAACCGGGCGTTCTTCGATGATGACTCCGAGGCTCCTCCAGTCGCGCGAGCAAGGCCTTCGCGGCGTGCTGCTGGATCTGCGTTCTCTTCCCAAATTGAGGAAACTGGTGCTTGGTTAAAGACTCCCAATCGAGCTGTGACAGGTCAGTACTACTCAGCATCTTCGAAGCGAGAAGACATACAAGGCCGGGATTGTCTGGCTCGCATTTGCTGCAAAACAGCCGCATGCATATCATCTGGAGCCCATTCCGCATCAGGTCCACCCACAAGAGTTTCGGTCCTACGCCCAATAGGAGCACGAACTCCATCTGCATCGAATCCCCCACTGGCATCTCCGCCTGCATACATCTCCTCTTGCATACGTCGAGCCATAGCCTCGTCGTCTTCGATCTCTACTGCCCTCCCAATAGCTGCAGCTCTTGATGCCTCATCATCACTACCATCGTTGTAGTCCATATCCATGAGATCCTCCTCATCTGATTCTGGTGGGGCACTTCTCTGCGCGCTGGTCTGTGGCCGTGTAGACATAGGCACTGGAGGAGCGGCATCTTGTGGGATCTGGTCGGCACCAGAGGCAAGATCGGGAGAGTCGAAGAAGAGCTGGATGGCTTGCTCTGTGTTGTTTTCGGTCAAGCCTAGATATCGTCTCGCAACTTCAGTACTTGCGCCAGTGAAGGCTACGAAGTAGTCGATACTTTCTTCCATGATGGCAACGTGGACGGAAGGGTGATGGAAGTAGTAGAGGTTCTGCAAGAAATTCGGAAAGAAAAATATAAGGCGAAAGGCGAAAGGCAGTCGTCGTCGACGTGACGTAGGAACTCTGGCGGGGTGTTTGGGTGTGGGTTAATCGACCAGAATTAAATGCTTATGTACCTAGATCCTCGGCTGGTCTTTCGTGGCTTGTTGGTGAATAGGCAGGTGATGGCAGAATGAATGTCAGCAGTGAGTGAAGCTGCTAGTCTGTAGAAACATCATGCGGACGTGGTGAGGCGGCTTCAGAGACTGAGGTCTTTCAAGATGAACTCCATGACCAGACTAGGCTGACAGGGGTGTGCGCAATCGGAAGCGGGGAGATGATTGGCCCACACCAAAAGGGCTGATATGTTTGGGGTGACAGTGCACAAGGCTGAAAAATACCGTGGTGTGCATACAATTAACTCAAACCAATCATAATACACTTCAATCAATACCGAAAACCTACAGCCGTGCAAAATCTGTTGCCTTTTATATAACACCACCAGTGTTCGCTTCATTGTTTACTTACCAGTCAATGGGAACTTCACCTTGGCACTCACAGGGAGGAAGATAAAGAGTGGAAGAAGCTTTTTATATCCGCATCTTCTGATTGCTCATTAACAAACCAAATCTCCAAATGGGTATCAAGTGCCAAAATGCCTCGAAATTGTTTCCATGCCTCCGTCCAGCAAACTACACATCTCTCCCCACTTCCACTTCCATTGAATCTATTGGTATGCCCAGGCATACCTATTTATAACCCGTACATAATCAACCGATGTCCGCTCTGCTCCATCTCGTCTATCCAATCCACCGAGTTCGCATTACCCGTCTGCATGACAGCGATACGCTGCTTCTCATATATGGTCTGCAGGAGCCTCCGCACATTGTCCGTACTTCCGCCATATCCATGTTTCTCGACTTCCATCATGAATCTCAGGGCTGTGTTTTTCTCTACTAGGTTGCGTGTACAAAAGCCTGCCATAAATAACGGGAATACGATAAATCGCAAGTCAAATCGTTCTTTAGAAAGTATTATGCTGACGGCATGGAGGATCTCGGCGCAGCATGCATTAATGTGGGCTTCGGTGTCGGGCTCTGGGTGGTCTAGCTGACCTGAATACATGCTGGTATGCGTGTAGAGGATACAGACGCGGAAAAGCAGGTATGACTATACTTGTCAGCCAGTGTACAACTTGAGAAGATCATGACGTACATGTTCCACCCATTCGAAGACTCTAGGTGGAAGGTTTTCCGGAGATCTTAGCCAGGTCCAATAGTCTGGGAATTGAGATCTCCACTTCATTCTCGAATCATGCAGTATTTGATGAAGGTTTTGAATCCTATCGTATCGTTTCATTTGGTATGTATCTTCGAGGCCAGGGGAAGCGTTTCCGAAACGTCGTTGATCGGCTTCTGCTCTCAGGGCTCTGCCAAGGCGACCCGCTTCAAGTGCAATAAGGATGATCTCTTGGTTGATACTGATTACTTCTGGGAAGTAACTTTGTTCTTCAGGGTAAATGACCTGAGGTTGTCCAACTCTCTCTGGCAGCAAACATCGTTCTGGTAGTGGCAGCATATTCTGTTTGAGAACGACCTCGACAAACATTCCCATACCACTCGCACTCAAAAGTGCGTAGACATCGATACAGTAGATCATCCATATAATGAAGTCGAAATGGTCAATGCTTTGTGTTTGTCGGCGCATGGAAATTATCCTTAGAAGTTGATCGCAATGGTGCTGCCACATATTTGATTCCCTTGCGGATATCTCGTAGAAGAGCAAGACCAAATGTGTCAACAATGCACCATCGGACTAGACTGTAATTAGCAAAGACCTCGTCTAACTGCATGAACAGAGAAGGTCTCTCAAATGCTTAAACCTCAGAAAACTATCAAGATCTGAAAGCTGCAAGGAGTATGAAAGGGACGTGTACTTACATAGGAGTCTTGGGTGCTTTTTACTGTGCTCTGCAGAGCCGGAATGACTTGCTGATAATGCTCTAAAGCATGGGCATCGTGAGAACCTTTCTTGTGTGCGATACTTAGAGCAGAGAGTGCCATCATTGCATGGAAAAGCTGCTTGCTATCAGTGTATTATCCCCAAATAGTATATCGCGACTGACCGGTGGGTACTCTCGAGCCTGTACTTCAAACAAGTCTTCGTCTCCCTGACTCTTCCCTATGCCGATGATTTGTGGTGAAATGATCGTTCGGTAATGATGCAGCAACTCGGCGTCTTTTCCTCCATGGCGAGCAGCGTCCAGAAGAGAAACTGTGCTGGAATCAAAGTATGAACTATCTCGCCTTGGCAGTGTTTGTATATAGCTGGCTGAGAGTGATAATGCAGGTGATACTAAGGCTGCACTCGGTCTGTAGGGCAAAGGCGTGGAAGGTCTCCGAAACGGATCCTCAAACGTCTTCAAGATTACTACCTATCGCTCACAACCCCCGGTCAGTTACGGTTCAACGTATTCCAGAACTACTAATAAAGTGTCCATAAGCGACAAGACTGTCACACAAAGGTTGGACTGTATGGTCAAGACTCACATTGGGATCATCAGCCTCTTCTGCTATGCTGCCAGATATTGAAGCCTGGCCATCAGTATCGCCTTCGTATTCGGAATAGGTAGACCCTCGTCGTATATTTCCAAGACTTTCATCCCGATATTCTGGTAAATCCGCAAAGCTCGTTAAGTTCGCAACAACTACGAATGTTCCAGGATCTTGAGACTCTGCTTTCCTCTCCCGCTCATCATCGGTCGTTAGTGTTGAAAAAGGTGGTAATATGTCTTCTGATGCTCGGGTTCTTGGCTCCTGATCTTGTACACTTGCTGTGTCTTATCAGCTTAAAACCCTGACGGTCCGATATGTTTCACATACGATCCCAAACATGGCTACCTGTCGTGGTGACCTGCTGTGTTCGTTCTAATATTCTCGGCGTATCGTCTTTGAATGAAACTCTCGGATTGTAATCACTGATGCATCTTGGTCAGAAGAGACGCAGAAGAGGCATAAGATACTCACCAGGAGTGACCAAGACGCTGACATTGCTATGGCCCAGTTAGCAAAGGGATCAAACCACCTTGAGTATTTATCATCGTACTCCGCATGTTGGACGTCCTTCATCGCATTTGACCTCTACAGGGTTATTAGTCAGATTGCAGGATCCAGAAGGGAGAACGAAATATACTGCGAGTTCGACAGGTCCAGCAACCACTCTTCGATCTTGGAGGAATCCTGCTTCTCCGTCCCTCTGCTGGGGGATTACTGGAGGATGCAAACCCTGGCTGTGGAGAAGATGGCGGAACCTGTTGCCTTGGGGCTATGAATGGCAAACGAGGTTCGGCGCGCCGACCTCCTTGCATCGGTAGAGTGGTCGAAATGCATCGACACCAAGGACACTGGACGGGGATAAGCTAACAGCAGATGATGGACTTCATCTGGCTGTGACAACGGGTAGCGACAAGAAAGTTCACAAATTCTTTGTTGCAGAAACATCCATGCTTGGTTGCTGACGGTGATATAATGGAGAAGAAATTGAGTTGAATGAAATGCTCGAACACCTCTTGACCGATCCAGACTTGATAACGGGCGGCAAACTCTTTTGAAGCGATCGTGACAATCTGTTATAGAAGCATGTGGGAAGGTTAGCATATGTAGTACTGGACGCTTCGAGACCAAGCATGAGAAAAGTTCTCGGTCTGCACCGAACGTGACCATGACGGAAATGTCACTTAGCCTAGAATTATTAGGTCCATGTAGGCTATAAACCCGGACACCTGCTCTTGGCCACCATGGCACTTTCATACAAGATTGGGGAGAGGGATAGGGATAGGGATGCGAACAGGGGAGGCTGATGAGCTGTAAGCTAAGTATACGAACTGAGGTGTGCTGTGTTCGGCAATGGCAGGTGGCTTTCATAGATTGGTGCAGTACATCAACGGCGTCCTGCTAATGCTTAATAGGGACAACAGAGCCGGTGGAGGACGCTAATTGCCGACCGTTTCTCCAAAGCTAAATGCAGTGAATCTACCACACGACTGGAAACACCCACCTCATGGTGATCCGTGAGAGGATCAGCAACAAAGGTAGCGAGTTTGAAGTAAGGATGAAAAACATGGAAAATATAAGCCTGGCGAGCCTGGACAATCTCTGACAATCTGCAATATCGGTCGGTGCAACTTTGTCAGACCAGCAAATTGCACATGCTGGAACGTCCATTCTGGCAGAGCGGACGACGATTTGGAAGCATCTCGTTCCTGGTGAATTGACTTGACAGGTGGACGGCGCCTGCCTTTTCGTGCTTGTATTCCGTAGGAGAAGTCCCTGAATTCTTCGATGGACTACTACTGACCCGGCCGGGACTACCATCAGGTAGGGTAGTGTGGCATTGGTGTTGGCGTTGGCCTAGATCACAATCTGATTGCTTCCTCACTCGTGATGCTTGGCAGCAATGCAGCATCATTGATCGTCGCTCTCATTGTTGTTGACCTGCCGTTCCGGAAGCGAAAGAATTGCATTATTACCTACATTACTGCATCTGCGTCTGCTTCTCCTTCTGCTTCTGCTTCTGCTTCTGCTTCTGCTTCTGCTTCTGCTTCTACGCCGACCAGCTCGGCTAGCAAGCACACGAGTGAAGGTCTGAAGAACGCTCCTATCAAGTGCAAAAGATGACGAAGATTGTCTGGAAAATACCCATGTGTAGTGTAGAGTCGATCATCGTGCTGGTGCTGGTCTCGCTGGTCTCGCTGGTCTCGCTGGTCCACTTGTTCTCGTTCTCGTTCTCGTTCTCGAGGCATTATTGCTGTGGCGCCTAGCCCAAACTAGCAGGAAGCGAAACTCTATAATCGAGGCGCGGGGGCTCGGGCGCGGCATCAAGCCTCAACTTCCACTTCCATGTTCATTCATGTTCTGCCAGACGCTACAGCCTGCCTACAAGGCAGCCCCTGCACACTGTCGTGCATTTCCTGAAGCCCCATGAGCTGTTATGACGACGGTGGTGCTCTGCCGTGCTCTGCCGTGCTCTGCCTGGAGGTTGTCCACGCTGAACAGGGTTTGCTAACATGCGGCTGTCCCAATGCTGCCAGCGGTCTAGACTCGCACCCTCGGCAGGGCTTTGAAGGCCAAGAGGGTCGTCGAATCGCTGGTCAGATTATTGCAGATCCGATCTTGCACAAACGACATATTTATGGCAAGCAAGAACAACAGTCCTGACGCGGGTACATCAATTGCGGGTCGTTGGGCGATGGATGGCTGAGTCGAAGGTTCCGTCTCATAGAAAACATCATAGCGGCCAGCAGAGCTGTGTGGTGTGCTAGGTGTGCTGGGTGTGCTGGGTGTGCTGGGTGTGGTGCTGGTGCTGTTTGTTATTTAGTGTGCGCCATGGGGATCAGTAGGCGACCGCATGGCTGGAAAGCGTCAAAAATGTGGCCGAAAAATTGAGCGTAAGTAGGTATGGCGACGCTTTCGTCCTTCCGAACATCGTCTTCCACGAGCCGGCCCGACAAATACTCCTGATGGAAAGCCGAAGTGGTTAAAATAAATAAAAGTGACTGCTCATACAAATTGTCTTCTTAATAGGTAAAATATCTGCATGCCAGGTGCTTCTCAGCCGGCTCTCTCCTTCCCCACAAAGGCGGGGAACGGAAGTGCGACTAATGATCTTTTAAGTCGTCCTTGACGATGAACTTGGCAGCTTGGGAAGAGATGCCAGGTGAAAAGGTCGTCCCAGACAAGGACACGGAGCTGCCTTCAAATCCCTTACACTCGACGATCGAGAATTTCTGCCCAGATAAACGGCTCCAAGGAGCTGCTAGCCAGCTCGGCAGTCAGAGAGCTCTCTCCGATTGTAGCCATCATCTTGTAAGGTCACATTGCAAAGACAAGCCGTTTGGGCATGTAGATAAGTCCATATGTATTCGTGAGCGAATATTGAAACTGCATCTGTACAAAGGTTGGTGAAGTGTGTAGCCATCAATGAGCATATGCCCAAAGGTTTCAACTGGCGCGGAGCTGTTACGCAGAGGGCAGTAACATACCATCGTACATTGCCTAGGCGAGGTCAGAGGTAAGGCCATTTCCATTTCCCGTTTCCTACTCGTAATTCTGCAGGCACTCCAACAGAGCTGTGGCGTGCGTCAAATCCAAAATCCAGCTGGGCTGGGGGAGGTGCTGTGGCTGTGGCGCCGACAAAAGGTGAGACCGCATTCCCTTGTTCCATTAGCCAGAGTCAATCAGAGCAGATACCACTAAAACCGTCGTTCCAAAGGAGCAAGCCGTATTTTAATACATCGAATTGATGGGACCTTGGAGCCTCAGGGCTCAAGTGAAACTGTGAAGAATCAGGTGAGAAAGGACCAGGAAAACCCCTGGCCATGATCCAGCCCAACTAGTAAATAATGTCGGAGCGGAAAAACCTAAACCCCGCTGCTCAAGTAATCACCTCGCCATACCGGCCATCACCGGCGAAGAGAGAAAGGAAGAGAAGGCAAGCAGAGAGTGCGTGGACATGACATCCATGGAAGGCACGACATTTTCGTAATCCCCGTCCCTTTTTTGGGTTCTCCTTTGATATTTGCTTCCACTTGCAACCTCAACTCTTAGATTTTCCATATCCTCTACAAAAAACCAGTCGTGATGAGCTGTCACATCGCTCTCTGCACTTCCAACAACAACAACAACAACAACCAAGCAGACGGACGGAGGTCAAGCTCCATCTGAGCCATCAGCAACGTCTTGTTTTCAAAGATTGACCTTTATCTGTCCACCATGGACCGGGAATTGGAGCTGGTTGGCAAGGTTGAGATGCGCATTGCACTCGCCAAGGATGACAAGCTCGAATCCATCCTGAAGCCATATTTGCCCCCATTGCTCCTTAAACTTGCTAGTGACCACGCAGCAGTCCGCAACAAGGTCATCTCAACATGCCAGCATATCAAGATTCGCCTTGCTGGAAACCAGTAAGTCTGAGATCGCCGCAATCTCATCCTCCATTTCCCATGTGGCTGGTCAGATCGTCCAATCATGTCGCTGAGTACCTCCAGGAATATTGTCTTGCCCGTAGCTGCTTTATTGAAGCAGTACAAGGAAAATCCAGATTCTCCGATGATACGGCATTTTGATCTCATGTTCATCCAGCAGAGTGTCGGGAAATTGTCGTCTTCGGTGAGTCTTTTTCTTTGGGAAGGGGCAGAATGTTATTTACTTATTGGACATCAGGAACAAATGGCATTGTTACCGACAATTCTTCACGGTCTAGCTAAAGATTCTGGAAAACCAACATGTGCTACAATCTTCAATCTATTTCTTCGTCTCCTTCCCCAGCTTCGTATTCCATTACGTGGCAGTAAAGAAGATATCGAGCTGCGCTTCCAACTGGGATTAGACACTCATATAGATGATGCGCAGTTCGTAGCATCGTGGTTTGGGAAGCTCATGCTTCTTTCTGTGATCAGGTCGAGCGCGTCGGGAATAACTTGCCCGGGCCTCACAGTTCCAGAATATGAGTTCTTAACCTTGAACGGCAAGCAAGAAGCCTGGGACCCATCATCTGATGAGGGACTGAACCTGACCCAGACTAAGATCATTGTCCTGGCGTTCTTATCAAGCGGTGCTTTTACGGACGATGAGCGGTTTCTTCCTGCCCTATTTGCATCTGGTGATTCGAACTCACGGATTTCAGGTATTGGAGATGACTTGCTTAAGCGATCTACGATCTCACTGGAAGATCACGAAACTATTGAAAGGCTATTGCATATTTACTTCACACTCAAGCCTGCTCTCCAGACGAAGATATTAGTCCTTTTGAGTAAATCTGCTGTATCCACCACATTCCCACATAAAGTTGTCAGAATTGGTATGTCTATCCAATTTCTTTCATGTTTTGGATGAGAATTGGATCGGATAGCAGCATCAAAATACTGACTCTAAAAACAACTAGTTCAAGAGGCAATCTCGCCTGATGACAATACAAATCTCCCGGCTAAAGGTCTTGAAACTGTGAAGTTTCGAAATGCCTTGTTCAACTACATGAATTGGGTTGCCAGAATCGGCTCTATTGATGATCTTGCACAGGTTGCACCGCAACTCGTTGGCTTCATGCGAACATATATCGAAGACCAAGGCTGGCCAGTTCCCCACGAGAGATCCACGGACGCTGCTACTTTGCGAGCTTTGGCATATGAGACCTTAGGTTCTCTTGCAAAGACAACCCCTTCCATTGTGGTAGAGCAAGATCTATCACTGATACGTTGGCTTTTTCGATCCTTGACTGAAGAGGGATCTTCCGATGCCCTTTTCGTAAGTATCGAAGGAGCTCTGGCGAGTTTGCTAAATGCTTTTTCCCCACCACGTAAGAAGAAGCCCATGGTTCTTTTGCCATTTTCTCGTTGAGTCTCTCAAGTACGAGAGCTAATCTTAGTCTCTTAGTGGATGAGAATCTGAAAAGCGATCTACGACTCCTTCTCCTCAAGTACATGACTCTTGTTGAGGAAGGTGCGGTCGTTCGCGGAGCTCGTTTTGCTACTGTACGTTGGGCGAATCGATGTCTCGAGTATAGCGACGTTGTTGGACGATGGATCGACATACTTGCTCTTGGTGGTCGTACCGACGAACGCAGTGATGTTGTAGAGGAGGGTAAGAAAGGGCTGGTATGTGAAAAGTTGTTGTGAAGCATCACGGACTAATGGCCATACAGGATCCCTACTGGTACCGACTTCTGAATTCCATAGCCGCGGCCTCTGAATGCCCTCTTCCTGACTGGAATGAGATGGTAAAAGTCTTCTTCACATCGCAAAGCCTCATAGAAAACTCGAGCGTCGCCAACAGTATGAAGAGTGGCATGGAGATTGATTCTGTGTCTGTCTTTGGCAATTTTTCAGGGTCGAGAATTAACGCCTTCTCCTCTGCTGTCAACTACTGTCGTCGGATGTTGCTTATGACTGCTTTGCAAAAATCGGAGACACCCTTGACAATTGATGCAGATTGGGAGCGCCAGCTAGATGTCTTGTTTCGCACTGACCAAGATTCGCGGAAGACCATGAAAGATTACATTCGGTCTGTCGACGAGGATGCATTGTTCACTTTTCTCACTGCTTCTTTCGAGGGGATGCTACGCAACGATGCGAATGGACTGTCCGATTGCGGTAGATGTTTCGTCGAGATTGCGTCGATTAGTCCAGGCAAAGTGATTGGCAGAATTGCTGAACGAGCATTGGAGCTACTTCCATCTATCAAATCTAACAATGTCGCAACTCGTTTTATTGCTGCACAAGCCTTTGGGATATTAGCACCACATCCTGCGAATAACGATCAGACTGTCCATGGGGCATTACAGTCATTATTGTTGGACATCAGGCCGTGGTCCACTGCTGTGGGAGCAGATGCCAATAAAGTCCACGGCTCCATTCTGGCTGTTGGCTACATGCTTAGCAGAAGTTCCTTCTACGGACGAGCCGAGTCTAGGGATTCTAGCGATACCCAGACCGCCATCGTCTCCCTTTTAGAGGTTCTTTGCGGCGCGACAGATGCGTCTACGAAAGAAGCTGTCCTCAATGCAATTGGACAACTCAGTGTGTCTGGCGTCCTCACTTCGGAGCAACTAGACGCATGTACTGCAAAATCAGCCGGTGTAATTGAGCTTTTGACAACAGATGCGAAAAAAGGCAACGAGAAGTCGATATCTGCACTTGGCCGCTTGGCTACGATATTCGAAGGTGAACTGATTGAAGAATCCGATACTAAGGATCCCCTTTCACTCATACTCGGTGGGCTCTACAGCTTATTTGAGATAAAGCAGGCCGAGATACATTTCACTGTTGGCGAGGCCATCAGTTGTCTCGGTGCTTGCTGGGACTCCGACGTACTTCTTCTGAGTCTTGACATCGATGCAGCTTACAATGGTCGACCAAAGAAGAATTTCACCTTGGAGAAGATACTTCAGAAGCTACTTCAAGATTGCAAAACAACCAAGCCTTCGTTGAAAAAGGCATCTGGTATATGGCTGTTCAGTCTCATTCAGAATTGTGGGCACCTAGTTGAAATACAAGCCCGGTTAAGAGAATGTCAAGCAGCTTTCATGGGGCTGCTCTCTGCAAGGGACGAATTGGTCCAAGAAACAGCTTCTCGTGGCTTAAGTTTGGTCTATGAGCAAGGAGACAAGGAACTCAGGGAGAAACTTGTCAAGGACCTGGTTGCGTCCTTCACAGGAACATCTGCTCAGCTCAAGGTTGATGACGATACCGAGCTGTTTGAGCCTGGTGCTTTGCCAACGGGAGAAGGAAACTCGGTCACTTCCTACAAAGACATCATTTCTCTGGCGAATGAAGTCGGGGATCAAAGTCTTGTCTACAAGTTCATGTCTCTTGCCTCAAATGCAGCCACTTGGTCAACACGTGCTGCTTTTGGTAGATTCGGACTGAGCAACATTCTTTCAGACTCCGAAATAGACCCCAAATTGTACCCTAAGCTATATAGGTACCGCTTTGACCCGAATCCAAATGTTCAGCGCTCGATGAACGACATCTGGACAGCTCTCGTGAAAGACTCCAGTGCCACTATCAACCAGTACTTCGACGAGATTCTGGCCGACCTCCTTAAAAGCATTCTGGGCAAGGAATGGCGAACAAGGCAAGCGAGCTGTGCTGCTATCGCCGACCTTGTTCAAGGACGCGAATTTGACAAATATGAGAAACATCTATCAGACATCTGGCAGGTCGCTTTCAAGGTTCTCGATGATATCAAAGGCTCCGTCCGAGAGGCTGCATTGAAGCTCAGTATGGTACTGACGAACACGCTTGTACGCCAAATCGAGGCCGGAACGGAATCGAAACATGCTCAGGCTATGTTGAAAGAGGTTTTGCCATTTCTGCTATCAAGCCAGGGCATGGAGAGTTCGGCAAAGGAAGTTCGTGTTTTCGCAACAGTTACTGTCCTCAAAATCATCAAGAATGGCGGCAAGACCTTGTTACCGTTCGTTCCACACCTAGTAAGCTAGCACCTTTATCATGTTATAGATCTAAGAACTCTATTTGCTAATTCATCAGGTTGAACAACTCCTAGGACTTCTCAGCACCATGGAGCAGGAGGGCATCGATTATGTTTACCTCAGAGCGGCGCAGTACAATCTGACCGAGGCGAAGATCGACAATGCGAGATCGACAGCTGTTTCCCAGTCACCATTGATGGAAGGTATTGAGAAGTGCCTCGATCAACTTGATGAGTCCACTATGAAAGATCTCGCTTACCGGCTTGAAAATGCTATCAAGACGTCCATTGGAATGCCATCGAAGATAGGATGCGCTGGAGTACTTGTTAGCCTTGCTATGAGACACGCCTTTGTCTTCAAATCACACGCAGACGCTTTCCTCAAGGTTACCGAAAAAGCAGTGTTGGATCGTAACAACGCTGTCAGTGCTGCATATGCCAGAGCAACCGGATATCTCTCTCGCTTGGGATCTGATGATGGTCTTTTGAGGCTCGCTTCGTATGCCAAGAGTCTTTATTTCAACGCGGAAGACGAAACACGACGACAAGTCTCAGGCGAAATCATCTACGCTGTATCTAAATTTGCTACAGATCGATTCAATTCTGTGGCTTCAGACTTCTTACCCTTTGTCTTCTTCGCTAAACATGATCTTGACGAGCACGTCAAGGAGCAGTTTGACAAGACTTGGAGCGAGAATGTGGGCGGCTCGCGTGCTGTTATATTGTACTCAAAGGAGATTAACGAGATAGCCGTCGAACGCCTTGAGTCAGCCAAATGGACCATCAAGCATACAGCTGCTTTAACGATTGCGGACGTTGTGGTCTCATCTGGAACCGAGATAAGTGGCGCGAGCGCTGCTGCCATTTGGCCTGCATTAGAGAAGGCTCTTGCACTCAAAACCTTCGATGGCAAAGAGAAAGTGCTTGACGCTTTTGTCAAGTTCACGAAATCCGGCAAATTACTCTGGACTGCTGAGCCCAGCATTGCCGCGCAGATGAAGAAAATTGCGCTCCGGGAGGCAAAGCGCAACAACGACACATATCGGCCCAATGCCTTTTCTAGCCTTGGAGAGTATAGTGAGGCTCGCACGGACATAGACATGTTTGACGATGTGTACAGTGTCGTCGCTCCCATACTTGAGGATTATAACGGCGAGGACAAGATGGATACAAGCGACGACACCAAAGAAGGAAACAATTCACATGAGTCGGCAGCGACGACAGCTGGTATCTCGGCTCTTTTCCGAGCTGTGAATATCAAGCTCTTAGATCCATCTCCACTCAGCCATCTACCAAAGCTTCTGGGGATTACCCAAATGGGCACGGCCTCAAGTAAAGTCACAGTGGCTACGAAACTCACTCTCTACGAGCGCTCAAAGGTTCTGTTTGATGGTCTTCGAAAGAGAACTAATGCCCAAGGGTCGAATCGCTACGAACTAGCACTCAACTTTTTTACGATTTTAGAAATTGCGAGTGGCGCAGGTACAGAGATCATGAGATTGAAGAGAGCCGAAGCAGCTGAGATGATCGTCGAGTGCTTTGTCGGAGGTGTTTTCGGGATGTTCAAGGATGGAAGAGGTGAGCTGAAGGCTAAGATTAAAGACATGCTTGGTGAAGCTAGGAGGAATGAGCGTTCTCCTGGTGTGCAGACTGTTCTTGATAGATCGCTCATGACACTAGAGGCATGATAAACTCCACAGACTTTGGTACCGTAGGGAGATACTTTGGCAGACTGCTAAGGCTCTGAAGAATTTGATCTATAACAAACCGAAGGTCTCGGACTTGTCATAATTGAAGATGACACAGTATCAGACTGGACGTAGGAATTACCAGTGCATTGCTCGCGGTACTCACACCATTCACAGCACTCACACACTAGCAGCGCTTTCTCCAACCATCGTTAACGTTCGTACACTGACGAAACGCTATTGCACATACACATATCAAGTCAGCAATAATACACATTGTACATCAAATATATATGCATTGCATATATTTAATAGGACATCATGCACACACACCTCTGCTGTGTTGATGAAAGTGGACTCCCCAGTCCCGCTTAGCGATATTTATTTTCCAGGGGCTGCCAAGCACCATCTTCAAGTCTCCATTTCAAGCTTCCTGCACGTCGTCACGCTGCGTCAGACAAACCCAGTCAGTCACCTGCAACAATGGCACACCCGCTCCCGCGACTCTTTTCACGGCGCTTCTGCCAATCTTATACTCTCCCTCGATCCCTAAATTCTAAATCTCGAAACTCCTTCAGAACCTCAATTCGCAATTCACCATCGCCAGTCTCGAGACGAGGATACGCCTCTGGCAACCCGAATTCGAGCCCACTGAAAGTCTGGCCTTTCGTTGGTATTGTGCTTGCGGGATCTGGAGCCTATGCTTTGATGGTAAAAAGTCGAGTCGGTACGTAATGGCAAGAGGCCGTATATCCTCTCAATGGCAAGGAGCAGGCAGTTGCATCTCACATCTGTGAAGCTGCTTGCTTCATTTTGAGAGCCGCTTTAAGAGCCGGGATCATGAGGCAACGAGCTTTCCAGGAGCTTCACATCTCTTTTCCGAGATACACTCTACCTATCAATACTCTCGCTGACATTCCAAACCATATGCAGAAATGCCTCCAACCACTGAACAAATCGCCGGCCCTAAGAAAGACACACCCACCTTCTCCCCCTCCTCCGTAACAGTCCTTTTCGTGCTCGGCGGACCCGGTGCAGGAAAGGGCACGCAATGCGCGAACCTAGTCCGCGACTACAAATTTACGCATCTCTCCGCCGGTGATCTCCTCCGCGCAGAGCAAGACCGTGAAGGATCCGAGTTCGGCGACCTCATCAAGAGCTACATCAAGGATGGCAAGATCGTGCCCATGGAAGTGACGGTCCAGCTCCTGGAGAACGCCATGACGGAGGTTGTCGAGAAGGATAAGGATCACAAGGGGAAGTTCCTGATTGATGGGTTCCCGCGGAAGATGGATCAGGCTCTGAAATTTGAGGAGACGGTCTGCCCAAGCAAGTTTGTCTTGTTCTTTGATTGCCCTGAGGAGGAGATGCAAAGACGGCTTTTGGAGAGGGGGAAGACCAGTGGAAGGTCGGATGACAATGCCGAGAGTATCAAGAAGCGGTTTAAGACTTTCGTCGAGACGAGCATGCCTGTAGTGGATTATTTCGCTGGCCAGAATAGGGTAGTGAAGGTTGTGGCTACGAAGACCCCGGATGAGGTGTACAAGGAGACTCGGGAGAAACTCGAGCAGAGGTTGGGAAAGAACTTTTAGATCGAGGTATAACCGGGAGTGTAAGAATAGAGGGATGGGAAGAAAGGAAGACTGGACCTTTGTGATAACTTCAAGGTTGTAGTCATAGCACGCATGCTCAATGCGAATTTTATTATCTCACTTCATTTGGCTTCTTGATCCAGGATATCGTGTCCCAAATCATCATAGCCCTCGTTGAAAACAACCATCCCGCATCATGCCAGACGCTATGCTCCAAAGTGTACAATCATCTCTAATAACGCCGTTGCCAAAATGAACTTCTGGACATTGATGTGCTGCTGGAGCCGAAAGACTTATGGTCTTGAGCCCCTCAGTCAGTACCCATCTCAACCATGTTATCACGTCCGCCGATTCTTCGTCCACCGCCCATTCCTGAAGCACCAGCAACCTTCCTCTCAACCTCGTGCATCTCACGCTCCTTCTGCGCCTCGGCAGCTTGTCTCTCCCTGCTGATAACCTCCTTAACTGCTCTCAAGCTCTCCTTCCATTGATCAAGTCTTGTCGCGACCTCGCGCCATTGCTTCTCACCAAAGACCCGGTATGTCGTTCTGTGGACCAAAAAGACCTGCTTTTGTTGCGAAAGCTTGCCCTCGATCAAACCAGCTCTAATGACATCAATAACCCACATTTCAACGTCCTCAGCTGGGATCTGCAAGGCCTTTGCAATGCGCTTGTACTCGAGCTCTCGGCTGTTGGTGCTTGCTGCGACACTGGCGAGGGTCAATAGTCTCATCTTGCGGTGGAGTTTGCTGTTATCCAGCCCCTCCTCCTCGATCCAGCCCTCATGCTCGTCCCTAAAGTCGTTGTAGTCCTCAAGTTCTTTCTCAGCAAAAATTTCGAGCAGTTCGGAGTATATTGGGTGAGAATCGGAGAGTGCTTGGATGGTGGGAAGAGATGTCAGGTCATGGAAATCGAAGTGTGTATTAGAAAGTAGGGCGGTCTTGAGAGCGCGGAGAGAGATAGTTTGGGCTTCGGTGGAGGAGATTTCTTCGGTTTCTTTAGGGTCAAAAGTGCGGAGAGCCTTGAGAACGTATTGGTATGACTGCCTGCGGGAAATGTTAGATGTGACAATGAGCCCTTACGTTTGTCCGAACTTACTTTTCCTCGCCAGACTCCTCTGCAATATCCGCGATTTGGCAGTATAGCTTGCGCTGGTCCTCTTCATCAACCTCCCATTCTGCCAACCAGGCATCCAACTTTGTCAACTGTGGTCGAAGCATCTCGTACAAACCACTTGTCTTGACTAATCGCAAGATAGCTTGGAACACGTTGAATCGCACATCGTTATCAGGTTGCAGGAGGTTGAAGATAGTGGTGAGAACGTTGAGCGCCAGACCAGAGCCATTGATGGGGGAGGACGTGATGGGTTTTGAGAGGTTCTCGCACATGCGTGGGAGGAACATGTTGACACTGGGAGACTGAACCACAAGGTAGACCAAGAGATTGTATGCTGCGGTAAATTCCTTCTCTGGGGTACTGTTGAGCGCAGCAGACGCGGTCACCAGCTTCTTGAGGGCATCATCCTTCTTGTTCTCGTCGAGGAGGGGTTGGATTTCGGATCCAATGTGGAGGTACTCGGCCAACTCCTGGGCGAGGTCGGCGAACGACCCGTCAATAAAGACTTGCGATGTCGAGGGCGCCATCTTGTAGAGGTGATACGGAGACACAGCGAGTTGTATTGGATGGGATCTTCTCCTTGGTCATAGACATCCAGAAACCTCATTTTCGCTGTGGGAGGGACGGCCGCTAGTGTCACGCTAGGCTCTATTAGTTCGTGGTGCTTGTTTGGCAAGGGCCTCGAAGCGAGAATGAGGGGTTCTTGGAGGGGTAAATTTTGAAGGTAAATAAACCTTTAAAGTCGCACAAAACTCTTACAGCTTGAGATGGCAAGATGATATCACGATTGCCGAAATCCATAATAAAGTACCCCACGACAATGAAAAGTGCGAGGCACACATAGTGCCATCTTCCATGACTCCCCTCACTACGGTGGCAACGGCTCTCCATTCCAATGGAAATATTCTCTATAAATATGGAGGTCTTTTATGGAAAATCTTTCCATAGGAATAGAGACTCGTCACTCATGATTATGGAGAATATTTCCATAATTATAGATTTCATGCTATACAAAATGAAACATGGAAATTTCCATAAATCTATAATCATGGATAATGGAATTTTCCTCTATTTTTATATATTTAATTCTATGGATAATATTTATAGTTTCCTACTACCTACTTCCTCACCTTCAGACCTTCCCACCTTCAGACCTTCCCACCTTCAGACCTTCCCACCTTTCCACTTTCCTACCTTCGGACCTTACCTCCTTACCTACCGTGAGAGACCTACCGTGAGAGACCTACCGTGAGAGACCTACCGTGAGAGACCTACCGTGGAGAGATTAGAGAGACTTACCGTAGAGAGATCAGAGAGACCTACCGTGGAGAGACCTACTGTGGAGAGATTAGAGAGACTTACTGTGTAGAGAGATAGAAAGAAAAAGAGAGAGAGACAGATAGGAAAAAGAAGGGAGAGGGAGATAGGGGATCATGTGAAAAGATTAAAGTTTGAGTAAGTACTCCCACACGAAACACGCTTTGACAAAGATAAAGTAAAATCACTACAGTAATAGCTCCAGTTGCCACCTAGTGCCTATCCGGTCTCTATGTAGACAGTCCATTAAGTGTTGTCTTTTCATTTCCTGTTCTTGCTCTGTGTTTGTTTGTCGGTTCTCTTCACTTTATGACACTAAGATTCCTATCTAAATCCGAAAATCACATCTTGTTGTGGCTTCAAGTTGACAAGTAGGCAAGCAGAAGCTCCGAATGCAAATCATCTCAAGTGAATGGTGAGAGGGATACACCTGAGAATACAAGACGTAAGTGCTACTCTCTGTGTTTCCAATACATATCACTCTATCGTAGAGATATTTACGGTTCTCCATTGTGACAGAGACAGGTCTCATACGATGCGTTGGCTTTCACCACGGCGACACGGCAGGTACGTGATTGAAGCTGAAAGGACCTCATGTAATTCAAAATATGAGCAATAATTTTTCCCCATTTCATTGATAAGGTCCTACGTAATCTCATTTGATTTGCAGGATATTATGGAAATAGCTCTCCAGCTCCTCAACCGATCCAGCACCCAGTGTTGTTAGTGTTGCAATCCAACCATCAGGCCGCAGCACCAGGAGAGCTCCTGCCGTTACATCAATACCGTATCTCAAATGAGCTGTCTGCTTCTCGTCATAGAATACCTTTCCGAATGGCATGATTCCAAGCAACTCGAAAGCTGATGGACCACTTCGCGCCACGACCGTGAGCCAAGATACAGGTAGCGAGGCCCTACAAAGTGTTTCTGACGCACTCAAAGCTTCTGAGACGAGCTTCAGAGATGATCTAGTATGTTCTGGCTCTCCGACGAAGACAACGACATGAAATTTTGCGTTATTCGGAGTCTCTCTGTGAAGTCGTGTGGCTTCATTCGTTCCTGGCTTCGTGAGCGGAACATCAGGACCGCGTTGCCCAGGCGAAACTGGCGCTGGACTTGCCTTCGACTTGAAAGATCCTTTAATATTGATTTTGTTCGTATCGAAAGCGATGCTCAATCCCGAAGTGAAAGTCGAAGCTTCTTCCATGACAACACCCAATATCTCGTTCGGGTCAGCATTAGGATCTCCTTCCCAACTAATTGGCAATTGCATGGTCATCAACCTCGAGATATCTTTGTCATAGTTGATCAATTTCTGAACATTCGGTAGCCTCTCACTCTCATAAGTTTCCAGGAGCGAGTGTGGGGCAACACCATCAAGCACCAAGGACAGTTTCCAACCCAGGTTACAAGCATCGTGAATTCCTGCATTCATACCTTGCGCAGCTCCCGATGAGTGCGTGTGACAAGCATCTCCAGCGAGAAAAACGCAGCCTTTGGTAAGGAAACTCCGAGCAATTCTTTGCCCGACGGAATAGATAGTCCACCAATCTACTTGGTTGAACTTCAGACAGAATGGCTTCACCGAAGCAATTGCTTCAGCGACAGCAGCTTCCTCATTGAATACTGCATACGCTTTTTGACGATCTGCTGTGAAGGCAAACCCTATGCGAGTTGCTCCGTGATCCAGGGCTGCCCACAATACGTTGCCATGCGTTGGTGACTCGATGGCGCCGTAAACTCTGGACTTGGGCATATCTGTTTCAATTACGCCGTCGATTCGGACCCATTTGTCCTCGGACGTACTCCCATCGAATGGGATCTCAAGAGCTCGTCGTACAAATGACCTGCCGTCATCTGCACCAATCAAGTACTTGCACATAATAGTTGCCTCCACCCCAGTCACTCCATCTCTGGTCTTGGCCGTAATTTTGTATCCAGCTTGGGGTACTGACTCGTCCACCTTCACGTCCGCCAACTCAACAGGAGATTCTAAGCTCACTCCAAACTCTTTTAATCTTCTCCTGAAGATGTTTTCTTGATATTTCTGTCTCAATACTAGTGCAAAGTCCCATTGCGTATCTTTCATATCCTCCATGAAAGACCAGCCTCGTCCTGAAACCTCAACACCGTTTGGGTCATAGCTGACAGTTTTGCGACAGGCAAAACAGTCTTGAGCGAGCTCGTCAGCAAGACCGAGTCCGTCTAGAAGTTCACTGGATCTGGGATACAAAGTGATAGCTCTTCCGTACTGGTCTTGAGCGGACTTGGGGTGCTTCTCGATAATGGCGATTGAATGAGCATGACCGAACTTTGCTAGTTGGAATGCTGTTATCAGGCCTGAGAATATTCTTTAGCCTGAAAATCTTTCGAAGACTTGAGGCAGAACCATACATACCCACTGGTCCGCCCCCAACTATCAAAACGTCGACGTGACGAGTTTGTTTTTTGACACTTCCCATATCCGCAGATGATACTGATCTGGCGTTCAGACAAGCTGTCTTTGTTACTTGATATCAAGATCTAGTCAAAACAAGAGAAAATCAGCAAATCCGGTCTCAGGACAGGAAGACTGTTCGAAACAGAATGCGGTAGTTGTTGTAGCCTTATTCTGATTAATGGCTAACCACCAACGAGGCCAGCTAGTCCGAGTGTCCAGGCCTCCCACTCCTGGGAACTTTAAACGTCGTCATCAGTTAAATGTGATTGGTATTTTTTCGCTAACTACAAATATTATCAAGGACGCTGTTTCTGATAACGGATGTCTTATCGCTAGCCGGCCAAAGTTGTCAAGTCACATACGAACACCCCACCTTTGACTGCAGCAAGTCGGTTCGCAATGAATCTGGAAATACCAGGATAAGAAGTGCTACAATTAATTGGAGACTTAGATCGCTTCTCGAGTAGATAGCGCTCGGAGTGAAAGCTCGGATATTTTGGTCCAGCTTGGTAGCAATATCCTAAATTAAACTTGATATAAAGTATTGTTTACGTTTTCTCCTCGCCCCCCTGAATTGTTCGCTAAATTTTCCCTGACGCGAAATCATCCAGTGAGCTGCAAAACGTTCACTGGCGTGAGCCATTACTTCCAAATTCTCTACCTGATGTAGAATAAATCACTGCCAAGAATAATATGCAGATAGAGGAGCTTGTCATTTACCGTGCTCTCAAGTCTCATTTCGGTCAGGTTGCTGTTCTAGCTACTTAAAATCCTGTCTCAATGTTTGGAAAGCATCAGAAATTTTCAACGTTCCACTCTTCCTTGCTCAAACTGCCAGCCAGACAACTCGCGTCTCGCTTCAGAAATTTTCCGTAACCTTTCGTGCCAACCAAGCCACCCTCATCCTTTGCCCAGACCACTTCTCCTCTCAGAATGGTATACCGAGGCCATTGCTTGATGGTTCTTCCCTCATACGGAGTATGGTCGACGTTATGGTGTAGCTAAAACTACTGTTAGCTCATCGTTTCGAAACGTGTATCATCAAAGTTAGCTTACCATAGAATTGGTCAGTTCATATTCCTTCATTCCCTCTGGATACCAGATCGTCAAATCGGCATCACTTTCACCTGGAACTAGGCCACCTTTTCTAGGGTACAGCCCATATAGCTTCGCAGCATTTGTTGATGTCACTTCCACGAATTTTTGTAACTTCAATCGATTCGCTGACAATGCCAACGACAACCTCGTCTCAACGCCAGGACACCCATTTGGAATGTATTTGAAACGACCGTTTGGATACTCAGCACTGATAACCGACTTTTTGCCCACCTGCGTGTCTTCATACAAAAAGGGGCAGTGATCTGAACTAAGAACAGTAAAGGTTCCATTCTCAAGGCCCTGCCATATCCCTTCATGATCTTGCTCTCCTTCACGCGGTGGTGGAGAGCAGACACATTTCGCGCCTTCGAAGCCAGGTTTCTCTAAATCTTTCCTAGTGAGGAAAAGATATTGTGGGCAAGTCTCTGCATAAATTGGAAGTCCTCTCCTCTGAGCATCAGAGATGTGTTTTGCAGCTGATGGTGAGGAGACATGAACGATGAGAATCGGAACATCAATGAAGCTGCTCAGACTAATAGCTCGATAAGTGGCTTCGATTTCCGCGACTGGCGGATGACTTGTAACGTGGTACTTAGGATCGAACAGCTTCTTCTCTTCCAGTTTCTTGATCGTCCAATCGATGATGGCTCCATTCTCGGCATGTATCATGGTGACAATTTTCTGCTTCCGTGCTTCAAACAAGACATCCAAAATCTCAGAATCTCTCAACTGCAAAGCTTCATAGGTCATGTAGATCTTAAGTGATGAGATACCAGCTTCTCTGAGAGCGGCAAACTCTGAAATAGCTTGCGGACCTGCATTGGAGCAGATGAGGTGGAATGAGTAGTCGCTGTAGCACTTATCTTTGGCAAGTTCATGAGTTGCTGCTAAGGCTGCCAGAAGAGACGGCTCTGTCTTCCTTTGGGGAGCAAATGTGATCAGAGTTGTGGTTCCGCCAGCAATCGCTGACCTGCTACCTGTATATTTGTAAGTAACATAATTGAAATTACAACTTTTTTATGCTGAAAATACCTGACTCGTAGTCATCTGCAGACTTCCCTTTGCCAAACAGTGCTGGCTCAGCCAGATGTCTGTTTCGAATTAATTTCAGATAGGAGGAGCTATTGGTACAGCAGCTCACACATGGGCATCAACTCCACCCGGCTGTAGAAAAATCAGCCAGTTTCTCAAACACATTTGATAGTCTCCCTACCATTACCATCCCTCCTTGCGCATCAATCGTCTTTTTGGCAATGACACCAGCCAGGGTCCCTTGTGGTACAACTTTTGTAATCCTTCCATATTTGATAGCAATATCAAATTGCCCAGTCTCATCCGCTGTAACCACAAGTCCATTTAGAACGAGTAAATCGTATTCGGCCATACTTTATTGGGTCGAATAACAAAAACCAGAAACTGATGACAATGAGCGAGTGTGTTTCAAATCTAACGTTTCCTACAACCCAGTCAAGAAAAGGAACTTATGAGTAGCCAGAGGCAAAGAACAATCATCTGGAGTGCATATTGCCTCCCCACCTTTGCAAGTCGTCGGCCATCATCGTCTGCCCGTCCCTAATATTCCTTATCTCGATGATGACACACCCACGTTTCTCTAAAGTGGGCAGGTCTTGCGTGGAGTTTAAGCGAGGTCGCCCCTTTTCGCAGAGTTTGAAGTTTGTGTATGGCAAATCGATTGGGTGAACTAACAATACCAGAATTAAGTTGATCATAATGTTTCAATCTACTTGTGAGTTATATCTTCATCTCAAATCCGACGAATCAGTCGAGTATTTGGATATTGAACGCCTCTTTTGCCTTAAGAGAGTCGGCAACATATAGCCTTGGGCCGAGGACGAAAGTGAGAATTCATGTCACAGAGTATAGTTTCAGTAAAAATATTGATGTCAACCAGTTATATCTACAAGATTTTGAAGACATCGTATCTGGCATCGGCAGATTCTCCTGACGAAACGAAATTTTCCCCTGAAGACAAAAGTTATTGTCATCGTGGCTGAGGCTATGTCACTCTCAACTCGAGACTTCTCTGAATAAGCTGGTGTATCTTTATGTTTGCCAATTTTGTAGTTGCACTTGATCCCAGTTTTTGCTTCGAATATTTGATTCGAATATTTGATTCGAGTAATCGATGCAGAGATGCACAGGTCGTCGGCGATCTCTTCAATTTGAATCGGTGGGTAAAAAATTTACAATAAAAAAATTGTGATGTAAAGCTTGAGAGAATGCAAACACTGACTTTCAAGCAAGAACCATATGCATCATTTATTGTGATAGACTTGGAGGAAAAGTGCAGAGCCCGGAGTTGGCAAATTTTCCCTGGGAGGCAACACTTCAAAGTCCAAAGTAACCATCCCCCCTCCTTACATAGGTTTTAATCTCGCACCACCTCAGCCACTAGTCTCAAGCAACCAAATATTTCCTCCTTCCCTGACTATCACAAGCCAAAAACCTCCACTGTCGCCCATTCCAAAGCGGAATCAACACCTTCATAATCCACCTCACAATGGATGGTATTTCAGGATGATTCCTCCACATTCCTCCTTCGAATTCCACTGTTTCCATGTTATTCATGAAAATAGGTAAGACATTGAATGCAAAGTCAAGAGTCACAGCTTTCTTCCCTTCTTCATGCTCGATCTTCAAGAGATCGAATTGTCGCTCAGGAGAAGCAAAGCGGGAGAGTGCAAGGATGGCTTGAGGCTCTGAGGCGAGATGCGAGTAGAGGGGTTGCGAGAATGTGTCCATGATCGAGAGGAGCTTGATTGGTCTGAAATCAGTGGGCATTTTGAGTGACGTGAGGTAGTTTTTGAAAGACTTCAGTCCCTCATGGAAGGATGCTGGGCAAGTACTGCGTCAGAAGAGCACTGGTGCATACAAAAAGTTCAAGTGGGGAGACTTACAATGCTCCTTTGCTTCGCTATCCATGATACCTTTCTGATCTGTTACCCTTTCGATCGCTGGAAAATAATGCACTTCTTCGTGCGTATGATGCTGCTCTACATCTATGCCAGGCAAGGCAGTATCCAATGAAGTCATGATAATCTGATGGGGACAGTCTGGGGGCCTGTTGGTAGATGCTATTGTAACCCCTGATGAGGGCATTGTGGCTCAACGTCATATGTGAGGCTGCCATAGTAAAGCTGTCTTTCTAAAGATCATTAACTGATGTGTTTGCTAGAGAGAATCTCATATGGAGTACCTTCCCCGTCTCAAATGCGGGAGTTGTAAGAAGCTCGAGAGGTGTATCGGCGTACAACGGCAGAGAGCCATGGTTACTCGAAGCCATATTCGAATGTTCACACTTCTGTTTCTCGAAAACCTGGTACAATAGCTTTCACCACGAAAGCTTGGTAATTGGATACTTATAGCTTAGGAGTCGACTGAGGAATGAGGCATACGATGAAAGTAAGCGTGTCAGACCTTAGGACGCTGCTAGTCCAATCGGGCAAGCTTCGCCGCGAGTGAACAGTGACTAGCACAAGCCAGCTAATCTGATCGAAAAACAGACCTAGTCCTGCGCTCTAAGAAAGAATCGAAAAATGAAACATCAATATTCAAAAAGACATAGAACCAATGACATTGCAGGCATCTTTAAGTTCTGTGCTACTTGGATCCATTCTATGAGGCTCAATCAACTTCATTATCAATTTACGCAGGCTCGTCAACAACGCTGAAGTTCTTCATTGCCTTGTCCAGTGCACGCGGATTCCTGGGCACGAACTTCGCCTTGTATCTATGTGGCATGGCCACCAGGCTTGTGGGATCCGAGTTTCCAAATACGGGATGGGTATCGATATCATCAAACTTTCGAATCTCAAACGAATTGAGCATCCGAATGAACACAAGGTAGAGCTCTCGGTTCGCAAGCAAGGAGCCCGCACACATGCGGTATCCGATGCCGTACGTAAACATTGGGGCGTCTGGGACCTCCAGCCATCTTTCTGGACGGAACTCGTCTGGGTCGGACCAGACCGCTTCGTCTGCATGCTGTTAGCATATTGTTTACTGGTACACCAAATGTTTCACGTACCTCTATTGCAAGCGAAGGCATTGATGAAGTATACTGTTCCTTTTGGGATGACCACACCCTCGTAGGTGACATCCTTTATCGAGGCACGAGGAAGTGCTAGCCGAAGAACGGTAAAATATCTAGATTTCGTCAGTACTGCTAAAGTCGTTGGCAACTTTCAGACTTACCTGAGACATTCCCGTACAAGTGCCGCGATATATGCACATTTCTGATCATCCAATGGATCACAAAGTGGCTCCTCATCCGAATAGAACTCGGAAATCTCTTTCCAAGCCTTCTCCTGAATATCTGGTCGCTGCGCCAGTAACGCAATACTCCATTGGAGCAACGTTGTTACCGTGTCTAAACCTCCTGAAAGCATGGTCAAACTGATGGACGTGAGCTCCTCGCTGTTGAGCTTTGCCTCCTTGTCCAAAATAACATTCGCCTGAATGCACGGCTGGTGCGTTCCCTTCTCCATTCTGTCTTCCAAACCCTTATTCAATGCCTTTAGGTAAACATCGCGACGGTCTCTCATCTCTCCAGCTTTCTTCGAACCGAAACCGAATGGATTCAGTCGCAGGAGTGGGACATAATCTTGTAGATTGCCCGTTGTGCTTCGGAATCTGCTGATCTCATCCTCAACATGGGTGATCTCGTCGAATAGAGCGTTATCCTGTGTGTCCATACGGATGCCCCAGTTCAAAGTCAGAGCCAGTGACAAGGACAGTCTTTGGATCATTGGCATTGGGTCAACAGCTTTCTCCCCCGATCTTCCATATCTCAATAATTCAGACACAAAGTCTTTGCTTTCCAAGTCCAAGTGTGGAATGTATGTCTGAATTGAGGGACGGTTAAGAGCTGAAGCTGCGCCCTTTCTTCGGCGCTTCAAAGAGTCGCTGTATGGAGAAGTTCCAATGGTAGTTCCCGCAGTATTTGACAAAACCTATTCTTTATTAGCGAGATCCGACGACTGGGAAGACGAAAAGGCATACCTTATGGAAAGTGTAGAACTCAGGCCTACTAGAAAGAGCTTGAGCATTCTGTCCAAACAACACTTTCGCAGACGCTGCAGTGTTCACTACCACAACCGGAATATTGCCCAATTGTATCTGGTAGACAGCTCCATGAGCACGAGACCATTGTCGGTATTTCTCAGCTGCATTTGTTCGAATCTGCCACAGGTTTCCTATCAAAGGCAGGCCAGTTGGTCCACCGAGCCCAGGAACTCTCGCTTGCTTCCGAACGACTTCGTTGGCTAGGATATAGATTATGGGAACGAATATGGCAATACATGCTAATGATTGGAATGGGTTCTCGGACGCAGCGGTCCCAGTGGCACGGAGCAGGTCGAGGATAGCCATATCGTTTAGTTCTCGTGTCCGAGGCAAGGGGAACAAGTTGCTGGAGAGGGAATTGCAGAAGAAATCACGGTCTTAATAATATCATCAAAAATTTGAGAAGTAATGAAATAACCAACCTCTTCAGGCCCGGAATCCATCACGGAATTGATTTTGATAAAAGTCAGGCTGTAAGCCAGAAAAAGTATTGGTTGCAGAAAGGCGGGGGAATTGCGGGGGTGGAATTCCAGGGCCATTCCGGGGGCGGCTTTCTTCCGCAGCAGCTGTTTCCGAGCTCAAGATCGAGCCAGCCTCGAGGTAAAGTTAAGAAAGAGGATTATAACTGACGAAGATGGCCAGAGATGGGGAACATGTATTCTGGGAGCCAAAGAAGCTGAAGATGTAGTGCAAGCTGAAGCAAAGGCTATAATGTAACCGCTCAAATTGCCACAGCTACAATACGACTGATCTGGAAATTATAGTGACGCTCATCTGATACAGATAGATCATGATATGTAACCTTGCTTTACTTTCTCATCGTACCGGAGAACAGCCTGCAACAAGATTTGAGCTCCCAAGGCACAGTCTTCAGGACTCGTGTACTCCGCTGGATTGTGACTGACTCCATCTTTTGAGGGGACGAAGATCATCGTTGTCTTCACAACTTTGCTCGTCCACGCAGCATCATGACCCGCTCCACTCTTCATATCCATAATCTGCGAAGGTCCAACTTCGTCAATAGCAGCCGAGCGTACAGCACCAATACAATCTTCATGGAAGATAGATTCAGGAAGACCCCACGTTCGAACAACTTCATATCTGGTGCTGTTGCCTTCTTTCTGTATTACCTCATCGAACCCCTTGAAGATTGCTGTGCAAAGGTCGTCGACCATCTTGTCAGTTGAGCAACGAACGTCGATTATAAATTCCACTCCTGAAGGTATCGTAGCCTGGCTTTGTGTATCGTTCGAGATTACACCGACAGTCGCAACTCCGAGTTCCGTTGACTTAGCGGTCTCACTGACTGCCGTTATCATCCTTGAAGCTGTGACAAGAGCATCTGAACGACCATTCATTGGAGTTGTCCCAGAATGTCCTTCTACGCCTGACACCCTGACAGCGAACCACTTCATTCCCTGGACTGCAGTCACTACACCGATTTTCTTGTTGGCATTCTCGAGCTTGGGCCCTTGCTCGATTTGTAATTCAAAGTAGCTCTCTAATCCATTCTCACGGTAGTCACAGAGTGTTTCGCCTAAATATCCCGTATCTTGCAATGCCTTCTTCATCGATATGCCCTCAGTATCCTTGACAGCGTAGCAACCCTCCAGTCCCGTAGACGACTTTGTAGACCAAACTCCAGAGCACATCATTGCCCCTGGAAAGCGCGCTCCTTCTTCATTCGTCCAGTCGATCAGCGCAATCGGACAGTATGTTTCGATCTTGTTTTCTTCCAAAGTTCGGAGCACCTCTAGGGCTGACTGTACACCAAGGATTCCATCGTATCTTCCTCCTGCACCTCAGTTAGCGTCGACCTGTCTCTCTGAAGAAACCAAACATACCAGCCGGCTGAGTATCTAAGTGGCTACCCATGCCGATTGGCTTATGGTCTTTCGAGGCGCCCGCTCGAGTCGCGAATATATTTCCCATCTGGTCGACCTTCACATTGCAACCCAGCGATTTGCACTCCTGCACAAGCCAGTCTCTAACATCTTTATCTTCCTGACTCAATGCGAGCCGGCGCATGCCCGTGGAGTTTGATAAAGCTCCCCATGACGTACAGGTGGACTGCAAGGTGCTGTCAAGCCGGTCACTGTTGATTCGGATGTTGTTGTGAGAAGCCATTGGGAGTCGTCGTTCGAATGACAAATGCAGAGGCAGCGTTCAATCTAAAGAGAAACAGGAAGAGCTAATGGCAAGATGCCATTGGGTCATCTTGAAGGGAGCCATTTTCCCGCTGTTGCGATAAGAGTTTCTTGCGGAGAGTGGGATGTCACTCTAAGCATATTGATTCCTTGGGATGTCAAAGACGCCCCAGGATTTCGCCAAGAGGACCCTAACCACAAGCATGGTTACATTTCCATTATCATGTGTACGAAATCCCAAAACCCGATATAGAGTCCAATGAAGTCAAGCCAGTCGAGGTCGTTGGCCCTCGAAGTATTTCAATTGTTTCATTTGGAATTCTCTGCAAATTTGTCATGACATCGGGACGATTTAACTCCCGTTGATCAAATTCATGACAAGAAGCAAACGGCGCAATTAGGTAATTTACGTTTTCAGATCCATCGAGAGACCTTCATAAATAAAACGTTCGGTTATCATCTCCTGATCTCCTCAAGTCATTACAAAGTCTTTCTTATTCCTTCGATCCAGATTCTCAGCTCCCATCATGAAGTACACCCAGAAACAAGTCGACGCCTACCTCGCCCGGATATCTTTCCCTGCAGGGAAATGCGAACCCATGAACCCAGAGACGATCCGTTCAGCAGACCGCTTCGCTGTTGATGAGTTCTAGAGTGACACTGGTGTCAAGGGATGCATAATCGTTAAAAGTTTTAACCTCGCCGTTGATCAATAACGGAGCTGTCACAATTCTCTTCAAGCCAAAAGGGCTTCGTACTAACAACATGTTTGGTTTCAACTCCCGTTCAAGGGCTGAAGGTGTGTCTCCTTGCTTGTAGTACGCATATAATCAAGCACATTATTATGGGAAATACCTAAAAACACAGACTATTGAGCGGGGGACTGAAGGGTCCATCAATACCACCTCGCAGGGAACTCAAACGAGGGCTCCGCAAAAGCCTACCTTAACATCCCACTCTGGTGGCTTGCAACTGCAGCTTTCCCTGCAGCCATTATTATTACGATAACGTGAGGAGGGGGGCAGAGGGGAATATGGAGTCACATGACCATGAGTATCGTTGAGCATTTTTGAGTGTTGAGGGTGCTGGACTTTCAATCCTGGGGCTGTTCTTGAAAGCTACGGCAAGATTCGAGACTTTGATCTAGACTATCAGATTTATGCACTCTTGTCACAAATCCGAGTCATGTCACCGACATCTCAGTGTTCTCTTCTCTGCTCTGCTCTGCTCTGTTGCATCCGATCGGCGCCTTGGGCAAGCGATGAATGCCACCCTTTCTTGAGCGTCGCGATGATTCGTCAATGCAACAACCACTCTACGCGACTTGACACGTCCACGCGTCGCGTCGCGTCGCGTCGCGCAGCAGAGGTAAGGCAAGGCAATCTTACCAGACTCCTCCCATGATCAGGAAAACTGGCCATTCACATATCATGCCCCCGACACACCCTCTGTTGGATGACTCGCAGGCAAGTCGGCCTTTTCATCCTTTGCACATTTTCCTCGTTGCGCCTCAGACGCGGAGCTTCCGCCCTGCATCAGGTCTACACTGCCCTGCATGAGGGGTGGAGATATCTTCAAGGGAGCGCGATAAGATACTGAAAGTGAGCTGCTGTCTCAGAGCAAAGCGACTTCGACGGCGCTTTGCGTCACGCTCGAAGCCTGTGAAGTCAATGTTGACAATCCCAATTAGAGGAATCAAGGGAAAATCAAGGCAGCAGAGCATTTCATCGAGATCTTGACGTCGCAAGACGCGCCGAGAGCGTGTATAGTGGTTTTCTCTTGCCATGGCATAATGTTGCTAACAGTCGATGACGACGAAGGATGGGATCCAAATCGAAGACTTACATTCACGATCGAGATTCTGTCCCTCACAAGCAACGGCTAAGGGAAGTAGTCCCATCCCAGGGCTACTATAGGGCGAGGAAGTCTGCTTCTCTCCCGTAAGGTTGCGATAGTGCCCGTCGGCAGCATGGAGGAAAGTCTCCTTACAGAGCTAGAATAGCTAGGAATAGGACTATTTGACTTCAGATGACATCGAAAAGCCCTAGCCGTCGGCCGGCCTTGAGACCATTGAGCGTGATGGGAGAAGCCATATCATGGATCTGGGAAGGGCGGGTGATAGGATAGGTTGGACGAGGGAGACGAGCGAAATGCTGCACTCTCTGTGGCGGGATCAAGGAGGATTTCACACAAATCTAACACACAAGAAGGAAGGACACGATCAGGCTAGGTAGCATTGTATCCAGCACTAAGCTAAGGTAGAGCAGCGCAGAGCAGCGTAGAGCAGATACCTTACTGAGGGAGAGAAGGAGGGAGGGCTGTAACTGTTCCACAATTCCACGATTGCTACCCTCCCCCTCCCCTCTCCCTGTCGCCGGGCCATCACGAGGCCCCCCAGTGGCCAGTGGTGGTGGGTGCAGGGGTGCGAGGAGGATTAGCCAGCCCATGTTAATACTTAACAGCTGTGCCCACTTCAACGGCCGGCCGCTCTTCTCCCATCTACATCAAGGTACACGCAGGACCTGCATTGACAACCATCAACTTATAACTACAACCCACCACATCGTCGCAGACAGATAACATTAAATATCGCGATTCTCGTCGACGCAAATTTCATATCTGCGCAACTTTCAGGACTTGATCGCGACGTTGCGGAGCTCCGAAGTCTCCCGGCGCATCGATTGCGCTTCACCAATTCCTCATCGCATCGAATCTCTCAGCCTTCAACATTCGACAACAACACCACAACGTTTCCTCTCGCATCAAGAAAAATGTTACTCCCATCAGCGATAGGTTGCGACTCCTCTCTCCAAACGCCAAAGACTAGATACCAATCCGCACTCTTCGCATCACCACCGCTCTCACCACCGCTATCCTCCTCTCGCCCTACAACAATCAACAACATCTACTCAACATGCCGCGCCCTACAGTCCATGCTCTCGCCTCCAAATCAACTTCCCTCTCCACCAACCACACACGCAGATCCTCCTTCCTTACCATTCAAGCTAAGACTGCGTGAGCGCAAAGGCGCCGAGGACTCGACAGCCGGGTTCACACCCAGGAAGAAGATCGCGAAGCGCACGATCACTGCTCCACCGCGCGGTATCAACAAGAGGAGGAGATCTCAGGACGACGAGATGTCTCGTCATGATGTCGATGAGGAGGAGAGTGAGGAGGATGAACTGCCCATGGACCCGACAAACCGACCCAGTACACCTAAACGGATGCGCTTCGCGCCAGAAATCATACCTCTTGGCCTCGAGCGCTCTGATTTCCACGACTTGCGTTTAGCGGAAGTTGAAGCCCAGAGCCAAGGCGAGACTGTACTTCAAAGTATAGAAGGATCCGGATTCAAGAGCGAATGGTCGACAGAAGAAGATCGCCTACTTGTTGAGCTTGTTCTTGAGAAGCTGAAGTTGACCAAGAGCGATTGGCAGGATTGCGCGCGGAGTCTGGGAAAGGATAGGGGAAGCGTGGGGAGGAGGTGGAAGAGTTTGATGGGTGCTGGGGATGTTGGACTGAAGCATAGGCCGAGGAGGGCGGGGATTCACGGAACGTGGAGATGAGACGACTTTCAGTTCTTTCTTGTTCGATTTTGGCTCCCTCTACGGGATTTGCTGTTACAAGCAGGCTTTCTTTATTGCAATTGCATATGCATTTTAGGGCTATCTAGGGCAGGTTGATACACTGCGGCGTTTGGTCAGATACAGGTGTTGTCTGCTGGTTTGGGCTTTTATTGGGTTGAGATTGGTCTGTTTTCGAATTGGTATTTTGGTTGGGCTGGATTGGATTTACAGTATTCTTCATTCTTTCCGCAATTGCTTGCAATCGTTGTGATATCCAAATATGACGCAGAAGGCGCTCTGATACTACTATCTGTTATTATCTTTATATCTATAATATACTCCCACTATCTATATCAACATCTCTCTAAGCCCTTCGATACGTCTGCGTCAAAGTGTGCTGACCAATAGCCCGCTTTTACAAAGATGATGTGCATGGTGGCTGCCACGCCTCATCCGCTACAGTAACTTTCTCATACGAATAGTGTGCTCAGATACTCAATTCGACACGACACGTCACATTTCCTCTGTTAACTTAAATTTCAAATCTAGGATGTGCCTCCTTGCTTGCCGTTCTCCATGTCTCTCATAGCGTCAGACCTGATCCAAGCTTACTTGCCCCTCGCTTGGAACATGGTTCCACCATGGAGCTCGATTAATCAGATACCAATTGCCCCTCGATCCATATCAAGCCACACATATACCTACATTGCACCAGCACCCAAAAAGGCCTTCCAAGGGATACCTTTCAAATTTTCCGAGCCTTACGTTGGCGCCCAACGCCCCTCCATAACCCCCAAGTATCCACTCGCTCCATAATAGTAAACAAATACAGTACATTATCATCTAATCGATAGATGGCATCCAACCCCCTCACACCAAATCCCAACTTGACTTTGCAGTCCTCGGTCTCTCCACGCTCTTCAGTGAACCACCATCACTCTCCAGATCTTCATGATTCTCAACACGAGAAATCTCAACCGTCTGCTCTATTTTGATCCCTCCCATCTTTGAGCTCTCGCTCTTCTTCCTCTCATCCTGGCTTCTGCTATTATTGTGACTGTCACTATCCTTGACGTTTTCTCTTGAATCGCCAAATGGACTGCGGAAGGTGTCTATCGTGTCGGAACGGAGGTAGATGATTTCGTTGTCTGGGGGCGAGGATGAAGATGAGGAGGAGAAGGGAAATTGGAATCGTGATTGTGAAAGGGAGTGAGAGTGAGATGTTGAATGGATCTGTGCGTGGTATTGTGTGTGGGATTGAGTTCTGGATTGTGATGAAATTTTCGAGCTGTTGATACCGCCGAGTTGTTGGTGATCTAGATTTATCATGTGGCTGTCTCGATGGTGCGTATTGCGTGTTGGTCGAGAGCGGAGGGTGGAGAGATTATAGAATTTGCGGAAGAGAGGACGGAGTGTTGCGCCTCCTGCGGCGCAGAGCCCGAGACCGGGTTCTACGGTAGACCATATTGCTACGTCGCTGGAAATGAGATCAGTGATAGAAGTGTTAATGATACGGTAGGTTTACAAACGGAGGGTACTTACGTTGTGGCGAAGAGGAAGTCCTCGGTAAGTGCTAGGACTTTGATGTATGGGACGCGAATCATGGTAGCTACTCCTGCTCTGTGCATGTGTTAATCGTGAGTAGATATACCAGGGACTAAACAACACTGACAGCAATCCCAACGACATCAAAATCCCAACTGAAACCTTCGTCCTAGTATTCATCTTCAAATCCCAAATCAACGCTATCGGAAGTAACCCCAAGATCCAGTCCGCTGTAAACGCCACGGCCGAATGAGCAATACTTGCATTCGGTACCACCGCCGGATTAATGCAAGACCCTTTCTTCCCTTCGAACTGTCCCCAGAAGTAACTCGTTGGATGGCACTGAAAGATGACGAGGAAAAAGTAGAAGATGGTGAAGGCGATCATAGCTGCTGAGGTGATGTATACGATGTTTTTGTGTAGAGGCTTGACGCAGATCCGGAGTAGGAAGACTGCGATTGAAAGTCTGATGAACAGCGTTGTAATGGCGTAGAATATCTCGCAGAGAAACCAGTAGTATAGAGCTTTGGGGATGTCATTTGGCGGTATGTCTGTTGCATGGCGACCAGTACCATAGTTTACACCTGTCGCTGAACAGGCGCAGTAGGTTGTAAAGAATATCTATGTGGTATGATCAGTCTCGCTCTCGTGACAGAGGTTCAAGGGAATGCGGAGTTTACTCCGTGGACTCGTAGATAAGAGAATCCTACCAAAGAAAGAACGAGCAGGATATCATCACTTCCCCAGCTCTTACTCAAGAATGTCTTAACATAGACTCGAAGAAGTACAAATACCAAGCTCAGGCCTAAGAACAGACCCAAGACAGCGGCTTCATGGCACACTACACTCAGCATTGACTCTACACATCATCAATCGAGGAGCAACTCACCCAGTTCAGGACCTCTATCTTCAGCCATGTTTCTCGAGTTTCCAAGAACCCAGAAACGTTGTGTAAAGGAAAGAAGAGACACCACACCCAAATCACGACAGCGCACACGACTGATGACCACAGACAATCCGGGGAAGCTCTTTTCTTTTTCAACATGGGAATAAAGCAGAGAATAAGATTTTCAGATCCGCCCATCCCGCAGCCATGCAGCCACTTTCAGATCTCCTCTATGACACGCAGGAACCGAGGAACGGTACATCCTACCGTCCAGTCGGTTGACCAAGCCATCGGGAGCTAGAAGTCTGGTTTGTCTTCTTCTGCAGTTGTTCGCCTCTGAGAGGTTGAAGCTCTCGGATCTGAAGCGTGCGACGGCAGAGATGGGAAGATGGCGCGGTTTAGTGTGTTGAATGGGGGAAGGGGATTGGTGGGCTTGGTAGAGTTGACACATGTTGTTCGGCTTCCGTGCATAGTGCTGTCAGACCCATGAATGATGCTTTACTGGAGAGAGCATAGATCGGCGAATGAATTCTCCTTTGGTGGATAGTTTGCGACTTCTGAAGAACATAGTCAGGAACAGAGGGAAAAGCGTCCACTATCCAATCCACTTTCCGCTTTCTGTATTCCGTGAAAAAGCGAGTTGAAAAAGGAGATCAAGTTGCTTTGCCACTTGATATAATCTTCTCAGCCAGAACACGTTGAGACAGGGTAATCGCAACTGCTTCTAATATGAAATTGTTCGGATTTTGCTCGCTTCACAGGACGTTATACTGCAGATTGAGCATCAGATCCTCTTGAGCAGCTCACCGAATATTGGAATAGATAGAAGCCACTTCTTCCATCATTGATCGTCGAATCAGACCCAATACCCAACAATAACCTTGCTCTATACCCTTTTCAAACTTCTCGTCGACGTCAACCTTTCATGTGGAGATTTGTACTTCCAAATCCGAGATTTTTGTTTAGGCAAACAACAGTATTCCATCTGTGAAAACCTAACTTTGAATCCATTCTCTTGAGTATCTCTGTGCCTTTCTTTGGTGGAGAAGCAGAGGACAAACATAGGGAAAGGGATGCGCTCGAAGAACAGGTCTCATCTTTTCAGATGAAGGAGACAGAGAGCCATATGAGCAGTCCCAAACTAGAGTCTCAGGAAGGCTCTTCAGCAGAGAGAGAGCATGGAGACTCTTGGCCATCAGAATAGCCGTCTAACCCTTCCTGGGAAGCTCTGAACGGCCGGCAAGGCCCCAAGTTCTTCTCATACCTGTGCAGGAGGGACTTTACCCAGAAGACAGAACACCTTGACGGAACAGAATCAAGGAACGACATCCAGCAGTGGTACCTCTCACCTAGCAGCTAAACAACCGTGCCATCAAACCCAATTGAAGCACTCGACCCTCGTTCTGCCACCGAACTTCAAGCTTCAGCTGCAAAGAACGACTTTTCCGTAAAGCCACGATCTCCGGATCTGCACTTCCCGGTGAGTAAGTATCAAGCTTCCAAACTTCCAAACTTCCAACCCACACAGGAGGTTGCGAGAGACTTTCGGGTGGCTGTTTCATCACGTGGAGGCCTAATGTCAACGACGCAACTTCTGCTACCTACTTAACATCCTTATCTTTCCCCCGCGCTCCGCTCGGATTCAACACCATCTAGAATACGAGGATATGAAACCTGGGGCTCTAGGTCCAGGAATTACCTCCGTTAGACGCCAAGGGGGCGGTTCCCCAGCCAGAAGTCCCCAAGAAGAAACCTGAAACGGGCCGTCACCGCTGGTTGATAGTCTTGGCATCTTGAAACTCTAAACTTATTGTGCACGGAGGTCAGGGTCGCTTGATGTTGCACCGACCTCAGCCAGAGCTTAGCTCGTGTTGGAAAGTTCGTGATGTTTGGTTAGGTGGAATTTAGTGAGTGAGGTGAGCTTTGGAGGGTGAGATTCAACAGAGGGCCAGAGAGGTTACTCGCCCTGCTTGTACCAAGGTACCTGGGTGTCATTGAAGTCATCGATTTCGTGGTATCTTACGCCGCAACGTCTAGTATTACATTTGTATGTCCACCGGGTCTTCTCTTCTAGCCCGCATCATTAACCCCGTCATTACCATCTTCCATTTTGAAAAGCAGAAAGAATTCTTATTAACACCCCGAAACATCTTGTAGCCCATTACAACCCCACCATACCATTTACAACATGAAAAAGAGTCCGAAGACAGCTGTCAGAGACAGCATAGATGCGGCACCTGCATTGGCACCTCCGGTGAACTCGACTGGTGGACCAGACGAGGTTGGTGTGGCACTTGTCGAGGGAACAGTGCTTGGAAGAGTCGTGGGCATGGTGGTTGGGTATGGAGGCACAGTTGCTGTGTCGTTCGAGCCGACGAGCGTGAAATTGGCGCATGTGATACGCGTCTTGTTGGCGAAGTGAATGACGAATGAGCGGTTGCCGAAGAAGGCGCCAATGCCCGGGAGTGTAGATGCGAAATCATCAGTGTAGGTAGCTTCGAAGGGGTCAGATGCAATGTTTCCATATTTCCCGGAGAGGTCACCGGTTTGGCAGGCTTGTGGGAGCTGTGCGTCGCAAGCGGGTGCCTCGCCGCGGATGTAAGGGTCCGCATGAGCAAGAGTCTTGGAGCAGTTTCCATCAGCGGGGACAGGAGCATCGTGAATGTGGTAGACTGCTTCCCTGTTAGCCAAAGTATGTATGATGAATAGTGGCTGAGAACGTACGGAATGGACCCCCTGTGGTTGGTAAATTCTCAAACTTGACCGCAAACTTCACGCCAATGCCATTGGGATTTGCGGCAGCAGAGATGGATCCTTTAACGTTGCCCTTTGGGTTTGTTGGATTGAAGAATGGCTTCTCGGGAAGGGTAGCTGTGTAGATCACTCCGACTGGGTTGTTCTCAACAACGGTCGCATTCCCGCGAATGCCAGTGATGGGCTCAGTGGTGGACTGGGCGTTGGTAAAGGCGAGTAGTACAGTCGAGAAGACCGCGACGATGGAGGAGGTGTACATCTCGAAGTACTCTTGTTTGTTTATCTGAAGGAATGGACGGTGACACTCTGTATGCTAGTTAGCTATGCGCATCCCAAAGCAGCTGAGGTGTGGGAGCTTACCTTCCAACAGAAGACGAAGATGAGAGAGTATGAGAAGGTTGTAGAGATTCAAGAGTCGCAGTGTGGAGGGTTATGCTTCCTCTTAAACGAGCGTTGGGGGTGAGGAATCCAACGGAGGGATAATTTCGGTAAAGGTGAAGGGAGTTAAATAGTCGTGCCAACGGGTATTTCAACACGTAACCACTCACACGCATTCTCAATCTGCGGGACGCCGTCATAATATATTGAAATTCGAACGAACGAACGATCCTTCCACCTTACCTTGCCTTGCCTTAGGTGCAGTCACACTCACACTCACACTCGCACTCACACTCACACACATATGCAGGGAACCTTGCAGCAAGCACTGACTTAGTTGGTTACCTGCGTGGGATGGGCAGGCACGACTGCGCCCTTTCTGCCCAGTAACTTTCCAGTATGAACACCATCCATCTCGGAGATCTGAGTCCAACCGTCCGTCTGTTCCATTCTCTTGGAAACATTCGAACAAATAATCCGAGGGGCAGGGGCAGGGGCAGACAGGCAAGCACGGCTAGCTTGGGTGACAGCGAGCTTGGGCACCCAGCACGGTCTTTCTCTCGTCAACATACGCCTTACCTTACCCAGTTGCACATCATCTCACGCAGGGTTGCGCCTAGATGTTTCGAGGAACGCAGGCACAGGCCGCCTCCGTGGACGGCCAACAGTTGACAAGTTGTTCACATTTGTTTGATGTTTCAGCCTAAGCTGCGAGCTTACTCGTCACAGCTGTTAAGCGGTCGCCGAGCATTGCTGACAGGCGAAGCGCCGTGTTCGTACAAGCTTGGCGCCTGTCTCCTTGCCTTCTTCTTTGTTTTTCTCTTACTGAAGGGCTTATGAAGGTCGTTGGCGGTGGTTGGGAAAGGCATGGCATCCCATGGCCGAGAAAATATAACTTTGCAAGTTTGCACGCCATTATTATTGTGTGACGGCTGAATGGGCCTTGTCAGACCGATGTAGGACGGCGGTTGGAGGTTGGAATAGAGCGTCCGGAGTGGCTGGTAGTCGATACCAAGCTTTTTGTTCCGCAACGAACCCCTGAAAGACTTTTAAGCGAGCCCCTGATCCCCGAAACACAATGGTCAACTCATCCGGATCTAGACACGAGAGGGGATGGGGATGCTTGTCGCGAATACAACCTAGACGCTCTGATCTGGGAGGGACGTGGGTGATTCAAAAATCAGCGACCCACCTGACCGCATTTCCCCAATATTGCCGCCATGGATTCCTTTTACAGCCGACGAGTTTCAAACATCTCGTTCGGGAGCTGACATGTACTGGTAATAGCGTTAAGTGAAAGCGAGTTTGTATGGACTGCCAAGGTTATTGATATCCTGGGCATATTTGGAGTTCATCAATACCAATCATTGGAGCACGAAACCCGAGATCTGCTTAAATTACTACGATGGTTTCTTTCCGTGTCCTCGTTCGTCAGAACCATGGAGATACTTTTTTCCTGCCTTACGGGCTGATGAAGTGCCGGGAGAGTATGTGGCGTCGGTTGTTCAGTGTCCGAATATCTGTGGTTTCACACCAAAGTACTTTCGTGGCTTTAGACAACCTGCAGAAAATACGGAACGAGCAACAGGTTCCGTGCTCGGACTAGCCAAGCTCCTGTCAGTCGTGCAGGGAGCTGATTCTTCGAGGAAAAGTAGTGGTCGTATGGAGATGGGAAAGCTTATCTGGTTAGGCTGCCACCAGAAATTCTGTTCGTCGACCATAGCGTAGACTTAAGAAACCGAAAAGCTTCAAAGATACTAGACCAAGGTCAAATGTTGGCCAGCTAGGATTGGGACGGTGAGTTTGGTCTTGGTCTAGGCAACGAGAATCTCGGAAACTTTGCCGTAGCGTTGCATGTACGTGCTTTTCAATACGTGCAGTATGATATTGATTCACATCAATACCTGCAAATAGGCACCCTTCTAGGTTAAACCAAATACCATAAAGACCCACTCTACTTTCCCCAGTCTATAAAATGTCAATGTAATCATGTTGTTATATTTGCGAGGAAATTGTGCATACCAGTGAAGAAATGGCGCACAATATACATGCGGGTTGGTTGTAAAATATGCCTGCAAAGGATACCATTTAAAGCAGGACTGGCAGGGGAAAATGGTCTAGCACGTCATGACGACAGCCAAGTTAAGATAATGTTCTCAATCATTTCATTTGCGGGGAAAGAGAGGGGAAGAAGATAAATCAATGATTCATGCGATCCCCAAGAACTTGGCAATGCAGCCGAAAATGCAGGTATTGACCAGGGTGACTTGCTCAACCACCAAACAGGCGCATACGAAAAACATCTTTATCCTCAATTATCCATTCATAGACAGTAACAGTAATTTTATCAGAACGTTCTTAACTTGAGATCAAACCAAGACTTTGACTCGTGGAGTCTGAAGCCCAGAACGAGCCATATCTCAGGGAAAGTGAGACAACCTGGAAGAAATCTCCAAGGTAACGACGACGAAATCCAGCAACAGCAATGCTGTTAACACAAACAAGCCTATCATATGTTCGGGAAATCGTATCTTCTCACCGAGACAAGGAAATGCAGAATTACGGGTCCATTCGGACTCTGCTGTTTTCCAAGAACTTCAAAACATGCTCTGAATCGGAATCAAGAGAAAGTCCTATCTGAAGTAGAACAGCCTTGGGGAACAGAAACGAATAAAGAGATTTGAACCTACCCAACCATCGTGAGGTCGACTCCTTTGGTCAAGAGGCGGTCTTTTCAAAACAATATTTGAGTGGTACTGAAGCACAAGCAAAGGGTACCGATATTGAAGGTGACAAGCTGATCTGAATATTGGGGCAATTCAAGGCAATCGATTCCGACAGTGGCTCAAAGATCAACAGAAACAGGAGGCCGAAAGACAAGCAAGATATGCAAGTCACCGAGAGTAAGGAGTCAAAGTCAGAATCGATCATGCAACGTAATAAAACGAAACCCCCGCATTAGCCTTGAACGGCGGTAGACTTCCAACCTTGTAGAGCGACATGAAGCTGAAGATGCTTCTTCCCTCCACCGACCCCCGCTCCGCTCCGCCGCTGCCAAGCCTTTCAACCATCGTCACATCACTAGCGCATCTCGACCTCACCTGCATGCTTCAGCCTCCTCAAAGCACTCCACCTCTCTACCCTCCCAGCTCCCAACTGCTACTCATACCCCTCACAACTATCACAAGCCGTCAAAATGAAGCCGATCTTTGGTGTTATGCAAGCATGGTCATGGTGCGTTTCCCCATTCTTTGCCACGATGCGCAGCCCTTGTTTCGAAGTGACTTGCGCTCGGAGCTTCCATCGTCGTATCCAAGCAGATGGAAGAAGGGAGAGGGAGGTCGGCCAGCGAGAGTCCAAGCTAATGTATTGGAACGTATAGCATTGTGATCTCCTGCTTCGCCATTGTGATCCTATCCGTCATCGGCGCCCTCTTCAAAGCAAACCACCACTCCATGACCGGCACGATAGAAGATCCAGAGAACCATGCCGCCGTCGCCGCAACCGTCTTCTCCGCTGTGATAGTCTATGCTGTAGGTTTACAATATTCCGGACTACTCTTCCAACATCATCACGTCTCTACCATCTATATTCCAATGGTTCTGTGATGGATGGAGAAGCAAGCAAAGCAAAAAATGCCGTTGAACAAAATCTACCGTTATCATCATCGATCTCCAAGCTAACCAAATACCCAACAATAGCTATTCCTCGTCGGCTGCAGTTTCCAAGCCTTCCTCCACATCCGCGACAATCGAAGAGGTGCTATATCTCTCTCATAATGGCATAGGAGCCAAATCACACCGCAACCTCACTACACATATACAGCATAAGGGCTTGGGAAGAAGCAAGCACACAGATACGGGATTGGCAACAGACAGATAGAGAACATGGAAGGCGTACGGCGTTTCTTAAGTCACCGAGTGATGGATGGGTTTGCCCCTCAACCTGCGCTTCTTGGAAGATAAGATATCTATAGGAAGGACGACGATGGGCCGACTTCTTGTGTACGCATATATTGTTTGGGTCGAGTCGACACCAGTAATTGCAGAGTTCGTCCAATTGTTTCTGATACCGAGCAGAGTCTCATGTTTGCTTTGGAATCATGGCTTTGTATCTGTTGGCTTTTGGCTTTGATTGAAGCCACTGTCTGGCTTGATCTTTTCAAATGAAGCCACGAAAGGCACTCTCAGCCACCCTCTATCATACCAGTATATCTTTCAAGCATAGCTGGCTTCTTCTTTCCAACTATCATCGGCTGCGTGGCTATCGCCGTGCCCAGGGAGAGAATCCCGCGAGCTCCTTTCAACGAACTTGCCATGAGCTTAGGAGCAAGTCTGCTCAGAGATCCCGTAGACATGTCGCTTCACTTTCTGGTAGCAATTATTGAAGCGAGTCGATTGATTATCTGCTAGTGCTACTGTTCTTCTTCAAAGGCGTCAGACCTCCTTCTACGCAAGGATATTATCCATCTACACAGGCCTTTTCCAACTCCAACCATGGGACCTGCTAGCCTAAAGCCCGTTCGCAACGCAATCCTACAGCAAGTGCCAACGCTATCTCACATATATTAAGTCATAACGCCTCCAATGAATGAAACACACTGACTCCTAACGCCTTTTATGCCTATATTGTCATCTGTTGTTACCGCTTGCATTTGTAAGGGGCTTTCTTGGCTTCCAGAATTTCAGAACGTTTCGTCCCTTTTGTGTTTGTGTGTTTTGAAAATTGCCAGGCATCGATGGATAATACGCTCTGTCAATTGACTCAGAGAACCGAATGCTTTCTGCTGGCACCATGGTTCTTCCAGTCTCTGGTCTCTGACTATACGAAACAGGTGGTGGTGGGCGAAAGATCTGACTGCTCTGGCTGACTTGGCTGATATGACTAGTCGCAGTGGTGGGTCGACGGTCGTAGAAAGACTTTTGAGCGTAAACCCGTGGTTCTCTTGGTCTCATGGGAGATCTCAAGTTAGGAGAACTTATCATTCGACGAGCGTTGACTTGTCCAGGGGATGAGAACGAGTGGCCAGCAGAATGAGCCGCGGAAGCAAACCCACTATCGTTACTGCGCATGATTTCCAGGCCAAAGGGATCAATACCTAGGTCGTCAACTTTTGCGAGATCCATCATCTTGTCCATGCCTTCAATATACTCCTCTTCCAAGAAAGATAGAAAGTTATCAACATCAGCGATGGTGCTCATGGCTCCCAAGCTCACTCTCACTACTCCTGTTGACTTTCCGTTGACTAACTCAATTTTGCCTTCGCCGCAGCGGTAGCCGGCTGACCATGCGCGCTTGTATTGCCATGGTTCGATTTCGAGATAGCTAGCGATACCACCAGCATTGCAAAGCCCGCCAGACCGAAGATATATTCCCTTTGCATTTGCACTTCTTTCGACTAGGTAATGACCAATGTATGTCCCATCCGAGCGCATAATATTGAAGGCTACCGTGGATCCTTGAGTCGTGGCGTCGCCATAGGTGCATCGGTCCGGATCAGTATACATGACGCAGAGAGGGACACCATTGTAGTGGGTGAGGCTTTTCATCCCATGAAAGAGACGATAGGCAAGGAAAGACGTATGCTGCGATATTGTCTTCATGCTTCCGTACAGTCTTCGATGTACCTCAATCGCGCAGCCTAGAGCGATGATGCTATGGAAAGGGAGAGTGCCATCTTCCAGGCCGTCATGCAATGTTACATCTTTTCGTTGAACCGAAGCCTCATGGATGACGGTCAATCCATTGACGGTTCCTCCACCAAAGTACTTGCGCCAACCCAAAATGTGCCCGGATTTCTTGCGTACAATGAGAGCGCCAATGTCGGGGAATCCAAAAATCTTGTAGAAAGAGACAGCTGTGAAATCTGGCGCAGAATCCGGGTCGCTGAGATCCAACTGTGTAGTGGTTGCGAGCGCAGCTGCGTCGAGGAGGGAGTATGTGTTTTGGTAGGACGGAGTGAGGCAATCACGCAATCTTTTGGTCCAGCCCAGGGGTAGTCGTCTGCCGGTCATATTAGATTGTCCCGGATAAGCGAACAATCCTGGTAGTCCTTCACTGTTCAATGGCTTGCCTGTTACTCCCACTTGCTCATTCAACCAATCCTCGACTTCATCATCATTTATGAAGCAATGATGACGTTCGTTCGACAATTCGCGTACTCCAACAATGCTAGTGTGCGCGTCTTTGTGGTAGCCGTACCAAAATGACGGTTGTCTTGGGTTACTGGCTGCTAGATCTCTGAAACTCTCTCCAACAAGCTTGATAGCAGCTGTAGCATTGGCCGTAAAGACCAAGTCGAAGTGCTCCGGGTCTGCGCCAAAGAATGACAAAGCCTGAATTCGAATGGAGTCTACCAGGTGGCCAGAAAGCATAGCAGGATCCGAAGCCGAATGAGGGTTTCCGTAAAGGTTTTGAATCATCTTCTGCGAAAAGTCCTCGATCAATGACTTTGCGTAGATGGTAGTCCCGCCATGGTCAAGATAAATCTTGCCTGTTGCTAACGCTGAGTATGGAAGAGCTTTGGGGGTTGAGATATGCTTACCCTTCATCATGGGATACTCGGTGTCTCGAAAGACTTCGACTGCATCATTGTAGGCCATCGACTCCCAAAGGTGTCGTGTAAACTTGGAAAACTTGAGTGAGAGTGGAGAGACAGAAATGGAAGACCAAGTCTCGTCCTCGTGAGTCCCGTTATACAGGAGACTCTGCACGACGATGAAGAGGAACGAATAGTCACTTTATTGTTCTTGTTGGGTATCAAAGGGCGGAAGAGAACTGTGACGTGACTGTGGGCGAGCTCGGAAGATTCACAAGAGGAAGGCACGTTCTGTGAATGTCCGATGTCGATCCACTATTTCCTATTTGGGATGTGACTGAAGAATCGGCTGTGTAGTAAGCAGACGATATCGAGGTTATCCTGCAGTCTGTGATCTGTGTAGGTGTAGAGGGCAGATATGTTTCGTTGCGGATGGGGGAGCAGCCAGTCTTTATTGCTAGTTCTGTGATACCGAGAGACGGACAGGAACTTTGATCAAGTGACGCCGTCAATGAAGTGAATGGGGACCATAAGTGACTTAGAGTGTTGGAAAGTGGAAAAATAATGTAAGAAGCAGGAACTATAAAATCAAAAGGACAGAGGGCCTAACTGGACTTGCGCCGAACAAAAGGGCGGGAGGGTCCAGATTAGTAAAAGGATGGAAACACTAGTCAGAGAAACCGACGCCTTGTCGCCACGCTGTTGATTGTATCTATTGGATGAACCAGTTAAGGTAGGATACGTCTGGGATGGTGTGGAGAGAATCTGGAGAGGTTTCGAGCAAGGGTAGAACCTGGTTCGAGGAGCGGCTCGAATGAATTCCTAGGCTGGAACACCATCACAAAAAAGCACTACAGCATGGCTTCAACTCGATATCTAACAATCCACAGGCATGTAAAAGGCTTTTTGAAGGAATCCAGTTACCGAAAGTCGTTCTGTGGCACGGCTTCCTAAACGGCTATCAGGTAATGCCTCGACGCAGACGACCAGCCAGTCAGCCAGCATCAGTGAAGGTAAAAGGTGGAAAAGTTAGTCAGCTGTACGTGTAACTTCGGTAGGCCAAGATGCATGCACACAAATCCTCCTGCAGATTTTAGGTGTCCAGCTGAAGCACACTCCAGACTACCGCAGGTGAGATACGGCTTGCTGGGATCTAATGGAGTCAACAGAGCCCCCACTACGACACTGGCATGTTGATCGCCTACCTTCTCAGAACCGCTAACCTATTTCGCTCCGTTCCGAAAAAGTTTACCTTGATCTGGATATACTAAATGCTGACGGTTACCAAAGTTGAAATCCTCCCGTCTCTCCAGAAATGATCGTGATTTAAAAGCCAAGGGTATCTTATCCCACTCGTTAGCAACCTCAACACTGCTCGCGGCGCAGCTCCCAGGCTAAGCGAGAGAGCCATGACAATGTGACTGGCGAGACTGGCTCATGCGCGCATCGCCACCAACAACACGACAGCTGGAAGATCTCGAGCGAAGCCGCCAGAATGTCTACGTGTGAGCCCATGATGGTATCGGTGTGTTTCTTGGTGGAGGTAATGTTTCTCCGATTAATGAACAATTGCCGGGTAACTGAATCAGCCGCCCCCAAATACGACGTAGCCAAATCCAGCTTACTGGTGGAAGAGTCTGCGCCATCTCACCACTTATATTGACGTGCATGCAATCGAGATCCTATGTAAGATCCCACCGGTTTCTCCACATGCCGAGCCTCGATTGTCGAAGAGCCTAAGCTCGACGATCTCCCCTTCCAACATTCCAGATCGTACCAATATTGACAATGATTAGATCGTACGGCGGCTGAAAATTAGGTCACGTCATGTATCGATCAATGCTTCGAGCTTCTGGAGCAGATACTTACTCTGCTGCCAATACCAAGCATCAATAAGCTCCCGGCTATAGTAATCTGCATCTGTATACGGGGCCAATTTCCAAGCAGTCAGTAAGGTAGATTTCCAAAAAGAAGCAAAGAGTCCAGAATGAGAAATTGTCCGGTTCGCAAGGCTACCCTGGGCTTGATACGGATCTTGAACATATCGTACAGTTGGAAAGTCGCTTTAATTTGACGTTCCACAGGGATCTCAACATATGAAATCAATGTTCCAGACTTGAGACAAGACATTCCTTTGCTATCTTTTGTTGCCTTCAAATAGACACAGGAACGATGTGAACCTCAAGGCAAGACATTACCATTTAGTAACATGCAAGATGTCTCGCGTCCCAAGAAGGTGGCGTATGCTGCAAGAATTCGATAGATGAGCAGAGAAATGGCATGCATACCCTAATTTAGACTTTCCCACACAAAAATATGAGATTTTAGAAGGAAGTTTAGTTGAAAAGGGTAAACATTCAAGGTTCCATGACAGACATGCCGCAAATTAGGGAATATGAGTGGATTGGAAAAGGTTCATATCTGGCCCGAGAGATGATCGTGGTCATTCGAAAACCAATTCTACCCCACGATTTGTCACACAGAGTCAACAAGCTAAGTTGAAAAGATACCATCTGTGGCGACATACCAGCCAAAGCTCCATCTCAACCTGTTGCGACTGCTCGGAGGTGTTGCTGATTCGAGTTCCAATGAAACAGGACTGTTGGTGAACTCCAAACCCTAGCGAATATGCAGTTTGAGTGGTCGGCGTCAAATCCCGAATCCCAACAACCAGGACTCAGGGAGCGCCACGCACGATATCGTGGTCAGCTGGTTTCCCACGATTGCCATAGATGCTAACCGGCGCTTTGGTATCACTCTTGACTCACGACCGGGGGGCTGGTGTTGCGGTGAGGTGATTGCGAGCTCGCATACAGTAGGAGATGAGTTACACCAGGACTCTCAACAATCCATTCCTCGTCGGACCTATTTAGTGCACTTTCTAATGAGCATGACTTACGCTCATTTGAATCACACCTCATTTTCGAGAATCTCCTCACTATTTGATTTCGAGTAAGTATCGGTCATTCATCTGCCTGGAATGCTGCCTGTAAGCAACCCATCTACACCCGATCGAACCATATTTTCTCTCCACCCAGCTCTTCAATGTACTCAATCCCTAGAGCGCCTACTCCACCATCAGGACCTATCCTGAATTCTGCTCTGAGATTGAACTTCTCGCGCACATCAAGCATTCTCACAGCAGCCACGAAGAACTCGCCAGAGGCATGCACGAGCGTTAAGATGTACTTCCATGTTCGATCCCTACAGTCGATTTGCAGCTTTCCATCCTTGAAATCGACGATATGAGTTCCCCATCCAGGGTGACAGTACTCTCCGACATACGCAGACAATTCCAAAGTCGTCGGCAATGGAGGTTCTGGCAGCTTTGGGTACAGATATCGATCTTCTTTAGTGTCGGGGTGGTTCTCATCATGCTCCCTCTGAAAATGCTCGTCCCAGTCAAGTTGCTTGTCTAGAGAAATGCTCAATAAGTCGTAGACCAAAGCCCAGCATATTTTCTGCTGTGCCTCATATCCGTCCTGAAAATTGGCGAACGAAACAAATCCCCATTTGAGACGAGGTATGAATATCATCTTGCTGGTAAATCCATCTGTGGCTCCATCGTGACCAATGATCAATTCACCGTGATAACTGAATGTCTCAAAACCCAGGGAGTAGCATACGTGACTCATATAGGGCTTCAACGTTTCGTCCGTCACGATCCGTGGCTTGACCAGCTCCTCGTGCCCCTTTTCTGATATTGGTTCGGTCTTGTTGATCATGCATTTCAGAAATTCTGCATAATCAAGGGCACTGCTAATTATCTCTCCAGCACCCCTTCCTTCAGGTTGAACAGGCCAAGGAATCTCGAAATACTCCTTCTTCTCCTTGTCATATCCATAGCCGGTGGCCATGTCTCGAGTACCTTGGCGTTGTTCCAGGTCTTCTCCTGCATAGAAAGTATTATTCATCTTCAGAGGATCCCAGATCTTCTCACGTAGGAAGTCTTCAAGATGCTGGCCTGTAAGGGTTTCCACGAGATGGGCAGCTACTGCGAACATGACGTTGCTGTATTGGTATGTCGTGCGGATGGGCCGACTCCGGGGGAGATGGCGAAGCTTTCTTGTTACTGATTTGGGCGTATCGGAGACTTTGGCATTGATTCCATAGCAAGCATCGTCACAACTAAATTGTATTAATAAAGCTCAGTAAAAATCAGTCTACCTTCCCCGAGCGATGAAGTTACTCACGGTGGCAATCCAGTCCGATGCGAGAGAATATCCTCAACAGTGATTTGATCGGTCCTGTTGTCCGACAGTACGAAATCATCTCCAATCAAACTCGCGACAGCAGTCGTCCATTTCACATGGGGGAAGCGTTCGTCATCGTCGACGAGTAAAGAGACTGCAGTCGCCGTGAATGCTTTCGCCATACTTGCTGCGTTGAACAGCGTACTTGGATTAACTGGCTTGCCAGGATAACGACTGTAACCATATCCCTAGTACATCTGAGCATCTTCCTCAGAATGCGGAGGCATGAAATCATACTTTTGAAAGGACAGTGTCGTTGTCGATTACAGCGATTGATAGCCCCGGGACTTTCCATCGACGCATGGTCTTGGATACCAAATCATCGAATTCTGGAGTAAAAGACCCATGTCGGATCAAAGACGAAGCTCTTGCCATTATCGAATATATTGCTGCAGGGATGTCTATCTTTAAACCCTGCATGAAATCTCTCAATTTCGAAATTACCAGTCTAGGCACTGATACCAAGTAGGGAGCAGACTTCGTTTTATACAGCAGCTAACTTTTGTGTATTCAGAGCAGCTATGAGAACTGTGAGAAAATGATGTAGAGTTTGAGGCGGCGTGACTCACCCGTTGTATGAGACACACAACACGAGTGTCTAAAATCTCACTGTTGCACTTAGTCTTCATAGTGCAAAGCCGAGCTTTGAAGGTACAATGCCGCAGCACTCCCCACAATACCCCAACACAGGCAAAAGACTTGACCTGGAAAGCATACTTCACGAGCCCATTACGATGAATTAATGGTGGTTACCTAATTGTTAGACACTATCAAAAAGATGCATCGCACGACTATAAGTTTTTGGCGTCCGTTTTACATTTTTCGGCTACAAACCTCGACCGTCCGCAGCAGGTTCTGAATCCCCACTGTCAATGCTCTCCTCTTTGATATCTTCTTGAACCAGCCAATCAAGAGTAATACAGCCAGGATGCCTGAACATTCGAGTCATAGCCATTAAGCGATATCCTTTCTCCTTGCCATGACCAAGTTCTCTTGGACAAGCCAGAAACATACCTATCGTCAATCCCGCATGAGCAATGCTCTCCAAGGAACGACAAATTCTGGAAAACAAAGATAGAATAGCACCAGATCAACTTCAATTGGAAGTACTCACCAAGAACCAACTCCGGTGGAGTGAAATCCAAAGCATGAATAGTCTCCAGGTCAGGCCAATGCGTGAAATCAACCGTCGTGAAATTGCCCATGTATGGCGCGAAGAACTCTACAGGAATCTCTGCGCCGTACTCAACCTCGCCGCTTTGCTGGACGAAGACGAAGTTATTCTGATTGCCTAGTTTCGTTGACGAAAAAAATAGTGATCCTGGAGAGGGACTGTTAATTGTGAAGACTGCGCGGTCGTCTACGGGGAGCGGCTCTGCTGGACTCCGTATTGGGATACCGAAGTAGCCGCGGCCCTGCGACTCATTAGATCATGAGTAGTGAGTTGAGGAATAGTGGTAGACCGACAGGCTTGTCGGGGATGGGAAACCATGAGATGTATTGGTGATTAAGGGGGAACTTGTCGAGCCACACTTGGAGCGTGAAGTTTGTCGTGGAAGCTGGTGAGGGGATGATTGATTGAGAAGCGCAGAGGAAGCTTGAGAGGTATTTCATGAGTCTCATTCTGAGGATTGACTTGTCAATGGATCAAGTATCAAATAGTGAATGGGGTTATGGAGCTGTGTTGGTGTGGTTGTCAAATGGTGAGGTGGGAAGCTAGATTTTTGGGTTACATGAAAAGGGATGTGTCCGTGCCAAGGATCATCACAGAACTAAACGAGATATATTCCATACGACTCTATACGAGGAGGATATAAATTTTATTTTGGGGAACTTTTTGGCAGAATATTTCTATGTTTATCAAATGTGGCAGAAGCCAAACTATCTCTGTGAGCTGTCCACAGCAACCAACCGCAACAAGAAGGCCACGGCGGCTCAACTTTCCCAAACATACAAAATTGTTTCCAGCGAGCAGCCTCTTCCAGTCCTTATTCATGCGGTATCCATAACATGCTGTGTCAAAATGCTGAACTTCTCCACTTCATATCAGCAGACAACTACCAAGGTCTTGGGGAATTATCTCCAAGCCATGCCCTCTCCTCAATTCCAGCCGGAGTTCCAACTCGAACATAACAGGAGAACGACAAGAGCGTTGGGCGGCGAACCTTAATGGCAAAAGAGGAACGCTTCAGAAAGTAAAATGCCAACTTCTGGCACTCAGATAGGCATATCAGTGCTTGTTTGGAGGAATATTTCTTCACCGGGAGTGGCGATTCGAGATTAGAATAACCTGGTGCATATTCTTTGAATATTTCTGCTGTCACGTACTCATTAATCTCGCACTATGCTCCTACATTACGCCCCGGGAATGCTACTGTCCAAATTCTATGAAGGAGAAAATGAATCTCCCGGCTTCTAACCTTGACGACCTACCGGCAGTTTGTGGAAGATGATGCAACAATGCATGCGTTCTTCAAGGATAAAAGCATTTCCAGGTCTTTCAAGAGCAGACATGCCAGTTGCTGCCGCGGTCCAGCTACTTTGCATGTTATGCAGAGGCTGAAGACGAGACTCAGATTACTTCTTCCAAAAGATCATTTGATGTTGAGGCTGGATAAGGAGGCTGCAAGGACTAACGGGTAAAATAATGACCGGCTTGTGGAACGAGCAACAATTGAGGCAAGGAAAGCATTTACTCAGAATATGCTGATATCGTCTCGAGTCCCACGACCCTGTCCAGCTGGAGACCGAAGTAGAAACCCAATAACCTTTGCGTCTCTGCAGACTGTGACGAGAAAATACGCTCCTGCAGCCCTTTTGTCCAAATGATGTTCGTCAAGATCTACGATCTTCGAAATCAGCCGCACTCAAATTGCTACACAATATACGGACCTGTCGATTCTCGCCCAGGTTTTCATGCCAATTTGGCTCTATTTGAAAAAAAGATTGAAGACATTGTGCAGATTTTGAAGGAGAGGAAAAGTGTCTCGTGAAAGCAACAGATTGCTCTGCAGATGTACCAGAACCCATGCAGCCCGTATGCCGTGGAGCAGATACAATCCGTGCATTGCTTAAGTTTAGCACTAGTGACAAGATACATCTTTGAGGTTGAGCGCAGTGCCATTCGTCCTTTTTGGTACCGAGGGCCTCGTAAAATGAATTCAGATTAAAGGCTCCTTTTATCGACAGATAACAGCCGAAATTCAGTCGTTTAATGTTCACGCCTAATATTGAGTTTCCAGAGAACAGAGACGAATCTAAGACCTTGCTCGCCGTTCAATATAGAGCAAATAAACCAAAAATAAAGATAGGTGCGTGAAAATGCTTTGTTGTTTAATTTAAGCAACAAGGACGAGGAAGCATTGATTCACTATGTATATCACTCCCGATATCATAAATGTCAACTGTATCAAACGAGGTCCGTGCCCTACATATTGAACCTCAGAGACCTTGGTTATGGTGACCTGCATAATGCATTGTCATCCCCGTCTTATCATTAATATCTGCTTCCAAGAATAGGATTCGCGTCAATATTGCGTTAATTTGGCTGTTCAGAGAGATGGAGCAAACTTTCCTGTCGACGCAATGTCTCAGAATCATTCCAGAGCATCTGCACTCGATCACACTCGATCGGGCCTGGAAATGCCCATTAACTTCTTAAGATCTAGCCTTGGATATGCTTTGAAGTCTCCTATATTTGGGCAGCATGCAGCTTAAAGCTCGGTGTGATTCGTTGAATCGTACTCGCAGGTGCAGCTGCACGCGTAGGCAGGGTCTCACGTATCCCAAATCACTGGGCACTTTTCATAATTGTGATCGCGATTCGCGACCAAGGAGTCGGAAATCCGGTCCGAAAGAGTACAGAAGTGGATAATGCATAACCGAGTACGATGAGCAGCTGGAGTATCGTGTCTTCTATATTGTCAACAAATTTGTGATACTGAGAAAAAGATCCAGACATGTGCAACTAATAACAGTTTGATACAGAGGCTCGAGAATATTAGATGAAAGGGGGACGCCGCTCACAGGACGTGCCTGGATTCCCTGGACACGGCGCGGGATCCTCCCGTAGGTCGGATCTACCTACTGCACGCACGATATTTAGCCAAAATGTTGACAGCCTCTTCAGCTCGTGGCAATCCAGGATGAAAGGTTTTTCGAGGCCCATTAATTATACCTTGCTCCACTTGGATATGATCGCCACTTTGGCTCTTGCGACCGCGAGCCACTCGCAGGGCTTACCACCACACCAATGCCTTGCGCCGGCCTGTCAAGCGCTGTAGCAGGTCCCCGACTTTTTCTCTTGTCGGCCGAGGTAGAGAGGGTAAGGGTAAGGGTAAGGTATCAAGAGCCCAAGAGGCTGGCGGAGAATTTTCTCGGATCGGTTCTTCAGCACCAGCACCAGCACGCAGTACAGACTACAGACCCAGCGACTCAACGGTCACTCGTGCCATGCACTGCTAGTTGTGGCAGTATTAGTAGTAGGATATATATCTCCTGGCCGTTTTGAACGTAGAGCAAGCAGCCTTATGGCACTGGGCGCTGGGTACTACTGGCGTGTGAGATGCCAGAGCCGCTTGAGGCTGTCTCGTACAATTCTGCCCTCTTACCTAACTGCTCTCGAAATCTCTGAGCAGATCGATCGACAAAAGTGGTAATTACAGGGGCTTTCGGATGTGGCCTCTCTGGCGGGGTCCGTCGCGCTCGGAAGATTCGAGCCGTGGAGGATGTGCAACGGGGTATGAAGACTTGTGAAGGGCAGAGCGAGAGTCTGTCTCAATGATATAGTACCGAGCCGATCTCAACATCGGAGTCAGTCAAACAGGACTCCGCACACGTGAAAGAGAAAACGGCAAAACAAAATGGGTCCTGCGATGTTCTCGACTATACTCGGGAATGGTCGTCGGCTTCTGCTATCTGTATCTGTATCAGGCTCTGCATGGGTTGTTGCAGACAGCTCAGCTGTAGAGCAGCAAGTTGGCCGCCGTATCTAGGGACAAGACGATTTCTGCAGCCAGCCAGCCACAAAAGACTGTTTTGAGTCAAGAACGACATCAACCTCACTACGTCAGCAGGCGTTCTGGAGGCCAGGGGAATTGTGCACTGTTGTTGGACGAAGTTCCTGTTGACTTTTGATCTTGCCTCTTCAAGAAGCTGGCTGTCCAGTTAAATCTACATGTTCGCATGACTAACATCAGTCGATATTCAGTTGCGTATGCGCAAAAGTACCAAGCAATTAATCCAGTACGGAGTTGTACTTAGGGCGCATGATATCTCTGTCGCTCCCTGAAAAGCGTGTGGGTTTAACTTAATCCTTAGCAGTTAGCCCTCGAGCTTCCTCGCGTACCCTATTTTCGACGCCCCCACTTGGATCCATCGCGTGGCATCGAGGATGACTAGTTTGCGACGGTGCGTCGCTGCGTCTCGCGACCGATAGGGGCTGAAAATATGAATCCTGGATATGTCGTTGAGCACTCCCTGCAGTAGTAATAACTTAAAAGTTTCTCAGAGGTTGAAAGATCCCAGATTTCATAACAGGAGTTCCCAAAGCCCCACGGCTACAGCTTCTCATGTCTTGACTATGGCCGGCGACCGGATGGTCCCAGTAGATCGACACATACCCTCCGCACACGTGCTAGCAGCACATTATTCAGCAGCATCCGGTTCCGTTCGGTCCCAAACAACTCTGCTCGCGTTCCGTAACGATCCCATCATCCACGTTCCTGGAAATTAGCAAGATGGGAATGTCTTGCTCGCTTGCCACGTCCCAATCGAGGAAGGATGGAGATAGCAGTTCCAGCACAGTAGTTTCGATATGCCAAGATGATCGGCCTATCCCCATACAATGCCACACGACCATGATCCATCGTCAGATCTTCGTTTTAACGAAACCTTCATGCTCGCACGTGCCAATCATGACCCTTCACTTCCCCAACTCTGTGGGTTCTTTGATTTCTCAACCTGGATTTGTCTGTCTCGTCTGTTTCCTTTCCCCTCTCTCCTCGCCAACTTCCTTATCCCGGACCCGCGAGAAGATCAAACTCAGAAAGGCTGATCGACAAGATGCCTCAACGATCAAGGCTTGACAGACGTGGGGATCTATGATCCTCACTGCAGGCTGGAGCGAGCTCCGTAGTACCTTAATCTCTATCCTTCCCAACCAATGGTTCAGCGCCTAGATGGCAGGAGACAGGGGACGTGAGATGAGCTGGTAAAGCGTACGCAGTAAAGCAAGTGCCTGACATGACATGCCAATATCAGTAATAATGGATCAAGACGAGCATGATGGAGCATGGGACGATGCTCAGGTGGAGACAGTTGCTACCCTTGCAACTGGCATCTGCTGCAGCGAAAGGAAATCCTGGATAGCTAAGGAAAAAGCAGAACTCGTGGACTGGGGGGTAGTGCCATGGATGATAACTTCCAAGAATTAGAATTGACGACGAACAGAGATGCGCTGACGGTGGTACAAGGAAATTTTTAGAAGACACGCCTGCCACTGACACATAGTACTGGATAGGGGTCGGATTGGCCAGCGCCATGAGAGTCGGTGGCTTGACCTCTGGCATGTAGACGCCCCACGGTGCTGTTTGCTGGGTTGTTTTGGTATGTGTGTCGGTCGACTGATCGCAGGGCTGTTCCATTGGATGTTAGGTGGGTGGATGCGCCCGCTGGGGCCAAAGTGCACCGCACCGCTGTCACCAGGGAAGTTGAAGCTGGGTTTTTCGCTTACATTCCTCTTAGGACAACCCCCCTACACGATTGTGATGGTCCTGATGGTGCTGTGGCGCAACACTAAACCGACTATCGAACGCCGATGCCCTGCTCAACCCTCCTGGCGGATGGCGGATGGATGCCCTGCAAATCGCCGACATGCGAAGCTGACGTTTGGTGGAGCATTAGGGGCTCACGGTTCTTTTGGTACACGCTTGGGAGCTGTCAAAGAACTTGCGCCTAGTGGTAGTAAGTGGGTATCGTCCCAACGAGGGCAATGTAGGCCGGATCCCTGGCCACCCCGGTTCTTGACCGTGGTTTGAGAAGCCTGTCTCCGACCTTTTGAGGCTGTTGGCAAGGGCGGAGGTCCGTATAGCTGCCTCTTCAATTTGTCCAGGACGTGAGCATTGCCAAATAGTGCCTAGTGCAGAAGTCTTGACGCTTTCCTCTGCTGTTCCGACCTTGTTCGCCGCCGGATCGGGTCTTCCAAGCAGTCAGTTCAACATCAACCCAAAGGTCAGGTCATTCTTAGCAAACTCTCAGCAAGGAGGGACCCCTTTCAACATTCCTATCTAGTGTAAACTAATCCCTAGAATTGGGTAAGTGGGAGCGAGTTAGAGTCCGAACGACGACATCAGAATAGAACTGATGGCGCCAGAGCGACCAGGGTTGCCATGTAGAGGAAGTATGCTAGGGCTGCACAGGCTGGGCCGGTGGATTTCAAGCTGACAAGCATCGAATTGATCCGTCACGAATTTCCAGGGGGCATCTTGGCCTTAATGTTACCCAATCTCGTGGCGTCGCAGACGAACCTCCAATGTTGGACCCAAGTCTTAGGTCTGCTCTTGATGATCTTTCAGATATGCTTCTTCTTGAGCTTCCCCGACTTCTTTGCCACTGCAAAATCCTTTCCTGACACTCGTGGACTGACTTCGGCCCTTGGACTAGCCTTTTGATCTTCCTTCCTTCACTTGCTTAGTGCCAGCCATCATCGGTTCGAATCTTCCTTTTCTCATCCCCTTCCTCCCTCCCTTCCTATCTTAGAACCTTCACACCACCACAAAAGGATATTTGTGGAATTCAAAAAGGGCTTCAGGAACTATGCTGCTAGTGGCGTGAAGCCTTCAATTCCCATTCGTTGTCGAACCAGTTGAACACCTTGCCCCCGCGACACTGCTTATCCCATACGACACAAAAATCGACTGGTCTACCTGCCGTGTGCAATTAGCACAAATCCTCACTACTGCAGCTCAAGCCACAGACAGTCCTTTCGTCTCCGCATGTCTTACCCCGTTCTCGATTGAAGATACAAAGCGCCCTCAAAGACCACTTGAGACCGGCATACTAGGTCTCGGTGCCCTTCTTTACCGCCCGTGTTCCTCTCTCGGCCTTCAACGCCAGTAACGTGCCGCAACCAGCTTAAATCGACCTCACACGTCTTTCAGTCAGTTCGCATCTTTGCTGTTATTGACTCCATTTTGAACGCAATAATACTGCCAGTCGAAGGGTTCAGCAATTAAAAACCTTGACAAGCATACCATCGCCTGCATCCTGTTTTCAGGCCAGGGAAATTCCCAGCAATTCTTGGAGAGGAAGTTCTCCCTGTCCAATATTGGAACATTCTTAGAACAGAGGCGCATGGGGAAGAGTCGTAATTGATGGCAGTCTCTGTCCAAGCACCATTCTATTCGAAGTCCGGCATGTGGAATCTGGGCGATCCTCCACATACATATTCACCTTCAGGACCAGAAGAGAGTCCAGCTTCAATGTCGTATCAGTATCCACTGCCGAACTCTTTGGAGCATTCGAATATGATCCCCGGTTTCACCCACCCCCCCTTGGACCACGTACAACCATCCTCACCTGCTCAGATGAAGCCAGACTCGCCGAGTATGAAGAATAGAGGAAATTTAGCAGCATCCAAGTCCGCAAAGATCAAAAGATCAATGTCAACGCCAAATGTTCGCGGTCAAGCCTCGGCCGATGCAGCTGCACTTGCTTTGTCCGCCGAAAAGAGGAGGAATAAACTCGGTTACCACAGAACTTCTGTGGCATGTGGTATGTTATAGCGAAATGAAGTTATGAAATGAAGCATCTGAGTTTCCCAGAACTAACGCGCAGCACGTAGGTCACTGCCGTCGAAGGAAAATTCGGTGCATTGCAGCCCCAGGCGATCCTCATAACCGATGCTCGAACTGCATTAGATTGAAGAAGGAATGCAATTTCTATCCAGTCGATCAACAGCCACCTCCAGAAGCTCAGCGCAGAGGGTCGAAGGCCCAGAGCGGGACAGAAAGAGCCTCCGAAGAATCATCCCCATCGACTTCGTCGGGCCAGGTACAATCAGAGATTCCCCAAACTCTTCCATATCCCCATCTCAGCATGCCCCCTATCCAGGATCTTGGTGGCCCTCAGATGAAGCGCCAGAGAACGGAAAGCTTTTCCCCAGAGAATAAGGGCAAGGATCTTCTCTCTTCCTCGCTCACCAAGTTTCCTAACAATGCTGCAGTTGTCACCACGTCTCGAAACTTTGAATACTCACAGCCAGCGCACCATGGAACTACAAATTGGATGGCTCCGGATGCATCCCCAAGTACGGTGAACCCGAAGACAGAATCTTCCCAGCCTTATTGGAGAGTGAATCCGCAAGACTCACCTCTAACTCCTGCATTCTCCCCCTTCACCCCAGGTCTTCAAATCCCACCCCCACAGAATTGGCCGACCCCTCACCCTGAGGCCAGTCCTCGAGAAGATCCTGGCTGGTCGGTGCCCCAGCGTTCCATCTCGTACAGCAATCTCGAAGGTCTCCACACCCAACATCAAAATACTCAGTATGCGCAGTATCCACCCCCTCCCCCAATCAACGATCATTACACGACGAAACCCCGCGTCCTTCAGTCTTCAGGCATGTATCCACCTCCAATACAGACATCGGCGAGCACTGTGGCCACCCATGATCCAATCTCGGTGACGTCGAGCGAACCACATCAGCACCCGCATTCTGCCCATTCTCTACCCCCGGTACCATTTTCGAATTGGCAACAGCCATACTCGTATCAGAAGCCAGCTAGCGCTGGCCCCGACCACTATCCTGGATGGAATGGACCACACGGTGGACAGCAGCCTCTGCCACATCTTCCCAGCGATCAAGACCATCCACCACCCCCGCCTGGCTATGGCTATGGAGATCCCTCGAATGGAATGTATTATCCACCCCCACACCAAGGACGCTAGATGGCTTGGAACAGAATAGCAAAGTCGAGCCTGACGTTGATTTAGCCGACCACCCACTGAGAACTGTTGCGAGTACTAAGTGGCGACGGAGGGAGCTAGAGAGTAGCGCAACTATGGCAGTTGGTCTGTACGATATCTACGAGCGTCCAGAAATCGGGGATGGAAGGTAAAAGCGACCTCGATGTCGAAACGACCACCGAATTAAGACGGACAGGAAAAAATTCCCACGGCCTTGAGCTGGCAACATAAACTGCTATTTGGGTAATGAGCAGACTTTGTAAAAAGCTTGGGACTGGACCGTCAGAACGACCCACGACAACTTGTACCAGCAGAGGCGAACAAGCATTGAACCCTCAGAACAGCGCACCCCCAAGACCAGAGGAAGCTGATAGAGGGATTTCAAAACAACAGAGAGCTCGATTTGGCACCGTTGAGCGCGGTTTCTCCACCTAGTTAGACAGTAGAGTTGGATGGGACAAGAAGGCGGTGAACACCCGAAGGATTCTCCACTGTACAAGTAACGACAACTGACGACGGAGAACAAGACGAAAAGACGGGAAGTGCAGGACGGACAATGAAAAGGCATGCAATGTGATCAACAGGTCGCTTGGAAATGTTGGGAATCGCTTTTATATGTATGTATAGGTACAAATGTGAGAGGGTGTTCGGATGGACAGCCAGACGGGTGAGGGGTTCGCAATAGGACAAGGACGCCATGAATTTGCAGGGAATGGAGATGCGCTGCGATTTGTACTGTATGAAGAGGAGTGAGAGGAGAAGAGATATTCGAGGAGTTTGGTTTCTTGATATACTTCGGATCTGGTGAATTTCTGCCTTGCTTGAATCAAGAGCGGGTGTCTGAATCATTTGTCTCGGAAGTCTGGGTATGAGATGGGACCAAGCTATGAGACGGACGGCATTCCAAGCTCGATTTCGGCACTTGACTTCTCTGTCCTATCCCATCCCAACTTCGCTGATGCAGCTTCCCGACCGACCTCGATCTTCGCCAGGCATCTTCCCGAGAATACGGTGCCAGTCACCAGCTGCATATGGGAGGGAACTTATCTAGGTGTAGGTAACGTCTGTTGTCGTGTGCACAACATCACGATTCCATGCACAATAAACAAACGTTCCCCTTTTGCACAAAGTAAGGTCAATTGTGTCGCCTCGTTTCCGAGGGATGAATAAAGTCTTGGCATTGCCGGAGCATCGCCCGGAGCTCCACTCCTGCAGGGCGGCGGCACACCTGCGTGGCTGACTCTCATCCCGCTCTCTCCCTCCCTTGACAGCTCGAGATCCCATCCCATCTCCCACTCCCACCACCTCATCTGTGATCCTTTAACCCCACGCTGTCGCTGTCAGCCATCCACCCACCCAGCCAGCCCTCAACGTCACGGAAATAAGCAGATCGACGACAGCCAGCCAACGAGACCTTCGCAATCAAGCACGCCATTAGATCACAGTAGACAGCGACGTTACACAAAGCCTGTCCCCAAGATGCCGCTATTGAATCACTTCCATGGAATGTTTGAGGTGGGTTGGCATTCCTGTTCTCCCTTCTTTCTCTGCAAGCAGCTCTTGAGTCTGCAAGCTTGAAACTCGAAGCTCCATCTCCACTTCTGTGTGCCTGTTGTTTCCAGCGGTATCTCCAATACCCTCTTCTTTACAAACTCCTTGCGGGCTCTGGCTGCACCGTGACCTCCCTTGGTCCAATTTCGCATCTCCCTGCCTTCCAAAACCGAATAGCACCGATTACTCTTGCAATACGAGGTTTCATAGCTGCACAGGGAGATCAGACATCACAAGGGAGGGAAGCGCAATACGAGATATTGGATAAGGGCACAGCGAACAAATGTCAGGGCCGTCGTTACTGAGTGTATTACAGCCACATCCGGAAGATAGGCTTCACCTACGACTACATCGGGCTAGGAGTGTGGTGTTGACAGCACAAGAGTAAGTCTACTATTTCCATACCGTGTTTACCTCTTCTGGTCTCGAAACACACCGCGATTATATTTGCTACCCCTGCGGAGTAATCTCCCACAGAGTAAAAAGCAAGTTGAAAACGAAAGAAAACAAATACGTCCACCTACGTATCTTCCAATTGCAGCATTTCACAAGCTAATGCAGCCCATTCACAGACTCGTTGAGATACGTGCCGCACAACGGACGTTTGAAGGGGCATATATTCGTACTGCATTGGGACAGTTCTCATTCGCGCTGGTGGTTCTCAAGATTTTTACAGCCGAGTTCTATAGTATTGGTGCGCTGTTCGCTACGTACGGGGTTGGTGTCTTGATGGTGAGTTTGTATAGGAGGTATGAGGGCAACAGACAGTTCTTTAGTGAGGTGGGTGAGGATGGGTTGGGAAGGAAGAGATTCAGGACAAGTGGGAATGCGGTGGTTATATTGACGGCTTTGAGTGTGGGTGCGTATGCAAGCTTGATTGTTTTGACGGCTAGGTTGGAAAGTTGAGAAACACTGGACAACTTGCCTCAACATGAAAAGCCGTATGCGGAGACTGTTCCCAAACCTATTTGCCTCCTTCATAGCACTTAGTGTGTGGAGATGGTGGGTTCATGAAGAACTAGCGTCTGGGAATCTAGTTGAAAGATGATCGAGCCGGACGAGGAGAATCATCTGCCTCATAGGACGACGGCGTTACAGATTGTACGACCCGGTCGATTCGGAAAGACATCGAAAGCCGCCGGGGTGCATGAGCACTCAACGTGTTCGCTCAAAGGTAACTTAAGAGTGAGCTCGGAAACCATTAACAAGAACAAGAGCAGTAGTTTGCCGACTACTATTGGTTGGGAATACAAACCATAGAACTGCATGTTTAGTCGTTGCGTCATTATCTTTCCATCTATACCGTGACAGATGGACCGCTATCCACATCTATATCGCTCAAATCTCAATATAAGCATTTCTAGCACCTATCATGCCTACCTCCCGCACATTTCATTCGAACCATTTGCACGGCTCCTTTGGAGCCCGCTTGACTCCTCCTTTTCTCCCCTTCGACAGCTGATATATACACCCCATTGAGAACCACCATTCTCCCACCCGCCGCCAATTCCGCAATGCCCAGGACACACAGCTTTGCAAGTTTTGGATGTCGATATCCTGCTGATTTCCAGAGTGTCGAGTTTGTGATTCTCGCGCACGCGGCATTGACGGAGGAGGAGGGTCGCGAGGATACAAGGGGCGTAGAATGCTGATGTGATAGGGAGACTTCAAGGTTGACTGAAGATTGATAGGGCGAATGGCGAGCTGGGAGGGATGGAGAAATGAGGTGAGCAGAGTTGTGAATAAGAGGCGAGATGGAGAGTAGAGGGAAAAGGGGTTAAGCGAGAGTGAACAAATAAAGGAGGCGAGGGAGGCGAGACTAGGGAATGGATGATGTGGGAGATGAAAAGTCATTTTACCATTGCAGCGCATGGGAGTAATATGGTTTGGCCTATTGGTTATCGGACACATGTATGGCAAGTACTTCTGCGCGAAGTTATCAACAACCTTAGTGAATGCTATGGCTGAGGCACGGTTATCGACTGGGCGAGGGAGGTAGTGGTTTAATTACTTATCTCGTCTCGAAGACATGTTTGCTATTGCATTGTAAAGGAGTGTATGATGTGAAAGATACCTTAGTCGATTCTGCGGACGAGCCTTGCCTCATATGAAGCATATTCTGCTGGATTCATCGCTTCAATGACGTCGATCTCGCGAGGTTTCGGTTGTCGCGATAGGGAATGAACGAATATAACGAAGCCAGCTACGATGAGACGGCGTTAAGAAAGAAAGATAGGAAACTTGAGATTTAATTGGGGAGGAAATTCGCGCATAGAGAAACACGATATACAGAAGACTGAGAATTGATTCCGAATTCTCCATTCCACAATCGAGGGGCAATGGGGAATTGACCCTGCGTACTCAACGATCACGATAGACGCGACATGAGCCGAAAAGTGCCATGGTCTGATGACATCTGTCCGTTCAGGAAAGCCCCTGCTTCTCTAAACGGATGAATCCGCTTCTCCAGCCAAATATCACAAGTGTTTGCATGGGTTCCTTTGCGCCTCGGCAGTATTTGTGGGAGGCTCAGGAGAAAACCAAGCGGAGGTGACATAGAAAATAAGAGTTGGCTCCAGCGCTTGATTATTGAATGAGGGCGGGATTTGCAATGCTTGGTTGCTTACTTGAGCAGAGTATATATATGCCTAGGGGTCTGCCAAACGACACGCACATATTGGCTGAAAGAAGGTTTGCTGAGGCGTAAAATGCGATACAACTTCTGTATATTACCGGGCCGAGATACAAGAGTTCATGCAAGCTTCACAGATCAAAAGAGACTCTGTACCATTACCTGGCTACCGAAGATACATAGATACACGAGATCTGAAAGCTTTCGGATTTGGTCATTGGATGGAATTCCTCACAAAGTCAACGTGTACAATTGGCAAACTTTGACCAAGATCGGCCTTAAAACCAACAAGACTAGGTAGGCAAGAGGCACGTAAACAAAATTAAACGCAAACGAGAAAACACTGAATCTGTAGCAAGCAAACCAGATAGAGCCAGAAGCGCTGGTGTGGGGAAGGCAAGGGAGCGACTTCTTGGCTCGAGCTTGTGAAGCGGCAGTGACGATCGAAGGCTCCACATCAGCCGGGCGGCTCTTTGCAGGTGACTGACTTACTGATTCTCCTGGAGCAGCCCTGTACACCTCCCGAGCCTTGTCAAAATACGGATCAGTATGCTTCTCGAATTTGCGGTGCGACAGCTGGTAGAGGCAGGGTAAGTGGCGGACGAAAGAGCCAAGAGATCTCCGTGGAGAGTGTACACTTAACAGATCGATGCATGAAGTCCATTTCATCGAGTGAGCCAGCGGCCAGCCCAAGTTTCACACTTGTGAACTTCTACCAAGAAAAACAGAGCCCTGCGGCCTAATTTCCCGGCGAGTGCTGTTGATGATGATTCGCTCGCTCCTTTTTTAAGTGCTGGCATAGAATGCCTCCATCGATAACATGTTGGTTATCGGGAGTCCGGAGCTTGTTTGTGTTTCAGCTCACTTTTGAGATGGAATGCCATGCAGAAGATGCGATCATAGCCCCTGCGAAGCCTCAATGAGCCGTGAAACCATGGTCTCTCGATCCATAGAATGGACCGCAGTGAGGTCCCAGCAGTTTGGACTGATAGTGGGATTGGCTGGCGGACGAGGCTGTCGAGGAGGTATATCTCGGACAGATTAGGTGCTGCTGAAGGTGCGAGGTGCTGCGGAGAGGATACAAGCTTCCCATGCCGTTCGTGCGAGGGTCATTGCATGTGGCTGTGCTTGACTTTGATGAAGTCACGAACTCGATTGTGGGCATGATCGTGTATGCGGTGTGGAAGGCTGGATCTCGCACACGATCTGGTGTGATGGACGAAGGCTGGAGGGAGTGTGTTCTTCTGTCATCCGCGGCATCAGAGAAGGAGAAGGCATTTGTTTAGCGAGTTTTCTGCAGTGGACGTTCCCTGTCTCGCCTGTCCAAGTCCCTGTCCAAGTCCCTGTCCAAGTCCAAGTCCACCCGCCGACGCTGCTCGGTGTCCTGATATCGCTAAATCAAGCTTCTCCATACGCCGAGAACAGGAGGGACAGGGACCCTGGAAGCTCAGCGCTTCGCTCCGTTCCCTTGTGGGTTTGATCTGAGATGGTCCCAAAATACTACAGTACTGCACTGTAACTTACTCCGTACGCTGGCCAACACTCGCTTCGAAAGTCAAATTCCATTCCAACTTCTAATGCTGGTCATCGGTCATCATCAATTCAATGTCAGATTATGAGACAGAACGTGCATAGAAGAACGAGATGCGTGGAGATGAACTGAGAGGCACACACACATAGCACACACACATACACACACACACGCGCCAGTCTCCCCTTGGTAAGAGGAAGTCTGACTGCGCCATCCTGCTGGATGGAGCGAGCCAGCACAGCCACGGGCCAGGCTGACTGGAGTACGTGAGGTATTCCGTGGGGAGAGCCTTGCTAAATGGAAGGTAGCCAGCAACTCCACAGGCTAGAGAGAGGTGGGCTTGTCTGTGCAGGTGCAGGTGCAGGTGCTGGTGGATAGCAGTAAGTATTCCATTACTGCACCTGGCCAGCAAGTACCTACCTACCTTGCTCTCACCACTGGTGCCGCTCTCATTACTGGACCCAAACCAGTGCTGCAACCCCTGACTGACTTACCTTACCTGCCTGTAAATTTACTAGACAGACTCTATCGCGGTGGCCTTCCCTGTCCTGCCCCAGGTCAGTTGTTGGAGCTCTCTCAGGGTCCGTGTCTGTCGCCTGCGTCTGTGTCTGTGTCTGTGTCTGGTGCATTATTGTGTACCATTGTTGCATCGCATCGACATCTCTCACATCTGCCCGCAAGTCAGCCTACCTTACCTAGCCTAGTACAGTACAGTACTCTTACCCTCACCGCACCGGAAGTCTGTCTGCTCGCTCTCGCATCTTCCTGGCCATCTCGATTGGATGTCATGCTCTGTCGCAAAGGCAGTCTCTCGAGGCGTTCTCGACTGACTCTCTGCTCTCCTTGCTCCCTCCTGTCAAACTCAAACGCCAACAGCCTGCCCATGTTTAAGCCCATGCCACCATGCCACCCATGCCCATACTCCGTAACTCACCAGCACTTACCATGCCAGCCATGCCAGCCATGCCAGCCATGCCCGCAGCTTATCGTTAGCTCTAGCGGCAATCGCATCCCCTCCCCCCTCCCCCCTCCCCTCTACCCGCAAACTCTCCTGGCTCCCTAACCTTGTCTTCTCTCCAACTTCCTGTACTTGCGACCTCCATGTCTTCAACCCTCGGGCCCCATCATCAGAACTGAAATACATTCTGTCGCGTCGCATTGCGATTCTGCTTTACCCATCTCCCGCTTTCGGAGATCGACCTCTTTTCTTACCAGTTCCCAGCTCCGAGCTCCCAGCTCCCTCCCCCAATCTGTGCACTCCACTTCAACTCCGCTGCTATTTCGAGCTCGAGATTTCGTCTGAACAACAGCCGCGCTGCATACCTGCCGCCCTACTACAATTTCCCAGTTCCCAAGGCTGCACATCATGGTCACTGCCCTGCCTGCTGCCTCTTGACACAAGCCGACCCAACACACGCTCAACCGAGCTCCATCAAGCACAACCCTTTCTTTATAATAGACCAAGATCCAACATAGCCTCCTCCTCCTGTCATACCGATGTCTTCAACATACCCGTCTACCTCCCCTCTTGTCGACCATCATAGCTCGAAAGACTTCGACGACCTGGGCCTGAATCACAACGTACCTACCACTCCATTCGGAACAACTCTTTTGTCACCATATACTCACTCCCATACGCTCAGTAACTCTGCCAGTCCTTCATACACTCCAGGAGAGTCGGATTATACCAACTATCAATCCAGCGAATTGGACGAAAGTGACCCCTTCTTTGGCGTGAACTTTGACGACGGTGTACAACGGACAGATTCGATCCCGACAACAGCAATACACGGAAACGTTGCGTACCCATCAACGTACCAATCTGCTGATCTCAACCGCCCACTACCTGCCCTGCCAACAGGCTTTCAAAGTCAATCGACCAGCGCGAGCTTTAGTAACTCGGGATACCCCATCAGCCCAATCCATAGCAGCATACACAACACACCGTCGCCAAACGGCGCAATCAATGACATAAAGAACAATACTGCGATTTCTCAGCACGAGCTGACCAGCGGTTTGCGCAACGAGCGCTTTCCAAGCGGGCAGTCACTGGCGCCAACAACCACTTCTGTTCAGCTGACTCCAGACCAAAGTGGAAGCAGTAGCCACACAAGCGGCGAAGGTGTCGGACCAAGCACCATGCCATCTCGTCCTGAACAAAGCCCCCATCTCATGGTCTCCCTCTGGGAAGATGAGCAGCAACAAAATCCCCTGTACCCCTTTGTCCAGTCGACTCAACAATATGGCGCAACAAATAGCCGGGATTTTGCTGGTCAAATACCCGTCCAGCAACCTCAACATCGCTCGCATGCTGTACAGAGAGACGATGATGGATCCTGGCGAACCAATGAAGTAACTGGGCAGCGCGGGTTGGACCCAGAAACGAGAAAGGTGGTCGCAAATGTAGAAATTTCCACGCTGAAGGAAGAGGAGGATAGGCGGAAGATACTTCACAAGAATAGCGAAGTCGAAGAGTGGAGATCCCAAGCTGGCGGAAGCAGTGACGACGAACAACCCTCTCCGTCTTACTTACCTTCGCGCCATGAAAATTGGTACATAAGAGGTGATACTGGCAGCAGGCGAACTCAGGAAGAGATAGATAACGACATTCCTCCTCTTGACGATGACCGAGCTAGCCTCCATGAGAACCGTCTTGTTGATGGCCAGACATACTTTGATCTCACCAGCGATCATATCAACGATGCTGATAAGGCTGAGCTCGTGAACCATACGCGAATCTGGAAGGATGCTCCATCCGTTCCATACATCAAAGACGACGACTTCCACCAACCGCAAACTGCAAATGAGGCCATGATGAAGTACAACTTTCATGCTGATGCCATCTCCATTGCATCACGTGCAGCCACTTGGGGGACGAGGCGAAAGAGCGAGCCCAGCCTGGCGGACTTCGAAGGAGTATCTGACGGCAGTTTCCTGAAGAAGTTGTCTATCAGTAGCGGAAAGGGGAGAGAAGGCAACCGTCCACGTCAAAATAGTATCTTCGATCAAGGCTTGGATCGGTTGGCAAATTTCGCGCGAAAGAGAAGTGACAGCAAGCTCAAGCGCACGCGCAGTACCCAGAATATTCCTGAAGAAGCAGAAGCTCCCCAGTACCCGAGACACAACAGCCAAGGTACTCTGGCTCCACCAATGAGAACTCCTAGCTTTGGCAAGAGACCGACACCTAACATAAATACCGCTTTCGTCGCCATGGCTGGCCCTCTTGCAGCTGTTGGCACAACCCACACTCGTCGTACCTCTGTCGGGGCGACGACGACGTCTCCCAAAAGTCCAGTCCATCTGGGCTTCGCCAAGAATATAATCAAAAGGGCCAGAAGCAGAAGTGAATTGACTTCTCAAGAGAAGGCAGGACAAACAGGGCTTGCAGATCTCTGGAGAAGCCAAGGCGGTCCACCTGTGCTGGCAGCACCACCAAGCCAGGTAGAGGCAATTCGACCTGAGCTGCCACATCTGGACACCCAGGAACGTGACGAGGACGATGACGAAGACGATGAAGCAGACGAGAATGACCCGAAACTGGCATTTGAGCAAGAGGCAGACCCTATCGAACCGACATACGATGGGTTCAAAGCCCACGTCCGCCGCTTGAATCCTGACATGGACCCACGCCATAAGTGGCTTGTGAGTAGAATCGCCCACCAGCAGGAGATTCGATACAAGAACTTGCTCGATTTGAGAGTCAAGCACTCACAAGCCATCAATGCGCGAAATTGCTCCGCTGGGCCTCATTGCTTGTCCTTGGGAGGGACAGTGGTCTTAACAGATGCCAAAGGAAACCCACGCGAACCAGACCGAACTCCTTCGGGCCTTCATATTGTAACAGACTTCTCTGACAACGATTCTAATCCGGGTGAAGGGGCGTTAAATGAGGATACTTTCCCTCAAGGGGTTCCAATGCCCCCAACCAAGAACCTTCCAGCTGAGTTTGAGTGTCAATTGTGCTTCAAATCCAAGAAATTCCAAAAGCCATCAGACTGGACGAAGCATGTCCATGAAGATGTACAGCCCTTCACGTGCACTTACGATAAGTGTAAAGAGCCGAAGTCTTTCAAGAGGAAAGCAGACTGGGTGCGTCATGAGAATGAGAGACATCGTCACCTTGAGTGGTGGGTATGCCAGGTGGAGGATTGTAGACACCCTTGCTATCGGAAAGACAACTTCCTCCAGCATCTTGTTCGTGAGCACAAGTTACCTGAGCCGAAGCAGAAAACGAAAGCAGCCATCAAAAAGGCCCGCTTGACCGAACCCGCCTGGATACTGTTGGAACGATGCCACCACGAGACACAGCAACGACCACAAGATGAGCCCTGTAAATTCTGTGGCAAATCTTTCCCGACGTGGAAGAAATTGACAGTGCACCTTGCCAAGCATATGGAGCACATCAGTCTTCCCATTCTCCGTCTGGTTGAAGCGAAAACAGTCGATGCAAACACAATCATCAGTCCAGTCGGCGAGCAGATTCTTACACCAGTGACCCCCATCAGTCGGGCGAAAATGGAATCACAGAGTCCATTTAATATGGACAGCATTTCTCCCCATATCCCAACCACTTCGCAATTTGCCTCGACAGGGTTCGAGCAACCCTCATATTTCCAAACTGCTGGCTCATCTAATGGTTATGGTATTCATGGTTCAATGCAGCAAGAGGTCCACTACACAAATAACAACCACAGTCATCATATGTATCCAAATACATTTGGTGCCCAGCACATGGATCAGTCTCGCGTTTTCAATAATATAGATTCGAGCAACATAGGCCACCTAGATCAATCCCGTGCTTTTGGATCTATCGATTCTGGCTTCTCGCATCCCAAAGTTGAATCGGTTCGAGGCTTTGAGTCCATGGATTCTAGTTTCTCTAATTCGATGACCAACCAGATTCCCAACCAGATCACCAACCAGAACTACAACATGCAGCAAACATCAGGGTACTCGGTCCCGCAAACCTTCTCTACTGCACCACCGGTCTCAGGTTATCCGACTTCGAATATGTTAGGAGTCGACGAATCTGGTTTTGGGTTCGATCCAATGGCCGTCAACGGAGGCCAAAATTTCCCTCAAGTTCCAATGAGCCGAGCTCATGGTAGTGCATCTTCGTACGGGAACTCGCCTCAAAGTGTGCCTCAGATGCCCTACTACGGTCATCAATGATGATATTTTATGATTTACGTGTTTACGCTTGGAGGCGTTTGGAAGCTGGATATTTCTCTCCTATATAGATGAGACGGTGTTATGACCTCATGTTTTGTGTTGCGTTTATAGATACCAGGACGTACGTCTTTATTGTTTTTCTCCTTCTCGATTGATATAAACCATGGTGGATGCTCTAAGCAATACGATGCATAGTTACGATGCACAATGTCAAGTCCATATATCTCTTTTTCTGCTCTGTTTATTTACAGACAAGGAAAGTTTCGTGGTGCAGAGTATGTGCTATATTTATTGATACTCAGAGTTGGTATTTTCCAAACCAAGTCACGATATGAACAATCGCACATAGAGTGCCCGACTATTTCTTCCCAGTCTACCTTATATCCAACCCTGAAGCTGTTGTACTCGTGCTCAATCTTATTACGGCATTGGGGTCTGCTTTTCCTGGATTAAATCCAGTGGAAAGCCAAGCGCATGCCATTTAGCTCAATTACATCATTCATCTTTATCAGGATCTTCCGCATTAGAGCATTGGGTGGGCATTATAACATTAATAATGGTCATGCTTAGGACACGCTCAAGTAGATTTTTCAATTAGAGATATTTCTCTCACAACATCTATATGCTTTGCAGTGCCTACAAGGTACGAGTAGCAGCGTGCTATGGGACTTCCGGCGACTCAGTCCTCTCAAGTCTTCTCAATTGGGTATGACGAAAATGGGTCTCTCCACTACGCCATATAAGCTCTTTGTGGCTAGTCAAGGGAAACCGCCTATCAGCCCTACCCGTTACAGGGATAATGACGGATATTCCCAGCATCATTCGGGCAACGGCTTCAATTTCAATCTCCCATCGTTCCTCTAGAGGTCATGATCGCTTCCCATAGAGTATACACTACCATGATCCGGTCTTCGCTCCATCATGTTTCGTCACTAGATCGACGATCTGGAAGGTTACTTTGAACCCAGTGGTTCTTCTGAAATCTAGACTCTCCTCGATTCAAAATGCTTTGAGTATGGTCTCAGGTCACCTTGTGATCTCTTTCCCTCGTGATAGTACTGGATTTTTTAGTCGGGTTCGGATCCATTAAATACTTCGATGGACCGCACCTCTCTGATCGGAAAGTGACTTTGCTCTTCCCGACACCTCCCAATCCATCTCAATCGCATCATGACCATGGCTTCAGTCGTCGCTGCCACACTCCCTGCTCGTGCTGAGGCACCCATCACATTCAAATGTGTTTTGTTATGCAGTTTCGCAGCCTTTGGCGGTATCCTGTTCGGCTACGACTCGGGTTACATCAACGGCATCCTGGCCATGAACAAGTTTCACCATGATTTCGGCGTTCCCTCCTCTGACGCCAACGCCTTCGGAGGGCACCTCCTGCCCTCCTGGCAAAAATCCTTAATGACTTCTATCCTCTCACTTGGCACTTTCCTTGGTGCCTTGCTCACCGGATGGGCTGCTGATCGCTGGGGTCGCAAGAATACGAATATCGTGGGTTGTGCTATCTACATTGTTGGTGTTGTTCTTCAGGTTGTGACAGACGGGAATTTTGCCTGTCTTACGTCTGGAAGAGCTATTGCTGGCCTGGGTGTGGGATTCGTGTCGGCTTGTGTTATTATGTATGTTAGTGAGATCACGCCCAAGAGCATCAGAGGCCGGGTTGTTGGTGGATATTAGGTCAGTACTCAATAGTTCCGACTCATTGTCATCATTCAACTCGTACTGACTCTCGAATAGTTTGCCATCACGATCGGTATCTTCCTCTCCGCATGCGTCAACCTCGGAACTAAAGACTACACCAACACGGGCGCTTATCGCATCCCCATTGCCCTTCCAATTTGCCTGGGCTCTCATCCTCGGCATCGGCCTCCTCTTCTTCCCCGAATCTCCTCGCTACTACATCATGAAAGGTGACGAGGAACGGGCTCGCGAGTCTCTTTCCAGGCTCCGTGGTCAGCCAGCCAACTCACCCTTCGTCCTTGAGGAGACTGATGAGCTGCAGGAGAGCTGGATTCAGGAAGTCAGTGCTGGGGCTGGGTCTGGGAGTTTCTTTTCGTGTCTTGGTGGAGGATTGAAAATGGGAAGTAATTTGCATCGGACTTTTATTGGGACTTCGGTGCAGGTCATGCAACAGTTAAGTGAGTAATCCGTTTCCTTACATATCATATCATTGGAGTTGTGCTAATATTTCTACGGCTGGTGTAAACTTCATATTTTACTTTGGAACTTCCTTTTTTAAGACTATTGGTATCAAGAATGCCTTCATCATTTCGATCATTTTGGGTGCTGGTAAGTAGATATCCTTAATACACTGTGGAGACTACATATACTCACAAGCATATAGTCAACGTCGCATCTACCCCCGTGGCTTTTTGGACAATTGACAAGTTAGGTCGCCGCCCTCTCCTTTTCTGGGGCGCCATCGGCATGTCCATCTGTGAATTCATCGTCGCCATTTTCGGAACCACGACCGGCGGGGCCATCGCTCACAAGGTACTCATTGCCTTCGTGTGTATTTACATCTTCTTCTTCGCTTCAACCTGGGGACCTACCGGCTGGGCTGTCTCCGGAGAGGTGTTCCCTCTTACCATCCGCTCCAAAGGAATTACACTCAGCACCGCTTCAAATTGGCTTTTCAATTTTGTCATTGCGTCCGTTACTCCTTATTTTGTAGACGAGGATAAAGCCAACTTGCAGTCGAAAGTGTTCTTTATTTGGGGAAGCACATGTGCGATGGCTGCTGTTTATGCGTGGTTTGTGGTCTACGAGACGAAGGGGTTGAGCCTGGAAAAGATTGACGTTATGATGAGGGAGGTTTATGCATGGCAGAGTCCTCGATGGAACGAGAATGTGAGACAAGCAGTGATTGAGAAGGTTGAGGGTGAGGGCGCTGGCCGATCTGCTCCGAGTGAGAAGAGTCCAGAAGCGTCGCCTGAGAGAGCCAATGATAGAGAGCAGTAGTTTGTGTATCAAGTATTGGTCCGGGGTATGTCTCTATGTGGAGTACAATAACTGGATGTAATAAAAGTTACTAGGCATACTGTAATTTGTTGCGGTTCCGAGCTCCTGGTAGTTTTCGAAGATAATAATATATATTATCAAGCAGGGTAGCGGACGAGTAAACAAATATCGAACATATTAATTCGAGCTGTTCTTACTCCCTGTGACTATTTACATGGACTTTTGCTAAACCAAGCATCTCTACTGAGGAGAATCATCATCTCTTGACGTTACCCCTCTACCCCTGTCTATTGTTGTCGTCGCCTAACGTAAGTTTAGCTCAGGCCTAGGTGGAGAGTGGGGGTCATAAAATACCCGACAGTATCTTTTCCGCTCCTCAAAACCAGAATCAAGAATTACAATGAATGTATCAAGCTTTCAAAATGTCATACTAACACGAATTATCAGAGGCTCTTCAATCAGATAATGAGTATCTCTCTCCACTAAGCTTCTCCCTCATCTCGAATCTAATAAAGGAATGATCCTGCGAATCCCAAAATTGCCGAAACTCGGCAAAGTTGGGATCGTCTTCGCATGTTCACTTGCGACGACACTCGCTCTTTACAGCATCTTGAGAGTACGTTCACCACGCAAGAAAATCATCAAAAGTCCACGGCAATGGCAGATGCGCAGTCTTTCCAAGGAGGAGCGAGATGAGCTACCGTATCCGCCAGATGTGCTGCCCGGTGGGAGAGATGTGACAAGTCCTGTATGTCAGCTGAGTCAAAATACCTACACATCTTCATTCCTAAGATGGACAGGCCATGGAGAACTGACGTTTTGACCAGTACGGCACAACAAGAGTCTACGAGTGGGGTCCCGAAGACGGGCGAAAGGTACTCTTTGTCCACGGCATCAGCACACCATGCATAGCACTGAGTAACATTGCCCACAGCCTCGTAGCCAAAGGGTGCCGAGTCCTGCTATTCGACCTCTTCGGTCGTGGATACAGTGATAGCGTTGACCTGCCCCACGATACACGTCTGTACAGCACGCAGATCTTGCTCGCTGTCACTTCATCCCCTATTCCGTGGATGCCAGGAGGGTTTAGTGTCATTGGGTACTCGCTTGGTGGGGGAATAGCTGCCGAGTTTGCAGTTGCGTTCCCGGAGATGGTGAAGGGTGTTGTGCTGCTTGCTCCTGGGGGATTGTTTCGATCAGAGCATTTTGGGTGGCAAACTCGGCTTATGTATTCTGGCTTTCTGCCTGATAGATTTGTAGAATGGATCGTGAGAGGGAGGCTTGGAGGACGGCCGGCCGAAAGACCCGTTATGAAGATAGGAAGTGAAGAGGAACCATCGCTCGGTGATGAAGCGAAGGGGAACCGAGACCCTAATTTTGATAACGCTGTTGTTATGGAAAGTAGGCCAAATGTCACAGTTGCGGACGTAGTGAGTTGGCAGTTAGAGGAGCACACGGGCTTTGTAAAGAGCTTCGTGAGTAGTATGATGTGGGGTCCTATTGAAGGGCCGAGACCTTGGTGGAGGGTTCTGGGGGAGAAGGATGAGAAATTATTGGCTATTGCGGGGGAGAGAGATGCGATCGTGCTGGTGGAGGAGTTGAGGATTGATATTGAGATTGCAGTTGGAGTCGGGAGAGTCGACTACAGGGTTTTAGAGGGACAGGGCCATGAGTTTCCGATTGCGGCGTCAGAGAAGGTTGTCAAAGAGGTGGCTGAATTCTGGGGCATATAGATATAGAGGGTTTGTGCTTGGTAAGATTTTCAATGCACTGTTTGGCGCCCTTTTGTTTGTACCCTTTTCATGATTTTTTCTTGGTCTGATTTTAGCATAAGGTTGCAAGATTTTATCGTCAATGTTGATATTTCTATGTGTTTTGGTTACATACTTACAGAACCCTAGATCTGTTTCATATGAGTGTCATTATACGTACAGCCTCAAGTGGTGCCATTTTGAGTTCACAATAGTGAAGTTTGGTAGTCCGCCACCTTACATTCATTACCTTTCAAGTGCATGCCGATCTAGTTTCCTCTCGAACAATAATTTATCACATGCCATCAGAAGGCTACGAGGCTCATGCTACTCGAATATCAGTTTGTTCAATCACACTTCCCGCTCTTAGATGGAGCTAGTCTTGGGCTGGCATTTAGTTGCATGCTCCTACTATCAACTCTATGTAACTCAGACGAAATTATATTGTCGAGTGACTTGTGACAGACAGGTATTTAGCTTTCAATATAAGGTCTTTTCAGCACTGGTTCATTGTGTGACTAGACTTCTCGTCAACAAGTAGCTTCTCTGGCCTCAACAGTGGTTCAAAGATATAGCGTACCACAAGTACATGAAGTAGTGCCTCGGAAGATATATTCACGAGACCCTGACTTGAACCTAAGAACTCTAGCTTGTACCTAAGTTGTATTTAAGACTCATTTCTCTGGTCAACAGCTTTTCCTTCTCTTCATCTTCCATCATTCTGAACTCAGTACTCTGCAAGCTCAATCTTCATATATCTGACTTCCTGCTTCGCTCGACCAGACCTCCGTCTCTCGAATATTCTTCCAAGCTCTATTCTTTACAGAGCAAATATTCATCATGTCTTCCACCATGAAAACCACCCTCTCAGCCTCCGCTCTCATCGAGGCCCTCTCCAAACTCGCACTCTCAGACAACATTTCTGAGACCAGCGACGACCACTCCACCTCAAGTAACGACACATCGGATTTCAACGACCGCAGTATTGATGTGCGAGACGCTAGACTCGCTAATGCGATTCTATGTCTCGACGAGGATATTCCAGAAGGCCTTGATAGTTCCGTCAAAGACCTCCTCCAGAAGCACGCTAGTAGCACCAACGCTAGCGCTTTGGGACCAATGTCATTCCTGGTCTCAGACCATTACCTGGAGTTCAAGGCGGCACAAGCTGCTAAGAAGGCCACGGAGAAAAAGCTTCCTCGGTCGAAGGGCAGCACTGCACGAAAATCCGCGATCTGCCCTCTAAGCGACAACAATCAACAACCACAACCATAGACATCAACATCATCGCCAGAAAAAGAAGAGAAAAAGCCGAAGACGCTCTTCTAGTGGACCACACACCATGAGGCAAATTCAAAATATCCAATATCAACAACGCGTCAAATCATTTGTGCGCACTAAGTTTTGATGAGGTAGTCAGGCTAAATCTACTGCCTTGACGTCGTCAACCTGGAATCAATACCGTCGGATTCGAAGTTACCCAACCCTCACTATGGACAACGGGTACCACCAAACACAAGCCAACACAAAGGGGCTCAAAATTCCAAATGAGTCACACCGAAGAAGAAGAAGCAGATATCCACAAAGCAAAATCTACCAGCGAAACCTCTCCGAAAATAGTAAGTCCCTCTATCCTGACTATGGTTCCTATTCCAAGCGAAGGAAATTCTGACGTGCAGCAGGCGAGAAGTCAACCAAAACATCAACCTACCGCGGTAATTAGATCGCAAGTTCTCACCCACAGTGCATCTTTTCGTGGTGGCAACTAATATCAAGTAGGAGAAACTCGATACTGGTTTAACAATGCTGTGAACCCGACCATGAAGACTCAATGCCATGGCGAATAAATCCCTTACTCCTCTCTCCTCTCTCACACACACACTCTTGCGGAGCACCAAAAAAACACAAAAACACAAAAACACAAAAAAAACACCAACCCCCCCCCCCCCCCCCCCCCCTCACACACACAAAACCATACCATCATAAAAAAACCTTACCAAATATCCTCCTTGTCGGATAACATCAAGACAAGGTCCTCCCGCCTTCACGGGTTGTGGGAGCCCACCTTGGTTCTGTGCTTTCGCGTAGCGGTGGGCGTCAGTAATCTCTTCTTCATCGTCACTTTTGTGATGGATGAGAAGGTGATGAAGCTAAAGCAGAACACTTATTGCGTAGTTGTCAGTACGTTTGATATGCTGGCGAGAATTACCTCATCGTTGCCGGGTATGCAGACGCAAGCCAATTTATATCTTCAATGCTGTGGATACCATGATATCGCTGACGAGGTTGGTGATTCTGGACTTCTAATCCATAGAAGCTGACTTCATAGTCAAGGACAAAGTTTGGGGTAAAACATGGATAAGTATAAATGTGTTTACGCGCTCATCATTAAACATCCTGCTCACAAACGCCCATATCAAGTGTCCTTAAAAGCTGGGAGACATTGCACACATTTAGCTGCCACGACTTTCTGTCCATAGTGTGTCATGCCACTCTAGGTGCATATATCAAAACCCAAAGCTAGGACAAGTCTCTGGCTGTCTTCTCTCTATCCAAATGCTGTTGCCATTTTTATAAGATTGTGGCTAGATAGAGAGGCACTGACACAGCAATGCCTGTAAACAGACCCTTGAACTTTTGTTTGTTTTGAGTTGATTTTTAGCGAGATTGTGGAACAGTGGTGCATGACTGCGTCAGCGCCGCGAGGTATTACTGAAAAGCTCAATCATCCTATAGCTTTCTCGAAAGATTAGGAATAAATGAACTCTCTCTTCTTTTACCAAGTATCGAACGCGACTTGCATTACCCTGAAGATGATAGATAAACCATGCAAGGGGGCGATGAAAGCCACGACGCCAGCGAACCATTCGCATCGAATCTTTTTCAACAAACAAGGTATTCGTTGTAAATTATAACTACTTGTGTCAAAAGTTGAAGTTTATTCTGAGGTGTCAACACTGATAGGAACTTGTCACGGCGAGTACCATGTGAATTAAACCGATTTAGTCAATACTGACTCTGTCATTGCTCAATTTCTCGTCCTCCCTTGATATGTACTAAGACAGCTCAAACTTCCATTCTATACTAACCCAACAAATTAAAACATCTATTCACGAAGGTATCTAGCTTTCACATGATGACAGCAGTATTTCCAGCAGAAAAGCTCTTTCGGATGCCTTCCCCATTCGACTTCACCTCCTAGCCGACGGTCAAGAAATAGGTGAGTTATTAACACGCATCCAATATGTCTGAGCAAGTGCGTCTCTATCATCAAGGCACACCCAGCTCCCAAAGAGCGGAACACGAAGCTTCCATATAGATTACCGCAAGTTCTTGGGAGAAGTTGCTCAATCTATCCCGTATGATCCTGTGCGTGATGCCTTGGTCTGGGTTCATAAACCACAGCAACCTAGTGGCGTGCCATTCCTTTTGGAGAATGGAGGAGAGAAAATGTTGCACAGAGCTCTTGCTGCATTAGTTGATTCTTCAAAGTCAGGTATGGAGGCTGTTGACCTCTACAGCTTCTCACCTCGGGTAGTACTCAGAAGACTTTGCAACGATGTAGCCGAAAAGGACCATGACTACCCAGCAGATACCCAGCTGAAATATGAGATTGGGCAACCAGAAATCAATTTGAAGACATCTCCAGATCATGATTCGCCCAAAATCGACTTTCCAACATCCAAGTACGAAAACAACCTTCATCGCTACTCGCTTCCAGCCCCTATTCTGCGTACCCAAAAGTGCTAATCCTCAGCCAAGAAGCGCGTACATTTCAGTCCACCTGCCAGCCACCCTGAAACTCCATCGCGTCAACTCGCGTCTCCTTCACAAATCCACGCGTCAAGTCACCACTCCCCAAATCCAAAAATGTCCGCAACATCACCACCCCACTCACCCCTCCCAAAACGCCAAAAACCGAATCCAACATCCCTATCTCAATCAGAACTTCCATCCCAATCGATCGAAGCAGCCATGTCCGCCGCCGAAGCCCCAGTCCCCGTTACCAAAGTCTCGGCAGCGCCGCCTCTTCTGATCAAGAAGTTGAGCGACAAGGCCCGCTTGCCTACGAGAGGGAGCGCGTTCGCCGCGGGCTATGATCTGTATGCTGCGAAGGATACGGTCGTTCCTTCAAGGGGAAAGGTCTTGGTTGATACGGATATCAGTATGGCTGTGCCGGAAGGAACTTGTTTGTCATACCTTTCTCTCTATTTACAAGAGTCAATTGAAGATTTTCTAATACTTGTCTGTTCTCTAGATGGTCGAATTGCACCCCGCTCTGGTCTGGCTTCCAAGCATATGATTGATACAGGCGCTGGAGTCATTGACGCGGATTATCGCGGCCAGGTCAAGGTCCTGCTCTTCAATCACGGCGAGAAGGATTTTGAGGTCAAGGAGGGGGATCGTGTTGCGCAGTTGGTTCTGGAGAGGATTTATACGCCAGAAGTACTTGAGGTCAAGGAGTTGGAGGAGAGTGTTAGAGGTGCTGGGGGATTTGGAAGTACCGGGTAGAAGGCGTTCGAGATCTTGCTCTATAGGCTAAGGTTGGGTTTATGGGGAAGATATGACTGGATGATAGGAGTTAATGGATGGGATCATGGAAAATAGACGAGAGACGACAGACGTCCGGCAAGCCAGAGGCAGGAAATCCCCGTTTGCTCGTGATTAGACGTGGATATATCTAAACAATCCAAAGACACTGCCAAACCCAACGCCGCTTGAAACTCAACACCATCTGTCTATCTATCCAATCTATACCTTCTCTGCCGTAAATTTCACTTCAGGGAATTTCAAGCAGTCCAAATTCCGCACAAGTCTAACCTCTGCCGCCTTCGACGTAACCAGCTTCAACTTCTTCGCATCTGCTTCTGAATCTCGTGCACCAACCCGGCTATGATATTTCTCCAGTTCTTCGTCTCTTTGCTTTTTCGTCCTCGTCAGAACTTCATGCATACTAGCAAGTACTTTCTCCGTAGCTTTCGCAAGTGGTAATTCTGTAGCTTCGACCTCATCCCCGCTAACCCACGCAGCAGTGTCCATCAGCCCCTCCGTGTTGTTCACAGCTTCTCTGAGTCGAACCAACATTAGCGCTGCGAACATGTCTCCTGTGCCACTAAAGAAACAATCTATAGCTGGGATCTTGATTCCAAAGATACGTGGTGTCGCACTGGAAGTGAAGGTCGAACCGACAACGGAGAGAGATGGTGTTGCGCCTGGTGTTGGGAAGGCTATCGAGGTGATCAGGATGTGTGGGATTCTGTACTGCTCGTGTAACGTCGTTATGGCTTGCTTCAGGGTTTCCATATCCACAATTTTCACTCCTGACAGAGTTCTAGTCTAATCAGCGATACGCTCCTTACCTGAACGCAAGACTCCAAACCTACTCTGCCTCGAACTGATTCGGTAGTATCAAATCAGCATCCTTGATCAAGTCTTTATATGCTGGCACTACATCCTCTGCGACATACAACTTCCCATTATCTCCCATGACCGGATCGAGCACCCAGAAGAAACTGCCGGGTTTCATTGTAGATTTGTATTTCAGATCTCGTGCGATGGTTCCGACTGCATTGACGGAGGCTGCACCAGGGAGGTAACCAGAAAGCATCATTTGGAAATCATCGAGGTAGGAATCTTTGAGGCCTTGGTACAAATCTGTAATTTCTTCCGCTGTCGCACGGGTGCCTTTTGCTTGACCGTATCCTAGATGATTGCCTGTATCTCTCGTCAGCTATGTCCCCCTTTCGACTGCTGACAGGTGGCGGAATCTTACTGAATTGTACAGTGTTGAGAGCAGCTACTTCACAGCCCAGAGACTGCATTGCGAACGTCGCCATGGTGTTTCCGACATATCTTTGTAAGACCTTAGTCCCCCGCTGTAACGTAGTCTTCAAATCGCAGACTCACCCGTAAACAACCTTCAGCACTGTCAGTCTCGTCCTAGGAATCGGTGTGGTATCCCTACATGACTGGCAACCGCAAGCACGCGGGTTTCGGGCACTGGGTGCTCGGAAGACATTGCTGCGTTTGCAGATGAGGATATGGCTGGAAGATAGCAGTGGTAGGAGGAGAGAAAATGAGACTTATGAAAGGTTACAAAAGAAAGCCATACAGAATTATTGCCAGCGCGAGTCGCATTCTTGCTTCCTCAGAAATTAAATTCTTATCTCGGAGTCATGGTCGCTGTGACAGAGGTGGGGTTGATCTTCCTGCGGTCTACCCCGCACTAGACCTAAAGCGAGTTGAGACCTGCACATGAGAAATGCACATTCCAAATATGAGCTGGTTGTGCGTAGTAGAGTCAGATGGGAAAGTTGCATTTCTTCATGTCGTAAACACGTAGTTTCGGGTACAGAAAATTCCATAGTCTCGCCCATGCATGTAAAAAAAACAGCAGTCGTCCGTATCCATAAAGTCAACCATCACGCCGCATTTTGTAATATGCTGAAAACCCCCATACCGTCATTTATTACCGTACCGCCATTAAACCATCTATTCTTCATCACCAATCTAAATAAATAGTTAGCAAATGTCAATCAAGTAGACAGTAGATAAATTACCTTAGGAGCCAGGTAGAACCGAAGGTAACTGCTTCCAGCCAAGGCATATTCGACCAACAGAGGGACTTCGTTGGAAAGGCAGAGCTTGACAGTCTTTGACAGACCAGCGGCTTTGCAGAAGTTGACGAGGTATTTGAGGGAGAATGTCAAGGAGACAGGCTCAGTGAGCTCGATCTCAACGTTCAGGTCTGGCTTCTCGACGTTGCTGTGGCTTCTCAGGGTAACGGCACCGTTTCCAATATCACCAGAGCAAGAGAATTTGACACCGTCCTTTGATGCTTCGATCGAGACTGTTTACCATGTGTTAGCTAAGAGGAATCAAAGCAAGGAGAGGGGAAACATACCGGACTCAGAGAGTGCCATAAGATCTCTACAGATTCTGCTGAACTCTGAAGAAGGCATGCTAATGGTAGCAGCGTACTCTGTATCTGGAATACCCAGGTGCTCCTGGTCGATATCCATGAGCTTCAAGTCATACTCGCTCAACCTGTCACTCTCGCTGCTCTCGAAGACCAAGTTGAGCACATCAGGGGCATCCTCTGCCTTAATGGTCAGGATATCCTCATTCTGGGCGGCGCGGAGCACTTTTGTAAGGGACGTGAGGTTGAGACCAAGGGCAACGTTGCGATCGCATCGGTATGGGGAGAAACTCTCTGCCTTCAACATCATCGACACGAGCGCAACATGGGAGTTGTCCATAGCTTGGAGGGCAACGCCGGAATCATTGCAGTCGAAGTTGCAGTCTTGGACGAGATCCTTGATGGCATCAACGATCTAATGAAGTCAGTACGCAAAAAGAAGAGCATTAATGCATGAGAATCCTCACCTTCTTCAGAAGATCAGCCTGCTCGAGACGTGCTTCCAACACTGAACCCCACAGTTAGTAGAATTAATTGAGGAGGGATATTTCAGGGTGAGAAACCCACTCTTGAATGTTTAGATATGAAAAGAATGGTCAGGTAGTCGGAGTTGGAAGATGTACGGGAGTTAAAGGGTCTTCGTGGTGTTGCGTTGCGGTGTTTAGTTGTGGATGTTGATGAGAGGAAAATGATGAATGGAAAACGCGCTTCGCGACGACGCGTTGATTCGGTTGGCGTAAAGTAGCGAGCCTGCAGTCCTGAGGCAGCAATATTGGAAAAGGGCAGATTAACAACTGTAAACAAATCCCAAATCCCAAGTCGAAAATCACTTTCACAGCGATCCATGTGTTCTTACTGGCTCCTAAATATAAGTCCAAAGGCGTGTTGCTAGTTCTATAATCTGGTTAAGAATATGAACCAAAGACAACAGCAACGTCCTAAGTTTGTGCCCTAGCCGAGGGAACGAATACATTCGAATCTAATTTCCATTTTTCTTGGTGTTAATTACAGTTACTCGATACTACAGGTTTATGGGTAGTATTGTTAGTCTTTCCAGAACCCGTTGGAGTCATGATGCAATCATGACTAGCTACCCCAAGCCACATCAAGATGTCAGCCGAATGCTTCAATACTTCTGGGCAAGTTCATGAGCCCTGTGCTTTGACCGGTATCCGAGAACATCAAGCAGCGAACTTTCAAATGGCTGTTCAGGTGACACACTGAAACGGGATGCTCCCATCGCGAAGCAGCTAAAGATAGAGGCCGTGATAGTCATTCTCGCTTAGCCGTTAAGTCTGGAAAGGTACCTACAGCCTACTTACGACTCGCAGCAGCGTGGGAGTCGAATCCAGAGGAACAACTTTCCAGATTGAAGCTGCATTATAACAGCAAGAATATAATGGTAGTGTAGACAAAGTTTCAGAAAATAAGTGCATGTGTGAATAGGGTCCAGAGGAGGTCCTTTCAATAGAAAGATATCGTTCAAGTATGCCCTTCCCAGGTTAATACAAGGCGAGACCAGTACAATGCTAGGAACAACAAAAGAGTAAGGAGAGCCCAGAGATGACTTAGTACGCCAAACAACATGTGCGGTTCTTCGTTTTTGATATAGAGAATAGACTTTAGTGGGAATCTCAGACTCGCGGTTCACTCTTTGTAGGGGGGTGTGCTTTCACAACACATGGCGCGAACGGGCGGGGATGGGAAACCGACCTAACAGCTCTGTCTAATAATCTATAATTGACACTGGTGTGTCAGAAAGGTATCAACCGGTGAATGAGCAGCCCAATTCTCGGAAGCTCACTTGAAATAACTCTTGACGATACCTACTGTGTGAGTACTGACTGGCGTAGGATCGTCCCAGATCAAACTTAAATCCAGTATCCGCGATCTCATGGTAATGAATATCGAGAAACATGTGAGGTAATCGTGCTTCAATCCGATTGTAAGTGTCCCCAAATAGTATCTGGTAAATAAAGTTCAAAGCACTGCTAGCTCAGCACTGACCGAGCATGCATTAGTGCCAGACAACTCTTTGTGCCGCCAGGAACATAAATCAATAGACGAAGATCGCAGCGATCAGATGTGGCTTGAGTGTTTGTTACAGAGTAAATCAGATGGTGAGGCTTGGAATGTATGGGACGTCGACAACGACATGTGAATTGGATCGGGCAATACCCACTTTGATCTGAAGCATGCCGGGACAAGAGTTCTTGCTCCCTGAGGAGATCAATGAAGCTTTGATATCAGCGGTAAGACCGATCATAGCCTGCGATCTGACCGTCCTGGGAACAACGAGTCTCTCGTTGTCATCCCACGAAGTCCTTCTGTTGGCAGATCACTGTCTCAGAGAGTGCGTATTCTTGGAGAAAGGATCGTAACAGATGCTAGTCTGATCATCGTTCTGATTCTACCTGAGCCCTAGAGCCAAACGAATTGCTCCGATTGTTTTTTCCAGCATAGTCATACCATGTCCGGAAAGTATGTCGATGGCTGAGGAGGGAACCTTCACTAGATGTCCCATTTGCTGTCGAAGCTTGTCATTCGCGGGTAAACTACATTTCTAAGTAATAATTTCCTTGTCAGCATCAGATGCAAGAAATGTTCGGTGGACAAAGGGAACAGCTACTGTATAGCAATCTGGCATAAATGCGTTTCCAGTATCAACCGGATGACCCGTATAATGTTGATATTATTCGAAGACAGGGGGTTTAGATAGTTGCAAGGCATGTAGCCCAGTATCTTTCATGACGATTGGTTGCGTAGCAAGTGAAGATATCCCTCCGTTGGGGTAGATGATAGTTCCACATGGAACTGAGGTCGGTGAAATCCTCATCTGGATCTGACATGTCCTCACCATGTTTCAAGACATCCACACCGATTACCAGCTCATATCTCGGGGTAGATGCAACTTGAAAGCGGCCAAAATAACGATATGGCCGATATGTCCTGAGCAGACGACAAAACGGGGGTCGACTCGGCTGGTGTTCTGGAGGGGTCTGGCGAAACACAAGCTGGATGGCGCACAGCAGAAGAAACATCCAGTAATTTGAGCCTACTCGTAGCTCACGTACATTTCTTGCTGTGGTGATCCTTCCAGTAGTGGAATATCGTTGACATGTGGGAACAGGGCGAAGTCCTCGAGACTAGTTCCGGAGCAAGGGGATTTTCCCGGAGAATTCAAATGTTTCGAAGGCAAAAGAACCTCCAAGTTGACGAAGGACAAGTCGACAGAACATCGACGTAGGACGTCTTATGTGAAGTACGACGATGTTAGCAAGCAATAGTCAGAATGGTGTAACTATTGACTTTCTTTCTCGGCCGGTAGAGAACGAAAGTGGATTGGTTGAACCAAAACTGGAAAATCGAAGTTGAAATCGGCTACTTTCGAGACCTTCTGGCCCCCACCGACAGAAGACCCTCGGTGCAACTTGCACACCGACTGTTGTGCAGCAGAAGAATATTGATGTCCTTCTGTGGTGCAAACGATGTCATCGTCGTCTCCAAGGCGGCACAGCGGACCGAAGAAGTGTAATCGTCGAACAGCACGGCGACCTCTTCAGCCCATTCCGGGTGTCAACAACAGCGAGCGTCCTTTGTCCACGAGATGAAGCTTCCGTCGCACTGGTACAAGCGCCCAGCCCGTAAGGCTGAAGGACGTCTAAGACGGGTCTTCTCTTTTCACCGACGGGACGTGGCAGGTAGGACAGTAAACCGGCCGCGACATGTCTACTCTTAGAGTTGCCGCTGGACATCGCTCATTCCATAAATACGGCCAGTCAGTGGTCATATTCCAGCACACCGCGAAATGAGGTCGTGCAGGACATCTCAGCTCAGAGACTAACTGGGATCACCCGGTCGAGCATGTGTTCTATTCTGTTCTGTTCTCTCAGCCCCCAGCCGTTTCAGATTCTTGTGTGCGCCATGTATTCCGACGGCACAGCATGCATGCAACTTGCATCTTGAGATGATGGGAGGAAGCGGGAGGGGAGACGAGACGACTGGAGAGTGGAGGGGTTGACCGTTGACGTGGGATAGGATCAAGGGTTGAGGTCCACGGGAGATGAATATCGGGTACCAGAAAGCCAAGAGGGAGGGGAGCGAGGGGAGCGAGGGGAGGGAGCCAAAATGCACCGATGCATCGCATCGCATCGCATCGCATCGCATCGCATCGAGGCAGCAAAGCTGTCCAAATGATGATAACACAACCAGACAACATCAACATCGCTTCCTGGGAGAGGCAGGCTGGGCGTACAGAAACGGCTGCGATCACCACGAGCGAGCCAAAGATTGGCAGGTTTACCTCCGTGGGTAAGGTAAGGTAATAGAAGTAATTTAATCTTGTTCAGTTCAGTGGCTGCATCGCTCATCAGCTTACATAAAGGTGCATATTTTACCTACGAAGTTAGGCGCGCTGCATGCACGCTGCACCAGCAACAGGCGATGACAGGCACCCATCGAGCCGACCTGGCCTGGGTTAGTGGACTGCGACTGACTGCCTGCCTGGAGTGGTGGCCCGGTAGAGCAGGGGCAGGGCAGGGCAGGGCCGGGCAGGGCAGGGGATGGGAGAGGAGAGGAGAGTAGTAGTAGTTACTGTGGAGAGGACTCGGAGGAGGAGAGGGGAGACGATTGGGGACTCAGGGAGAGGGAGAGGGAGCGGGAGAGGGGCTTGGTGCCACACCACACCACCTGCACCCGACACCACGCTACACCCTGCCCCACCTGCCCTGCCCTGCCCTGCCCTGCACTGAAAAGGCCAGGACCAAAACCTGAGCAAACGGCTGTTCTATTTTAAAAAGGGGCTATGTAAACCAAACCAAACCAAACCAAACCACTGCCATTGCAAGTGCCTGCTCGCTATGTGCGCCAACGACAGCACGCCGTACAGTACTGTCAACGTCTGTCCATCTTTAACTCTTCCGTGACTGGCTGGCTGGCTGTCTGTCTGCCTCTGTCGTTGGCGTTGTTTACTGGTCATGGTATTGATACTGGTACTGTAACCTGAAATGAAAATAAGTCGAACTGCGCATTCCCGTGCGGCCATGTGAAGCTGCCTGTGTGCTTCTTATTTGGGACACTCTAGGTGCCTGTCCTGACCTGGCTGGCAGGCAAGCTGGTAACGTTGACCTAGACACTAAATCTCGCCTCTGCATGGTTGGCAGTGTTTCGAACAATAAACACCCGGTCTCAATATCGTCTCCGCGGGACTGCCTGCCCATCTTCCCACCTTGGTTCATTTGACATTTAGCAGCCAATGTGCGGTGCGCCCATGGTTTCAGCTTGGAGGTGTCACTTCCCATTCGGCTTTGCTATAACCCATGCTCGTAAATGTATATTCTCTGAAAAATCGAATATGATATCATGCTAAAAGAAGGGTATAAAAGTCCCACCGTCGAGTGTTTTCCCACTGCGGCCATTTTGAACCAAACGAGTGTTCTAGTCTAACTCCAGTAAACCGTCCGAAATATATACGCCGCCCAATGAATGCATGCATGCATGAACAACCGACCGTTTATGAGTTCCTCCGTGACTTGCATTTGTCGTGTGCCATATGACCGTTCCTGGCAGTAGTCCTCGTAAATTCAGCTCCGCAGTTTGGGCAGCTTGACTTTTGTGCTGCACCGGACTTCTCTCGTTGATGGCGAAGTAAGTTGCTAAATGTGGAAAATTGTCGCCCATTACAGCCGTGTTCCCAGCATTGTGGCTTAGGACGGCTGTGGACAACTCGCACATGGTCGCCGGATTCAGTCGATCCCACCGTAGGACTCACTTGGTTTCGGTACTGGATGGCTGGATCGGTAGCTGAAGATAGAGATAGAGAATGCGGCCGGCCGGCAAATGCTTGCATTCCAGGCTCTCCACCAGTATTGGAGAAAGGTAGAGAGTATGCTGGGTTCGATGTGAAATCGTTCGGTCCCCTAAGCGCAGGAATAAGTTGCTGTAACACGGATGGGAAAGGGCATGTATACTTACAGAGCGAAGACTGGTCCATAGATGTCTGAGGACGAATGGTCGTTCAATGGAGGTGAATATGGGGCGAGGAAAGAGTTGCTTCCCAAGGCAGGAGAGCTTTGTAACGAGCCTTGTGAAAGGAGAGGAGATGAAGTAAGGTTGGATGTGTATTCCGGAAGTGTCCTGGGTAACAAGTCTGGGGAACCGTTTTGAGATGTAATGTAAGGATTGCTACGATTGCTTGTATTGCTTGCGGATCTCTCCCTCCTCAGTTGAGTCTTCGAATCCCGTCGAGCGTGGTCACGCTGTCGCTTCAGCTCTCTCTGCTCTGGAGTAAGGTTGGCCCGAGGGGGACTGGATGAAAGAGATCTCGAGTACACTGGAAGAAGCTTTGGTTCATCGTATAGCGATGGAGTCAACTGTCCAGGGTTAAGGTTCTGATTTTGAGGAATGAACTGATCATTCATCTCGAATTCTACAAGAGTCAGTATCAGAGAATTCTACGTTGTGCTCTACAACTTACGAGGCCATGTATAAGTATGACGAATACCAGAGTGCATACCGGCATCAAACCGGGAGTCAAATTGCTGGATACCGAGAGTGCTGTACAAGTTGATTAGTATACTAAGTTGACAGGATTCAGAAGTACCAGATGCATACCTCATGGTTGCGGGATTGGAATTTGAGCGTATGGATCTCTGATCACTAAGATGCTGATGCTCTCCCTGGAAAGATTGGGCAGGGTCGAGCCTAAGTAGTGGCGCAGAACCCGAATGCTCTTCAGTTGCGTTGAGGTAGGACCAGTTGGCATCCAAGTCACTATCAGAAAGAAGTGGAAAAGGGGTGTACTGCTGTGGAACTGGAGCTGTTACAATAGTTTTGGGCGAAGGATGGGAGCCTTGATCAAGGAACTCTGGAGATGATGTAGTGCGAAAGTTGGGAGATTGATGACTGCCTGAGGAAGTTCTTCCTTGCTCGTTTGGAGGCGATAGGTTGGTAATATTCAAACCCTGGAGCTGTGCGGCAGTCGAGGAGAGACGACTGTTGGATCTTGATCTGCATTGACGTGAGTCTTGTACACTCGGGTCTATATAGAAAGCATCCATGGCTGGGTCTGGGGCTGTGGATGATGACAGCGGCGGCACATACGGATTGATTTAGAAGAGATGTAAAGTAGCAAGAGATGAGATGATGCTCGAAGTAGACAAAGCGGTCGGTCGAGGTCTCGAGGGATCTTGAGGATCTTTAAACGTGGAGAAGTGTGCACTGAGGCTCATTTGAGAAGTGGAGGTCTGGCAGAGGGGGAGGTGCAATGGACAGAGATCCTATTTTGGATGTTTTGAGGGATTCTTAGAACATTTAATGCCCTCCCTCCGCCTCAACTCCCCCATAATAACAAGGCAATTGTACTAGCCATGCCCAAGAAGGCGTTGGCGTGGTGGGTGCAATTGGCAGATCGTTGCAGCTTGGCAGCACCAGCAGAAGGATCCGTAACCCTGACCCGCTAGTCTGGTCTCCCTGGTCTGCCTCTGCCTCCTTGTCTCCTCACCCTCACTACTACTACTGCTCACAGACAGAACAGACTACAAGCTACCCTGCCTAGTCAGACTCAGATGCACCCAAGATGACCCTCCCGCTCGCTGGAACTTTGTGCATCTTAGTGCGAAACCGACAAGGCTCTCCAGGCCGTCGCTAGGCGGCTTTCGGGCTGTTTGGCTGGAGGCTGGTGTCTTCGCCGCAAAGCAGGCCTGGTTGGTAAGATAATTAAGGACATCCCAACGAGACCCTTTTCTTAGCCGTCGCAGCTCTGCTGCTGCTGAGATGAGAGGACTGCCAGCTGCATCAAAACAACGCCAAACCCTGTTGGTCATGAACGGGGGAGGTGGTCAAGTGAAGGCCTGGAGAGAAGAGAGAAGAGAGAAGAGAGAGAGAGAGAGAGAGAAAGAGAGAGAGAGAGAGAGAGAGAGAGAGAGAGAGAGAGAGAGAGAGAGAGAGAGTCCTGGGTGCAGAAAGTTTCCCAGACCAGTGACCACTGTACTGGGTCGCCAGCCCTTGAACTGTGACTGGGCCAGTAGCAGTGGCTTATCGCCCCGACGGTACTTTTGGCAGCCTTGTTCTAGCCACCGAAATAGAAGTACTACTGTACTGGTTACTGTCCTCTTCCTTGTTGTTGGTTGCGGAGAGGCAAGCAGTCAAACTGCTGGAGTGAGTAAGTGAGTGACATCCCAGCCGCTGTAATCGCGCGTAGCAGCCCTGCCCAACACAGCGTTATTGCAGATCAACCGCGCTGAAGCGTAGAGGTTGTGCTTCTGGCACGCAACTGGAAAGCTAAAAACCGTCACATCACATCATGATCCACTGGCTCCCCACTACCATGATTAACATCACTACTACTGGGGGACTGACTGGGATAGGCCAAGTTAGATTGCTGTTCTGCACCCAAGCTCCAGGGAATGGAAACGTCGTCCGATGCCTTTACCGAGTGCTGTGATCTTGAAAGCTCGAGTGCAGCGAAGTGTCTTGGAAACTCACTGGCCCCCGGCTCTGCGACTCTGTACTGCTGGACGCTATGGCTGAAGCCTACTGGTATGTTTATGTTGAAGGTGCTGAACGGCGCTGAGTACTCGTACAAAGGGCTGAATCGGCGCACCGTGAATGGTTCTGCTGCCTGGCTGATTTGCGTAACCATCCGCTGCAGGGAGAATACATTGACAAGATCTTCCGTGAAGCCAACAGCAGGCGTCAAGCAATGATTCGGAAGCTCAGGCGAGGGGTCAACCCAGGTCAGGGGAGCTGCGGATGCTCTTTGCTTGAGGCAGGCAAGTTGATGTCAATTGACATCCACGCGAGAGAAGAGACGACGAGGCATGGCAGGGCAGGGGGAGCTCCAGCAATGGAAGCTCCCTAGCCGTGTACGAGGCCCCATGTTGGTGTGATGAGCATCAAGGGCTGAACCTCACAGCCATCCCATCCCATCGCACCCTCGCACCTCATCAAACCAGACACAGCAAACCATGGCTCAAAACAAGCACCGGCAGGGTTGAAGCACTCGAAAATACCCGCCGGCCCAATCGCGAGGCCTGTGAGATCCTTCCCGTCTGTCACGGCAGTCCCAAGCCACGAGAAATAAGATTTAAGATTTCTCCAAACTTCAAACAGACTATCGTGCCCCAGGAATGGTGCAACATTAATTGTACTACTAATGATTACGCCCGTACTTTTCGGCTTTCGGGAGATACTGCTCGCGGTAGACAAGATCTCGGTGTCTATCATTGAAGTGTCAATAATTATTTGGGATCATCGATCATGATGGTGTACATGGCTGATGGCAGACGAGGGAGTGATAATGGTAGGAAACAAGGACAGCCGAATTCTGAGAACTTCATCACTCGAGTCTCAATGCCCCTTCTGACTTATTAGGTGTACTGCTACAACTCAACAAGTTACTGACTACTGGCGGTACTTCGCGTGTGCCGTCCCAAAGACACTGAACTGAGGCCGTCGCTGACCCATGAGGCCCAATAATTCAAATTCTAGCCCCTACAAGGCATTGAGCAGCCCGGAGTGTTTCTCACAGAGTCGCAATTCATGGCCTGGGCCCAGCAAGTCACCGAACCGTCCTTTCATCTTCATCCCGATGCCAGGCCTACTCCGGTTTGAGTGTCGAGCATGGTGAGCTTTTCTGATGCCGCTTGAACAAAGGGGATCTATGAGATTGTTCCTGTCCAGGCTTTCTCAGATCCGCTCGTGGCCAGTGCTAAGTTTGAATGTAAAAGCAGCAGGTGTAATAAAACAACTCAAACAAGCGAACTGGGGAGCCACCTTTACCGGTATTGGACCTTCAAACAACTATTTCCCCACGAAACCTTCTCCCTGCTCCTGCATACGCCGATGTAGTGTGGAAGTAAGAGCACTGTCGCAATGGCGAAAACACCTACCCGATCCGATCTACGATTCATGTGCCGTCCAAAGCAGGTTTTGTGGCGTTCCTTGAGAAATGCCTCGCCTTCACCCCGGGTCCTCCCACAAGTGTCACCAAAATAAAGACGAATTAGGCGTTTCAGGAGTTTATCTACCCGCTCCAGCATGCGGATCCTCTGGACCCTCAACTAGCTTGGAGTCCCGTGCCCCTTCGACACATGTCTGTCGTTCATCTGGTGGTGGCTTGATCTCTGCCCAGCAGTGCTTGTCTCGAGGGAAACATCAGAGTTCAAGCCTCCCCTCAAGGCAATACAGTAAGGCCAATGATTCATGGGCCCGATAACGCGAAAGGCTGTGCGGATAGGTATGCAGTGCGATGCGGCGGGAGTTTCATGCGGATCAACAAACTCGCGCCTCCGCCCCGACCGAAATAGCATCGCGTTAGTTTTCATGTGACATTCTAAGCGCGCTTCAAGCACGCTCGCCTCGCCTCGCCTGGCTGACCAAGAGCGCCTTGAGCTCGAGCCTGCCAACCAGAGTCGTGCTCTGACTAAGCCTTTGATATTCGAAGTCTTCCCACTAGTTTGGAATCATGTCCTGCAAATTCACATACTTTGGACTTCAGGATCCGAGCCGAAGTTCGTGAAATTAAAGCACTACCCAAATGGGTTGCTCTGTATCCTCGTTCTCTAGCCATGAGCCTGAATCAGCAGCTTGCTGCAAGTCGGACTCTTGATACTCCGAAATACATACTTTCGGCGGTCAGCAGCTGCGGAGTAGACACAGTGTGAAGAGGAGCGAGAATTAACATACCCGCCGAAAGCATCAAGGAGCGTCAGCGGTCCTACCACAGTAGAGAGATTGAGCAATGGTGGCTGCAGGAGAACCAGCGAAATTGGACAATCTGCAAATATCTTTCTCCAAGCATCGAACTGGAGGAAGTCTTGCAGATCGCTAGTAACATAGCAAGAGATGACATCTACTTAGTGATAACGTTACACATAGTTCCATCGTCCATCTTCGCCTTGCATCGAGGTATATCGGTCGCCGACACCAAGAATACTTTCTCGTCAAATGGTGCCAATGGTCGGTTACCACTTACCGTCACTCAGCGCCAATGAGCCTCTTATGCCACACTTGGTGGAGACCCGTTTGCAGGGTGTGACCGTGATGCCCATTACGCCGTCTGCTTATGCCAACACAGACCCCAAAAAAAGCCGCTGGATTACCTTGACGCGCAACAACTTCCTACTAAGGATAGACTGCACGTTTGTAAGCACGCAAGGAGCACGCATTTAACCACAAAGAAGAGTGCATGCCACATGGCATAAGTTAATTATACTCTAGTGGTAAGGAAACAATCCTCACCGAGAATATCTTCTGTTATTTTCGAAAATGGCATTTCCATTTCTGAGATACTGACTGACCGCTGATGTTTTCCGTTATCCTTACCACTTCGCCGTGCTCCCATGACTCCCGTTTCAAATCCGACTCCACGTATCTGGTGCCATTGCCATGCTTCTTTCCTGCTCCCAAATGCGCTCAGAACTCCTCCAAAATTGTAACAAAGCTCGTCCCGAAGTGGAGCCCTTGGCTACATTCGGTATATTAAAGCTTCCCATGACGGGCTTTGAAAATCGAAACCTTATCGTCGTAAAATAGAATCTCTCTCAATCGAAGTCTTACGTTGGACCGCCCATCGTCAGACCCATCCCATGAATCGGAGTCAGAATTATCGTGATCCGAAATCTCGGATTCTGTTTCATCTGGATCGACTCCAAGCGGGACACCGATCGCGGTTCCATTGTCATCTTCCTCTTCTTCATCATCTTCGTCCTCATCGCTTCCATCTTCGTCTTCATCCTCATCATCCTCGTCAGTTTGAGCACCTGGCCCACCATTCACAGCACTCGAGTGATTATCCCCCGACCCATGAATATCGTCATGAGGTCGATTTTCCAGAATCTCAAAGCACTTGTGGGAGACACCCATGTAACATAGCTCCACTTCAGGCCGTAGAACAATGACATCGACAACCTGCATGGCAAGTTCCCGAGGATCAAAGGCTGGTGTGACATGGTCTGCTATAAATGGAATATTGAGTGAGCGTAAATGGGGAATCTGGGGTAGGCGTTGGAGGAAGTGATGCTATGTAAGGTTAGCATTTTGGAGTTCATGTCAGTGTGGCACGGCATTGACTATGGCGTGAATGGAAGCCAAAGACAGTGTGCTGCCCCTTTTGGGATGTCATGGTACAGAATGGAAAAGATATATGAGATGATCCAAAGCTTACCCAATTTGAATAGTCTATCGCAATGCTTAACTCCCGAAGACTGCTCATCCTACCAGAGGTAATGAAATTCAGCACATCACGATTCGGGACCCAAGCTCTCCATCGTGAATTGTCTGAACCACTAGCAACCGATCGTGGCACCCTGTCAGAGCTGTCGAGCATCAGCCTTTTGAGACTTGCCCTGTGTCTTTTGAGTGGGCCCCGATAGATCGCATCCTTCAAAAATTTAGCATACTGTGGTAATTCAGTAGGTAATGCAAACTCACTATTGTCACCGCAGTGGTCCCACTCGGTCGCCTCCGATCCTGTAGAAAGAGCGTTTCAAGGCTATTTGGTGCTAGAGTCTCTTTTAGAAAAGAAATCAGAGCCGGAGATGCGGCATCCGTGTGAATTCTCCTGAGGTTGAGGTGATACTGGACACCAGCTTGATGCTTCGAAGAATGCGAAATATTGAGAGGTGTAGGTTGGAAGTGCCGCCTTAGCATGACCCAAAGTCTATCATGTTGCGCGCAGTCAAGTATGGTCAAATTGGTCAAAACCGACCAGTCGAAGCCTTTCTGAAGAACTGCTATTGACAAAGGAATTCGCTCCAATTCCAAAGTTTGCAGCTTCAATTTGCCGTCCAGACGCTCCCTTTCCGCAGGCTTTACTTCTGAAAAATGTGCTTGTTTTTGACTCTGGGTATGAGATCGTCTTAAAGGAGGCCCGGCAGGGATATCTATATGCATAGCTCCCGAGTTTGTGACAGCACTCTGGGCTGCTGTACTTAAGTCGTGAGCTGATATCAGAGCCGTGAGCGAGTCAACATCAGATTGTGCGGAATCGACTCCTGCCGTTGATAGATGGGGAGGATGAAGATCCAAGCCATTTGTGTTGTTCGTTGGCTGTGCGGCATCTATGTTCAAGGGAGAGGAGAGAACAGCCTCACTATAATCTGTACTCTCCTTTCCAGACCAGCCATCTTGATGGCTGCCCCCTCCGACGATCTCTGACATGTGATTCAATGTCAATTCAGTATCTTGATGACTGAAATCCATGGATGCTGCAGTTGCTGCCATCTGTTGAGTTTCCGAAGGAATGGGGGTCGAAGACGCCATGGAGGTGCTCCGATCTTTCTTCTCGGGCTTCGCTTTTTGCTTCTTGCGAATGTCAAATATCCTCCCGAGTAGTACACCAAGAACACCGCCCAATCTCCGTTCGCCTATCGTACTAGCACCCGGCCACTGTGCTTTATGGTCAACTTGGTGAAGGTCTGTTCCATCCCAAGCAATAGCAAAATCTCTGTTTACTGCCTTCGCAGAAACGCCAACCCTAAGCTCTCGCAAGCGATCTTTTGACTTCGCAATAAGAACACTCATCTCGTCCAGATAATCGAGTTCGTCAATATCCAGAACCGAAAGACTTCTCAGAGGGGGGAGTACACTAAGAGTAGGATACTCAACACGGCTTTGTGAATATGGTATGGGATACGAAGACCCTTGAGAGGTTGCAAGGGAGCCGGGCGGGACTGTCCAACCCACAGATGTTAGCTGGCTATTAGCCAACATTTGAGGAGTTGTGCTGGAGCCATTGTTTGGACCTTGCGTCGGAGCTGGAATAGATGGATCCGAGTTATCGTGCCATCGAACCCACACCCGTTCCAAACGACAGTCTTGAGTCGGATCCCGATTCTGAAGAGAAGACAGGGCAAGCCAAACATCGCGTAGAACTCCGGTTGGCATGTCCCATACAAAGGTCTCAAGATGAACCATTCTGGCAACAGCAAGAGCCACAAGAGTTCCTAGCATTTTCCCACTTTCTTTTGTGATGAGATATTCCTGAACCCAGTCCGTTGGTCCATTTCCGAGGGAAAACTTTCTTGTGAATTGCGGATATTGATTTCCCAGCCGTCGCTGAGTACCCCCCGAACTAGATTTAAGCCCATGACTACACGCTGTGATATTCTCCGTGCCGCAGTATGTACACGCGAATGATTGGGGTTTACTGTGGTCAGTGAATACGTCTCCCATGCATAGAGTTGCCAGCCCGTATGTCAAGGCATCCACGCCGGTTCTCGGATCTGTAGTGGCTGCTGCGTCAGGCCAGACAATGTCGAAGCGGGAATAAATGTGAGGAATCGCAAGATTATGGAGCGCCGAATGCGTCAATGCTAAAGCGGTCAAGTCATTCGTATGGGTTACCTATCCACAAAATCAGTAACAACCTCTCAACAGATATCCCCACGAGCAGAGATAGGAGATGGTGGCTCAAAAGAAGTAGGAAGAGCCCGCCAGGCATAATATGTCCAGGTGAAATCGCAGATTCGGCAGTATTTACCTCTTTTACGATTTCCTTCAAAACATCCATAGGTAAGTCCAGCAGCCGCAAGGGGCCATTCCGCTCCGCCACAGCCGTCCATTCTTGCTCCTTATCTTTCAGCAAGTTTGATATCTTGGTTCTTGCATCTAGAATGCCCAGCTTCTCCATATTGTCAGAAGCTACCGAGGCGGGCGTGCCCATGTGGTAGCTGTCCGAGTCGTCAGACAAGTCCGACGCCTTCATATCATTTGATGGTTGGCAGGCGGCAGAAGTTTTCGGTATGGCAAGAAGGTTTTCGTCAGGTTGTGAGGCTGTATCGCTGAAAGTAAGGTCGGGGCTCGGAAGACTGGTTGTCATGACCGCTCGAGTTCGTCCGAGATGAGCGTTGTTTCGAAGCTGGTTCGTTCCCTTAGCACAGTCCGGAGCCGAACACTCATTTCTTGCGGCTTAGAAACCCATAGCCAGCAGTGAGATCGAACTGGCGGGGCAAAGGGCGAATTGATCTTAGATCGGAGCGTCGTTGGAGTTGTAGAAGTGAGTGTGTGGGTTGAGATGAGTAGACATGTAGTGAATGGAAGTGAGGATGGATGGGCTTTGACAGCCGGAGAACGACCTCTGGAGAAGAAGTGGGTCCGTTGTCTAGTCCACGGCGACTGGACTGGCAAGGGTGCGGGTGGTGATTTGGCGCTTGGACGCCGACGTCCCAAAGCGGCACCAATAACAAAAGCGACTCCAGAGGCTGATATCCTAAGGGGGTCAACAAATGGACTGGTTTGAAGTAATTGATTGATGTTCTTTCTACAGAATTGACAGACAGTATAATCCATTTTCAATGTATACTCCCCCTCTTTCGATGGTTAGATAGAAGGAGTCTTTGCGGCTCCGACCCGGGGTGTTTCCAGTAGTGTAAGGGAAATTGAGATTATCCACAGATTAACATCTTTTCACCATAGTCCTCTCATAAAAACTTCCTATCATTTTTTCGGCAGATATACTTGAAGAATTCAAGTGCTCAACCCTGAGTTCGGGGGCCAGTACGTGGAAAGAGTTTGAAAAGCAGAAGAGTTCACCTTTCAGAAGCAGAAATGGACGACCGTATTGGTTTGTACCAACAAATTTCATTCATGAGATATCTTCAAGGCTTCAGCAGGAAACAGCCAGATGAAATTCGTCTTGAGCTCGCGTAACTGGGTGATATCCCAGGGTTTCTGCTTCCCATATCCGTTCAAACGCCGAAAGAAAGTCTTCACACTTTTTTTGGTACCCAGCACGTTGAGATGTCCTGAAGATATATTAAAACGACCCAACGAGCTTCACAGTTCCTCAGATCCAAGTTGATATCATCTACAGAATTTTCATGACCAGTCTTATGCGCAAACTTGTGAGACACAAGCGAACCTCGAAGGTATGGACACGTGGAGAAATAGCGCCTAAGAAGACAAGGGGGCCAAAAGGCGGTCGCTCAAATCATCGACTGATCAAACCACAGACTTTTTCTCTCGGTTTGAATGAATGGTATCATTAAAATAGCACAAGGAAGTAAAATAAACCCCCTTCCGAACACTCCCGAAATGCAAGTTCGTTCATTTGGATGCACTTCCTCTTCGTCCTGTTCTCCTCCAAGGTTGAAGGAAGACAATGGCCTCGGCAAAATTTCGTAGACACTGGACTTGCTAGTAATGTGTGGTCAACCCAAGAGTCGGTTTCTTTGTGAAAGTAAATAACCTTCAACGTGCTGCTTGTCCACTGGAAGTGCCTGTGGTGCTTTTGGTAATGTAAACAAGGCTGTCCGATGCACAGCCGCCAAAACCAAAACAAAAGCATCTGACCGTTACGACTCATCTCTTGAATCACTATTGATTGGAAAGTAGTAATTCGAGTTGGAAATATGATCTCTCTGTGTTTTGAACATCTCAGTTCCGAGATATATAAGTATTCCTGGATGCCGGCGGCACGAGGCTCTGTCCGCATAAATCTGTGACGCACTACCACACGGGAGCCCCGCTACAAACCACCCCTGGCCTGGGATGAGGCTACGCTGCGCTAAGCTACGCACTCCACTGACCAGGAATGACCGCCTGTTGCAAGCTTGACCTGCTCTGCTAAGTCCTCTAGTACAGGATCCTAGATCGATCAAAATTGGCAGTCGATCATGAAATTGATTTCCCAGTAAAGAAAGAAGCTGCGCAAAAAAGCGTCTCTGACCTGCCAGTCCATCGCTCGGTGCTGCAGCCCAGGGAAGCAGGCATACCACAATACCTATCGCTCGTACCAATCTCCTCCGACTCCATCGCCACACCAAATAGTTGGCAGCGCGAAACCCCCTCCTTTCGAACTCCATCACTATCATCTGCGAGATGTCGTCCGCTTCGTCGCGGCCAAGGGCGAGTAGGCGTATGAACAGCATCCAAAACGAGAACCGCATGTCCCGCAACCCGTCCAGAATACGGGCGAAAGCAGTGAGCTACAACGATGCATATACATTTGCTTTGCGGGTTGCATATCTTCACTACCTGCTCCAACCAAGGGCAAAGAGGAAGCAATATGTCTCAGCACCCAAGCCAATCAAAGCACGGAAGACTGTTATGATTGGGGATCTGGTCCAAGAATTTTCTTTGATCAAGGATACGAAAAGTGCCAAATTTCCCCATGGCTTCATGTCACCACTCGAGAAACGAATACAAGGAGTTCTAGTCAATACCGAAAGGCTCCCGGGTTACAACGATGCAGCAGTCAAGAGAACTTTTGCCGAAGCTTATACAGCTTTCACGGAGGCAGGATTCCGAAGACGAATGGACAAGGAGCGGCGTGTAGAAGACCTAGTTCTGATCTTTTATTCTAATGCAACGAAGGCGTTACAAAAGGGCAAGGCCCCCGACGACGATTCATGGAAACCACTGGTCGACCGCCATGTTGCCCTGTTTGTGAGGTTGATCAGTAATACTTTGAAAGCCCACGGTAACGACAAGGACAAGCCGGAGCTCATGAGCCGATTGGCGACTTTAGAAAGCAAGCTGCTCACGAATGACCAGGATTTATACGTCGACACTGCGGATGGACCGGGTGGAGCTAGTATTGAGGTCATCGTACCACTCAGTCACGACGTGAAAGACATGCCAATGGTCCAGGTCGTGGCTAGAATATTCGGCCTAGCTCTTTCTCAAGTCCAGTCTGATATCGACTCTAACAAGAATCTCTGGACAGAGGAGGCTGCCCTTGCCGATCTCAAAGCATATCAACATTGCCTTAATGCCAATACTAAACGTACCCTACGGAGTGACGACTTTGATCTCGAGGATGCTTATCAAGCTTGGAAGCGAGCAGAAGGGCCAGACCTCTCTCACATGATGGCGGAAATCCTACAAGCGAGACCTGAGCTTGTAAAATTATCGTCAGGTTCAAATAAGCCTCTACCACCAGTGCGATCCTCGTCTTCATCACCGAATGACGAGCAAGCTTATTCGGAGTTGGCAAGATCTATCGCAAGCCCGGTCGAATCCAGTTCGTCCGCCTATGGATTCGATCAACCTGTCGATATGAGTTCATTGACCCTGGATGATGACCAACCTGGCCGATTGTTCCTCGAACAGTCCACTTATACGTTCATACCGCCAGACCCACGATCGTTCTACAGGTCAATTCTATCACATGCCATGACTTTTGATCAGTTGCATGCTCCCCAACCAATTGAAGGTCAGAGTGCGGCTCCACCACTTTCGAAAGCGACTCTGGAATTGCTCAATGAACTTTGCATTCGATGGCGAATCCCACAATTCTCAAGACTCGTCTTATTTCTAGATGTTGCGGCTCAGAAGTTCTTGGACCAGGAGATTGGACTTGAGGAGCTGGACGCCTCTTTCGAATTTGCCAAAAGCCCACCAGTTGAGAACAAACGTTCTAGTACATATGCGCCCGTTACCAGTCTTAGCAACATAGACCAAAGCCAATGGACAGTCCAAGACTTTGTCCTGTACCGCCAAATCTTGTCAACTTTGAATGACGGGCTACTTCGTGACCTCTACGATCTGCTTCAACACTGCTATGACTCTAAGCCGCCTTCTCCGGGTCCTGTCTTGCTTATACTAGAATGCCATATTCATAGCGACCCTTCATTCGACCTAGGCTCGGGCGAACTCGAGGCATACCAGGCACAGCTGGCAGAAGGTCTTCGCACCAAAGCTGCCTCTGTGTATCGGGGTTATCTGGAGGCCGAAGTGCCACAGAACCAAGAAGAGTGGCAATTTTTCCATGTTGTCCAGTTGGGGAAGTCCGTCGTAAAGCTCTGCGAGCGGATACAAAAACGGTACAGGAAAAATCCAGATATCATGGGCGTTAATCCCTTGACAATACTGGTTGAGACAATGTTTCCCAGCTTTGAGAATGATGCTGGAGACCTCATTCAGCGAATTCTTCAGGTGGCCCAGGCCAACAACTCCGAAGTCGATCTGCAAGATGGATTTGACCTCTACAAGGAGCTGATTGAGATTCGACGTATCCACCATAGTGCTCTTCCACAGCGCCCATTCGCATTCAATATTGAAGAACTTCTCGCAGATTTTGTGTGGCGCTGGATCCGGGTTTCTGATGGAAGAATGGTGGAGCTTGTTGATGAGGCCATCAAGCAAGACCAGTTCCAAGTCAGATCTGATCACCGTGATCGACCTGCCACTGATGACGAACGACACAGTGTATCGGTGATTGATATTTTCCGCATGTTCAATCAACTGGCAGATCAGATCTTCACCCTAGGTTGGGACGATGATGTTCAGTATGCTAAGTTTATGACCGCGTTATCCAAGTCGTTCGGCATGGGACTTGCAAGATACTGCGAAGTCTTGGAACAAAGGTTCACTAAAGAGATGGATCGGTTGTCACCTGCTCAGGAAGCTGCTGCTGCACAAACGAAGCAGGAAAAGTGGATGCAGCTGGCAAAAGATGCGTGGAACAATAAAGAGAAGATCGAGCCTTTTCAGTTTTATCCAGAGGTAAGTTAACATCTGTTTTAGTGCAATAACGACCTTCTAACATTCATCGACAGTCGTTTGTGAAGCTAAACAACATTGAGTATGCTATTCAGCAACTGGATGTGCTTGAGAAGACGATGAACGTTGATGCATGCGCCGATGTATTAGCCAAAGTCGCCCCTCCTAAAGACAAGCAACGACGGCCTTCGAAGTACGTTTTTACGATCAAAATCGTGGAGGCAGAGGAGCTTAAAGCGTGTGATCCAAATGGTACCAGTGATCCTTACGTTGTACTTGGCGACGAGTATCAGAAACGACTCGCTAAGACGAGAGTTGTGATGAGAAACCTGAATCCGCGTTGGGATGAGTCCGTTGATATTACGGTACAAGGTGCTCTCAACGTTATCGCTACAGTGTGGGATTGGGATACATTTGGCGATCATGACTTCGTGGGACGAACATCCCTCAAACTGGACCCAGTCCATTTTAGCGACTATATGCCGCGAGAGTACTGGCTGAATTTGGACACTCAAGGAAGGTTGCTTCTCCGAGTCAGCATGGAAGGAGAGAGGGATGATATACAGTTTTATTTTGGCAAAGCTTTCCGCCTGTTGAAAAGAACAGAGAGAGACATGACACGAAACATTACTGACAAGGTATGCGAACAAATTCTCTTCGGGTACTTCATTTGTGCTAATCGTGGCAAGCTTTCCCAATATATAAATGCCTCTCTTTCAACAGATGCGTTAAGGCACCTGTTATCTCGGGGAGGTATATCGGCTTCGGTAACGAGTCTATGGAAGAGCAGGCAGTCAATCATGCCAACTATTACGCCACTGGACGTCGAGAATGCCCTGAAGCCATTGTTTACTTATTTTGACGAGAATTTTGCCATCATGAAACAAACATTGACTGAGGCATCGATGGTCATGGTCATGACCCGCCTCTGGAAAGAAGTCCTCCTAGCTCTAGAAGGTCTCCTCGTCCCTCCACTCTCCGATAAACCATCGAGCCAACGTCCACTCACCCAACAAGAGATGGATATCGTCTTCAAGTGGCTCGAGCTCCTTTTCGAATTCTTCCATGCTAAAGACGAAGAAACGGGCGAAGTCATGGGTGTTCCAGCTGATGTTTTGAAGTCACCAAAATACCACGAGCTAGCTTCGCTAAACTTCTTCTACTTCGACACAACTGAGAACCTCATCCGTACTTCCGAGCGTATGACGACAGCATCTATACAGCGAGCCAACGTCCAGCGTAATCGTCTCTCAGCACCGCCTACATTGGGAGCTTCGTTTGGAGGTCTCATGGGGGCAACATCTATGAGGAGATCGAAGAGTATCATGCTTAGTCGAAACTTGGGTACGATGAAGAAGGCGAAAGAGGAGAAGAGAAAGGAAGCCCAAGCCGATCCAAGCGATGACATGATCTTGAGGATCCTGAGAATGAGACCCGAAGCCGCAAATTATCTTCGAGATCGGTCGAGGCAGAAGGAGCGTCTTGCAGCAGCGGCCGCCGCGGAGATGATTGTCAGGCAGAGTCTTGCAGCTGGCGGGCCAAGATTTGGCGCAAATAATCTTCCAAGGAGGTGAATTGATTCTGGAGTTTACACTTTGGCCTTGTTTATGGGGGTCCTGGAGGGCATTTCAATGGAGTTGGCAATGATCGGGATTGGTATGAGGTCGGCCAACTTGAGATGGGAGGAATAATATGATGATGATGGAGATGAGGTGCTTATTTGATACAGCACATGATAATGCTTGCTTTGCTCGCTCGCGGAACTGGCGTTGGAAGAGATACCATAGTGTTAATTTTGTATTTGAAAGTACTTTAGCAGCAACCAATGAAGGACATCTACTGAATAAATTTGTTTCTGTGACGAGATCCATTGACATGGTCCTTGCTTCTCAGACTAACATTATCATACTCCTTTCTCCTATGACTACCATACCCATCTCCAACAGCCATCAAGCCAGCCAAATGCAGTGGTCACGCATACACGCACCACTCAGGGTACTTGGCGTCGCGGCGGGAGAGAAAGGTGGTACGGGCCTGAATGTCGAGATGGCTCATTGGATAACATACATCGCTGCACTGAAGTGGGGGGTTGTATAGCACCGTACACCGTATGGAACTTGTCCATACAGATGTGGAGGGCTACTCATGTACGCACTTGTAAGGAAGATATTGTATCCTATCGAATGTGTATGGCTGCATGTGAGCGAGGCTGTAAGGATGCGAGCAACTGCCGGTGGGAATGGGAGGTCGTGCTCTTATGAGGGAGTAGTAGTACTTTGGAGTGTGAAACCAACACAGCAAACACGCAAACAATTCACAGAATGAATAAAGATCTGATAATCTCGAGATCGCGAGTAAACAAGCCAAGCGACAAGAACTGCATCTCGGTGTCGCCGACCGAAATTACTGGAGCATGTCTCCAAGCATGGGAAAATTTACGGCTTTGTTGCTCCTTGTGTTCCGAGTTTTGGAGAAAATTTGGACATTTTTGGAGACTTTTGGTGGAGTTCGTCTTGACAATTGCCACTGGCGCAACGTTGTAACCATTCCTCAGGACGACTGGGTCCAAAACAGGCGAATGTCTCCACTGGCACGAATCACGACTCGCTATCTTACTCGATGTGCTTGAAGTGCCCAGTATGAATGTTCCGCTAGCCGGTTTACCGAACGGAGATGGTTGTGTGATCGGCTGCTGAGTCCAAATGGTTGTGAAGAAAAGTGGAGAGTGGTACCTTATGTTTTTGATGCCTTTTTTGCACGAGGATAGGACGGGAATGCTGAGCTGTGCAGTGTTTGGTATGGCTGTGTGGCTTGATTGTCAGGAATGCTGAAACTGCGGTAGCTGAGACGAGCAGATTGACGATACTGTACTGGATATGAGGTCATGGGTAGGCAAGGAGGAGATGTGACTGTGGAATTCATCCCGTCGATGGGATAAAGTGTCTTTGAAAGGGGTTCATGTTGACGAGTTGAAGTCTGTTTGAAGTGGAGTGCTGACGGGGGTTGTTGATGATCTTTTGCCCTTCTCGTCAAGGTTTCGCCAGATACGGTGGGAAGATCGTTGGAGCCACAAAACGGGATCGGCTGATTCGCCTATCTGACTACGTTTCAGGTGTGTGGGTTTTTCGTGGTGATCCTTTTAGTTTTCGGATTTTTTTGGGAGACAGATACTTGGTGTTTGGGGGAAATAAACCCCTACCCTGTCTCTATCAGCACGAGCCTCAGTAAGGACAGCTATCCAATCACCTCATTGGAATAGGTCTATTTGTGGGGAAGAAACTCCTAGAACCACACCTCAGGGTATGGGTTTATTTCCCCCAAACACCAAGTAGACGCTGTCAGATGCTGCATATCGATCTCAACGTCGGCATATCTGGGATGAGAGGATAGGGACGAGAGAAGGGAGAGAGCGACAGGAGAAGATATGCGGTCAAATGACGATGAGGGACGGAGATCGGTTTAGGGGTTCAGAGCATCGTTTCGTGTTTGTTCATCGCAATCTTAGAATGGCGTGGCTTAGCTTCAGGTACCGTCCGTCACCAGCCCGTCGAGCCCGTCTTCAAGCGTGCAAGCCATCAAGCTAAATAATGCAATCTAGAGGGTTTAACATTCCTAAATGTTACCAAAAGAGGGGTCCTCTGGTCCAGCGTGATTTGTCGGGCATAATTTACATATGCCCAAAGGGCGTTGACGAGGTTGAACAACGAGGTTTTCTCCTCCAAAAACGAACTTTTCACAATCTCCCTGGTCCGGGGCGGCATTGTACCAGTAAGGATACTTGGGCAGCCAGGACCAGTTGGATAGGTTGGGTTTTGTGACGGTACCTAATGGTATGTTGACAACGATCCCAAGCAGTGGTTATGCATGGATGCGCATGCGCTCAGCTACTTTTGAAGCAAACGATGCAGAAGCAGCAGACACAGGATGAACCCGGGTTCTAGTTATCTGATTGTTGTAGGTTGATATTGGACACCGCATCAACTCCAATAATGATGAATGAAGCGACGCTGAAAATGCGATGAGATGAGATGAGATGAGATGAGATGAGATGAGATGAGATGAGATGACATGAGATGAGATGAGATGAGACGAGATGGAAATGATCCCTGCGGTCTCAACTGCTCTTCTGCATATCCAAAAACGCCACCTCGTCACTCATCTTGAAACATTATCCAGCTCCAGCTCCAGCTCCAGCTCCAGCACCCGCACCACCCCAGCTTGAACATCCGCACGCATTACATTACTGTACAGTATTCTGTCTGTACTGAGTTTGTCGCGTCCCCGTCTATGCCTCTGTACCTAGGTGCCTAAGGTAAATCTCAGAATCTTCTCCCGTGACCTTTGCACCCCTGTCTGCGAGACCCAACGGGCAGGTCCCATTGGGTACAGTAGGGGTCAGCGACTCAGCGCTGAAGCAACTCCCCGTTCCAGCCTATCAGCGCAGTGTTCGTGTCACTGGCATACTCTGCACTCTGCATACTTGTACGGAACATGTACTGCACTGACTGTCGAAAAGTCAGGGCTTACCCCTACCCCTTGTTCTGGTTCTGGTTCTGTTCTGTTCGCCCAGCAGTGCAGCACCCTCGACCCGCCCGCAACACCGGCGGCGGCTCGAGCCAGTCAGAACGCCTCCACTTGACAATACAGTATTGTACCTTTCGTACCTTAGTTATTATTGAGGGCTGTGCTGTGCTGTGCTGTGCAGTGCTGTGCTGTGCATTTGCTCTCTGTTGACTTGTCCGCCTCCGCGCTGCACTACTGCGCTTCACTGCGCACTGCGCTGCCCTCGAGGTCCTCCGGGTCCCTCTGCCTTGCCTCTTGCCTCTGCCTTTCGGCTTTATGCTTCCCCATTGGAAGTCGGGTTCCCACCTGCACACTCCACTCAACGCTCGCCCCTTGCCTGCATACGGTATCGTAAGCTCCAACAACTGGCCGTCTCTGCTGCGCTTCCCAAGCCTTCCCTGGCTCTTGGTCTTGGCCTTGATCTTGGTCCCTGTCCTTGTCCCTGACCCTGTCACCGTCACCAGTACTGTACTGTACTGTACTGTACTGTACTGTCCTCTGCTCTCTCACCTCGTGGACAGGCGGGATTGGGATTTGTGGCTCCCTACTACTATCGCTATCCAATCCTAGTTTCGTTCTGAATACGGATGCAGTCCAGTACTTACCGTGCAATTCAGTCTACACTATCACGTCCAACTGGTGTTCTGCACGGCCACGACCACGACCACGACCTTCTTTACCCTACCTCCCTTCCTTCAACGTACTTCACTTCATTTTCTATCAATAGCCTCAATACCACGGCTCCAGCACAAAGAAATCTGAGCCTCCCGTGTCCGCTCCCTTTCTCTGGAGATAGCTCGGCGGACATTTGGAACCCCTCCCCCTTTGTCCAAGCACGCCCCGACTGTAACTTCCACCTCAAGCGGCAACTCGGCCTCGCTTGCTAGGACTGCATTTTAAACCACCAGAAGAACCTTGACCACTTCTCGATACATCCCACCGAGCGGAAGTGAACTCGTCAAAAGACTCCTTTTTGGAGTTCCTCCCGCTCATTTACGCTCCCAGGCTCTCACTCCGTGTTTGCCACTGACTGCTCTGCGCTGTCTTCGAGTCCTCGATCTACCGCAGTCCTCCCAGGACATCTGAACGACTCTTACCTCGAATATCTAGCCTTCGTTATTCTGCTTTCCAGAACCAGCTTCATACTTAATGCCCGGATAATCAGCGACTACAACCATCTACCAAGGCAGCCCAGCTGCAGATAGTACCAATATGGCCGACGAATCGACTCTTGCAGCAACTTGCTCGTTGCTGCAGAGCCTCGCGACAAATGTCCCTCACACCGCGATTCAGGCCAGCCAAGCATTAAAACTTCCAGGAACTGAGACCTCATCCAAAGCTGCTCTTGAATACGAAATATCTGCTTTGGTTGCGAGGATACAGCACTTGGAGGCAAAGGCAAGCACGGTCAACAACCACACTCTGCCAGATACCCCAAACGAGACAGGTGCCCCATCTGCCTTTGCAGATGTCCTCACTGGCAATGGCTCGCGAGCAGCGAAGAGCTCTGCGATGAGACAGAACAACAATATGAACTCTTCGCTGACGGGCAGAGACAACGCTACTGGAGAACGACCCCAAAAGCTTCCTAAACTCAGCAATGACGAACTCATCGAAACTTTACAGCAGGAGATTGTCGACCAAGCTGAACAAATCAAGGAGGGAAAGTTGAAGCAGTCTGCCATTGAGGCTAGAATGGAGGAACAAGCACAGCATCAACAGCACCTCATAAACCAGTTCGAGGCCAAGCGTGTTGCGTCCCTCGAGCGTGAGCTCAAGAAACACCAGCAGGCAAATGAAGCATTCCAAAAAGCTCTGCGAGAAATTGGAGAAATCATTACTGCAGTAGCTCGTGGTGATCTGAGCAAGAAAGTTCAAATCCATTCCGTGGAAATGGACCCTGAAATCACAACATTCAAGAGGGTAAGTTCCATCATCAACCTACTCATGCTACTACTTTTACTAATTGGCAATTAGGTCATCAATACCATGATGGACCAACTGCAAATATTCTCCAGTGAAGTTTCTAGAGTCGCCAGAGAAGTCGGTACAGAAGGTATCCTTGGTGGTCAAGCACAAATATCTGGTGTGGATGGAACCTGGAAAGAGTTGACAGACAACGGTATGTTCCCAAAGCCTATGCAGCCTTTAAAAGTTCTGCGATGTTTACAATCGGAACGATTTGCTAATGTTTCGAAGTCAACGTCATGGCCCAGAACCTTACAGATCAAGTGCGAGAAATTGCTTCAGTAACCACTGCTGTAGCCCACGGAGACTTGACCCAGAAAATTGAAAGACCAGCCCAGGGAGAGATCTTACAGCTACAACAGACGATCAATACCATGGTGGATCAACTCAGAACCTTTGCAGCTGAAGTTACTCGTGTAGCAAGAGATGTAGGAACGGAAGGTATCCTCGGCGGACAGGCAGAGATTGAAGGAGTCAAGGGCATGTGGAATACATTGACTGTCAATGTCAACGCAATGGCCAACAATCTTACAACACAAGTCAGAGATATTGCTATGGTTACTACGGCTGTCGCAAAAGGAGACCTAACCCAGAAAGTCAAGGCTGAATGTAAGGGCGAAATCATGCAGCTGAAGGAGACCATCAACTCCATGGTGGACCAACTGCAGCAGTTTGCACGAGAAGTCACCAAAATTGCTAGAGAGGTCGGCACAGAAGGAAAACTTGGTGGACAAGCCACTGTACACGATGTCGAGGGTACCTGGAGAGACTTGACCGAAAATGTCAACGGAATGGCTATGAATCTAACGACACAAGTGCGAGAAATCGCAAAGGTTACAACGGCCGTAGCTAAGGGAGATTTGACAAAGAAGATTGGAGTCGAGGTACAAGGAGAAATCGCATCGTTGAAGGACACCATAAACACCATGGTTGATAGATTAGGCACATTTGCTTTTGAGGTCAGCAAAGTCGCTAGAGAGGTCGGAACAGACGGAACTCTTGGAGGTCAGGCCCAAGTCGACAATGTTGAAGGAAAATGGAAGGATTTGACGGAAAATGTTAACACCATGGCAAGCAATTTGACATCCCAGGTCAGAGGTATCTCAACAGTCACCCAAGCTATCGCAAACGGAGACATGAGCCAAAAGATCGAGGTTGAAGCTGCTGGAGAAATACTCGTTCTAAAGGAAACCATCAACAATATGGTAGACCGTTTGAGTATCTTCTCGAATGAAGTGCAACGTGTGGCAAAAGATGTGGGTGTTGATGGCAAGATGGGTGGCCAAGCCGATGTGGCTGGAATCGGAGGACGCTGGAAGGAAATCACAACTGGTATGCCTCACACTTCCACATTCATCAACTTCAACATAACTTCTGCTAATCTAACTAGATGTCAACACCATGGCCATGAACTTGACCGCGCAAGTCAGAGCTTTTGGCGACATTACGAACGCTGCAACTGATGGCGACTTTACAAAGCTGATCACTGTTGAGGCATCCGGAGAAATGGACGAGCTGAAGCGAAAAATCAACCAGATGGTCTTCAACTTGAGAGATTCCATTCAGCGAAATACTGCTGCCAGAGAAGCAGCCGAGTTCGCCAATAGAACTAAGTCCGAATTCCTTGCCAACATGTCTCACGAGATCCGAACACCCATGGTAAGCTAGTTCCGTTATAGTGTAATCATCGCTCTAGGGGGTCCCGAAATTCTGCATTTGTCCATTTTTACCGCTTCTATACTTCGCAGCTGAGAGAAATGCTAACGGCCTCATAGAACGGCATCATTGGAATGACCCAGCTCACGTTGGACACTGATCTCACCCAATACCAGCGTGAGATGTTGAACATCGTCCACAACTTGGCAAACAGTTTGTTGACGATTATCGATGACATTCTGGACTTGTCCAAGATCGAAGCTAACCGGATGGTTATGGAGGAAATTCCTTACACCCTTCGAGGAATCGTGTTCAACGCCTTGAAGACTTTGGCGGTTAAGGCAAACGAGAAGTTCTTGGATCTCACATACCGAGTGGACAGCTCAGTTCCCGACCATGTTGTGGGTGACTCGTTCCGTCTACGACAAGTTATTCTCAACCTGGTGGGTAACGCCATTAAGTTTACTGAGCACGGCGAGGTATCTTTGACAATTCGTAAAGCCGAGCAGGATCAGTGTGCGCCCAATGAGTACGCGATCGAGTTCTCGGTTTCTGACACCGGTATCGGCATTCAAGCAGATAAGCTTGACCTGATTTTCGATACATTCCAACAAGCTGACGGTTCCATGACGAGAAAGTTCGGTGGAACAGGTCTTGGACTCTCAATCTCAAAGAGGCTGGTTAACTTGATGAGAGGAGACGTCTGGGTGAAGAGTCAATATGGCAAGGGCAGCACGTTCTACTTCACTTGCACAGTCCGACTTGCGACATCCGATATCAGCTTTATCGAGAAGCAACTCAAGCCGTATCAAGCCCATAATGTCCTCTTTATTGATAAGGGACAGACTGGCCATGGCAGAGAAATCATCACCATGTTGAGACAGATTGGACTCATGCCTGTAGTCGTGAAGTCAGAGACACATATCAACTTGTCAGGCGGTGGATCGAAGGTTGCATCTGCCTTTGATGTTATTATCGTGGACTCAATCGAAACTGCCAGACGGTTGAGATCAATCGACGAATTCAAGTACATCCCCATTGTTCTCCTGGCACCTGTTGTCCACGTCAGTCTAAAGTCAGCATTGGATTTGGGCATCACTTCCTACATGACCACGCCATGCTTGACAATTGACCTTGGAAACGGAATGATCCCCGCACTGGAGAATAGGGCTGCTCCATCTCTAGCCGACAACACAAAGTCTTTCGAGATTCTTCTAGCTGAGGACAACATCGTTAACCAACGTTTGGCAGTCAAAATCTTGGAGAAGTATCATCATGTTGTTACCGTCGTCGGAAATGGCCAGGAAGCTCTCGATGCTATCAAGGAGAAGAGATACGATGTCATTCTCATGGATGTGCAGATGCCAATTATGGTAAGTTGAATCGAACTCGAAACCACTCGATGTACTAACTTCAGCTTAGGGTGGATTTGAGGCTACAGCCAAGATCCGTGAATATGAGCGAAGTCTTGGTACCCAAAGGACACCAATAATTGCACTTACTGCCCATGCTATGCTTGGTGACAGAGAGAAGTGTATTCAAGCCCAGATGGACGAATACTTGTCCAAGCCTCTCAAGCAGAATCATCTGATCCAGACCATCCTGAAGTGTGCAACGCTAGGTGGTGCGTTATTAGAAAAGGGCAGAGACGTTCGCACATCCCCAAAGGATGAGTCTCCAAAGGCCGGAGCATCAAACGGCACACTTGCGCCGCCACCAGCCCCAGGGAACTCTGCACTTCGACCACCCCTCGAGCCTCGTGCATACACAACTACTGGGCCGATCAATCATGGGAGCTTGGAGAGTCCTGCGATTGTGACTGCAGATGCAGAAGATCCGCTTGCCAGAGTAAGTCATTCTTGATCATGCCACTGATGTCCGTGCTAAGCTTAAACAGCTTCTCATGCGCGCACACAGCAGCTGAGCAAACCATTCGGCCTTGGACTTGTGTAGTCAGAAGTGTCCGAGAAGCCACGATGCTGGAGGAGCTTCGCTTCTTCAAGGCCACCGTCGCGAACCCTTCATACCCGTTATTTGACTTTTTTGCAACATCTGATGACTTCAAACGGCCATGGCGTTCAGGCAAATGGAGTTGAGAGGCACTGCACCACAAATAACGGGCACGCATCCTCTGGGGTTGGGAGACTATTGCCCTTTCTTTCTTTCTTTCTTTCTTTCTTTCTTTGCAATGCGTTGCAGCCCCCTTCTGTTTGGGATGGCATCTGGCTTGTCATTCCTCCGACGGTTTCCGAGGGATGGATGAACAATTCGTTGCCACGTGTTTCTTCCTTGAATTTCTACTATCATGGCCTGCGGGTGGGAACGGGAATGTCTGGGCTTTTACTTTTTGTTTTATAATCTTTTCTTCAACTGGTGGTTGGACTCAGCGCTTGTGAGGTTGGCATGGACTGGAGGAGATGAATAGGCTGACTCAGATGAAATGCATGAGAGATGGACTAGCGGAGTAGATAGTTCAGATGGAAGGATGGATGACGAGATAACATGGGTGGAAATTCAGACGCTTATGATAGCTATGTTTCTGTTTGTCTTACATGCTTGTCTAAGTGATTGTGTCCTATCTTGTGATGGTTGTTAATTTTATTAGCACTACAAGAATGATTTGAGTCCAGATATCATTGCCCACCAACCATGTCAAGGAACATACAGTACACCGCTACTGAACATGCCAGTTCTCATTCCTCCTGCAAATGCTGCGTCTTGTAAGTTCCCGTTTCCTGGAAACCGGGCTCGTGGCGGGCTTGTTGCATGCATACACATCGCGAAGAGTGAAGTGAAACGGGTACTGGTTCCTTACCAATCGCTGTCTAAACCTGGTAAACAAATGGGTTTCATGTGCCATTTTCGAACGCCCGGCAGAAAAGGGACCATGACTTGTCTGTTGGGTTGAGAAAGGAAGCTTCGCAGCGCTTAAACTAGTTCTCTGTTGCCAAACCATGTCACATCTGTTTTGGGAGTTGAATCCGCATTGGGAGATATTTGGACGTCTCAAAATAGGCTATGCTGTCTTTTCTCACCCTGTACATTGATGGATTCTCTGGCGCGCTCGAGACATTTTTTCGTTTCTCCCTTGATGTAGTGAACGATGCGTGTTGCAAGGATATAGATACGAGTTTCAGTGGCTGCTATGCTGTCATAAGAGATCCATCAGTCAAGATCAGATCCTGTGTGTTCTTAAAACTTATCTGCTCATACAATGTTGTTTATAAAAGTAAGATACTAAGATCTCACTTAGCCATTAAGAGTCACCTTAGAGCTGGGAATCGTACGATATATTTCTGTCGACTATGATGTAAAGAGAGTACTCGACTCTGGCCGTCCCTCTTCCAGGCCATGAGAGTGTTTGCCTTGTCCACAATTAACGTCTAAGGGGGCTTGCAAGTCGGTACAGATAACACGGATATCAGATCATACGTACATGTACTCTGTCATATTTAGACCGTTGCAAGTAAACAAATTATCTTGTCTCTGGATCATTTCCCAGCAGCTGCTCCTGCCTCGAACAAGTCCGATCAATACTTCACCTAATCGTCGATCTTCAACTACATCTCCACCACACGTTACACCGACCAGCCACATCATTTTGAACCCCTAATCTCCCTGTTCGTTGCATCGCTTTCTCTTGACTGTGTAACGCATGGTTGATCTTGTTGGGTGGCTGCTCTGCTAGCTCTCGGAACTTTTTGTGATTGCTCAGATTCTGTCCGGACCCTTGACTGCTCCGTGAGTCAGTTCTGGGTACTATTTACTTGTTTGTCTGTTTGTTGCCTGACTTTGACTGCCTTGGCTTGCATGTCAGTGTGATGGAAGGCACCGGGCGGTATGTAGGGGTGATGGGATTTCCATGGTGAGGAGGAGGGATCTCCGTGTGTCTTATGAGTGGTTGGTCGGATGGAGAATCCGACATACTGGATGGAGGTGAGGTGTCACTTGTGAGTACGCGCTTTGCTTTGCAACTGGCAAGAGCCAGAACTGCAGAACTGCAGAACTGTGCAGCAAGCACTGGGAGTGTAAACACACATCTAAGCTGCAAGCGATCAAGGTCGGTTTATGCCTGCTTGCATAAATTCATAAAAATACATCACAACTTTCCATACAATGTGAGTCGATACAAGTCCAGGGTCTCACTTATCAAAATCCAATCACGCTCGATCCATCAGGCACTTACGGGTCGTGCGACTCGTGTAACGCGATCTGATTTGACGATACGAGACGCGGTCAGGACGAGATGAGATATCCGATCGTGGTGGGTGCAGGTAGGGAATCTCAGGGTCCGGTCGATTTTTTTTTTCCTGCTGGCCTCTTGACCTTACCGCACTTTGTCTGGCTCTGGTCTGGTGTCGTTGGATGCTCAATGCTCGATGCTCGACAGGCGTTGTGTGGTCGGCTAGCCAATCGTCTTTGCTGGCTATTACGTGCAGGAAGATTGCCCTGCCCTGGCGGTCGCAGGAAGTCGGGCATTATTTTGTGCGTGTTTGGGATGTGACTATGGCTGCATGGAGGGGAAAAAGGGACGTACCTTTTTCTCTCGAGGATGGGTATGGGTTTGTTGTAGATTGTGCAAAATGTGTTGAGGACTTCTCGGGATTTGGGACCGAGCAAGTAAACTGAGGGCCCGATCTTCCCTCCGTGAAGTGCCGAAGAGGGCCTCGGGAAGGGTGGATGGCTTTCATGACCTCAGCATTTCAGGGTTTCTGATGTGGGACAGGGAAGGATGTGAAGGGGTTGTGGTCCCTTAATATCATAGGGCTTTGCGCAGCTGCGAATGGCATCTCTTAGACAGGGTAGATACATGTTGTGAGGCTTGATCGCTTCTTGTTGAGAACAAACATGGTATGCGAGCCGACGGATGAAGACTTGTTTCTTTATTAAACTTTCGAGTATTTGAAAAGGACTGTATGGAATGTATCGCTTGAAACATTTCGTGTTCGATTTTGGTGATTCTTGCACTGTCTGTTTTGTTGCTGTGGTTCCCTGTAGCATCTTCAGGTGGTCTGGGTGCTGATGGCCTGCTTTCGGATTAGGAGTTTGGTGGTCTCTATTTGTGACATTGGACTTTCGATTGGATATTTAGTCAAAGTGGCATTGTTTCCACCAGTCACTGATACCCAGGATGCATTGACCTGGCCTCGATCCCGCAATGACGTCTGGGAAAGCATATTTTGATATTGGAGTTTGAGGGGAAGAACCCACCAGAACGGGATGAAAGTAAGCAAGAACAAAACCTTGCGACATACGATTCTTTCTCGTAGAGAGTTAAATACTTAGGTAGGTACAGAGTTGATACCGGCTTTTGCATCTAGATTGGGAAGTTGATGCATGAAGACCATCGGAAGGACGGATACTTCATGCAAGGTACAGCTGCAAACAAGATGAGAATATAACTTCCATATGCCCACATCAAGAAGAAATATGCTGGATGTGTGGCACTGACTTCGTCTGTCTGCTTGATGCCACGACTTTCTCACAGCTCGGCTCGTTATTAAAAGCAAGGTTCAAGAGGACAGATGAGCAGACTGTTAAATGGCACCTCTATTAGCAGGAAAGGTACTGGGCTACGATGCAGCAACGCTCTGGCCACATTGCGGAATCATTGAGAGCATCAGAAGCAAGCCTTATGAAAAGCCCCTATTCTTCTTATTTGCTTTCCTGGACAGAACGGAGAAGTTTGTCTGGCGCACACGCAGGAAAATAGAATCACAACATAACCTCGCCTAAGGGAGGGAGATAGTAGTCAGCTCAGCACCGCCTCTTGAACCACGGTACGGCCACCGGAGCTGTCGTTATGTGCAACCATACATACACATACATACATACATACGGCCATGTTTTCCCTCACACACACCAAAGAAAAGAGGCGTTCAAACGTGCAGATCATTTTCGTGGAGTCCGTTTCCGGGTTTTCAGCCCCTCTCTCATCGGCGTCCCCTCCTCCTTGGCCGCCCTTTTCCATCCGGCTGTCCAAACAGAGGACCAACTGTGCAAGCATCCTGCACAAATTCGAGATGCACAATCCAGATCCGAGGGACAACAAATGCAGAGCAGCTGCTACAGTAGTGGGAGGGAGAGATCCCCGTCCACCGTGCAATGCAGCATCAACCAACAGGCCACAGCACCAGAGCACCAGAGCACGCCGTGGCCGTGGCTGGAAAGTCCAAGGTACGCGAAGTGCAGTGCTACGAGTACAGGCTTACTCCGTACAGGCTAGCTAGCACCGATGGCCCCAGTCCCAGTCCCAGTCCCAGTCCCAGTCCCAGTCCCAGACCCAGTCCCTTACGAGGAATCCTAAGCCTAAGCCTCGTGTGGCCCACCCAAAACCTAACTCGCGCATCCTCGTTCGGCCTGGGGTGCCCTGGTCTTCGCGCCAGGTCGACAGAAAAAACGACCGATGCATGTTTCTCTCTGTGTCTCTCGGTCCAAGCTGAAAAACTGCCCGCCCTGACCACCAAGCTGCGCTACGCTACGCTACGCTACAGTACTGGAAGTTGGAACAGGGCAGAGCAGAACACCTCGACCGCCAGGAACACTGGCTGATCGCTGGCAGAGCTCCTGATGTAAATTTAAAATACTAACTCAACACTACTGAAAAGCACATGGCATGGAACTGCATACAGTAGAAAGTGACTCGCGGATTGACAAACGTACCTTAGGTAGCCAGAGTCATCCACCTAATCACTGGCCACAAAGCCCAAATGCCTACTTAGCCACTTGATCTAGTCCTGCGCCTGCACGACGAACTTTCGCACTACCACTCACTACACGGCATAGAGTTTAGGGGAGCTAGCTCCCCATTCCATCCTCCCCTCCCCTCCTTCTTACCCAATACCCAATACCCACACTCGCACGCTCGCTCGCTCGCGCGCGCGCTATTACACACCTGCACTTACCCTCACTCACTCAACTCACCTGCCTTACCTACCTTACCCTTCTCTCCTCCCTCTTCTCCCACCTCCCCATCCCACCGTCATCACAAGTCGACCCTATCGAAGTCGTTCTGCCGGTCTGTTTGCGTCAATTGTTTCCTGTCGATATCTCGGTCCTTCGTGTCCTTTCGTATCGCCGGTGTTTGCGAATTTACTGCTTTCCCATCGGAATCCTAGTTTTTCAGCAGGTCAAACGTAAGTTGGAGGGAGATCTCACGCCTCACTGGACCGCACGCGATAGAGGCTCAGTCCCAACACAACCCCTCACCGGCTATGCCCATACCACTGCCAGAGCTCTGCTTGCCCGGACTGGATGCCGTAACGCTCGGAAGTACTGTTGCATTCTGGAAATCCAGATGCCAAAGATGGGCGTCTGGAGACTGCTGGCGCAAACTTTGCTTCAACGTCGCCAGTTTGCATTGCAGGTCTTCCGGATGCGCGTTTGATGGCAAGCTTAGCGCAAAGCTCTACAGCAGTGGGCAGCTAGTTTCTAGAGCTCAACAGCAATTGGATCCGCTGCTTCAAACTAGCCAGAATTAACTTTGCTGACCTTGGTTGTGTTGTGTCAGGATTTGAAGTCATCCTCAGCGATTCTTCCCGCGAATACCACCATCTTTGAGAACTTTTCGTCTACGAATCCTCTGCTGTCGCAAGCGCTGTCACAATTGTCGAGTCGATTTCCGTCACGCTTGTCGCTTCCAGTGCCTTTTCGCCGCAGTAACGACTTTACGAAGGTTGGGTTGGATATCTTCTTCGTACTGGTATTGGAATTTTCTTGAGGTAAGCAATGCCTCCGGATATCCCTCTTGTGGTTGGCAGACCCTTCCAAGAATGGCGGAAGACACCGGTGCTGGATTGGAATACATCAACTCAGAAGCTGTGCATTTGAAAATCATGGGGAAAGCTGTCATGGGCTTAGGCCGTGGCATATGCGCAAAGCTCTCCCCTCGAGTGGCACTAGACTGGCCGCCCAGTTGCGTAGCCAGTAGAGCCATAGAAAACAGAAATTTCCTTTGTTTGCAAACGAAACATGCATTTTGCCAGCACCAAAGCTGCTCTGGCAGACTCACTGCATTGCCTTGGAATTTGCGCGTAAACCAACAAACTTTGTTGTCACTTTACTCGTTAACGAAAATGAGCGACTCCATTGAGCTCGCCTACGAGGGAGGCGGCAACATTTGCTCTGTAGCGGAGCTGTACAAGTGACAAACCTCCAGGGTTATGGACAGCGCTCCAGAATGTAATGGAGACTGAGTCTGGTAACACAGAGCATTCAAACAGCGGACTCTTGACGATGCACTCTCTTACGAGCCTGAAAGCTTCCTTGCAAGTCGAGTCGTGTGGGGTGTTTCGTACTTGGAAGATGGACATGCTGCGTCGCTTGCCGTTCGTCTCATTGCATGTCGGTGGAGCCAGAGGGACTTCGACTTTCATCCAAGTGGATTGTTAGTTAAAAGATTTATGAAAAGGCTTGGGCGGATGAGATGGGCAGACAAAGGATTGGCTCCTTGGAGCATGGAGTTCCTACACGTGCCTAGCAGTTCCAGCTCCCTTCCTCCTCACCCTCTTGTCCAAGGCTGCACACGTCGTGTGCAGCCAATGTTGTTGCGGCATATTTGCGTATGTTACTGCTCATGCCTGCCTCTTGTTTTGGCTAGTGAACAGGGACGTCCACCTGGAACTTCAAAACTTCTTGGACATGTTTCTGGACTACTGTGCCATCCGGATGCAATGGCTGTATGTCTTGAGTCGTAGTCATGACGTTGAAAGGACAGGATGGACCTCGGAGAGGCGTGGTTCGGAATTCTGGCACATCGCTGTCAGTAAACAGGACCACTGGCAGAAGTGCTCTGGGAACATCATACAAGGCGGAGCTACTCCTTTGATCCCCGTCTTCTCTCACAGCTTGCATCTGTCCTACCGACGGTTTGTTCGACAGTGGTCTGAAAAGAGTCTTTTCTTTCGCGAGCTAGGACAAGTCCTTGCAGCTGGTACGGCAATACATAGGCAAGCTTGGAAGGAGGTGCAAATGCAGTGCTGTTCAAAACTTCTTCGACCGTGTGGTTTCCGCTGCTTTGTAGTCCATTGTATTGACCGAACCAAGTGGTTGGCGGAAGAGGGTCGCGACTGCTGTTAGTATTCGAAGTAAGTTTACCAACCTCAAGGCTTCGAAAAACTTCAAAACTTCAAGTAATCCACGCTTTTGATCACCGTACATGGAACACTGCTCAACAAGTTCCTTTGAGTCTGATTATTGTCTGTTGTTGAAATTCTGCGCATTGAGTTCTGATGTCGTTAGTTGGTGTTATCTGCATGTGAGGACTGAGACTCACATATTCGCTCAGGCTGATGAGAGGCACACGAACAAAACTACACCATGGCCCACGTGCCGTGCCACCATTCTCCTATTTCGAATTGCACTTCTGATGAATTGTTGCTCTTCTTGCGCGCTCTGTTTGGTCCCGTCCAGTTCTGCTCTGGCTCTTGAGAGTGTTATCTGGCATTTTGTCCGATTCGAAGATTCTCTTGACATGCTCAGCCTCTCCACCAGCGCTTTCCGAGCATTATATTCTTCTAGGGCACTGCTGTATTGGCCTTGTAACCAAATTTGCCATGTACTGACGCCATACTTCGGGCTGCTTGAATTACTAGGTAGCTGTTGTTGAGTTCTAGCCGTTGCATCGTGGTCAAGGACCAGCAAGTACCTTTATGGAAGGGACTGTCAGCTAGTTGGTCGTTCTACTCATAATACATTCAATAGATGAATCACATAGTGTGTGACGTAATCCGCGATCTCTGTTATGTTGGAGAAAAAAATCAAGCTGTTCCCTCTAGCTAGGCTCTGGCTTGTGAGATTTCTTGACCAGCCTTGATTGTATTTCCTTGAAGTCTGCAGCTTGCAAAACTCATCTCACTCTTTCTGCAATTCATCGGACGCGGCATAACCTTCCCAATACCTTCCGCATCTCTCCACGGGTCTTATACAGCTTTCTATCCATATTCCGTTTTAGGGTCTGCTAGCTACTCACTACTACTCAAGCGCCATTGATTCACTCCGGGAGCCTCGCTAACTAGCCTTAAATAGACCACGTCGCCTTCGCCTTCGATCTTCCAACTTCATCTTCTTTCCACAACAACTTCGTCCTTCAACCTCTCTCGACCTCACCACCCACAACACTCCTCCACCTCTCCCTCTTTTATTTCACACAGTACACGCTTGTAAACCCCTTACACACTTTCACCCGTCGCACACGTCAAGATCAAAATGGCGTTTCAATACGACCCAAATCAACAACAAAACCAGTTCTCTCAGGAGAATGCTGGCAACGGTATGCAACAGCAACAAGGCCCTCCACCACCTTCAAGCATGCAGCCACCTCAGGCTGGACAGCAACAAGGTGGCCAAGAAGGTGGATCTCCTGCCCCTTTCCAACAACAAGGTGGCCAAGAAGGAGGTAGCGTCAGCGGCGACGCGAAGACCACACTTTGGTAAGTCAACAGACACTCATTCGTTATTCACCGTCACCTTCCCTTCTCAGTACACTCCCCTCCCTTAATCACAACCACTGCGCTCTTGCCACTATCACTCCTAGCTCGCTCTCGACGCGATCAAGGCTTCACTGTTTGTGTGGCTCTTTCGGATTGCGCACGGTCGCAATCCACTAACCACCCATTTCCATCACACACTCATACCTCCTTGGAACACTTCTTTACCTGTTGCGTTCTTACCAATTGAACGAACTCTCCGCCTTCTGTCCCCAAGTGCTCCTTCCCGTCTCGTCTCCCCTCCTCGTCCGGGGTTGACTTACTCACCACCCGCTACGCTATCAGAGACTCAACACGACCAGAACTAACACTTGTCAGGATGGGCGAGCTTGAGCCATGGATCGACGAGAACTTCATCAGATCTGTTTGGTTCGGCATGGGAGAATCCGTCAATGTGAAGATGATTAGAGACAAGTTCTCTGGGTGAGTAACTTCAATATTGTCAGATTATGCGCCGATCTTCTCACTAATGCATATTATTACAGAAATGCTGGCTACTGCTTCATCGACTTTGCCAACCCCGCCGCCGCTGCGAAGGCCCTCTCACTGAACGGTTCCATGATCCCTAACACCTCCCGACCATTCAAGCTGAATTGGGCTTCTGGCGGTGGGCTTGCTGATAGACGGTCAGATTCCCGGTTCATAATCCTATTCTTCTATGTTCCCTATCTACTTGGAATATAAAGCTGACGAGACATACAGTGATGACCGCGGTCCTGAATTCTCTATCTTTGTCGGCGATCTAGGACCAGAGGTCAACGAGTATGTCCTGGTTTCCCTTTTCCAGGCTCGCTTCCCGTCTTGTAAATCTGCCAAGATTATGACGGATCCTATTTCTGGTATGTCCCGTGGCTATGGGTTTGTTCGCTTCGCAGACGAGCAGGACCAACAACGTGCCTTAAGCGAGATGCAAGGCGTCTACTGTGGCAATCGTCCCATGCGCATCTCGACAGCCACACCAAAGAACAAATCTGGCGGCGGTGGCCCAGCCGGTGGCATGCCCATGCAAGGTGGACCTGCTATGGGACCTGGTATGCCAGCTGCTCCTGGTATGTACAGCATGGGTGCTCCACCACCAATGGGCTATGGAGGTGGTGGCTACGGTGCACCTCAGCCAATGAACCAGTTTACCGATCCTAATAACACCACCGTCTTCGTTGGAGGTCTCTCTGGTTACGTTACCGAGGATGAGCTCCGCTCTTTCTTCCAGGGCTTCGGTGAGATCACCTACGTCAAGATCCCACCCGGAAAGGGATGCGGCTTTGTCCAATTCGTTCAGCGCCACGCCGCCGAGATGGCCATCAACCAGATGCAGGGTTACCCAATTGGCAACTCCCGTGTTCGTCTATCCTGGGGCCGCTCTCAAAACAACTCTGGACCAGCTGGCACTCCGTACCGCCCAGCTCCACCTCCACCCCAATACTCATCCATGGGCATGCCTCCCGCACACCCATACGGCCAATTTCAACCTCTGCAGGTAAGCAGGAATCCTCGTGATGATGCTTCAATTCTTCTAACCTCTCGCAGTAAGCGTCATATTTCCATGTCCCGGAACGGAGTATAGCGCATGGCGTCTTGCACAGTCAACTTTTGATCTTCACGTTAGTGGCTTCAGCTTTACTTCTTTTCTAACCCCGCCTGGATGGCTGTTTCTCCTCTTAGCGTTACTTCAAAAGTATCGGATGGGTGGGGATCTGCATTTCCATGATGCCATGTACAAAAAGTGCATTAGATGTCTCTTTTTCACGTGTCCACGAAGGGTCTGACATGCGCTGCTTTTTCCTCCTACACATGTACGCTCTGAGCTTGTTTCTCTATTTTGGCTCCAGCTTGTTGGCTAATGTTGTCTGTCTGCGGGAGGTTGTGGGGAGCATCACTGGTTTCCAAACCGCAATCACGTTTCTTTTCCTCGTTCTCAAAAGCCTCAAAAAGTTTAGACTCTCTTTCTATCCCCAACACATATAGGGTGTCTTGCTGTTTGTGCGAGCTCTCCTAGCAATGTATCCTCAGTATTACAACAGTAGTGTCTATCAGTTCTCCGTCCTGCCTGGTGCACGAATTTTCCTTCCATGCTCAGATCCTGACCATACCCTCTCCAATCACCAGTATGACAAGAACTCCGGAATGGTTCTCATTACTCTTTCAAAATTCTCCATTGCCTGTGTTACTAAGTATTTTACTCCTTGGCTGGTTTAGGACCATCCATATTTTCTTACATTTCCACTCTCCCAAAAGCAGCAGCTGTAAAAATAGGCCTTCGTTCTTTGACATCAAACCGACATCGCAGATCCCTTCATCAGCTCATGACAACGGGTTCCTTGTCTTAATCTCTAAGAATGTATTGCTAACAGCCATGTTTCTGCAGACTGACGCCTCCCCTTGAATCTGTGAAGATCGCAGACGGCATGCCCCTTAGTCGCTCCTCTAGCCGGTACCAGCTCAACCTGTCTGTCTCTTACTCTGTTAACGCAAGAGATACCTCCGACTTTCACTGGCAACTCCCTGGCGCTTATTAAATACGGTTCGCATTCTTCCTGGTTTCACTCCATGGTATTTTCTTCAGCTCTGCAACTCAACGTTTCGAAATCTCCCTTCTACACCTCAGCAATCTTCAGTCTCAGCTCGCGTACCTATTTGATGCATCGACTCTGGCATGTCTAGCGGTTCTTTCTTCATTGCGGATACCCCTTTGCGAACTTTGATAAGGACAGATTCTTGACGTTTACATGCATTGCGACTCGGCCCTTCCTTTTCATATGTCCTCATCAGTCTCTCCTTGCTGCGATGGTTCTTACGTGGAGCATTTGTTTTTCTTTGCTTCGGTTCATTACGCGATTCTCGATTCTGGATTTTCGACTCTAAACTTTCAACTCTACTTCAAAAGGTGCGTTGCATTCTCCGGCGGTTACGCATACGATGGACGAAAAACGATGATACGATAGGTTGTTGCTTTGCGGTCGATATGGTGCGTTGCGATTGGGGATACATCGATAGTTGCTGGACTTCTTTCGGACTAGGCGCATTGCATGGTTTTGCTTGAGCGATGGTTTTCCCCCCTCATTACACATTACGCTTGGGGTTGTACGTCTTCTACACCTCACAGGATTAGCTGTGTCACCACACCTTCTCTTGGCCAGTACTGGTAGCACTGCCCGTTTTCCTTCGTTTTTCATGACATTGCATTACTTGCTCCTGTGTTCTTGCATCACACAGTCTTCCTACTGACCTCAAGTGGTGGGCTCTTACAATCGGGTGCAGTTGACTGCAAAAGCGCTCGCATTTTCTTTCGTAACCCAGGATCTCGTCGTTCTTCGGTCGATCTTGATCTCGATTCGATGCCTCTCTATTCTGCCTGATACTTTCCTTGTGGTTGGTCTCTCGATTCCTGAGATAGGATTACTGCGCATGCCTACTTGCCCTTAAGGCTCATAATCGTTGTTCTTTGCATGGATATCAATAAGAATTTGCACTTGCTCTGGTCTCTTCGCTATGATTCAATGCGCCGTGGAATTCACTTAATCCACCGGCGTCTGGTGCTGGTGAGATGGTAGGTAATCGAATGTCCCGGTAATCCACGCCGTTCTTGCGCCATGACAACTTTCTCATTGCAATTTCGTAGGAGTGGCTTAGGAGATATGTGTGCCTTCATATGGAGGTCTATGTTCAGGATGGTATCTAAAGCCGCATTTGGAATTCCGAATCTCGCCACTGGAGCTCATATGTTGTTCAATCACTCAACGTTCTTTACTACTCTAGAGTGAAAGGTATTTTGTTCAAACTTTGAGAATTGATTTAGATAGTAGACATGTCATTGTTGTATACTGTATACCCAGAACCCCAACTCACACCAGATGTTGTTAAAAGAGACTCATTCTGCACCTATTATAAGTAATACAACCCTAGAATAATTTGAGTGATAGGCTTGTTTCCCCTTCTACTCCTGCCATTCCAGTACCTTTGGAGTTTCCAATGATGGCATCTTCTTCGCTTCTTTGCCGAATTTGTTCACTATTTCCGGATGACAGGCTTGCTTTACTTTAAAGGTACTGAACTGTCCAGCCCTCCAACCATCCAGCCCCATTAAGATCCAATCTCTTTCAGTTCGAGGGTGAGAATGATGCAAGACGTGTGGCCAACAATAAGTTGGTACGAATGACCCTCCATTAACTGTAGTCCCAAAGCACCTGTAGGCTGGCCATGTCATGGTCAGCTTTCCAACAATCAAAGAAGAGAGGGTGCTTTATAAAGTGATAATTCTCAGGCTGACTTGTTGATATACGGTAGACGACGATGAAAGTCTTTTCAACTCGAATAGAGCACTCATCGTTCACTCGCTGAGAAAGTGGACTTTGGAATTTGACATCTCTCCACTAAAATACGTTGGTGATAGGTGACGCTCGTCGTTGTCTCGTGCTTCGCGGCTCATACTAGCCAAATTGTTACTACAACTAAAGACAGAAGCTGGCTTATGCCACTACCTCATGGAAATGTGGTCTTTGGGTGGCTCCTGAAGATCAGGTCTTGATTGGGTATTACTAACGCCTACTCCTGCTACACACAGCTCCATGTCACTTCCGTACTTTTCTAGCATGCTTCACCAGATTCTCAATTACACCCTCAAAGGCCTCCCTATCGCCCAACTTCTCATCCGTCCTTTTAGTCCAGTATTCTAACACTTCCTTGGCGGTCCCCTGCATATCCTCCAACTTCTTGACGTGGGCTTTCAGCTCTTCCAATGTGAGACCTTCTAATGCCTCATCCGTGAAGCTGCAAAGCTGCCTTGCTGATATGAGGTCGAGTTGTGGAGCCGGAGGTGGTCCTTTCCTCCGCCGTGAGTCTGATCGAGATGGCTTGCCTTGCGAGTCGACGGACGTGGAGGAAGCGTTTCCTTCGCCTTGCTTGAGACGAGATATCGGGCGGGACTCGGTCGAGTTTCTGGGTGAGCCAGAGGCTGGGTTGAGGTTCATGGATGGAAGAATGAGCTTCTTCTGCTTGGAAGCTGGGAGAATCTCGTCGAGGTCGACTGGCACCCCGAGTGAGACAAGGAATAACCTCCTGATTCGAGACCGGATCCAGTTTGGTGGTTGTAGTGGTGGAGGAGCCACGAGTTGTGACCATAGAGAAGCGCTTCTAGGTGTTAAGAAAATGGAGTTCTCGGCTGAAAGTGGTGGTAGGACAGATGTATGAATTGAGTCTGACGGGAAAAGAGCGTTCATATACTTCTCAGTTGCAGCTTGTATATCTTCCGGGGAGTCGAGTTCTGCGAAATCAAGGACGGGCTGAGGGTGGATTAACAATGGGTCATTTTTGTAGACGGGGCAATTTGTATAAACCCAGTATAATTGCTACTTACAAATGAAGGTGTTATTGGTATAGACTGTGGTGGAGGGGGAGCAGGTGCCGCCTCCTGGAAACCATCATCAAAATCACCGAACTCTGCATCCTCCCCTTCTTCAAAATCATCGAAATCGTCGCCAAATCCACCATCCGACCCATCCTCATCCTCGTTATATTCGTCTGTAGTGACAGGTGTCGGCCCCTTCCTTCCAGCCGCAGAAGACTTCCGCCTCGCGTGGTTTATAATTGGGGACCTAGCACCAGGAGACGTTGGCGACCCTGATCCGGTCAATCGCTCTGAAGTACAAGATATCGAAATTCCCTTACCTGGTGTCTCGCCCACTTCCTCCACAATATCTGGCTCCGCATCTCCTCTCCTCAACTCGTAGGCCTTTGTCCCTGGAACTTCTCCGTGTCGAGGGCTAGAGTCTATCTTTTCTACCTTTGTAATGGGAATCGGGAGGTCTCCAGGGGTGCTACCTGCTCGAGAGCGGGTGCTTGAAGAGCGGCTGCGTTCTCCAGATCTCACAACAAGATCTGGCACAGCATCTGCGGCACGCATATCGTGCGCCAAAGTCCCCGGGACCTCTCCATGGCTCGGAGACGAGGGGTCGACCTTCTCAACTATCATCAATGGAATAGGCTGCCCTCCGGGAGGTGTAGAAGGCTTGCTGATAGGTGTGCTAATCCTTGGTGTCGTGTGCTCAGGAACAATTGCTATCTCATCAGGTGCAGCGTCCTGCTCTCGCAGACGGTAGGCCTCGGTTCCAGGTTCTTCTCCATAGCTGGCCTCGTCGTCCACCTTCTCAACTCGAGTATGGGGGACTTTTACCGCAGGAACAGGGGTGTCGTCCGTGGATGTTGGCTCCAGGCCAGACTGAGCGTCCGAGAAGTGGTCCTCGGAATCTGACGATTCTAGAAATTGTCAGTGTAAGGTCAGGCTTGCGAGAAATAGACGTAATTCTTACCCAAGTCGTGTGCTCCTGGGTCGTCGATGCTTGATCTGGCTGGCGGCTCCAAGCGCTCATCATGGTCGTCTGCCATGTTTCGGTCAATGGGACTTCGGGTAGATCTGGTATTGATGCTGCTGCTGCTGTTGTATTAGAAGGCCAGAAAACTCTCCCAGAGGAAGCAAGCGAAAGGCCAGTCTTCCACCTCCTGCTCTTGAGGACTGTTGTTGCAAAGCAAAAGCCCCCTTTCGACGTTCTAGAGCGAGGAGCTCTCGTTCTGCCAAGTCTTCAACCCTGCCCTGCCCTCTCTGTCTCTCCACCCATGCATGCTCGTGCCAAAGACAAGGCCAGCGCCAGCCCACTGCCCAGCCTGATCCAAAGCGCGCTAAAATTTTGGAACTTCCAACGCGCTTCATTCAATCAACCCCAGCCGAGTTATTAAGGTAAGGTACTGTTGTTGCACCTTCGTACAACGCACCGCTTCAATCGCATTTCCTGCGAATGCCTTTTGTCCCATCAACACAAACCGAGGCCGCAGAAGCTGCACCTTAAATTCATTCGAAAGGTTCCTTTGTCTCGCGCTTTCTCATAAACCCAAAGCTAACCAGAGCTTCCACAGATCGAGACCTCGACTTCGATATAGCCTTCGATTGAGCAACGACTTCCTCTCTGGACGATAAGCAATCATGGCGAATAACGGCAAATCTTCCTTCAGCTTTGGCAGTGCGGCAGGGACAAGCACTGGTCAAAGTCCCTTCGCAGGCTTTGGATCGACTACACCTAGCACGTCCTCTCCTTTTGGCGCAGCCCAAACCACTACAGCAAAGCCAGCAGGGTCTACAGGCTCAAGTCTCTTTGGAAACTTGGCATCAGGACCAACTTCGTTTGGCGGTGGATCTACAGCGGGTGGTCAGGCTCCAAGTTTTGGCGGCGCCAAACCAGCTTCCAACCCAGCTTCAGGAGCGTCAACACCAAATCTTTTCGGAGGAAGTACAGGAGCTACTCCAGGTGGGATGTTTGGCAGCCAAGCAGCATCATCGAGCACCACTACTCCTGGTCTATTCGGCACAGCAAATGCGACGACACCCAGCTTTGGAGGGGCAGGCGGATTCAAGTTCGGCCAGGCAAAGGAAAACAGTGAAGCTTCAACCCCGGCGAATAACGAGAACAAAGCACCTACTGCTGGCGGACTTTTTGGTGGTAATGTCACCAAGCCCGCTGGGTCAAGTCTATTCAATGCTGCTTCGGCAGGAACAACGACCCCAGCCAAACCCGCCTTCAGCTTTGCCAACTCTACTACTCCTGCTGGTCCTCCTCCTACGGACAATCCCCAATCCAAATCATTATTTGGGTCTGTCGGTCAACCCTCTTTTGGAACATCGAAGCCCGCCGAAGCCTCTTCAACTCCAGCGACTACCAGCTCCCTCTTCTCAAACCCTGCGACCACATCCAGCGGTGGTGGAATGTTCTCTGGCGGAAAGCCTCCTGCCACCTCTGGAACAGGGTCGGCCCAAACCCCTGTGACCAGCTCAGCTCCGAAGCCCACCTTCAGCTTCCAGAGCAGCACTCCAGCAACCACCACTACCAGTGCTCAACCTTCATCCACAGCGCCAGCTGCGACAAGCAGCCTGTTCAATAAGACCCCAGCTACTGGAACATCTGCCCCATCTCCATTTGGTGGTTTCAAGCCAAGCACAACAGCTGCGGCTTCTGCATCTCCTATGTTCAGTGCTGCTCCAGCCAGTACTTCCGCAGCGCCCTCCACAACCCCCAGTCTGTTCGGTGGGTTGAAAGCAAGTCCCCAGCCAGCATCGGCCGCAGCCGCCTCTTCTGCAACCTCGACATCAAATACTACTGCCGCTTCGACAACCCCAAGTCTCTTTCCCACTTCAACTTCGACTGCGGCTCCAACCACTTCAGCACCAGCTTCCAGTGGACCGGGATCAGGTGCAGGCTCAGGTACTGGCCTGGGGTCTGGTCTAGGAGCCGGCCTCGGAGGAGGATCAGCAACTGGCGCAGCCAGCTCCCAAATAGGTCCTACGCAAGGATTTGGATCATCAACTACTGGACCTACACCTCAATTGACCCGTCTGAAGAACAAGACTATGGACGAGATCATCACTCGATGGGCATCTGACTTGTCGAGCTATCATAAGCAGTTCCAAGATCAAGCAGAAAAGGTAGCAGCCTGGGATAGATTGATGGTTGAGAATGGGGAGAAAATCCAGAAGCTGTATTTAAGCACATATGATGCTGAAAAACAGAGCGCGGAAATTGAACGTCAGTTGTCGAACGTGGAGAGTCAACAAGACGAATTGGCTTCTTGGCTCGACCGTTACGAGACAGAGGTTGATGATATGTTTCAACGCCAAGTTGGACAAGGGGAGACTCTGCAAGGTCCAGATCAAGAGAGAGAACGAACATTCAAGCTTGCCGAGAAGCTGACCGATAGACTTGACGATATGGGCAAGAATCTTTCAAGTATGATTGATGCCATCAATGATGCATCGACCACTTTGAGCAAGACTAGTAAAGCCGATGATCCTGTAAGTGCATACCTGAAGTTCAATTACTTTTGTTGCTAACGCTCTCTTCCAGTTGTCACATATTGTCCGGGTTTTGAATAGCCACTTAACACAATTGCAATGGATTGATGAGAATGCATCAGCTTTGCAAAACAAGATTGCCGAGTCCCAGAAGGGCGTCCAAAGCATTGGTCCAAATGGATATGGCGGACCGGAAAGTGAAGCTGCGGAATCATTCTACCGATCTGTCATGGGTAGAAAGTAGTAGATTAATTTGGTCGGAGGATTTACTTCAGGTTGGCGTTGGCACTTTATGTGGGCATCTTGAAAATGATCGAGGTTTGGGATTGGCAGCATTTGTTCGGTATTAAGCTATTGCAAGCCCGGATGGGTATTGAGAATCACGACAGGCACGATGAGAGAGTGTGTGCACAGTGTAAAGTAGACCAAAAAGAAGAGACAACAAGGCCATGAGAAGTGGTTGTTCTGTTGTGTCCCAAGGTGCTGCAAATCCACATGTTGTATACAATTCGTCATTCCTTCACCTGTCTCCTTTCCATGCCATGATCGCCGCAATATATCAGCTGTAGGAGCAATGACATTCAGCATTGCTTGATGCAAGCAGGCCTATCCTCCACATTGTACAAAGTTATACTTACTTCTGCTCGCCACCTTGACCTTTCGATATCTCGTTACTGCAGAGGTTCACTGTCAGCTATGTATCCCATTTGGTGTATTTCGTTCTGTGGCATGATCTTACATGTGGTCCTCGAGCTTCTTCAGGTGCTCGTGCTGCTCTGCCAACTTCTTCTTAAGCTCCAGAAGCTTCTCCTTCTCACGCATGCGGATGGCGTAGTCCTCATTGGCCTTCTCGCGCTTGGTGAATGCATCTCTATCGAAAGCAGAATTGTTAGCATTTGTCTGTGATATGATCAGGATTACCCCAGGGAGCTACGGACCCGGTACCGGTGCTCCGTGGAGCTCCAGTGTCGCCGCCAGCCATGGCTCGTGTGGTGGTTGAGAATGCAGCCCGGGATTGGAGGGATGAACGAAGAGCTGGGCGAACAGCTTTGGAAAGAGCTTGTCGATACATGATTGTTGAAGTATGGGAAGTGATTGAGATGGAGGGGGAAAGCTTCTGATTTGTACAACTGCACTGAGGGGTTGTCACTGTATGATGGAGGGTTGTGGTTGGAGGAGGTGCGTTGGGTTGACTGGTGCCGAGCGAGCTTGCTTGACTTGCGTGCAGTTGCAGCTTGAAAACAGGCCACCAGGCAGGTCAATTGGGGCACCGTACTCCGTATTTGCTCGGCATTTCTTCCTCCAAGACTGCTACAATGCCACGTGATGTTTGCTCCTACATAAGATCATGTGACCAGTGACCCCTCAATCCTCCCGTTGAGGTCCATTCTGGATCATGGATGTCGCAGGGCCGAAGAGGAGCCAGAGCCCCCAGCGTCATCGTGAGGTCAAGTTGCATGAATTTCTGGGAACTTTGGGTAGGGCTCCGCAAGATCTATTTTTCCGCAAAAGTATCGTGAAGGGCCTCCCCTCCCCTCCCTCCTCTCTACCTTACCTTTCCTCGCTTTCCTCACGGACTGAGTGTCCCAGCCCAGCCAACTCCAGCACTGCCACACTCGCCAGGACTACCTAGTACCAAGTAGTTTCCATTTCCAGGTCATCATCCAGCAGGTTTCACACTTTTGGCGATTGGGTGGCCAGCAAGGCGGTATCATAATTTACTGTAAATCACGGTACCGCACCGGCAAGACTTGCTGGCCACTTGCGTTTGCAGGGCATGAGATTTGGACGGGCGTTGATCGTGTTACAGTCAGGCGACCAGCCTGGCATCGTGAGAAAGCATGAAGACAAGGATCCACCTCGCTGTCGCTTGGGACGTCAGCCCTGCGAGGGCATGATCATAACGTGGACGATGGATGGAGAGAAGGAACTGGGACTGGGACTGGGACTGGGACTGGGACTGGGACTGGGACTGAGACCAGGACCGACATGGCTTTGCGGATACAAATAGAAGCAGAGTTCCCTGGGGATGAACCAAATCTCTAACTGTAAACTGCTATCAGTGCCACTCAATATCCCTTCAAGCTTCCGCTCCTTCACACTCTTCAGAATATAATATTCCTGCCACAACTTACTTATAAGTACCTTCTTACCTGTCGCTACATGCGTGCCGTGCCGTACGCTTCTCAACCGATTTGAAAACGGGTCCGGATCACGAACAAACAGAATCTCTGTCTGAAAGTCCTATTTGGACTCTACTCTATTGTACCAAAAGAAAATAAAAAGGCCTAGGCACAGTGTAATTCACCGCTCCGCACTTTCCAAGCACTTTCCTGCAATTCCTTCCATTGTTCCAGTCGGGTCGGTCGAGCGAGGCAAGGTACCTTACCTCGATCGAATCAAATTGCAGGCGCAACCAACCAAGATTGTTTTGGCAGCGCAGGCAGCGCAGCGAACGAAGCGCACCGCATCGCTTCCTTCCCTTTCCCTACCACGTACCTAATTAGACGCTAGCGAAAAGGGTGCTCTCTCGATCCCGCTTCCACTTCAACAACCTCCTCCCTCTTCGAATCTTGACTCCATCAACAAACAACACCCTCTAGGCCCGTCGCATACCCAACACCACTCACCACCGACCATCTCCGGTACTCTACAAACAATCCAAACGCCCTATTCCGTTCTGGTGAGTGTCTGGTCTCCTATTTCGTCATCCCTTCTCATTGTTTCCCCCCTTTCCCATTTCTCCTCCACATGGAGGAATGGTCGGACATGCATTTCTCGATACTTTCACCCAATCGATTCGCCTGGGAAAGGAGGCATTTGCAGCCCCCCAAACCGCCCTAGCGATTGTGCCAGCTTTCTGCGCCTGCCCCTCTCCTTGATCGAGGGGTATCTTCTGACTTCAGCATTCATTTGCATTGTACCATCAACACGATGATGGACATTCTGGGGTCAATCTATCCGGATCAGTACTTCGATTTGACTCAGCGCGGCTCTGAGTGTTTGAGAGTTCTTTAAAGCCACGGACGTCAGACCGCTCGCTCAACTCCGCACCAAACGCACATCCATCGATCATGCCAAACCCATCCATCCTTGCCACATCTGCATCGATTTTGTCTCGTCCGCATACTGATTTCTTCTTGCCAACAGAATTCTCACAACCGCAATCATGGGTTACGAAGATTCCGTCTATCTCGCCAAGCTTGCTGAGCAGGCTGAGCGTTACGAAGGTTAGCACCCATCGACCGCAATGTGCTCTGCGCAATATACTGAAGTGGGTTTAGAAATGGTGGAGAACATGAAGTCCGTTGCGTCCGAGGACCAAGAACTCACCGTTGAAGAGCGAAACCTCCTGTCCGTTGCCTACAAGAACGTTATTGGTGCCCGCCGTGCCTCATGGAGAATCGTTACCTCGATTGAGCAGAAGGAGGAGTCAAAGGGAAACTCGACCCAAGTTACTCTTATCAAGGAGTACCGCCAGAAGATCGAGGCTGAGCTTGCCAAGATCTGCGAGGATATTCTTGAGGTTCTAGAAAAGCACTTGATTCCATCTGCTAAGAGCGGAGAGTCCAAGGTTTTCTACCACAAGATGTTTGTTTGCCCTTTTGTGTGAATCTTGCGACGAGTGCTAATTAGGTACATGCAGGAAGGGTGATTATCACCGTTACCTCGCTGAGTTCGCCATTGGTGACAAGCGAAAGGAGTCTGCCGACAAGTCCCTTGAGGCTTACAAGAACGCCACCGAGGTTGCACAGACTGATCTCGCACCAACACATCCAATCCGACTTGGTCTTGCACTTAACTTCTCCGTCTTCTACTATGAGATCTTGAACTCGCCCGATCAAGCCTGCCATCTTGCCAAGCAAGCTTTCGATGATGCTATTGCTGGTATGTACCTCACTTTGAACTTTGGACCAAGCGGTATTTGAATAGGTCAAGAAGTATATTCTAACTCTTCAACAGAACTTGACACCCTCAGCGAGGAGAGTTACAAGGACTCTACCTTGATTATGCAACTCTTGAGAGACAATTTGGTACGTAGATTACTGTTGTTACACAGGACTGTACTAACTTCATGTCACCATAGACCCTCTGGACTTCATCAGAGGCTGAGCCAACTGCCACTGAGACCGCTGCTCCGGCTGCTGCTGCATCTGATGAGGCTGCTGCGCCAACGGAGCCCAAGGCGGATGCTGAGTAAAGAATTGGTTTAGGCGTTGATGTATGGAAGAACGGATACAAGCAATCTGGGCTGGGGTAATTGCATGTTTAGCAGCAATCGAGATCAAGACTGGGCGGGTTGAAGCATACACAGGGGTTTTGGACGTTGATTCGCAACCTTGCTTTACGCGGTTTTAGACTCTAATGCACCAGACTTTGTAGTTACCCTCCTGTCTTTACATCTACTTGTTTCTCGATCCCCTGGCATCGCTTTCCCCTCTCGGGCAGATGTCCTTTTAAGGATGGATGTTACGATTGATGCACCGCTCATTTGGTTTGCCTCTTTGTGGCTGTTCTCTGTTCTTTGTTTTTTGCGAAGGGGGCATGGGGGTAGACTAAAAAAAAATAGGCAAATTTCCAGACTTTCAGACAGGATCTTCTTTGGCTTGATTGCGGTCATTGTGAATTGATTCCAAGCCTCCCGGGTTAGGCTTGACGCAATTTTAGGGGATTGGCAAATTGTGCAATCTTTATTTTCTGTGAAATTGATTCTCTAATCATCTGTATACTGTTCTGCTGGTCATGATTCATGAATTAACAGCGAGAAGTAGCCCGCTTATCCATGGCGGAAGCCGACCCAAGCACGAAAAGACCCTCGAGAAAGACAAGTAAACAAGCACACCTGCTAATAGCAGCACAAGCCACTATCCATCCACATCATCTCATCGTCATCATCCCAAAAAGCAAGTAACCGGCCAACCACACTCCGTACGATCCAAGCAACAACAGCAAAAAAGTAAGCATCGAGTACCGGTAAGCAAAAAAATACAAATACGCAGCAGACCCAAACCCCCAATATACTCAACAAGGACAAGTACGAATCAAAAGATCAACAGCACAGTCACTCCCTCGATTAAACGCCCACGCCAACCTCGCCCAGTTTTCATATGCTTTCCACAGACGCCAGTTTTATGCAAGCACAAATAGTACAGCATGATGGATACGTATGGTGAGTCTTGCCAACACGATAAAATTCAAGTGGCTCATTTACAGACCAGAGACCTTACGAGAGGAGCTAATGCTCCCAACTCTCCCGCTGGTCTTGCGCACACCAGCAGGCTCTTTGCTACCTCGCAGGCTGTCGCCGCTTCGCTTTGGGCTACCACGAACTTTGGCGAGCGTACTTGAGCCGCTTCCTGACTTCATGGCACCGGGAGTCTTGGGCCGAGAACCGGAAACAATATTCTCGATATCATTACTGCTATCGTTATCGATGGAACTGTAGATTGTGGTGGTGGTTTGGCTTATGCTACGACCAGTTGGAGAACGAGATGACTTGCGACTGGTTCGCATACGAAATTGAATTTCATCTTCGCCGTCAGGATCCTCGTTTGATGAGCGGTGAATTGAGATCATCTCAGTCTCCCTTTGTAGCATGTGCTCGTCCTCAGTTGTGCTGTAAGAAATATTGCGGCTGTAAGGGTGGTGGCGATCAACTGCTCTGCTCGTCTTTCGAGGTTGGCCAGGCGTAGGAGCCGGCAGGCAATCCTCTTGGACACCAATACTGTTACGTTGCTCATTATCAACTTCACCAAGTGGTGACCTTCGACTTCCATTAGGAGGGGTTGCGGTCTGGTTGTTGAGAAGATACTGTTTTTGGGACAGCTTGGTTGGGGTATGCGGTGCCATGCTCGCCATCTTCTCCTTCATCTTGATCTCAAATTGCTCCTCCAACCACCACTCGCGGAAGGTTCCTTGGTTGAGGTGAAGCCAGTGCTGTTGAGGACCAACAACCATGCCAGGTCTCATGAAACGCATGTAGGCTATGATCTCGTTGGCGGTGAATCCATAGCGGTAGATCAAGTAAGCGCCAATCAAACAACCAGTGCGGCCGAGTCCGGCTTTGCAGTGCACAGCGATACCCCTCTTCTTCACAGTGATCATCTCATGCGCCAAAGTAATGAACTTTCGAACAGTACTCAGTGGCGGGCATGTTCCATCATCAAAAATCATGTCCAAGTGCTGGATGCCTAGGGCAGTGAAGTAGGAAGGCGAGTACAACTCGGAGTTCAATCGAACCACCAAGCCGATATTTCGCTCCGAGAAATGTTTGAGGACATTCTTGAATGGACCAGGAAGAGTTGGGTGAGCGTCAACTGCCTTCAGAGTCGATGGTAACGTGGCAAATAGTGGAGACGTTGGCGAGATTGGTGCCACGGGAGTGTGTTGTGGGGATGCAAATGCAAGAAAGTCTGGAGTTAACCAGTTGAAATCTCCTTGATCCACTCTCTCGTATCGTTCATACTCCTCCAGGTCGAATTGCGACAGAGCGCAAAATCCTTGCTCTTTTGCCCGCCAAACACCGTATACCACATCTTGTACTGTAATTCCGTAGTCTGCTTGACTGTATCCTGCATCGCGAAATGGCATGAGAGGTGGATCGGCTTGTGCGATGGGGGCAAGAGCAAGGTGGGGGGCCCAAGATTGGATCAGGACCATGTAGGAAGCCAGCAGACAGGCAGCATTTGCTCGACCTAAGTATGTTAGTTTTGATTCCAAGCGGTGAAGAATAAAAACTCACTCCGCGCATCCGCCTTACTCCAGAATACCACGGGTCGGCTCTTGTTCTCGGGGGCACCGAGGATGTCATGGAATTGAACGGCAAATCGATACAAGTGTCCAATGTGTAATGGTCCAAAGTCGTGGTGAAAAGCATTGTATAGGAGGGTATCGTCAATTGAAAAGTAGCATGGTGGAGTACGATCTCGCTCTGAGAGAACGGCAGATGGACCATCCACAGCTCGGGCAGAGCGCTTGCTCGGAGAACGACGGGATGGCGCCGGATCGGGGTATGGAAAGAGCGTATCTGCTGACGGCGGAGAAGTGAAGGATGCTAGATAGAGCCGGTCTGTGGAAGTTAGCAAAGTGTGCTGAACAAGCTACGCAGACTTGACTATCTGCACAGGTCGCATGCGCCGAGCTTGTAGAGGAGTTCTGACCTGGAATATATTCAATTATCTGCCCATACTTCACGGAGGGCGTCATTATGAAGTGCGGTGCGCGAACGTGACGCAATTGTGGGAGAGTCGTGGCGATTTGTCTTTTGCGTGACTTGTTGACCTGGAACTTGTTTATTGTTTTTTGTTGACGTCCTATAAACAGAGCATACTCTTCAAATGGAATGAATCGCAGTCTATGAGGCAGAAGAAGTAGAAATACGGATTCGATATGGGAATAGTGAGACGGGTACAAAGAGGAAGTGTTGTTGTCTTCGGTGTGTTGAAGTTGATATGGAGCTTTAGAACGAACGATGTTTAGAGGTTTTAGCTCAATGTGGAAGAAACTAGCGTGGTCACCTATGGCAACCAGGACCCCGAGCCCCCCTTAAAGCAGCCTTCCCCTCCTGTTTGAAGCTCCAGGGTCTTTTTATTACATTACCATAGAAATGTTTGGAAACTCAAAATGATGATTCAATTGAAATGCCGGCTTCTATGGACAGCACTTCAAATTGGGAGGTCAACCTGTCAGGTTTTATGATGCATGCAAGCGTGCCATGATCCAAATTCCAATGTTGTTCGGCGCCGCTTTGCTTACATGCCAATTGAGCCACTGTCAAGACGCCACAGCAGGGGCCACTCCAGAGATTATCAAATTCATGCAAGCTCAATTCCTGGAGATCTGATACCAAGTCGATAATCACCATGACGACCACAGCCCTGGATCCAGAATTTCCCTGCTCACTGTGTGTGCTTTTCTCAAAGCACAAAAGCTTTCTCCACTCCCTTAGCCATGTAACCAAACTAATTCAGTTCTGCAGTACAATCGACCTTCCCCTCCCAACCGCCCGCCTTGCCTCCATTGCTCTCAAAGCCCTCGTCGTCGACGCAGAGCTCTCCCCTCTCGTCCGCCGGTCCTTCACTACTATCATACCGTCCACCATCTGGGCGGCAAATGGAACAGTGAGTGTAGAGAAAGGCGAGGAAAGCGTACTGAGGACGGAATACAAGGCGACGACCAACCGCATGCTGAGGGTTGCTGTTAATGGATATATGGAGAGCTTGAGTGTCGTGCTGGGCATTATGGAGGAATTGGATGTGGATATTTTCGAGTTAGAGCTGAAAAAGAACAATGAGTGAAGGATGCTGGGTCTGAAGGATAACTTGAGTTATACATGGGCAGTATTCTATCGCAATATCCCGAAGCACTGGACCTGGCATAGGCTCCACACTTCTCTGGGCACGGCTCCTGGTAGGCCCTGGATACCTATGATGTGTGTTATCATATTGGGGTATTCGCGACAGAAGAAACACAGAGGCCCGGCTGAACAACTGTTGGAATGATCTGATTCTGGGTTTGAAGTCCCGAATGCATATATCGCTCAGACACTCCATTTTCGAGCTGGCCAGTCCCGTTCGAGCGTCACCATTACCCGAAAGAAAACATTGCCTGCAGGTTTACCAGTACTCAGTCCAGTGATAATGAATGTAGACACTCCACGCCAGCTCAAAATCCCTTCTATCTTTCATTCTCCTCTGAGCTCAAAATTGTCAAATTTACAGAGAAGCCATATCAAACTAAGTCGTATTTCCATTGGTTACCTCTTCCACTCTCTGGCTATCGTGATGCTCCCCGTTCCGAGAATGACATGTCAGTTCCAGGATCCTACATAAGGTCATAATTATGCATCAGCTTCCCAAGCGCCCCGCCATGATTTTCTAATAACCTCCAGTTCTATACATAAAGCAGGCCCAGGTATCATAAACTCCAAAATTTCCAGTAAATCATGTTTCCACTCCATGTTTCCACCCCATATCAACACCCTACACCTTTTCCTCTTCCTCTTCCTGTTTCGCGGCTTTTTCTTTGAGTTGTCGCTCTGCTTCCTCTGCTCTCTTGTTCGCATTAGCAATATCCTGCTTGAGTTGCTTGATATACTCGATTGCTTGCTCAACCGTGCTCGCTTTGCTGTTTGCGCTTTGGGCTGCAGATTTTGCATTGGTAGATTCAGCAGTCTCTCCTGCGTCTCCGCTTCCACTTTTCTCTCCTCCACTATCCTTGGCAGCGCGGGGTAACAGAGTCGCAATCTCCTGTAATGCTGAGTTTATCCGATTTCGACGGCCTTGCTCAGCAATCTTGTGAGATGTGCGCTTCGAAGTCAGATTCGTAGAAAGTTCTTGGGGGTATGAAACTCCTGGTAGATGTGTGCCCTCGAGTATGTTCTGGTAGTTTGACTTCGAAGCTGCCAGCAGTAGGGAGGCAGTATCACCAGACCCGTTGGTCCCTCCAGGCAGGAGAGGTTTTATGCTCGGTGATATCCTGGGTAACAGAGCTGGTGAAACAAGCACAGAGCTGCTGGCACGCTTTTTCGAGGATCGAGCTGCAAGCTGTTGAGTCTTGCGAGTAGTCGTACTAGTCCCGTTTGATCCATTGAGAGCATCAATTTGTGGACTTTGACTTGATGCTGCAGTACCTGGACGTGTGAATGCTGGAGATGGCAAGGTTGGAAATGATGGAGCCTTTACGCCTATTGAGTTCATCGTAGGTGTAACTTGTCCGTCATCTTGAGTATCAAGTCGTGAGAGTTCAGGCCTGCAGGTCGCAGATTCTGGCAAGGCAAAACCATCCATGCCCGGGTCATCCAAATCCATATTTTGCGTGCTCCCAGGTTGACCAATCGGTGGTGATTGTGTCAATCTCATGAGAGAAGCCGGAGTTGCAGGGGATCCAAGAACCAACTGCTTCGCCCTACTACTCGAATTCTGAGCCTGAATATATGGTGACGCCTTTGTGGAACCAGGGGCTGGCACGGGAGGTGGAGCCATCTCTGACAGGTGCTCGGGAGATATCGATCCGTTCTCTGATTCTTCCGTACTGGCCGCAGAGTGTGACGAACTTTCAGCCTTTGATCTTGTAGACTGAGCATGTTCTGGCTCTAAAATATTGCCCAGAGCTTGTGCAGGTAGTGCTGTAATACTGTTCTTCTTACTTTTCCTAGGTTTGACGATAGGCGACTGGCGAACGGCACGAGCACCACGAGACTTTGGATTTTGCTGCAGTACTTTTTTGCTAGCTTTTCTTGCAAGTATCGTAGAGCTTGCCGGAGCGGAGTGGCTATCATGGCTTGTATCAATCGGCGAGTTTGTTGTTCCAGATAGTCGCTGGTCATAGACTGAGGAATGATCATTTTGTGCGTGAAGTGCTGGGGAGCTCAGCGGGCTGAAGTATGCACCTGGAACAGTGTATTCTGGAATGTTGAAATGAGGATCTAGAGGGGTCACAGCTGGCGATACTAGTGGGGTGAAAGCCATCTAAACAATATCAGAAACACGGCCAAAGGGAAATAAACCTATGCAAACAAACCTCTTGCTCCTTTACATGCATCTGGTATCTTTCGAACATCGCTTGTTGCTGTTGGTCTGGTTGAGAATAATAATGAGGGCCGCCTCCATGCATTTCTACACTGTTTGGAGTTGGGGGAATCATTCGGCTCTGGGCATAGAAATTTCGCTGCTGCTCTTGCAGTTGCCTCTGTTGTTGCTCATGTCTCTGGTGTTGCAAATACTGGATTTGGGCGTCCAGTTCAGATAACCTCTCATTTGAAGCATGTCCATGAATGAGAGCCGGGGCGTGGATCAAAGGGTGATTCGAAGCAACTGTCATCGCGGGTATGTGTTCCTGCATCGTGGTATCCTGCCCCATGCCTGAGTTACCATTCTCAATCCCAGTGTCCATAGCATCACCTCCTGCCTGGCTCATCATTTGGGCACCTTGCTGGTTGAAATCTTGGAAGTCGAATTGCAGCCCGTCACCTAGGCCATTGATTCCCATGTCCAGAAATTGTTGGAAGTCATCTTGTGCCACAGAAAGAGTTGGATCTTGTCCCTCCCAGCCACTGGATGTATTCATCATGAACCCTTTGTGCCTCCGCCCTTGTGCGATCGGTATGGGTGGTGTCTTGGGTTGTGATAGCGGGGTGTTGCTGTGAGCGTCGAGGGGCAGCGGATGCAAATTATGCGTAATTGCGATGCGAAAGCTTATTCCATGTGGCTCTTGACTCGGCGTAGGGACGCTATGAGTGGAAGGTGAAGTGAGACAATCAAATCGCAAAAGCTTGGTCTGGTCTGCTATGGTGGTGTTGAAGGTCCAATGTAATCACTCTTGGAGCCTCGGGCGTAATTGTACTACAAGAGAAGAGGTCGAGGCGCAACATTCATTGCCTGTCCTCCACACAAACGGCTCTCACCGACAGCGTAGAACGATTGAATATGAGAGCGAGTGACAGGGAGAAGAAAAAGAGGGCGACAATCTCCGCAGCACGTCGATGTTCCGAGGATCGGATCGCAAGAGTAAGAATTGGCTGGTGGTTGAAGCTTTTCGTGATCAGCGTTTCAGGGCCGACGGTCGTTGTTCCTCCAAGATATTGAGCGAATGGATTTTGCCGGGCAATCTTTCCTGTTAGGTGCGAAAGATGTGGTCGGCAGTCGCGGTTGGCTGGCTCCTGATGTGCTAATACCAACTACTAATTGACCTAAGTGACTTCCTACTTTTTCGTCGGTACGGTACAGGCTACACCAGAGCAGTTGAAAGCCGGAACTGGCCGTTGGCTAGCTTGCGATGCGATTGATGGACAGAGTGGTGGAGGGGAAAGTCGCTCGCTGATACTGAGCTGAGCAGAACTGGCCGTGGGTGAAGTGCTTCTCGAATTTTGTACAAGTCAGCCAGCTGTTTGACTGCAAGGCAGGGCGTAGTCTTCTTCGGAAAACGAAGAAGTCTGTATCTCTGACTTGAAACGATGTTCGCGATGGTCATAAAATGCAGCACGCAACTGTTTTCTTTCAGTAGTGTCTCCGGTTGGCGCGCAAGAGTGGATGGGAGTGGAGTGGAGTGGAGTGGTTCCAGTGGTTCCAGTAGTTCCAGTGGTTCTTACCCGGACGGGCAAGTGATAGAAAGAGCAAGGCTCCTCCTCCGTGATGAGCGAGCCCGCCGAAATGGAAGTGCAAGTGGAATTTCAGGATGCAGGGAGAAGACGGAGTGGGGAAGCAGAAGGTGGAAGGCGGAAGGTGGATGGTGGATGGTGTGAAAAGTTGAAGAGAGGCAGATGCGGCAGAGCTTGATGAAGCTGTCCTTGGGTGCTGGCAGACAATTAAGGTGAGGAACTATTTGTCGATGGCGCTGCTATTCGTACCTACATAACATTACATTACATCACATCACATTACCTACAGTAGGTAGATATACTGGCTGACCGACTGTGCCTACTCTGATTCGGAAGGGGAGATTGGGCAGATTCGAGCAGTGGAATGGTTGCAGCTGATTCCTCGGTCTGCCCCTCCTCTCTCCACTCCACTCCTCCTCCACCGTACTACTACTACCTACCTACCTTAGGAGGTAGTACGAGTACTGCACCCTGAGACCCGCCCTGCCTACATTATTATTTAATCCATGTCGAGGCGGGAGGCCAGGTTAGATGGGTACTTTTCTGTATTGCACAGTATGCAGGTATGCCGGCCATGCATGCATGCGTGTGTGCATCTGCACTCCTCTCCTCTCCTCTCCTCTCCTCTCCTCTCCCCTCCTCTCCTCTCCCCTCCTCTCCTCTCCCCTCCTCTCCTCGTCGGCGCGGGGGTTGTTGCTTTTTCGGCCGTTCATCCAGCCTTCATTACCTATCGCGACTCTCGCTACTCGTACTGGGCGTTGATTCGCTGCGCCAGGCCATGCAATCTGCTTGCCCCCATGCTCGACAGGTAGATCATGCCCTTACCCCCACCACAAAGAGCTAAGCAAGACACACAAACAAACGTCAGTAGTATTTTTGTAATAATGTACTCGCCGATGGGCTCCTCTACGGAGTAGAGCGTTCATATTGTAATACTCCTGCGTAACGCTCGCCTGCAACTGCCCATTGAGCTCAACATCCCTCTTAAGCGCGAGGTGAACCTCGTAGACCACATTCTTGGTGGGGAGTCGTGTAAGTCGTGCCCCTCCAGCTCTGCTCCCGACTTTTACCTACTATTCCAGGCAGTACCTAGTACTTTACCGCTTGGTGGACTCCGATATTAGGAAGCATTGAGCGGCGGGTGGCATTTGCCTACCTACCTACCAACTGAAGTCGCATCACGCGGACAGTTCACATTGTCAAGTCCAAAGACACCATCATTCCACCGGGGCGCCAGCGCTCAGCCTTGCCGCTCCAGAGCCTTGACTGCGTCTAGTGGGGGTGGTATGCCACAGAGTCATACGGTACAGACGAACCCAGGCGGCCAGATACTTGCAGCTGCTGCAGCTCTGGCTCGCCAAGGGCACCCTTGTCTGGCCCCGAATGGTGTTGTTGATTGGGGCCTTTCAACGTCCATTGTTGACCCTTGCCAGGACTCCTGCCGAATCGAGCTCGATAGAGAAGTAAGACTGATTGAGTTATGGCGGTTTCTTGATAACCAACATTTACAAGACCCTTCATGGCATCTTGAACTGTAGATGCTAGCAATGGGAGAGACCATAGTCTGCATTTCAGAGTTCGGAAATGCCCATCAGAAATGGCATCGGAAACTCTATGCCAGTCTCTATGCATCTAGAACATGGAATTGCTTCTACACAGCAATCACCGTGGCAGCACTAAGTCTCTAGAGACTCCTTTTGGATCCCATCCCAGCTACCTGGTTGTGGCGTCCTTCCCTTGTGCTCAGCACTAAGCGTCTCGCATGGCGGCATGCAATGTGATGGAAGGTCGAGGCAAGTCTTTGGAAGGGTCTCAGGAGCCACTGATAATCCTTCTACGCCATCAGTGGCGCCAGAGCAAATGCATGAATTCCCCAAAGTCAAGCTCCAGATGACTGCTTCTCCTCTAGTCATTGGGTCAGCGGCCAGTCTCGCTCCACTACTTCAACTCACCCTGGGCGCCGGCCCGGGAGCCAGCCCCAAAGACGCCCAGCGCAGGCTGCGGCCGAGACTCCCTGCTCCGACAAAGCCATGTAATAATGATAATAAGTATAATACCCGGCGGCAGGCTTCTAGAAGGATTCGTGACGCAGTTATTGCTTCCATGCAGAAAACTTTCTGTGGCTTGGGCCAGCTTGGGCGAGGGAAGGGAATTGGAAGGCAGAGGCCTGGAAGCAAGACGTCGCTAGCGACCTATCAGAAGTCTCGGTTAGCCCACGCTCCCCGGACTCGCCGCCTCATGAAGCAACGGCAAGCTAAGGTGAATTTACAATTTACCTCACCTGCCCTGCCCTGCCCTGCTCGCTCGCTCTCTCTTCCTTTCTCTCTCTCTCTCCCTCTCAACGTAGACATGACATGACCATTAAGGTAGGTCGTTCTACGCCACATCATCCATCTGTCTATTGAATGTTTTGGAAAGGGCAACGGCAAGGGCAAGGGGGCAAGGGCTTTTCACTTCACTCCTCTTCTTGACCAAAGCCACGGTGGCTTCAAGACAACGACCAAGCTCGTCCAGCATAGATTGTCATCCTCCCAGAGACGTTCCTTGCAGAGTCTCAGCTCAGTCTGCTTAGGATACTTCACTGTTGCGGCATCAATAGCAAGCCTTGCTCTAGTGGCAATGGGACAGAGATCTCTGGTAGTGTCTGATCATTGTGGTTTTGCTTTTTCCAAATCTAGATCTGCATGCTGAAGGAGTGCTTCTGCTAATGTCTTGCCATCCCGTCTTCAGACGGGCAGAGACTTCCTTGTAGAACAAGACATCAAGTAAAGTATGTTCATCAAGTGTGCCGCGACATCCGTCAGATTCACTTTTATTCTTGCCGCATTGGTCTTGTTTACTTCCGCGTTCTCCCGTTATTCTTGCAGGGTCGGTCTGACCAGCTTCTCAATACGGGATCATCAGGTCTGCGTCGTTCTGCAACAGTGGCCATACCCTTTGTGATGTTTCCAACACGGCACTGCTTCTGCGCTCCTTTCTTGCTAACTGGCATTTGCTGGGTCATCAGGGCCTTACTGGACATGAAATTTAGTGTGAGTAATGGCAATCACATCCCAAGTACTGCTAACCACATAGAGCTATGATGCTGTGGATACGTTCAAAGAAACTATTACCAGTTTGAGTTTGCAAGGAATTCAAAACTAGATTATCCTCTTTCGAGTTTCCTCGTTCAGCTCTCTTTTTCAAGTATTCTCAGCACTTCCCCTGTCTTCTGCGCTCGGGTATTTCAATATATCCTGTCATCTCTGTGATTAGCATGAATTGTATAGTTTCCCAAGGGTGAATGCCTTGTGGCAGCGATGTCGATTGATAACCGAAACGGCGATTGGCTTCTTAGCCTGGCGACGTTCTCAAGATGATGAAGCCAACGGTCCCACGAGTTCTCAACCTTCCAACCCCACGAAAGATATATGTGGAGCAATCTGCAGCGATACAACAACAGCCGAGCCTCGAATCAAAACGCGAACGCTCTCAAAGCAGATCCTAGGCTCACCCCACGACAGTGATAGCATCCTCTACCCAGGACATCGGACGAGATCCTCCATCTTGAAAATCATAGCAGATCAGACAGTCACCTGCAACGACATACTCGAGCACTTAAGTCAAGTCGAAATGTCTCCCTCTCGATCTCTTATTACTTTGCCAAAACAGCCAAAACAGCCCACAATGCCAGCCCCTCTCTGCTGTTAAACTTGATTTCCACCCTCCGAGCTTGTCAACCCTGCCACGCGAACTCAGTTTGAAAATTTGGCGATATGCTGCATGGATTCCACGGATCGTCGCCATCAAGGATGATGACAACCTAGATCACAGGGTTTTCTGTGGAGGAAACGGGAGGTGCCCGCTTGTACGTTTCTGTAAGGAGGCGAGAGGAGATACTCAATATTTTGACTGACTTCAACGCTGGATGCAACGTTGAGGGAGAGCCAAAGATTTGAGTCAATCTGGTCCTTGATACAACCTGGGTTGGGAGTTCCAAAAATATCTTCTTCGAACTCCAAATCATCTTGGAAGAAGCTGCTAAGCTGCCCCACGGCTTCCTTAAAGAAAGTGGCGATGATCAACAACTCAATTCCCAGATCTTTTGAACTGGAAGCTGACAACAGACCCGACGATCTCGGGGTTGAAGAAATCTTCGAAGTCATGGGCCTTGAAGATGGGATGTTTGATATAGACACAATGCGACTGAGTGAACCAAAACAAGACCACCGCATAACCAAGCATTTCTCTCATTGGACATCGGTGCAACTTCGAATATCGGTCGATGCCAAAGAGTTCTGGGAGATAGAAGCTGGTGCTGTGAGAATATTCGTTGATCAGATAAAGAATTAGCACCAGAACAGTTTCCATATGAAAACGGCGGAACAGGTACGGCCATCATGTTGTCACTGCAAAAAATGTTGTTCTGACTGAAAGACGTCGAGGAGTTAGATCCATTTACAATCAGCCCTTCTCCAATTTCAGAGACCCATCGACCTCTAAGGTTCTCCAGATCGAGTGCTGAGAACTAGTTCGTGTCGACAAAGCTGCAATCCAAAGTATTTGCGTTAAGTGAACGCCGGGATCAACGACACAGGCGACTTAAGATGTTTTCAAAAGAACAATACCAAGGCGTTGAGCGTTCTGTATTTCCCAACCATCAAGCATGCTCATTCGAGCTTCTGCAAAATTACCACAGAGTTCAGATAGAATGACCTTCTGCCTATTTCCTGATCTTTTCCAGACTCAATACTCTATGTGAACATGCAGCAGGTGATGTATCCAAACGAGCACTATTTTACACTATTAGATGAAACAATCAAAAACACAGCATGCAAGCCGAAAAACTGTCATTCTCACCAGGATGTATGCGTCTTATAGAGTTGTTCGTTCACTACCTTTCATACATTCGCCACACCATGTCAGTGTCTCAACACAGTCAATCAGTCGACAACGGCTCTCTCATCTCAGAAGTCAGCTAAAATAATTAGAATCTGCTCTTCATGTCTCATTCCATTGTTCGTTGCTCACAACAACAGCCTCCATAATCTAAACCTTCGGAACCACCCAGTTCGTAAGGTTTCCTCAACCGGCCATACTCATTCCCTCCCCATCCTAGTCCTCTATGAATCGAAAATTAGCCACTACCCCACCATCCCTGAACATGGAACCAAGAAGAGTAGATACGGTTACCCAACACAACAACCTCCCACTCCCTCCGTCTCTCCGCCACTAACTTCCCAAACTCGAGCCTAACCATACTCTCCTCTCCCCAAACCACCTCACCCAACCCCTTCAACTCAACTCTCTTCTTTCCCACTCCACATCTGCTGCATAACTTTAGCATCGAACTCCACATCCCCCTTAACCAACACCCACACCTCCAACTCCCACGTCAGCACTTCCTTATGCTTAATCTTCTTCCCAGCCTCAAAACCATGCCACACCTTCCAGCTGAATGCCAAGCTGCGAATCTGCCCTCGATTCGAGCACACTGCCGTGACGAACCTATGCCATGTACTTGGCCCTGTAGTATAATCCCAGAATTCAGCTGGGTGGAAATTGGTCAACTAGACGGATGAAGCTGGGATGTTGGCGCCGAAGAAGGATGCGTATGTGTGGATTGAGTTGGGTGAGGAGATGGCGTGGAAGTCCGTGCAGAGTTTTTGGGCTTCGCAGCGATATTCGTGGCAGTTTGTCAAAAGAGGCCAGGGGAGGCTGATTTAGGTGAAGGAGAAGTCGTACAGAGCGAAAATGTGGCCGAGGCGAGCGGCGTGTCTCCCTGAGGAGCAAGCTGTAGGCAATTTCTCTGTGATCCATGGAAATCGCAGGAATCTACTTACAGACTAGGGTACGGAGCTCTTAAGGAAACATGGGGAAGAGGGGGAACTTGTATGGGGATTTGGAGGTTTTGATAGCTGTAGAACTTTGTGTATGTTTCTTCGGAAGTGGATGATGAACAATGAGCTGCTTTGGCACATTCGAGTCTAATGGAACCTCGATGAAATGGACTTGCTTGTTCGGAAATCTTGAAGCTCTTCCCATGACCTTCTTAGTACTGTTTCTCTGCTGTGACAAGAAAGCTGACAATGTGTACTTGGGTGGCTGTACAATTCTTCCACTTTCTGCGGGAAAGAGTTACTGGCGGGCTGCGAAGTAGGTAAACAGCCTGTCTAGTTCCAAGACAGGAGCTGATAGCTTATCCGACACGAGGCTCGGCTCGAGGTTTTCTGCAGGGCTCTGGAAGACTGGAAAAGGAACATAGGGTACACAACTTGCCGCGAGTGGTGTGGGGACTGGTATCGCTGTATAGAGGAGTGGTTGTGAGAATCCAGTTTTTCCACTACAGAATTTTTTCTTAACATAAAGAGCCAGTACACCCAGTGTTCTAGAGGAAAGTTGTCAACAGTGGGGGCAATCGGTTGACTTTCTTCCAGTCATCGAAAGTGAGGATCTCGTATTCGACGCGACTATGGTTGTCAGCGCACTTGACGAGGTATATCGTGGAAGTATATGAAAGGACAACTTACTCAATATGAGTCCTGAGGAATGTGGAACATCCTCATGTCTTTCCTTGTCTTCTGCCAATATGTATCTCGCAGGCAGCATTCTATGGTTGACGGGTCCATGACGCGTATCAGACATGTCGTCTTCTCTTGAGTGTGACAATGACTCTTTGCTCTCCATGGAATATATGCTGCGTTGGATACGCTTGCGAACTGGTGAATGGCACTCATGCGCATTAACCTCAGTATCAGAACAAGGATTAGATGAGTTGAGAATGTCAAGGTGTATTGCTGTTGTCAATATGTGTTCGGGCCTGTGGGTTTCGAAGTTCAAAATCTATGCAATCATATTCTTCGCTTTCGGGCTGTCCATTCTCAGGTCTTTCCTCTACTTCACCAAAGTCTTCCAATTATTCATTATTAGTATCATTATGCAACGATCTGGTGCTGTGATTGCGTTGTTATTTAGTCATTGTGCCATTCTCCTGTCGTGGTGTTTCTTCCTCAGAATTTGCTAAACAGCCTTCATCTTGCGGGTATTTGCTGAGATCCTGGTGACTGTAAACCATACCGAACGAAACCATTAAAATAATCGTAAATGAAGTTTTGCCGTCGAGAAATTTACTCCAGGATGCAACAGCGCACAAGCCTGAGCTGGGCAGGTGAATGGTCTCCTCACTTTGCACGCGCGACAGCCACCTCATGCTTCGGCTCTGTGCTATCGCGTATATGTAGGAAATAATCAATTTCTTGATACGTGGCAGGCGGCCTGGCGTGGTAGGCACGCTGGGTTTGGAACAAACCAGGCGGGATCGATTGGGCAAATTCCACAACGAACAACAATTTCGACGATACGAAAACCCTAGTTAATTAGGTTTGTAGTTTGGAACCTCATAACTTGCGATAACAGAGTGATAGGTTTCCAATTGAGTTTTACAATTTTTATTCTTTAATTTGATGGAACTTTCTCATCTTTGGTGTCGATGGCAGCATAAGTTCTCAATTATCCTAGCAAAGCCAAGTTTTTACTTTCCCCACTTCTTTTTGTTTACTTCGTGCTCGCTTAATTCGCAGACCTGAGGATGGGAAGTTCTCGGCACGCCACCGCAAAGAAGCGCAAAGCACCCACTTTCAACATCACTGACTTGGAGTCTGAGATCGGTGTGAAATATTTCAGATACGTCCCTCCTTAAGGAAGCTACACAGATTCAGTTATATCATGGGTTCACGGCGACTTCATTCCGGGACGTTTTGTATCTCTCATTTTCCATCGCGCAGCCAAGCAACACTGACAGTTCAACCTAGGCACCCAAATCCATGATACTTATGTGAAATATCTCAGTCTTCAATAGCCTATAACCCAGTATCCCAAGCTTCCCAAATCTGATCTGAGGAACTTCCAATGGTGAGGCCTGTGGGAGTTTAGGTGCATATTCCGAATGACAACAGGATTGCCAGCTATCAACACATAGTAGAATGATTTTCAAGAGAGAACTGTGGGTATGAGAACCACACTAGAAGATAATCGGAGAAGGCTGAGACGCATTGTATAATGATTTCCAACACTTTCAGTCAGGCTGCCCTGTATCATTCCTCTCGAACCGGGATTCCAGCATGACCATCCTATTATTATATTTACCTACTGACTTCCGACCCTTGGGGTCGTATCTTCTTCACGGATCATTGGTCACGTCTCATTTCCAGATATCGCCTTGCCCCCATGATCAATATCCCAAAATAACAAGACGACTTTCTGAAGCCTCATCGTGCTAATCTAGAGCCGCTTAGTTGTGAAATACTTCATCTTGATGCTTCGCATAGCAATAAATTCCTTGTCGTGGTTCTGGCAGGATCTGTGAAAGCTCTCAAAGGGTGTCACTGGACCTCATTGTGATATCTATTGAGTGCTTTGAAACATTCACGATAGAAATAAGAAGCACAATGATGTACCATTTTCTTGCTTGAGTAGTTTCTGATCGAGAATTATTCATCATACAGTCGAAGACTTGATACAACACGGTGAGATAGCTTGAGAATGGAGTTCAAGGCTTGAAGACAATCACGTGTAACTCTACCACACGCAGTCAATACTAGCATGGTGAATCTTCGCTATCGTCCGCTTGACAACGAGAAGAAAAGCGCCTCGAGTCCTCTAGCGTATTACGGTACTAGCAGATGCACCTGTCAAACCACCCAAACTGTCCAATGTAAGAGACAGCCTGCTAGAACCCGAAAAAGCTAAAGTGACAGAACTCTTGAACCCATGATCAATCTCGACCCACCAACCCGGACTCTCAAGTCGCAATCGAAGCTCACCGCTCCACGCGCAAACAGTCGACTCTCCACACCTACCACCTTGAAGGAGAGACGAGAGAAAACATCTCGGCAAGCTGCTTACCGCCGGGCTGGGCTGAAGCAACCAGCCAGAGAGCCGAGTCCAAGTTCGGTTAAAGAGATTTCGGAAGCAAAACAATGCGATCCATTCATATCCGGTAGACCAAAAATAGAAAGCTTAAAACAACCCGAGATCGACCAGAGATTAACCCGTCGAACATGGAAAAGATGGGTGTTTGGAGTCAGCGGGTACGTAAGAAAGATACGGGCGATACGATACTCGATGGTTGCAGCCATCACTCATGATCTTGAGCGTGGCGATTGAAGAATACCGGATGATTCTCAAGACAACGGTCGTCTGAATACCGCTCGCCAAGTGTGTTGTGATGTGATGTGCCGGGAAACATGCAGGATGGCGAGATGGGAAAGTGAGCTAAAGTCCTATATTTGGGGCGAGACGCTGAAGTGAAAGGTTCCACTGCTTTTGAGCCTCGATGCAATGCAAGCCAGCGGTGTGCGACCTGGAAGGAGACCCAGGTATCCGGGGGGCAAGGTACACGTGACCACGACGATTCTGCTGCACCATTGAGATTCTGTAAGATAAAAGTCTGGAGATCAGGTAGATGGTGTTGAATTGTGTCATCATGACTCGATGGTGTTGCCAATGAAGCCCCGGATTGTTCACTTGATGCTTCAGCTTCCAATATTTGACTGGGATGTGACAGCCAATCAAAGCGCCGAGTCGACCTGGAGTCTCTCCCAGACAGCGCGCGCTTCAACATCCCACAAAAAGAACACATGACCTGGAATCTTGCATTATTCTACAGTATGAAATGAGATGGATCTTGAGCGCTTATGAAGGGGGGCGATACGATGATAATCAATCGTGCCTAACAGAGGGCTGAAGGGCGATCGGAGCGCAGAACACGATGGCGGAGTTCAGGATTTGTGGTAACTTATCGTACGGCATGGTATCGGTATCGATAGGTATTGAACAGAGCAAGGGCAAATCAGTGGCACCGTCCGAGTCCAAGTCAAGTCTCTCCAATAATCCGCGTCGGAAGAAGCCTACAGACGAACCCCCACTCGCGTCAACTTGCTCTGAGTGACTGGAAACCATGATTGAAGCATCTGGGAAAGTACCGGTATCCTACCCAACAAGAGCCCAAGTCTGGACTCTTCAGTAGTAAGGCAAAAATAGTAGAGCGCACAGTTCTTGTAGCAGGAGAAGCAGGGAGTTATCAGAGCCGTCTTGGCTGGTTGAACGGTGGGTGGTATTTCAGAAACAATCGGAAACGTGGTGTTTGAACGTCGGGACTCAGGCTGCAACTGTAACAGTGCGCTGTGGTGAAAGTTGGTTGGCTGCTTCGGTGCTCAGCCACTAAGAGTCTCCCAACGATAATGTGCTCTGCAGCGTTTGGCTATGAAGACTCGGGACATGTGCCACAGCCTCATGAGGACGAGGAACAAGCCTCCTGGCTGCTGCCAGCCTGTCAAGAATGATGTGCATTGTGCATGTCCAAGTCCTGCCAGAGTCAAAGCCCCGAACGTGAAGGGATTCAGAGTCTGACCGCTAACGGTATGGATGCAATACAATCCAACAGAGTGGGGCGATAATAATGGCACAGAGCATGTAGGACTATCGAATTTGGTCGTTGCGGCTGGGTGGGCTCACTCGTCTGGAGACAACCTTGGAAAGTCACGAAAGGGGACGACTCCAGGAAGCGAATTGCGTGAGCGGTGTCCACTGTGCCTATGCTTCCAAATGAAAATATATTGCTTCCAGCCATGCATCTAACGGCCAAGGCAAGGTCTGCTCCGCATCGATGTATGAGTTGATGTGATGCAGTGTCACCAGAATGCAAGACTCGGTCGGGAACGTGAACGTGTACGTGTACGTGTACCATACGTCCTGCATAAGAAGCTCGTAATACAGTATGAATGGAGCCTCTATTAAGATCTCGAGGGTTGTTCCTGACATGCTATCCCGTATCTACTGTACTGTACTGTATCTACCTACGTATGTCCTGCATGCTGAGAGGATGCGGTGAGCTGTCAGCAGCCGCACAGCAGCTTCCAAAAGTTTGGCGGTCGTGATTGCCCAGGCACCCCCTGGGCCCTGACTGAAGTCAACGGGACTTCGTAGTATCGTCGTACTCGACTGGCTATGGAGACTCGAGGACTCGAGCACTCGAGCACTCGAGCACTCATGGTTCGTTACTGTCCCTTAGCGTGTTAGTGTTACTGTACAGTAGTGCTGGGTGTTACTGTAGTGGCAGGGACTGGTTGTTTCATGATTGCTCCACCAAGCCCGATGCGGATGTTCCCTGGAGAGGGCCTCGAGAGGGCCTCGAGAGGGCCAATCATGGGGCTTTTTCTTGCACTCGCCCCATGCAGGTACGGACCCCCCGTTTACTTGACTACTGGGGCCGGGCTTGCTGCGACCCTGGCCGACCCTGGTCCTGGCCCTGGCCTGGCTGGGATCCTGCGCTGTGGCTATTTTGACTTCGACGTTCAAACCGACAGGAGAGGAAAGAAGAGGAGAGGAAAGAAGAGGAGAGGAGAGGAGAGGATAGGGGACATGTCAGTTCACCTCTTCTCTTCTCTTCTCTTCTCTTCTCTTCCTCGTAACTCACTCCCCGAGTCCCCAGCATCTGTCACAGAACAAGCCGTATTTGAGGCATGACTGCTGCAATTGTTCGGGTACCGTACCTCAAGGCAAGGCAGTCTCTCGGCGTGAGCTTGCTTTTCCGTAGTAACAGTACTGCTGAAGCCAAGCAGAAGAACTGAAAAGTATATTTGTTTTCAGTGTGTTACTTCTGGAGCTGACTGCAGCTTCAGGCAGGCAGGCAGGTAGGTAGGTAGGTAGGTACTGTTGTAGTAAATACCTTACTTGTCCTCGCGGCGTGTGCCCGTCGCAGCACATAGGCGGTGGGCTTCTCTGCCGTCCTCCCTCCATCCCTCTGTTCCTTCCGTCAAACAACATAACATAACACATCACATCACATCACATCACATCACATCACAGGCAGATCCAACATTGTTTCCGTTCCTCTCTATTCTCTCTTCCCTGACAGTATATTTGCCAGGCAACCGTCCAACATCATCGTTTTGTCCAGTGCGGTGTCTGACAAGCTAAAACCATCTCCATCGCCAGCCCGCCAGCCCGCCAGCCCGCCAAGCACCATCCGCCGCCACTAACTCCTTCAGCCCTGGTCCCCCGGCACGCTAAGCCCTCGACGGCAACGGCAACCACTGAAAATCCTCCCTCAAACCATCAACCCGCTGGGGGCGCGAGGGCGCGAGGGAGATTGCTCTCGGTGCAGCTGTCTCTCTCTGTCTCTCTCTGGCTCGTTCCATTGTTTTCTTCGGTCACTGCCTACCCTTCCAGCCATTATCACCAACTTCCCCTTTTGGTGTTGTCAACTCTCAAGGCACACCCTCCAAACCGTCAATCTTCACCCACTTACTTGACTTGACTTGCTGGTGTATATTTCTCTACCTGCGACGTCCCCCCCCCCTTTCCCCCTTTCCCCCCTCCCCAGCTCTTCCAAACCCTCACCCAATTCCAGCCGCGCCAGCCATCTTTGCATAAGAAAGAGTGGAAACGGATTTACCGACTCTGTTTTGTAGATCCATCGTGCAGGGCAGGGCAGGCCCTCGTCGCTCGTCCATTCGTGGCACTGGCACTGACTGGCTGGAGTGGAGCTCGCTCTGTCTGTTCTGGGTCGAAGGGTCGAAGGGTCGAACGGTCGAATCGAATCATCTTCGCTTCCACTCCTGTCTCCGTGCTCGACCGTCTCGTGTTTCGACCTCGCCGGGCCCTCCTCCATCCTTCGTACACTCGTGCCAGACTCACAAGCATTCGCCAGTCGACTTGTCGAATCAACTGAGTGCTGCACAGTTTCAACTACACCGGACAAACACCTGCTTCTCGACATCTTCGTTTCAGTGACTGGCATACCTTGTGCCTCGAGCATCACCAAACATCCCAAACCATTTTCGCCTCGGGAAACAATTGACCTTGTACGTTCGCAGTGTTCGATGCGAACTCTGTTTGGTCCTGTCAGCGTTCTCGAGAACTCTCACTACCGTTCATCTTGGATCTGGGGAATCCTTTTTGAGTTGAACTCTTCTCCGTAGTCTTCAGAACCGATCGCTTTGAGAGCATACTTTCTCCTTTCGACAAACCGTACCTCCTTTTCTGCGAACTCGAAGACATGTCACGATAGTCTCTGTATACGAAAGAGACAATACACGGCTGCGTGCCGGAGCTGAAATTGAACGAACTTTCGAAAGCACGACAGCCCCTTCCTTTCACCATGGTTCTCCCTACGCCCAAATACTCGTTGGACCACTCGTGTTCGACGCTGTTCAACAACACACTTTTCACATACTCATCGGTTGCTTTTCAGTCATTGAAGATGGAAAGGGGTGCTGAATGGTCTGAGTTACCGATGGGAGTTCCAGTAACTGGGGGAGTGTGCGTCAAGTCGACGCCTGTAAATGACACGAGTGCTGCAGCATTGTACATTGTGGGAGGAAATGCCAACGACACCGGCTATCAAGGATTACAACGGTATACATTTGCCAACCAGAGTTGGGAGACGATATACCCAACGGTTGCTGTCACAGAAAACCGCCTCTACCACGACGCTGTTTACTTGAACACATCCGATTCAATTCTGATTTACGCCGGAACACAGGATGGCACCAAAAAACCCTCATCTCAAACTTTCACAGTACAAGCCTCGCCTCCATACGCAGTTCTGGCGTACGAAGCAATCGCTCCGCCAGCAATTTCTCCGATACTGCTTCCATGGACCGAGAGCAAGGCAATTTATATTGGAGGCAGTGAAACTAATACCCAGGCCATGATTTTCAGCCCTTCGAAGTCATGGGTCAACTCAAATGCATCATTTGCTAATCCCATGTACAATACTTCCAACGTCAAAGCGATTGCTCTCAACGGGAACGACGGCAGCAAGACTATCTACACTTTCGATATGACAGTGTCTCCTAATACTGTCAATCGAACAATATTGATTGATGCCGATGGAAATCCAGTCCAGAATTCGGCACCTATCATGGAGAAGAGAGTGACGGAACAGGATGTGGAGAAAAGAGCCGAGCTCACTGTGGCAGACTGGCCAGCCTACAATGGAACCCTAGCCCCTACGAGCACCAGGACGTCGTTTACCGTGGCGAGAGATCAAAGCGGAATGGTCGTGGTCACTGGAGGAAATGATGAGGATGTGCTGTGTATTTTCAAGGCAAGATCCAATGCCTGGGTCAATGCCACAGACAAACTTGGATCGAAGGCAGTTACACAGCAGGGCCTTGGAACGACGCCATCCTCATCGTTGTCACCCTCAACATCAGCATCAGCCACGGCGTCAAGTTTGGCACAATCTTCCACAGCAGCAGCAAGCGGCATAAGCGGTGACACACCTGTCCCAACAAAAATTCTTGGGGCCGTATTAGGGACGATCGCCGGTGTAGCTTTGATACTGATCGCATTGCTCCTCTGCTTCCGGTGGAGAAGGAAGAGGAGGCAGCACGTAGAGGCTGGACATCAAAGACGTGCAAGCGGATTGCCGGAGGAGAAGAACAAGATGGACTTTCCGGACAGCGGACCACCGCAAATGACGACGACGAGACAATTTCAGGGTCATGAGCCATCAGGGTCACAAGGCTCCTTCTCTTCTATGGCGATCTTGATGGGCCGTGTGGGCCACAACAGAGGGGATGAAAAGGGAAATGGAAGTGACGCGAGCAGTCACTTCAACAAAAATTACAAGGGCAATATCAGCAAGCCCATGCCACAAGAGGAGCCATACCAAAACGCCACCAGAGACGAGAAGACTGTCTCATTTGCGGAAACTGGAGCGCCAGGGCTATCAACGGGACCCAGGCCCCGTGGAAGCACTAGAGGTGGAAGACGTGGAAGTACGAGGAGAAGTTCAGGCTGGAATCGATACTGGTCCGGCGGAAGTTCACTGAACATTCTCGGATTTGGCTCAAAACGAACTACGTATGAGGGATCAGACCGGAGCTCAGAGTACTCGATACACCAAATGCCAGCGCGCAATTCGGCTATCGTACCACCCTTGAAGATTGGAGACCGACCGGAACTGAATCGAGTGATGTCTGGGAGTCCGACAGTTGCGCATCCTTCTAGCAAGTTCCCCCTTTCTGGAGAAATGTCGGGCAAGATCGAAAGGTCAGGTTCCATCAGTTCAATGTCATCATTCAACGATGATCGACACGATGCCTTCTCCAGTGGTATTCCAGCAAGTGTGAACGAGCAAAGTACTTGGACACCTGTTGGAGGCGGTGGTGGGTGGAACGCTCGCACGAGTAATTATTCGGAAAGTGTCTATGCTACATCACTGGGCCGGAATACGGGCAATTTCGACAACAACAGGACAACTCGCTTCCCTGGAGCTGAGCCTGCTGTTCCCCAAGTGCCCACAAACACTGCTGACATGTCATGGCTAAACCTTGGAGGCAACTCAAGGATTTGAAGCTTGCTTAATGAAGATCATCTGGATTGAGCCCCGGGAAACCACGTCACTCACATCAGCATCTGCTCTGTCTTTCTTCCTGTTATTAGCGTATTCTGCATTTAGGTGTTTGAATCATCCTTCTGCATATCTCGGGGTTCAGGCATATTGTCTCGTACTTTTCTCTTTCTTACATGCTTCAATCAAGCCATCAGCGGAGCTGGTTGTCGACTCTGCTGTCGTTATTTCCACAAAATTGAGCCAGGTGTTGTTGGGCTCGGGCGTTAAAGATACCTACCTTCGTTTACCTTTTCTACCTACCTGTCTGTCAGATCCGTTTCTTGTCTTGTTTGAATTTCCTTCATCTCAGAGGGGGAGGCGGTCGCTTTGCATTGTATGGAAACTAGACTATACGGCCTCTTTGTGTATATTGTTGATAGCGATGTGTGAGAGCGAGAGGCAGGCGATTTCCTTTGGTTCCAACGTTCCTATCTCTCATGTATCTTTGTACGTAAGTGTGATACCACGAGCTTTCATCACAAGATGGGCTGCATGTGGTAGAGAAGAGAGAAGGGTGAACGAGCAGAATGCTGGTTATTTAATGCTTAAATGGTGGAGGTTGAACACGGGGACGTCAAGAAGAGGAGACGAGAAGAGAGGAGAGTAGTGAAGAATCAATGGATGTATGTAAGAAGTACGAGATGGATGGTAAATAACACAAAAATTCAAAATAACTTGAAACTCCTATCAACTGTCTGCAAACCTGTCTCCCATGTTCTCCTCAATCCAGCATTTCTCATACCTACCTGATGGTCTTTCTCACCTACCACCCCGAATTCCATCACGACCCACTCGAGATATTCGAAGAACTGTTTAGAAGTTTAGGAACCCCACCGGCCACGTTCCCTACTTACACTTTCCCCCAAACAGCGGGATCCGCACACCCAAAACGATAGCTCCGATACTTTAATGAGGATGCCCAGAAGCCAAATTTTGAACTTATGCGCACTGTTGTTACCGTTAGATGATTAGATTGGGAGTAAAAGGAATGGGGACCCGCTGTGTCAAGCTTTATTATGGTTTTATCAAGATTCAGGCATGAAGTTGGGAGACAGCGCGCGGTTGATACTCGAAGGCTTGGCAGGGAATAGATAAAGAGGCTGCTGAGATAAGTATTGCGATTGATTGGCGATGAGGACTCTAATATACATCTAACAAATTCCAACGATTTGTTGATTTACAATCAACAGCCTGTCAGACCATCCTAGCATAGGTCGAGATGGCCTGGAGGGTGGCAGTCGCTTTGATAAGCCTCCAGCTGGATCTCGCCAGTGCCTCCTCATATTCATCAGTCGCTGTGTGGTTTTGTGGTCTTTATTACGAGCTGGGATAACTTTTGTGTATGGGCTCTCTCATGAGCGAGTAAACTGTTGCTCGACGTAATACACAGTTCAAAGCCAGTTAAAGGGACTACTTTCCCCGTGACTTCAACATGGGTCCGCTTGGAAAAGGGGTCACATGGGTGGAATCCAGTCGCTTAGCGAAGCGAAATGCAGAGATCATTGTTTACTTTATTTTATGCTACTTTTTATACTCCTCACGGAGTGAGGAATGTATGCTATCTTGCGTCATCGATATAATGATGGTAGAAGAGTTCTTACTGTTACAGGAAGAAAGTAAAATGGCTAGATTAGACAGGGAAGTTAAACGTCACTAGTCAATAGGATTGGGACGATCTACACGAAAACCTCAAGATATGGGGCGCGGTCCCTTACCCCTACTTGATCTCAAATCATCCTTTCTCATTACAGTTCTTTTTTTCCGGATTAGAGGCATATCCCAGAGTCTTAAGTAGTGATTTCAGCTTATAGCGGGTAAGTGCGGTATTTCGTTGGAGCAAACGAATTGCGATCAGCTGTTTATTTGTTGAGGAGGCAGCAAACAGTTTACTAAGTCGGACAGTAGAACGGAAATGAAAGTTAGCATATTGCCATACCAGATCTTGAGTGCCTAGTAAGTAGGTTGGTGGCGGAGACAATGAGAACTGCCAGTTGAAAATGCAGGCGATATTAAACAAGAAAAGAGATGAGCTGATTACGATGGAGCCTGTACAACTACGCAGTCAGGCGCATACTTCAACCTTGCAGTGGAGCATGCAGAAATGACAGTATAAGAGTCTGAGTCTGGTACGTAACGAAACGCGCATGCGATCAGAACTAGGGCTGGTGAGTCAGGTGCTCGTCCTCGAGAGGTGTTGAAGAAGGTCACTTCCAAGACAGCTTCGAACAGATAAAGTAATGCGAGTGCTCTCAGAACTCATCGAGCAATATGTACCCCGTCGTCGTCGCTCACTTCTCACACTTCTACCAGATAAGAAGGAACAAGCGGTAGCATGGACGCGACGAGACACGGTAGAACATCCGGCCAGATTACTGTGGCCCACCTACCAAGTACCTTCTCCCATCATTCACTTGCTGTTGAAGAGTGAGGAAAGAGCGAGGGCAGGAGAGACGTCAGTCGGGGCTGAACGGGGAGTAGCACGAAGTATAAGCCGCCCCCCTTTCAGATTGCACTTCTCTCGGAACCTCCGTCTTCATCTCGCTTCCCGCAAATTCCTAAGCCTGGCATTTTAAGAGTCCGGTGATAGCCACTGATACATCTTCAACTATGGAGATGAGTTTCATAGATTCAAGGATTGAAAGTATCAAAACCAGTGCTTCTCCTACCAGTTACTCTAGTGCCTATGCATCATCCTACACTGCATTTGGGCTCATGCGATACCTCCGAGGTATTCTCTGGGTGAATATGGTACGGTACAGGGCAGCGAACCGAACTGAAAGCGGCGCCCATGCTGGAACTTCAGAGAATATGGCACTGCGAGGCAACCCGAACAAAACATGACACAGCAGTTGGATAGGCAGTCGACCGCGTTACACCTTGGGAGTCACTTTCATAGAGAAGCGCATAAAGCAAGAGACATGGCGGTATATTGACTGCATTAGTTCTCGTAAAGGGTATTTAGGACCAAATAAAATCAAACGCACCCTTGTCCTTATATAAGGACGCAATGAGATTTGGCTGACACCACCAAGTTCACACTCAAGCTGTGCATACTGTTGTGCCTACGCAAAATTCAAAGAACCACTAAGCCATCCGCATCCCCTCCCCTCTTCAACTCATAGCTCAATACCGTATGATCCATATAATGCAATATCAGCCTCCAAATCTTCCTCTGCATGCCTCCGTCCTTATCTTTGCCTTGCAACGGCCCAACAGCCATACCCAACAGTGGCACATTGGGTCGGAAATCCACCTCATGCTCTGTTGGTGGCAAAATCCGGTCAAGGCGGATCATCAGCACAGGGCCAACATCAGAGAAGTCATCCTCGAGTCTCGTCAACGTGAAGAGTGCCACGCGACCTTTCTGTGAGGCGACAACCAAGAGTGACAACTCAGGAATTACAGCAAACATATTCAGCCGGTCGAATCGATCAAGAGTGTCTTGTAGGATCTCGTGTGGTAATGTCTGCTGTAGGAAATTTCTACAGAGTGTGCTGATCCTATATATACATGATCCATTAGCTCTTGTTCTAGTAATGCTTCGAGACTGGAAAGTGAAGAATTTGCTGTTAACAAGAATTGTTGAGAGATGAAAGGATGGGTTCCACCATGTACATACATGTTCGTGTTCGGTGGTATAACTTCAATGTCGTGGGCACTGGTTCTAATGACGGCCATGTTGCCTTCTTGTAGGTGAGGGATCGCCTGCTTCTTTTTCTTGAGAGACATGACCTGAGCGAGTGACAATCTTGTCAGTTCCAGACCTTCATTTCCAAATACTTCGCCATCTGCCATTGCTTTGTGTAGACCCTCCCAAGAGTTAATCCGATATCGAATATCTATCGGCAATTGGAGTAGAAATTGTAGAGCTTTGATAGCATCGAAGAATGCTCCGCCTTCCTTCCAGTGATGGGTGACTCTGGAATGAGTTTCAAGCATCCATTCTCCAACAGCATCGGAATACCAATTCTCAGACCTCAAGATGTCCATCAGCCTTTCTACCCAGTCGTCTCCGTGACACTCAGGTACCGAGGTGGGTTGATATACCATATGCTTCGTAATCCGATAGTTTTGCAGCAAGTCCAGGATGCACGAATGCACAACACTCCATGATGATCCTGATTGGACTGGAGGAGTCGGACAAGTCTCGAGTACGAGTTCACTGAGAAGAGGTTGATAAGAAGGGTGGAAGAAAGAACACGAAGGATGAACCATGGAACTATTCCTGAGAGAAGGCACACTAGAACTAATATCCAGTGATTGCAAGCAGTGTGTTGATGATTCGGTCTTAAGTTTGATTACAGAATCCAAATTCGTGACGCCGAGAGCTTCTTGGGGTCTGCGTGAGTTATCTGGTGAGATAAACGGCGAAAGTAAAGGTCGTACGGCATGAAACTCGCATGGGAAGAACTTACGATTTAACAAGCATGAAATAGCTCGTTGGGATGCACAAAACACCCCAGCCTCTGACATATGTCAATGCCAATTTATTAAGTCACAAAGAAGCATATTGTACAGTATTTGGCTGAACAATGGTGACGCTTACCGGGTTTCAAACTCATCAAATACCTGTGCGAAGCCCGGTTCCTGATGAATCTCTGGCCATTCCAGAGTCTCTCGCCTGGATAGATTCAGAGACCACTGATTGAGCAAAGTTAGTAATGCTTAAAGTGACATCAGAGTTGGTGTCTTTCACAAACACCAGCTTTGATGACATTGAACATGAATTTGGCTCACACGAGCCGCAGACCGGGTATGATGGCAACGGAATCACAACAAACCTACCCCTACAGGGGTTTGAGCTTCGTGAGTTGAAAGGGAAAACGAGTATCTTCAAGCGTACAGCCCAGTCAATGGAGTGCATTTTATATGGCCAAATATGTCCACCATATTCGGAGCCAATTGACTCAAAGAGAAGTGACCAAAAATGGACTTACAAGTTTGCCGTTGACATCGGTTGCCAAAACTACGCCTGCTTCACCATTCTCATCGCTGACAAAATCAATAGAAGGGATATTGCTGCCAGACGGTCCCAAAGGCAGTGTCAGCCGACAATCCTTGTGCTCTGGAGCTATCGTCAACATTTTGAGCTACGACCAATTGACCTGACAGGCCAGGACTTGGCGTTAACATCTTTAGTTGAGCACTTACCGAAGTCTCCCAGTGCCTCTGACCCAAGATCTAATTTTCCGACAGGTGTGAAACGGCTAGCCCCGGAAGGAAAGGAGCGACCTGGCCAACTATTGCCTGTGCGGTCTTGAAAGTACCGACTGCCTGTCTGTCTGTCGTAGCCAACTGAAAGAGCCGGTTGAAAGACAGTAACTTCGCGGTGATTGGACCCAACCGCAATCAATCTAGATACTTGGTGTATGGCGAGACCCCACGCACTGATCCCAACATTGTCATGGAAGAACCTAAATACATCAGAGAAGGTCTCTGCTAATACACAAGCATGGACCTCACGGCTGAGTGTAACTTGTCGGGCTGTCGCATTCACTACCAGGTGGACGACCACCTTCTTCAACTTCCCTCTCCAAAACTCGTGTGTAATAACCAATAACATCCCCATCATCGCAAGCTATTAACAGTATTTCAAAATCTCCAAGCTTTCCGATCTTCATGTTGTTGACATTATGAGGTCGATGTTGGTCGATGTAGCCTCCAACATTGATTCCCTGCGCACTACTCGGAAGGTGCAGGACTAGGTCGGGAATGATAGAGAGAGTTTGGCAGAGATCATAAGGCCTTGTGATATGAATCTTATCTCCATATGCGGCAAAATAAAGGTTAAAGTCGTGCGATAGTGCAGTCAAGTTGTTTCGCCAATGTGCCATTCGAGGGGGGGGATTGTCGCCGAGTTCGAGAACCTGGCAGAATGCGAGTCAACATTGTCAGCAGACCTAATGGTTTGTATACAACCCTTTGTCTTCCTTTCTGTACATGAAAGTTTCCTACGTCGACTTCCTTGAATATCCGCTCGCCCTGGAGCACCATCTTGAGGATGGACTGATGAGTGGTGCCTTGCCAGACATTGACAAGATCTGATCTGTAAGAACCACCTAAGATGTGGGCTGGTACTGGCTAGTATCGCTCAAAATTTGACCGTATAATTAGTCTTGGGGTGTCGCGATGCATTTGGAGATGCTGTGCTGGTGTTGGTGTTGTAGGAATCAAAAGGCGGAGGTCGTCTCCAGAGATGTTGTTGCGGAACTGCAAGGCTGACAGGCTTGGAAGATTGTCTCGTAGCCTTGCTGAATATACAAGGTACAATGCTCGCGATTTTTGGCCTACAGCAGAGTATCTGTAGTATTATGTTTCTGCAGAAGTAGGAAGTAGGTAGCTTTTAATGCGTTCTTAGATGTGGACTGGAGCGAAAAGAGGGCCGTGTATATCATTGTTAAGCCGACGAGGCTTTTACGTTGTAATCTAGTCTCAGCCTTGTTCGACGTGCCTGTAGCATTGACCTTGAAATTAAAAGAAAGAAGTCATGGATAAGGCTGTAGATAAGAGATCAAGTACATGCCCCAGACAACGTCTGACTTACTCCTCTGATAGCATCCTACCTGCACAGCATCTTGTGCTTGCAAATCTGCAGGTGGATCAGAGAATCGTCAGCCTTGCCGAACATGTGACATGGTTTCTTAAGGTACAAGATCTCGTTCTCCCCCCACACTTTTTCTAATCGCCTACCTAGGTAGCTATAGGTAGGGTAGATGGCTTCCCAGGTTTCATGCAAGACTGTTCCTTCAGGGCAAGCTGAAACTCAAACTGGACGGCAGTCCTGGGCATCACACACTCAGCCGAATGCAGGTCAACAATTGTACAAACCACACCGAGATCTTCTCTAATCTTCGCCATCAGAAAGTATACCTCGAGCCACTCCGCTTCTCCCACGCCCGGCAGGTGTTATCTTGCACACCCTCTCTCGAATTCTCTATCTCGAATACCCTCGTCTTGTCCTGTACCCTCAAGACTTCCCCCCTGTCTCTGGCATGTCATCACATATACTTGCTCTTGCATCGGTAACATACCCCAGTTGAGATGCAAGCTCCAAAGTCAAGCTCTCCAAGCTTCGTAATCTCCATGGATCGACGATATGGGTATCAGTCAATAGGCGGAGCTTTGCTCCTCTAACATTGCTATCAATCAATGCTGATTCATGCCAAAGATACCGATCTCTTTCCCAGCTCCCTTTCCCATACCATCATACAGGGATATATCTGTCATGATGCTGTGCTGATCCCTATTTCTCACAAGGGCCCATGTCCTCAAATTGCCTTCCGTAAGAGCTTCATTCCCCCTTCCCTTATCTCCACAAAAATGTGCCAAGATGATAAGAATCACGCCCAGCCACACCGTATCGCTTCTCTGCCTTGCATGCCTTACAGACCACCTCGCGTCTCGAGCTGAAGGTTGGCACGGTTTAGGTATATTTATCTAGCAAATGAACGGGAGAGGAAAATTGAGAGACATGGAGAGGAATCTGTTCAGGACGGGTAGACCTTTACAGGCTGAGGGTTTCCCACATCGCTCGATCTCAACGGCAGGAACCGTTGGCCGATGCGCATGTGCAGTTGGGTGAAAAGCGACGTCATGCTCTTGATTGAAACTGTGTATGAGACATGCTTCCCCAGATTGACTTTTGAGGCTGTGAAAGAGTGGAGAGGTAAATTTAGGGATGGGCACAGACGTGGAGAGTCTCTCTGACGGTCTAGAACTTGCTCAAGTGCTCTGGAATGCCATGTATTGGCTTGGTGTGGGTAGGGAATATTCCGGCTTGCAGATGTTTGGGCGTATGACTGCATCACCTGTGGATTATGAGATAAGACGACGATAAGAATGAACCTGCACCAGAAAATCTTGACAGAAGAAAATACTCTGTGCTGGTACCAGACGTGCGATTATTGTCGGATTGAAATGGTTGGCGGAGACCTGGTCGGCCAAAATGAAGACGTTACTTCGGAGAAGTGAAAATGCAGCGACCCGGCCACGTATCATCTTCGAATTAGAGATCTGATCGCTGATGCCGAGTAATGTACTGTAAATTGGTAGTTGAAGTAGATAGTGTGAGTTCGGCAGTGCTAGAGGTACAAAAATATAGGATCGCGAGAGCATAGAAAATTGCTGGTATATCTCAGCGTAGATTGCAGACAAGGGATATCGCTCAAGGTAACTCCATTCCATCCAACCCAGTATCCAAGCTTCCTCTTCTTTAAACCGAGATGAGATCAAAAATGACAACTCATCTCCACCCAAACAAATTATACTGCTAATTACGAGATGCATCTTATTGTCCATTTGCTGGTGGTACAATGTTGTGCTTCTCCTTGATCTGATCTTCAGCGGCAACACCGTGCCGATCGCCCATGACTCCGGTGTGCTCATGCCCGCTTGAACCCTCCTCTGGCGATTGGCCATTGATCATCTCGCTGTGTTGTGGAATACCGTGACGATCGCTGGGGTTGATGTTGCTTTCGGTTTTCTCTGGCTCGTCTGTTGCCGGAGTCCAGGCGAGGTAATCTCTACGGACCTCAACGTAGTCGTATGCGAACTCGCCGAGTTGATCATCATCCATACCAAGTAACTCGGCCTCTTCTGAAGCACGTAGGTGGAGGCCAGGAATGAAGTTGATGCCGTAAGCGAGAATGGCAGATACGACGAAAGAATATGCCGTGCAAGCCACGATGTAAGCAACTTGGATATAAAGTTGCTTGTAGTTGTGGTTGAGCCATCCGCCAGAAATTCCATTGTTAACTCCATCGAGACCAATGATGTAGTCTGCGCCAAATAATGCGTTGAAGATAAGTCCGACCATGCCAGCAACACCGTGCTCAGCGAACACGTCCATGCTGTCATCAATTCGGATCCAGAACTTGACTGTAAAATGTTAATGCTTAATCACTTACGACTGAGTAGAAAACTTACTTTTGGTAGCAAAATTGCAAATAACACCAGCAGCGATACCGAGAACGATTGAAGCCCATGGAGTGATGAAACCGGAAGCTGGGGTGGCGGCGACGAGACCCGAAATACAGCCAGAACACCATCCAACCATGGACCATTTCCTTGCAAGGCGGTAATCAAGGAGACACCAAGTGATGGAGCCGAACATGGCGGTCAAGCAAGAGTTCCAGCAAGCCATGACAGCCCGCAAGTTGGCACCGAAAGCGGATCCACCGTTGAAACCTAACCATCCGAACCACAGAAGAATCGTACCGAGGGTGATCAGAGAAACGTTGTGAGGACGGAAGTTCAACATCATCTTCTCTTGACGTCTACCGAGAACCATCGAATATGCCAAAGCAGACATACCAGAAACAATTTCGACAGGGCCGCCTCCAGCATAGTCGAGGACACCATAGTTGAAGGCCCATCCGTTAATATTCCAGACCCAGCATGCGACTGGGCAGTATACGATCGTTGCCCAAGCGAAGATAAAGACCAAGGCGGGAATGAGTCGACCACGCTCAGCAACAGCGCCCATAATGATTGCCGCTGTAACACCGCAAAATTGAAGCTGCAGATTTGTCAATTTTGCTATATTTATTTCACTGTATAGATAATGGCTTACCTGGTAGAAGGAGTACAGGAGCTCTGGAATGAGAGGGGATCCTGGAGATGGCGTTCCAAGAGTGTGCTTCAAGCCAAAATGCCCCAAGTTTCCAATGAAGCCGTTGGTTGCAGACGAGCTAAAAGCCAGAGAGTAGCCCCAGAAGTACCATTGGAAGGTGATGATCGAGAATGAAGCCATACACGCCCAAATCATAGACAGAGCAGACTTGCGTCGAGCAAGACCGGAGTATAGGAAGCCTAGACCCGGCACCATAACCAAGACCATAGCAGAGCAGACAAGAATATAAGCCTGGTCACCAGGAGAGAACCATTGGTTCAAGTTTTCGGTGGCTGTTAATTAAGGAGTCAGAATCTTTGAAAAAGCTATCTGAACGTCGCAGGGTAACCGCGTAGGGGCAGCCTCCTTTGGTGGGGTTTCTTACCAGAATCACCACCGTCAACTCCAGTTCCATTGTACTGGGTGGGCGGGCCAGTCCACGCATAATTGGGAGCAAATCCAGAAGACATCGCGGGAACGATTGCTGCTCAAGTGACAGTCCACGGTGTTGAGAAAAAAAAGTGCCGAGATCGGCGAGTGTAGGGTGGTTCCCAGGAAGTGACGTCGGAAACCTTTGTCTTGTAACACGAATTGTGCTAAATATACTCGTGATCCAAGAGAGAAAATACGAAGAATGAACTCCGAATTCAGAGGGAGCGAGGCCGTGGATATATGTAGGAGTGCCAAGTATCCGGGCGAGATAGAGGCGTTTCTGTCAACCTATCTATTATCTGGCGTCGGCGAAGTAGGCGGCGTTTGAGGACGACTAGTAATTAGACTAAATAACTCTGCACAAGGAAGCAGAAACAAAGCGTGAAATGTCGGGGGATCTCAGTCCTTTAGTACTCCCGCCAGCATCGATTGACCTCCCACGCATCCACTTTAACACCAAGAGGCGCCAGGAAGCTTTGAGCTTGATGGAGACGACTCAGACCACAAGCAGAGGGCAAAAAAGCATTGGGCATGAGCTAGACCAGACCCGGAGACTGGGATGTATAGATAGGCGATGCAGACGCCAGGTCTTTGATACCCCAGATGTGCTGCTTGCAATGCCACAGGATGCCGTGCCCGTGCCCATGCCCTATATCCCACACCCCAGGCAGTTGTTCGTCTCCGCTGCGATCCTGTATAGGTATGTCTGAAATCTGGCCTGCGAAGGCCACTACTGAGGCCTGGCATCTCAATAATTCTATCCGCATCCCCTATCCGCGTCACTGGAGATCTGGCACTTAGTCTTGGCTCCACCAGATCTGCATGCGGACTTGGCCCTGTTCCTCTCCACTCCATGTCACCAGCAAGCATTTGAGCATGCCAACGTGGGATCTTTTCTTCGCGCAGCCCTTGCCAACATCCTCATTCGTTGGTCGTTGTCTAGGACACCCCAGGCTTCGTTTTTGTGCACTTCGACAGGACGGGTAAATAGTAGAAACCCATGTTGCAGCCCGTCTTCGCGGGTTTGCATTTTATTATTCGAGAAGTTCGAAGGCTCCAAGCAGTAGTGATACAGGGCTTGAGTAACGTGTTGACTCTTATCGAGACTCGACAAGCTATTGGCTGGCTTGTATGTAGCTACCCCTGTATTTCTGTTCGATTCTCTTCTCTCTCTTCACTTCGCTTTCCTTGTGAGAACCGAATCTTGCACCTGCGAAGTCGCAACCAGAAATGCATGAAAGCATTCTCAGCACGGAGCACCGAGGGAAAGGTTCGGAGCAAAAAATGTTCTTTCCTCAGGGGCCAGGGTCAACTTCATGCAAGCCATTTCCCGTTCAGCGAACTTGACGATGTGGTCTCTCGGGGCATCAAAGACCATATCACACGCGACACTCCAAAGATACCTTTCAGGTAAAATTTGAAGTGTGGGGTAGCAACGGCATGCAGTGCAATGTATGTTTCATGTGGCACGATTTCGCACAGCATTGGACAAATTTGTTTTGATTTCCAAGGGACCAAATTGCAGCAGGTAAGCCCAATACCAAGATCCGCAATAGATAATATCAAAGTGTAACAAATGCCGTATCGGAGAGCACTAGTGCAATATGAGCGCTACCTGATGGGCATTTGCTTGGTGAATGTCCGTGATAGCATTCCTTCTTGACAGAGGAGAGGTTAGATATCTTCCAAGACACACCAGAAGACCTCGATGCCGATCAGGCGTCCAGTCAAAGGGCCGATCTAGATTGCCCTTGTCTCGATCACCATGTTCCAATGAACGACTGGAAGCCATAAGTCCTCCCTTACCAAATTTTCCTGTCCCTGTTGAAGCATTACAATATATCCTGGGCACATCTGCAACTGCAATAGGATATCCTCTCAGGTACCAAGCAGATAGACCAATAGGCCCAGACACACTATTTACATATTCGTATTTTTGCACCTTCGCAGCTCATACGCCTAATCATCCTTCACGGATGCAGAATTTCCACATCCAACACTTGCACACCTCACCCACCCTCACCTCACATCACCCATCTAACAACACTACCTTCTGAAAGTGCATTTTCGCGCGCCCTAAGCCCCGACCCTCTTCCGTCTCACAGTTCAGCCGAATGCCCATTGCCTGATTCATCAGCTCCGGTGAAAATAAAGCGTCTTGGGCCTTACGTTTGATTTGGCACTTGCAAATTGTTCATCATCATATTCGACACCTCTCAGAGGTCAAAGATAAAGAATTCGTAGCGGCGAAGTACCCTGCTTAGCCTTATCTGTCGTCCAGGGAGCCAATCAGGTCGAGGTCGTTGCCGAGGGCATTACAAAATGGTTTGACCGCAATTGTGCACTTTGTCGACCTGCACCCGAGCCGGACAAGCACAAGCTTCCAAGGTTGCGTGCTGTACTGTACAGTACCAGTAGTGGGCGGGGGGCACTGTCCCGAGGATCCTTGAAGGCCCACCCTGGAGCCTGCGCCCTTCGGCACTGGAGAACCATATTTCCGGGATTCTGAAAGGGCGGCGGGGCTGGGCGATAGGCGGGTAAGTTCACATTCGAGAAGGGGCGCAGGGGGGGACGAATAATGGACGGAACAGAAGCATGGACGAAGGATAGAAACGTCAAAGCATGGATGGACTGGATGAAATAATGGAAGTCGTTGAACATCCGAGACCTGTAGACTTTCGCTAGACAGGATAGCCTTGCCTTGTGCGTTGAGCCCCTCGTCGGCATGGAAGTAACTTTACAAGGTGAATCATCAAGCATAAAGCATGACTGACAGGACAACGGAGCATTTACCTTCTCTATTTGAAGGTTACTTTTGCCCTTTGGGCATTCGTCACACGCCTGTGGGGGACCGAGGATCTGGCGCTGGCCTGCTCCGGAATCGGCTGCAAGGCTGGAATATCCCACCCCGTGCTCGTCAATATTGATGTTTACAGCTTGCGTTCAAACCTTCAAGAATAACATGGACCACTAAGCAGCTGGACCGAGCCTCATAAACCGTGCTAGTTATTATTTGTTAAGGTAAGTAAAGAGCTACAAGAACTACAACAAATCCTACAAATCATCATGCGTTCTCTAAACCAGAAACGCCATCGTTATTATGCAGTCATTAAACTCGCCGACCAAGATATTTCGCCCGTCTAAATCACGCTATCGCCAGCAGGCATTGAGCTCTGCATCGAAATCCTTGAATTGTTCCCCTCTGGTGCCAGAACCCTAACTGATTTCTTTGGTTTTGCAACCAAGACCTGTGCAGGGCACACCACAATTTCTTCGTCGCCTTCTCCGCTGTCATCGCCCTTTTTGACGACCAGTGGGAAAAGGACAATCCTCACCACTGCTTTTTGTTCTTCAAGCTCTTCATTGGAGACGGTGTCCCCGCTACGCTCATTCATCAGCGCCGCGTTGAAAGACACTTTGCTCGCCAGGTCCCCATTGGCATCATATTCTGGCTGCAGAGGTGGGAGCATCATATATTCGGCGCGCTGGCATCTCATCTCAATGGAAAGATCAACGGCAGCTTTCATAACCCTGGTCAACTGCTCCTCGATTTGTGTCTCGAGATGGCTTGGTGGGGGAAGGATCTCTGATAAGGTCTCAAGAACTGCATGCACAACTGCCTGGGTATCTTGCTCTCGCTGTGCACGGAAGGCTTCACGCTTTGCCAACAGGGTAAGCGTGGTGGCGCGCCACTGGTGGACTGCCGCTGCAGGTCCAACTTCGGAAAGCGTCTTTTCCAAAGATTTGAGCTTCTGCCTCTGCTCTCTATCCATGCCAAAAAGGTATCGTGTGAATATGAATTCCCACACCATTGTCATTGTCATCGACATGAAAACATCCCGACGCTTGACTCTATCTGCGAGGTAATTGTCGACATCCGAACCGTCCAGAATTGCGTTGTCAAGTCGATCAATTGTTTTGTCATTGTTGATTTCGCTTGTAAGTCTGCACGCTCGCATATCGGAGAACTTCGAAAATCGGAGAACCCATTGTTGAACGTGCTGGCACAGTTGTTGGCACGCATTGTCGAAGTAGTCCTCGTCTCTGATGGTGAGGAATGCGAGGTCGTTGGCTTTGGATGCAAGGATCTGCCTTTGCATATCCCGAATTTGCTCTTTGGCTGCATCCAGTTCAGCCCGTAGCTGAGCTATCTCGCGGTCTTTATCCGATACAGCATTTTGAACCTCGTTCCTAACGATGCCCTCCATACCAGCCGACAAATTTTCATGTGCGTCGCGTACCTCTTGGAGTTCGCGCGCAGTCTGCGTGTGTTGTGATTCAAGTATCCCGTATTGGTCTCCATGCTGCCGCGCAATGGTCATATTCGCACTTGTCAGACCCTCATTGACTTCGGAAAGCCTTGTAACTTCGTTTTGTAGCCACTCGAGAGTACGTTTGAGACCGTCGATTTCAGCATCCTTTTCGACCAAGGCCGACGGGGCATTTTGGCTCGAGTGCAAGGCGCGATCAGCTTGAGCCTTTGCATCAGCCAGCATACGGTTTTCGGCAGCTAATTGTTCAAGCTTTTGTTCGAGGTCGAGGACCTGCATGCTTTGTCGACGGCGCATGGAGTGGGGTCGAGTCGGAGATCGTGGTGAGCCCATGCGGCCTTCACCAAAGCCATCCTGTTGTTCATAGATTAGCAGTATTCGAGGTGATATCAAGATTCGACTTACATAGACATCTGCCATGTCTTTGGCCCGGACCCGGCCCTCGTTTGCGGTTGGGTTTGCTGTGTTGACTGCTGGAGTTGGAGTTGAAGTTGGAGTCTCTAAGGTTGCAAGCTCAGCTTCTTTGGCGAGGTCCGGCTTGCTCCGTTGGCTGAGAAACCTTAGGTCCCCACTCTTTCGATCGCTCCTTCTGAGTGGTGGGGTTCCAGAACGGTTGCTGGTGACACTGTCTGGTCGCTTAGCGTCTGGCGTTCTGAGCCGGTTGATATTGGAATTCGATGTTGATCTCTGGCTTTGCGCGCTGGTAGGACGTTGTTCCTGACTGAGTTTCCGTGCGGCGGCAAACCCTAGAGATGCACCCGCAACGGCTGCGCCAGCTTCAATCTCACTTATCCCCAAGGGCCGCTCAGCTTTCGGCCTTGGAGATGAGGAGAGCTCAGGATATTTGGCCTCTTTCGGTCGTTCGAACTTGGGTGGGGTTTCTGACTGTTTCTCATCCCTGTGCTTCTCGAGAGACCGAAGAGAAGGAACTTCCGTGTGGCTCTCGTCCCTGGGTCGCCCGCTTTGAACCTTCTTGAGAGATTGGACGGAGGGAGTTTCGGAAAAGCTCTCCCTTTGTCTTTCAGTTTTAAGTCTCTCGGATGAACGAGACGAAGAGAGTTGGGGTCTTGGAGATCGAGACAAGTCTGGAGTGTCGAATTGCTGAAAATGCTGCATACGCTGCTTTACCAGACTCTGTCCCTCTGTCTTTCGTGGCACATGGATGGTAGACGTTCGATGAAGATCTGTGTGCTTTTCCTCCTTGTTTCTTTGAGATGGGAGAAGGTCTCGGCTTGAAGTCTCTTCCTCATAATGCTTTATAGGAGTCATTCTCTGCACTCGATAGAAATCAGTGGCTGTCTCGCCCTTTGGCTGCTTGAAATCATGAGACTCAGTGGATGGTAGTTCGTCGATGTGGTACTTCGTTTCTTTGGATCTTTGAGCGGTATTTAGGTTTACAGTCTCGGATTCTTCATCTATTGATGGCCATGATAGTCTTGCAAGGGCCTCATCAGTAGATTTGACAGGAGCTCGCGTTTTCTCGGCGGGCGAGAAGTCGCGTAGATGCACGCCGCTATCACGGACATGATCATGATTATCTGCAAAGCCACGCTGTGGTGGAATGGGAGAGCCAGTAACAAAAGCGCTATCACGGTTTGCCTCCGCATCATGGATACGACTTTCTTCGGTCTCCACTTGCGTAGAGGTTTCCTCGTGCACGACTGGAAGGTCCGAGATTCTGGAAAGAAAAGATCTGCTTTGTGGTCTGGACTGACCGAGCTCGAAATTTTCTTGGCTAGGAGTGTCCTTGTTGCTGTGTTGCTGCTCAAACAATTTTTTTGTTGGCGTGAAGATGTGTTCTTGGCTAGCTGGTTGCTGGTCAGACGGCATTTCTCTATCCACAAGAGCGTCAATGACCGTTGGTGTAAGAACAGTGGACAGTTGGCTGACTGGCGGTGCCACATCTAGATCTCGTGAAGTCTCAGACTCCCAGTCGTTGGAACTGCTCTTGCTCTTCTTTTTTCTGTCTTTTTTCTTGGATGAGACAATAAACTCGTCCGCATGATCACTCAGCGGTTGGAATTGCCCTGATAAGTCAGGAGACTCTGTGACATCGTGGCTTGAAGAAGGGTGACGGTGGTGGACAGGATTGGGTTCTTCCTGCATCAGGACGTGGCCATCTCTGGACTGTGGCTTAGGCAATGTACCAACCGTTGGGGACATTGACTTGGTAGCCTCTATTGGTGGCATGGCAGTTGGGTGTTCCTTCTCAGTATTGTCTTCTTGACTGGCTTCCTGAAATATGCCTGGCTCTTCCTCCTGTTGAGGAGGAGACCAGAATCCGTCATCATCGTCGACTCCCTCTTCTGCTTCTTCGTGTATTTTTGGATCGGCACCTTCCCAGAGTGCGGGGTCATCAAATATGTCATCCTCTCGCGGTGCTCTGCGATCGATGCTCTTCTTTTTCTTTTCTTTCTTAGAAAGTTTTCTTGTTGGTGGAGCCGCTCCTGAAGATGACCCGCTGTTGGCTGTACCGCCATCATCGTGGGACGTCGCTGCTTTACCAAGGAGAGCGGTGCTCGCAATGGCAGCTCCGGTTGCTACCATGTCAGGAATATGACTTGAAGTTGATGAGTCGTGAAGCAAATCTCGATTATCAGTTCGCTGAAGGGACTCTGCCACGGGTGTGGAATCTGTCGAGACGGAGTTTCTTTTCGTCCCTTTCTTGCCTTTCTTGCTGGGGCGTACAAAGTCGTCAGGATTTGCTTCGACGGTGGGCGCGATGTGAGACAAAGATTCGTCCTTGGCAATTTCCTGAATTACAGGAAGAGCTCTCAATACTTCTGCTTCTTCGACTTCATCTACCCAGGAAGTCATTTGCGCGGGAACTGGTCCTTTGCTGTCGCTCACAATATCAACTGTTCCTTGTCGCTTTCTCTTATCCTTTTTGGACAACTTTCGGGATAGATCGCTGGTGAACAGATTCTGCGCTTCTGCTTCATGCTCCAGGGCGACAAGGCTGGTAGGTCGTGGCATATCATCCGCATTGAGTTCTTGCTGTTCAAGAGTGGGTCCACTCTCCGAACGAGCACGGGATCTTTTCTTGGCCTCTTTGTCCTTGGACTTCTTAGGAGCCGAATCAAAAATCTCCTCCGGTGGCTGTTGGAGTATATCATGGTCCATAACAGATGAAGGTTTGGAGTGAGATTCGTCTTGATCCTTGATGCCGAAGTTCCTGAACTGACTGGCGGCAACCGCTGGATTAGGCGCATCAAGAACTTGCTCTTCGTCGATTGGCGTAGAATAGCCTGACTTCCGCATTTCCTTTTTCGATTTCTTGGATTTCTTGGAGACGAATCCGAAGGAATCTTCCTCAGGTAGAGTTTCGTCCTTGGCTGCATCTTCCAATTCTGTGAAGGAGGGAGTCTGGTCCTTGGCATCGGCGTCATGAGCTGGGAGATCAATTTCCTTGCTCCTGGAGTCAGCAATGTTGGCTTGTGTGCTTGTGTTGTCTAACGGACTGGGTACTTCATCGAGAACTTGCGAGTCGTCGATTGGCGTCGAGATGCCGGATTCGCGCTTCTTGTCCTTTTTCGACTTCTTCTCTGATGAAAAGGCCCAGTCGGCAGCTGAATTTTCACTGGGTCCCAAATCTTGCTCCAGACCACGGCTCGGTGACTCCTCCAAATTTTGCAGGATCTGTTCTGCGCCACTTGTCTGTTCCGTGGGAACCAGATTTTCTTGCTTGGGTAAGGTCGTCGAGACTTGTTCAGCTGGCGTTGATAGACCGGACTTTATTTTCTTGCCTTTCTTATCCTTCTTTCCTTTCTTCGTCGAGAAAGAATTCCAGTCATCATCTACTTGACTCTCGAATTTGATCGTCGTCTCTTCACTGGGATCCACCTTTTCTGATGCAGCCTCAACTTGCTGGACAGATGTTGAGGAAGTTTGGCTATCGGTAAGCGGTAGTAATGCTTCAACTGGTGTTGAGAACCCTGCCTTCTTTTTGTCCTTCTTCTTCTTCTTTTTGGAGAAACTTCCCCAATCATCTTCGTGCTCCCCTTCACCAGTATCTTTTACCACGCCATGTGTAGAGCTCAGGGCTTCATTTGACACAGCATCGAGCGGCTCTATCAATTCCAATGGAGCTCCTTGAGTAATGGACAGATAAGGCTCCTCGACAGGTGTTGTCGGCTGGGAAGACTGCCTTTTCTTATCCTTGGACTTCTTTAAGGGTAAAGTCCACTCGTCTGCCTGGTCATGTGGACGATTTTCCACTTTGTCATGGCTATGTGTTTCCACGGGTCCTGCACGGTCGGCTACATTTTGCTTTGATTCGGCTGACAACTCAGGCTGGAGGTCAGACACTGGCTCTTTGACTGGTGTCGACATGCCCGATTGACGCGACTTTTTCTTATCCTTCTTTGATTTGGGTGCCGAGAAAGTCCTCCATTCATCTTGTTCGTCCATGGCTTCGAAGGTCTGTCCAGGGCCAAGGTCTTCTGGCATGCTAGGTGAAGCTGTGGCTTGAATGGGGTCGGCAGAAAGGGGCTCAGGCTCATCCTGTGTCAACAATGCATCAATAGGCGTTGAAAGCCTAGACATGTGGTTCATTTTGCTGTTCGACGGCTTGACAGACTCCATACCCCATTTATCACTATTGTCCACTACGGGTTCTCTCGTCTCCGCATAGGTGAGTGGCCCGATCAGATCGATGGATGCTTGTTCTGACGATGCTGGCTGAATTGAAGGAACGTCGGACTCGAGAGTGGACTGTTCTAATATTGGTAGGACCGATTGCTCGACTGGTGTAGATAGACCCAAGCTCCGCTTGGTTTTCTCCCCTTTGCCTTTCTTGGAGGATTTCACAGAGAATGCTCCCAAATCATCCGTTTGATCCTTGAGCACCTCTATTGTCTGAACGTGGTGGAGCTTCTCAGCCTGCACGGTATCCTCTGCCGAAGCGATGACTGGCTCTGACGACTCGCCAGTTTCGACAGGCTTCTTATCTACTTTGGGATTGGAAACTTCTTCCACGGGCGTTGAGAGGCCAGATTTTTGCTTCTTCCGATCCTTCTTGGCTGGCTTGACAGAGAAAGTTGCCCATTCCTCGTCATCTTGGGCTTCACTTGCACCGTTTTCTTTCGTGGATTTCTCAACTTGCGCCGCAGCTTCTTCTGACTCGATTGGCATGACAAGTTGGCTTACATCATCCGCTTCTTGACCATGAGGTAGCGCATCTTCTAAAGGGGAGAAAAGACCGGAATGCTTCTGTTTTTTGTCCTTTTTCTTCTCGGATTTTTTCGAAGACAAGTCATCCCAATCTTCACCTTGTTCTTCTACGGTAACTGTTTCCTCGATAGGTGGTCCAGTCTTGTCAGTGCCATCCAGATCGAGGTCCCGCTGTGTCGAAGATTGGCTAAAATCTGCTGAGCCGGGCTGCTCGGAAACTGGAGGTGATATGTCTTCAAATGGCGTGGAAATCCCAGAACCACGCTTTTTCTTCTTGTCCTTGGACCTCTTAGCTGGTACCGATCCCCATTCATCGGCGGGGTCAGGAATGATAAATTTGTCATCTAAATTAGAGACAGGATCTTCCTGGACTTCCTTGGAACTTTCAGTGGCTTCTTTCAAAATTGCTGGGACAGGCTCTGTTAGCGACGGCGATTTTTTGAACTCGTCTATAGAACTATGCTCTGATACTGCAGTCAACATCTCTTCGATCGGTGTGGAGTGACCCGATTTATTCGATTTTCTAGCCTTTTTGGACTTTTTGGATGGAACCGCGCCCCAATCGTCCTCTGAAATGTTGACCTCCTGTGAGCTGGTGGAGGTCGACTTGTCTCCTTCGTGAATAGAGACATCTACAGCTAACGGTGAGATCACCAACTCAACCGGGGTTGAAGTCGCAGACTTCCTGTCCTTCTTCCCTTTTTTGGACTTCTTTGATGGAAACGAGGCCACGGCATCAACTGGTTCTTCCATTTCCATTTCTTTGGTGGCTATAGCCTTCATCCCGTCGGACAATTGAGATTGGGGAGTTTCACTGTTGAATGACTCTGTTCTGATGTCATCTGGAAAAATGGTGGCTGAAGGAAATTGGCTTGGCTCCGAATCCATATCCAATGGGTTTGAATTTCCAGAAGGAGTGGAACCAGTTTGGGAGGAAGCTTTTTGCTTCTTCTTGTCCTTTTTACTGGTTTGCTTGACAGTGAAAGAGCTCCATTCGTCCGCTAGGCCATCGCCATCCTTCAGAGCAGTTGTCGTTGTTGATTCCACTTCTCTAGGTTCGGGCATTTCACTGTCTCCTGCGATTTGATCTAAGGGCAAAGGAGTCAGCGCGACGTCCTTCGAAGGTTCCAAAATGGGCTCAGACGGTATGAAAACTCTCTCCGAATCCAGTTTGGACGAGTCCTTGCGATTCTTCTTCTTCGATTTCTTGGTTGAGAAGTCATCCCAATTATCCACGGGCTTGTCAGCAGCTGGAGCGAGGGAAGAATTGACAAACTGTTCCTCATCACCACCTAAAGGAAAGATTTCCGACGCATGCTTCGTTGGCCGGGACGCCTCATCAGCAGTTTTTGACTCGGAAGATGGATCTAGTGGAGGCGTGGAAAACCTCGACTCGTCCTCAAGAACAGTCTTCCCAAAACCTTTCGGCTTCTTATCCTTTTTCTTCGACTTCTTGGTGAATGCAAAGTCTCCGAAAGCGTCTTCTGGTTTCTCGTTCTCTGTCTGAGACGCAGTCTGGCTGGAAACATTCTCCTCTTCAGGTACACGGGTAGTGGCTGGCTCAGAAGAGGGCTCATCGGGCGAGGCTTGGTTTTGATTTTCTGACGTGGCGATCCCAAAAACTAGGTCTAGATTTCTGGAGGATGAGGGATCGTCCGAGTTCTTGAAAGAGTCTTCTGCATCGAATGTCTGCCGGGTACTTTTGCGATTATTCTTGTCTTTACCAGTCTTTCTGGGCTTGGTCGCAAATTCAACTGATTGGACATCACGGTTCAGTGCTGAAGGTGCTGCTCCGTCCTTGTCCGTGGTGTCAGCCTCGGACTGTAAGACTGGATCCCGTACTTGAGGTTCCGAGACATCTTTGAGTGTGGCACTCGTTCGCAGCCTTCCTCGCTTCTTCTTTGATGATGTAGACAAGAAATCGAAGTCGTCTTGCTGTTCCTCGTCGATTGGCGTAGCAATGGCAGCTTCATCGAAGACGCGATCATTGCTAGACTTAGATTGGCCGTCGCTGCTCTCGACCTGGCCCTCGGCATGGGCATTGAAAGATTCATTGCGAAGTAGAGTGCCTCTTTTATTTTTGTCCTTTTTAGACTTCTTTGAAGGCGAAATGTCGAAGTTGTCTTGCTGCTCATCAATGACTAGGTTGAGAGAGGCATCTCTTTTACTCTCCTCTTCCCCAAGTTCGTCGGACTGGCCCTCGGAATTAATATTGAACGATTCGTTTCTCAGTAAGCTGCCACGCTTGTTTTTCTTGTCCTTGTTCGACAGAGGGAACCCAAAATCATCGTTTGGGTCGCCAACTACTTTTGTACATGATGCATCCGCAGTATCGACATTCGACAACTCGGCGTTCGGCACTAGTTGCCTATCATAAGATGGGTCGAAGAAGTCCTCAACGGCTGGCGAGCTTTGGCGCTTTTTCTTGTCTTTTTTCGTTTTCTTAGTAGAGAATTCAAAACCTTCGTCCAGCTCTGCAGCAGGAGATTCCGTGGCCTGTGTCTTGCTTGACTTGTCCTCAGTGGCGTCATATGAGGTCTCATCTTGCTTGGCAGATATGTCCGAGGATTCATCGTCAATCGTACTTCGGAGAAGGCTGCCCCGCTTTGTGCCCTTCTTCGATTTCTTGTCTTTCTTGCCAATCGGAGCAAATTCATCCTCTACTTCTGTAGATGCCGGTTCGGTGGGCTGCTCTTCAGTGAAAACAGCGCCCGCACCGTCCGAATGTGATAAGGCAGGCTTCTCGAAACCAGATCCTGATGGCAACACGTCATCTGGAGTGCTTGGCAGAAAGCTGCCACGTTTGGACTTCTTCTCCTTTTTGCCTTTTGATTTCTTCCCAATGGCAGCAAAGTCGGCATCAGCATTCGGAGACGATTCGAGATCTTGCGTCAGGGCGTCGAAAGCTGGTTGGTCATCCCAACTACCAGCATTCGGATCAGATGAGTGGTCATCTTCGTTGTTGGTTTGAACTAGGCTGCCACGCTTTTTGGCCGTTTTGTCTTTACTTTTCTTCTTAGAACCAGAACCGAATTCTTCCTTCAATTGACGGGCCAGCTCTAGTTGATCGGTGTTGTAGCCGACATCAAGACCATCGCGTAGTGGCGGGTCTTCGTGAACAGCCGCTTCAGGCAGAGCAGCAATGTCACCGCCTAACAATGGATCCAAGCTAGAGAATTGGCTCTGATTTGCGATGGTATCGATCCATGGTACATGCTCTGCCGGCGTCTGTGACGTGCTTCGACGTTTATTATCTTTCTTCGAAGCCTTTTTGGCAAAATCGGCTTGCAATTGGCGTGCAAGAGACAGCTGGTCTTCTTGATACCCAGCAGCAAAACCATCCGGCTTCCCGGCATCTGAACTTTCAGCTACTGTGGCATTTTCCCCTGTGGCAGCAACTGGGTCGTCGAAAGTCTGAGCCATATCAGGCTCAAAGTCTTTGTCATATAGGTCGTCATCTTGAGTTGAACGACCTTTCTTCCCCTTCTTGTTCTTAGATTTCTTGCTTCCAGACTCAAAATCCGCCTTAAGTTGTCGAGCAAGCTCAAGCTGGTCTTCACTGTAAACGTTCTTACGCTGATTGGTGGTCGGACTCATGGCGGAACGATCAGCTGCAGGTCCAATGGAGAGGCTACGGGCACGCGGATGACCTCCGGTATCGTCGTCAAGGCCTCTAGATCTTGAAGGTAGTACAGCTGGCGTTGACGGTAAGCTCTGCCTCTTTTTCTTGTCCTTTTTTGATGATTTCTTGCCAAACTCTTCCTGCAATTGTCTAGCGAGACTGATTTGATCATTATCATAACCAGCAGCCAAGCCATCGGGAAGTGGTCTAGACTCAGTCTCTATTTTCAGTGGCTCATCAGTGCCAACAGAGGTCGAATCTGGATCATTCATGGGGATCTTTTTCGTGGATGAAGAAGAATCATTTTGAGAAAGTTTCGAGCCGAAGATGGCAGCACTAACAGCTGCTGCAGCTGCTGGAAAGTAGCCCTTGCTACTTGAGCTTGGTACTTCACCGCTGGGCTGTTCACCGCCAGTCAGGGGAGTTGCAGGGGTGATTGGCCAACCTCCAGGTCCACCGAGAGGGGTGGGTCTTGACAATGGGGTTTCTGGTCCGGGCAATAGGCCTATGGCGTCGCTAGATGTTGCAACCTCCTCAAGGTTTTCTCTTTCATCAATATCACCGCCAAATGGACGAGTCTTTTTGGACTTTTTCTTACCCTTCTTGGTAGATGATGCCGTGAAATCATCAAATACTTCTGTGTCGACACTTCTGACGGTTTCAGACACTGGAGCTTGCTCCTGCATTATTTCAGGCTCGTCCCATTGCTGAGTTTTCCTGCGACTCTGCTTGTCTATCTCCGATACAGCGCTGTTGAATACAGGCGTTTCGACTTCCACGGAGCTTTGCGCCGCAGTGCTTTCCTGGTCATGTTCCCAAACGGGAGTCGACTTGTTCTTCTTCTTCTTCTTGCCCTTTTTGGTTTCCGCGAAGTTGAAGTCGTCAATAAGAGCTGCGTCAGGAATTGGTGCTTGGTCATTGTCAATTTGTGCAGACTCCAGTAAGCTGGACTCGACTTCATCCGCCCAATTCATAGAGGACTTGCCCTTGTTTTTAGACTGCTTGGTCTTAGACGATTCTAATTCGTCATTGAGAGGGATATGGTCGCCAGCCTCGGGGTGGGATTTTTGAGATGTGGTATCTGGAGGTAAGTCGCTGCATTCAATTTTGCTCAAGGCATTGTTGTCGATGTCATGGGTCGCCGGGGTTGAGGAAATTGCGGGTTCTGGCAAGGGTTGCTCTAGCTCTTGTTGTGCGCCTTGTGGAAGGTCAGTAATCGTAGACTCCTGTTTCTCCTCATGACTGGCAGAGAGATGGGTCAAATCTAAGGAGGATGAAGACTCTTGAGCAAATGCCGGCGTATCATCCATTGAAAGCCTCAAAGCCGGTTGTGTCTCGGCTTCATTTAAGTCTGGCTCCCAACCCAGGACTGATTTGCTCTTTTTCTTGTCTCTCTTCCGATCTTTCTGTTTGGAAGAAGAAGATTCTTCAAACAATCCTTCTGCAGTATCTTGGGTATCGGGACCGCTCTCGGAAACGGAAACGGTGGCTACTGGCAAATCACTCTCCAATTCGCCGTCCCATACAGACAGTGATGTGTTCTTTTGCTTCGTTTTCTTGTCTTTCCTCGACACGGAAGTGAATTCGTTAATGCTTTGAGACTCTGTAGCTGCTACCGACATGTCGTGGTCTGCTTCTCGATTTTCCTCAGCCGAGGTTGGCAAGTCGTTTGCAGTCGGTGTATCGATTGCTGACTCCCAAGAAGTGACTTTCGACTTCTTGCCCTTCTTGCTCTTGGACTTTGGGGTAGAGAAGTCATCGAATTGAGGGGTATCGTTGAGGGCAGAACTTTCTCCTGCCGTGTCTTGGCTGGATCCACTGAGAATTGGGTCAACTTGTGGCGTGGGATCCTGCTCAGCTTCCCAGGCAGTTCCCTTCGCTTTCTTCTTATCCTTCTTCTTGTCCTTCTTGGATTTTGAAGAGAAAATCTCCTCGGCTAGATGGGCCTCCACGGGCGCGGACACGAAATCGGATATGACGCCGGACAATGGTTCTGATGTTTGCTGCAGTCCTTCTTTCTCTGCTGGCACATTCCAGTCAGATACGGCTTTCGACTTCCGCTTGTCGTTTTTGCCCTTTTTCTTGGACGAAGGAAGCTCGTCAAAATGCTCCTCCGTTGATATGTGTGGCGTTAATTTCTCCTCTATGAATTGGCTCGGGTCAAGCGCTTTCTCTTCTTTCATTTCTGGTCCGCGGTCAGAGTCCTGGAAATGGGAAACCAACGACTTCTCATCATGGCCTTCGACGACAGGAGTGACAAGTTCAGCACTGGGTTGGACTTGATCCAGATCTTGCTGAACATCGCAGGACTTTGGCCTATCACTAGGAATTTGAGCAGGGTTAATTGCCTCAGATCGCATCTCACTCGCTTCAGGCTCCCAGGCAAAAGCCGAGTTCTTCTTCTTGTCTTTCTTGCCTTTCTGGCCCTTTAATTTCAAGATATCGTCGTTCTGGACAGCGATTTCTTCGGACCTTATGGTCTCGGGAAGCCCTTGCTCAGCATCAAAGAAAGTGTCTGATTCGGGCTCGTCCGTGCCGATTGGCATCGAAGGCTCGCTGGTCTGTTGTGGAAGGGGCTCGTTTTCATCCCAGAGCGTGGACTTGTTCTTCTTTTTAGATTTCCTGTCTTTTTTAGACTTGGAAGAATAGAAGAAGTCCTCGGCAGGCTCGGACTCAATGGGTAGGGTCACATCCGGAATAGATGCAGCCCGAAGCTCAGGAAGCGAGATGTCATCATTCGCATCAGAACGTGACAATCCCTTGTTTTTCTTGTCCTTTTTCTTGTCTTTTTTGGACTTCTTTGACGAGGTAAACTCATCGCTCGGCTCCTCGATATCACGGGATGGAGGCTGCGGGATCAAGTCGTCCCTCAAGCCAGAAAGGGTTTCGAGCGTTCTCTTCCGATCTTCGCTGACATCGTATGCTGATTCAATCGCTCCAACATCGTCGAATCTCTCCTGGATGCTATTAAGTGCGTCTCTATCCGACTGTAGGTTTTGTCTGCTAATTGGAGAACCTATATTTCGATCATTGAGGTTCGTGTCGCCGGATTTCTTGGACATGGGTGAAGACTGGAGAAGGTATGAGCTCCTGTCTTTGCTCACAGGATCAACGGATGATGGGCGAGACTCTCCTGACAGCAAATTCTCCATGGGTGACACTTGAGAAGCTGCATCAGACACATCCCTTGGCGGCTGTTGATCTTTTGCAGAAGGCAACTTGTCAAGCCATGATTCATTTGTCTTGGGGTGGGTGTGAGTTGAGGCAAAGTAACCAATACTGGAAATAAGTCCGGCAGCAACAGTCATTTTTACTGCATCCTCTTTGAGAGAGCTGGAATGCGCACTTTTTACCGGCCCTTCATGTTGGGTGGCGTCTTCAGTAACGGCATCGGACAACTGAAAGTGCTTTGGAGTCTCCAGAATGTCGTCAAAACCTCGTGGCACATTTGCTTTTGGTGTGGATTGTCCAGATCCAAGTAAATCTGCCGAGCCAGGGGCAGAGGCGAGAGTCGTATTGATGGATAATGGTTCAAATCCACGATCTTGTATACCAGAATGAGACTCTTCTGAGCGATCAAGTTGAGATGAACTCCTGGATGTTCGTTGACTGGGCGGTAGTTCGGGAAGAGGCTCATCATCTGCAAGCTGAACATTGGAGCCTCGTCGTGTACTTTCTACAAGGTACAAGGGCTTGAACTCTTTCGAGTTATCCCAGGACGTCGGTCGAGACCGATGTCTTTGAAGTCCAAGTGATTCTTGGCCAGGATTTGCAGGTGATGGTAGCGGGGATGCACGATTTGTGCTAGGCGAAGAAGGAATGGATCTGTTCCCCCCCATCTTAAAGATCAACGGAACTTGACTCTGACTCGGAGATTTCATTGGCGTATCTTGCACGTTCCTGCGAACAGCGTTTCTGATCTTCTCTCTGGCTAGCCGCTCAGACTCTGGCGTATCTGGGCGGCTATCAGGTAGGATTGGTAGGTCATCAAGTGGTTCAGCGTTAGGTGAAGCAGGATCGCTTGGCGGCAGAGGTAAAAGGTCGCCATATTGAGGATCGATTGAAGGCCTGAACTGTCGCTGTGTGATTTCAGGATCTAGGATCTCATCCCGGCCTAATAGCTGGTCAGAGCCTCTGGATACAGTTCGCTCTATGGCCGTGCTGCCATTAGCATTCTCGGCATTCGATTGCTGGTAGTGATGTTGAGCGGTGATTGCAGCAACAGTGACACCGGCAAGGCCGACACCCGCGCCAAGGGTGCCGGCTTTATCTAAAAAAGAATCCTTTTTGGATGATGTGCTTTCAGATCTTGAACGGGTCTTCTTCCTCTTCTCTCCATCACTGGGGAGCGCGTCATCATTTCCGTCGTCATATGCATACGAGCCATTGTCGTGGCTATGACTATTGGAAACAGTTCGTGAAAGGTCATTGACAGAGACAGATCCCATATCTCCGTATATGCTGGATGAATCTGGGACAGAACTTCTCTTCGATTTCTTGCTCTTCTTTTTGACATCCTCGAAGTCGTCCTTGGAACGCTTGGGACTTTCATCCCTAATCCCCGACTCGGACTTCGAGCCGAAAAGGCCAGAGAAGATGCCACCACCCTTCTTGTCCTTCTTCTTACCCTTCTTCTCGTCATAGTCGTCGCCGGCTGGAGCAGAGGTAACCGACCTCGTGTCGTCATAGTCACTCGTACCACTTCTTGATTTCTTCTTCTTCCGAGGCTCTGGGTCGTCATATCGTGGCGTCCCAGTGGAGACAATGGATCGGGATTCCCCGCGGTCTTCGCTGTTGAAGATGCCGCTGTCCCTCGTGGAGGATCTCCGCGTATTCCGAGCATCTTCAAAATCCCCGTCTCGACTAGTTTCGGAAGGTGTACTTGGTGGAAGAGAAACCTCTGTCGGGTCAAATTCGTACTGCTCACTTCTGCGACTCGATTTCTCCTTCGATTTTCTGCTCACTGAAGAGATCTCGGAATTTGCACCACTAGCTGGAAGGGCAACATCAGTTGGATCATAGTCAAACTGACCACTTCGTCGACTTGACTTCTCTTTAGATTTTTTGCTCGAGGACGAAATTTCTGACGATGGCGCTGACCTAGCTGGAGATTCATATCGATCACTGTCACGTTTTGACTTCTTGCTACTCGCACGTTCCAATTCAGACGTAATTTCAATGGGGGCAGATATGGCGGGTGACTCGTAATGTTCACTGTAAACGATATCAGGGTCAGTATTCTCAATATCTAGTGATTTCAGAGATTGATGATCAAGAGTATGCCAAGAAGTAGAGATCATACAGGATTGCAAAGTAGATGAGAAGGAATAGTTTCGAGGAGCATTTACCTATCGCGCTTCGATTTCTTTTTTGACTTTTTCGAGCTGTCCGCCCATTCATCTTGCCCATTTTGCAAGTCATCAAACGCATCAACCGGCACAGAGACAGTGCGTTCACGAGGCAATTCGCCAACAAGATCGTCATAAGCAAACGCCCCCTTGGTCTTCTTAGACTTCTTGGGGGTTTCGAAGTAGCTTTCAGGCTCTTGCACGATCTCTGCTGCAACCGACGGTTCTGAGACTGGGGGGGCATCTTCAACTTGGCTGCCTTGTCGTTTTGCTGCTTTATCACGTTTCTTTTGTTCTTTCTTGCTCAACGGTGCCTCAAAATAAGACTCGGGCTCTGTCGTAGTGACTTCCCGGGACACAATTGGCTCTTCAATTGGAGTTGAAACCCCGCCTTGTCGCTTTGCGGCCTTGTCGCGTTTCTTTTGCTCCTTCTTGCTGAGCTTGCTGTGAGAATCGACGTCCTCAATTGGCGAAACAACTGGCCAATCCTTGGGTGTTGAAGCAACCTCTCCAATGATGAATCCTTCCGTGCCTCTAGTCCTCGAGATCTCAGATGGGTTCATTCCGAGATCAGTGACAGTCTCAGCAAATGGAGCTTGATAAAATTTGTGATCATTTGAGCCAGGTGGCGAATCTCGCCTGCGGAATGTTGGGTCGTCTATCACAATGTTAGGGTCAAAGCCAGTATCTTGGAGTCCAGCTGCAACTGTTGCTGTGAAGTCCAGATCATCATCAAAAGCACCTGGCATTTGGGAACTGCGAGGGCTTTGAGGCATTGTCGGCTTTGGACCAGGAGATGGCGGGCTTCTTTGTCTCTGCTTTCGTGGTGGACTTTCTGGTTCAATGATTACGCCACGATACTCCTCTCCCCGCGTCGGACTCTCGGGCTCTACTACGACACCACGGTATTCGTAAGGAGCCGGTCTGGAGCCCTCATGAGACTTCGATGACTTGGATATTTCGCTTGCGGCAGTCGCTCCTACGCCAGCTCCGATGATCCCGGCAGCGATAGCACCCCATCCCTTACCCCCCTTCGGAATAGCAGATTCGATAGAACCGTCACTGGGCTTCACTTCCACATTCGAAACGAACTCATCGCGATGCTCAGACGGGCTTTCTACCTCGTAGTGCTTGGTTTCGTTCTCGCCCCATGTAACTCCCTTGGAGACAGCTGATGCCGTTGGAGAAGCGATGATATTGCCCTTCGGCCCAATGACAATATCCGACGATGATGAGCGCTTTGAGGACTCGCGGTCCTTTGACTTGGTCTTGCGACTTGAATCGGAACGAGCAAGTTGCTTTTCAGGTAGAGGCGATGGGGTTGGAGTTGGGCGAACGAGGTTTAGAAGTGGCCGAGGTTTTGAAGCGTCAGGGTCGCGCACTAGATAGGCGAGTTCTGTATTCGAACGGCTCAGACTGAAGGAAGGAATGTTGAAAGTTTCTAGGTCTCTTGGATGCTCTAATACGTGATCCAGGCGGAAGTCGGCATTTGGTGCATCATACGGGCCTTTGCCTTTATGCTCTTCCATACCAGGCGGGGTGACAATTCGAATAACCTCTTGCTCCTGATCCTTATTCTCATATTTGTGTACAACCGAGGGATCAGGAGATGGACTGCGAGAACGAATGACTTGAGATGCAATTTTCCGGGCCATGACAATCTCTCGGTACGCTCTGTCGGCTTCCTCTTGAATGGGATCTTTTGCGGGAGTCGCATCACGAGGTTTTGAATCGTAATCATCGTATTTGGCGTCCTGCTGTCTTTCACGTCGTCTCTCATCAGCTCTCGTCTCGCGGTGGTGTTCAGCAGCAACAACAGCAGTGATAACAGACGTATCATAAGGTCCAGTGAAGTGTTTCGCATCTCGAATCGTAGCCTCAGCATCGTGAAGAACACGATCCCGCACTTCTCCTCCCCTGTAGCGCTGTTCTTGCTCATCCCAGTCGGAGTAGGCCTTCTGAGAGCCTGAACGGTCTCCCCGTGGCTCAGATACTGGAGCGGAAGATTGGTCCTTGATTGAGGAGCTCCGCTTACGTGAAAAGTCTGGCTCTCGCTCAACCGTCACAACTGTGGGAACAGACTCGATTCGCTTATGGCCCGATGAAGCTTCGATCGTTGGGGTGGGGAAAGCATTCTGATCGACCTGGAATTGGAAAGGGTCAACGGAGGTAGTTGAGACAGAAGCCTCGCTCTTCGTGCGGCGTGAGTCGAATCTATCATCCGCACGTTCAGCAGCTCGTCGCTCTTCACGTCGCTTCTCGCGTCTCTCCTCTTTCTCATCACGTGTCTCTCCTCGACGCTCGTCTCGCTTCCTCACTCGACGCCGTTCCTCAGTCTCATCTTTGTCCTTGTCCCGACGTTTGTCTCTGCGGTCTTCACGCGGCGGACTGGAACGCTTGTCTCGTCGTCCTTCATCTTTCGTCTCTCGCTTCTCACTTTCACGAGGTCTGATACGGTCTCTCTCGAAAGCTTCAATTTCCTCCTCTCGTTGTCTATCTTTGCGGTCATCTCTTGCAGACGATATCATGCTACCAATAGCAGCGGCGGCTACCCCAGCAACGGCCACTTCGGCAAGAGACTTTCCGCGGCCAGAAGATGATGGCGGCTTCTTTAGAATGCCGCCCGATTCAGACCTGGTAGGGTAAATTGGCTCATAGACGCTCTGGGACACAGGGGTGAAAGGTTTGGGATGTTGGATCTGAATGGGCACAGGGTCCGGTCTGATCGGGGTGTAGGATTGTGGTTCTGAGGTGTATCGGGGAGGTTCGCCCCTATCGCTCTCCGACATTGGCATTGGGGGAACTTGCTGAAGAGGAACCTGGGACATAGAGCTGCTATGGCTTTGCTGAGGTCTGATAGAATATGATTCTTGCTGAAATACCTCACGCTGGTCACCGAAGTCGCTAGTCGAGGTCCAGGAGACATCCCCAAAGCCGACAGGTTGAGTGACCACGCCATGGAGTGAGTTTGCAGGTCCAAATAATCGAGGATCAACAACGCTGCTCTTTCTGCTCATCGGCTTGTGCTTCTTCCTACCGAAGAAACTCCATCCGCCCTTTGTATCGTTTCCGAATGCCAGTCTGGAATCAACACTAGACTCGGAATCCGAAGCAGACTCCCATCCGTCCTCGTCCGGTCCATGTGATACCCGCGAAGATCCAATTCCGCGACTCTCGATATAAGTGTGACCGTTGTTGTCTCTGACAGCAGCCATTTCCGGTTTTTTGCCCATTCGTGCCTCCCGCAAATCTCTCTTATTCTGTTCTGATGCAATGGCTCTGAGGCCTGCTCCGACAGCTAGAATCTCGGCTGTGGTTCCCAACTTTCCTCGACCACTAGCACTGCCACTCCCAGTGCTTTCTCTGGTTCTCTCATTGTGGCGCGACTTTCCTCCCTCCCTGTCGCTATATCTGTCGCTATGCCTCTCATAGTGTCTCTCGTTGTGTCTATCACCATATTTTTCTCGATCAATCTCCCTCCCGGTTCGAGACCGCACCCGCCGAAGTTTTGGACGCTTGATATATCCATGGCCGTATGCCAGGTCTGGATTGCTGTTCACGGAGGACGAGGAGGAGTTATTGTTTCTCATCAAACGACTGCTCCTCCGCTTGCGCAGTCGCCGCTCTGATGGGGCCGTGAAGAAAGTTCGTATGCCAGAGCGCTTCGGGGGAAAGGAGTGCGAAATGTCGACGATAGAGTTTGAGCTTGACGATGAGGATGAGGAGTATGAGTATGATTGAGGCGTAGCGCGCATTCTTGGTGACTCGTTGTAATCTGCGTGTGGATCTTTGCGTCTTCTGCTGATACTGGAGCCCTCGGGGCTTCTACGACGTCTATCTGGAGCCATCATGATGGCTGTTGGATCAACGAAAACATTTATTTGTTGTTGTTTTGATGATTCGGCCTGGCCCGTCCTGGAGGAGCTGTCTGTTTAGTTTCCGTTCAAAAAGCTGGGGCTGGGATGCGCCGGGTGGTGGCGATTGACTACCTGATTAGTCTTGGCGCGTACCGTCGACTAACACCACAGGAGGCAGGTTTACCTTAGCTGTGGAGGAGATGATTATGAAGTGGAAAGCTGAACAGCAAACTCTGACAGCGTGTGCAGCATGAAGCGACGATGCTGTTTGGCTGGAGAATTTGATCGTGTTTACATTACTCACTGATCCGTGAGTGGAGTGGGCCTTTTGATTTTCGCAGGGTCCCAAGGTCGAGGTCCCGATCAACCTGGTAAATTTCAATTCCGAGACGGTGAGCTGTCCGGGGCTTGTCACATGTGCCGACATATGTCGTGCTTGGCGGGATAAATTTGACCTACCTACCTTTATTTGCAACAAGTCATAAGCAATGAATCGAACGGTCAGTCAAGCTCGAGCAGAGTCTTGTACAACAGGACATGGCATTGCAGCAGTCGGATTTGCCACTCAAGACATTCCAGTCCAGTCCAGTCCAGTCAAATCTGTGGTGGATTAAGCAAACCAGTAATTTACGCTTGATAGCCACTCTGCAGTCACTTGGTATTTTGACAGCTCATGCTGCGGGTCTGCCTGAGACCCTGCCTCTTATGCAGGTCTCCCAAAGAATGTTTAGGCAATATTTTTGCATTACAAAGTAGCGATTGGTTTATAGTACATCAAGAAGCGGAACGAGTGGCCAAGTGTTCAGCAATCATTTGCTTGTAGCAAGGATAGATCTAAGAAAGAAGGAATGATTGCCCTTTATAAACCTGTACATCGTGGCGTCTGGGTCCAAGTCATGGTCTGAGCGGAGGACTAAGAAGAGTTCATGGCATAGCAAGGACTGCTCAGAGCTGACCTATCTGTCGAGAGCTTGGGACTGGCACTGCTCAAGTGTCAGCATATGGTCGAAGTAAATATTCCAGGCCATCCAACTTACCATCTGGTAGTAAACCCCACGCTTTCGTAGTAGTGCGTTATGATCACCAGTCTCTAAGACCTTTCCCTCGCCAAGAACAAATATCACGTCGGCATTTTGGACAGTTGCCAGCCGATGTGCTACGACAACCACTGTACGACCCGTTGCAGCTCTTTCAAAGGCAGCCTGTACGAGTTTCTCGCTCTCGGAATCCAAACTAGAAGTTGCCTCATCAAGCAGGAGGATCTGCGGGTCGCGGATCAGAGCTCGAGCGATTGAAATGCGCTGTTTCTGTCCGCCGGATAGTGCAATGCCTCTATTTCCAACGTCGGTATTATATCCATCAGGGAGAGACATGATAAAATCGTGTATCTCTGCATCACGGCATGCTGAATGCAATTTCTCTAAGCTTGTGGATTCGTCAACACCTAGAAGAATATTCTCTTTGATGGTTCCCTGAAATAGTGTTGGTTCTTGTGCAACAAGAGAAATAGCTTTGCGGTATTCGCGAACATCCAAGTCGAAGATATTCGTTCCGTTACAGAGAATCTTGCCCTTTTGAACATCATAGAATCTAGTTTGCCAATAGTAAGCAGATGTTTGAGTTAATGGAGTCTCTTACGCTACGTACCGCTCGAGGAGTGACACAATGCTTGTCTTTCCACATCCGGACGGACCAACAAGAGCTGCAAACTGTCCTTTTTCAATCGTGATATTGAGCCCTGTAAAGATAGGGACATCTCGAGTGGGGTACTTGAACCACAGGTCTCGCAGTTCAATTTTCGCTCCTCCTGACATATCTTGCAATTCCAACGCAGGCTTGGCACCTGTTTTAGGTCTAATTCTGAAGCTCAGTATTCTGTTAGCAGCAGCTGAGGCCTGTGCAAGGTTAGGCCCGAACGATAACAACGTTCCTGCCCCTTCTGCACCGTTTATAACAGCGACTTTGATGAGTTAGCCATATTTGAACAATCCATCAAGAGAACAAGAAGTCTCATCAAACCAATTGAAATATCGAATCACCAATACTTACTGTAGACGACAAAAAATGATTCAGCATCGTATTCTCTTGAGGCTAGAAGACGTCCTCCATACCAGAACGCAAGAGCCATACAAAGCAGTTGTACAGAATCAGACGCAGCAAAAATGAAGGTCGACCAACGAGCTTTGATAAAGGCCTTCTTGACGTGGTCTTGAAGTAGAGACTCATATCGCCGGGCGATCATCTCTTCCATGGTTAAACCACTGACAGTTCTGAAAGCTCCAATAGCTTCAGCAGCGAACTTGGAACTCTCTGCGAAGACCGCTTGGTTCAAAGCTTCGAATTGAATCTCATATCGAACTCTAAAAAAGCCGGCGAGCATCTGAAGATGTATGTTAGCACAATGTGTACAAGTGCTGATTGTCAACTTATAAGCTAGCAAATACTCACGATTATGGGCATTGCAACAAAAACGGTGACTAGAGTGAGCTTCCAGCCGTAAATGAAGCCAATGATTATGCAACCAACGAGACTGAGTGCGGCCGTAAAGACCATTGCCACTAGAAAAGCTCGTAGTTAGTAATTCCCTTCTAGGAAGAGATTAAGAGTGCTACGATCATACAGGAGCCGAAAGGATTGGCTGAGGAGGAGGGCAAAGACCATATTCCTCCCCGGCTAACCCGTCAAGGAGAATAGAAAACCGGAGAACACCCACTGTTGATGCCCAGCATCTGCTGAAGCTGGGTCGGATCGTTCGCTACCCTGGCGGACAAAGTCCCGCTGCTGTTTTCTTCACTGCATTGGAGTTAATACGCCATCCCAGGTGATAATTACTACTGCCGGAACCGGTTTTGGAGATGGGAATTATCTTAGGAGAGACCACAGAGGTGGGCTTCGATAGAATAGGAACAAAGGACACCAGAAGACTTACTTATCATCTGAGAGTTTCGTAGTTAGTATTGTTATGTCAAGTGAATACTCAAAGAGTCAGAAAGACAACTCATATGAAGGATTTAAGTTCACGTCTCACGACTATGATGAGAAAATCCAGCAGAAGAACGCGGAAATAGACTCACAAAAGTCAATTGGCTTATACAGGATGCTCTGAAAATATTCTTGGCGATATGTGCAAGCAATGTACTAGGCACAATTAGCACATACAATCGTTGTAGACATTGTTGTTCTTACCGTGGAGATATTGGTGGACGACCAACCGAGGGTGAAATAAGCGACGAAACAGCCAAGGGCGAGAACGAAAAACATGAGCGCCCAGTGATCTCGCGCGCTGGCGAGCGCGGCATCAGGTAGCTGTATGACTCCCAGGATCTTCGCGAACAAGAAAGCTTGAATGGCGTAACCTAATTATAAACATGAGTATCTTCAAATCAAGATACTTATACTTGTCGACTAAACAAAACGAGGTGGCCTGCAAGGTGGGAATACGCCGATGCTGCTACATAGTCGACGGAAAGCAAACAGAACCGAAAACAACCAATGGAGGATTTGAACTTACTTGAACCGGCGGCAGCGCAGGCGATAATTCTACGAGGTCAGTGAAATAGATGACAGTAGTGACAGTTGGTTTGTACCCACAAGAGAAGATACCAAGGCCAGTGGATTCGTTGCTCTGCGCGAAGGTCAGCGTTATCTGAAATGGATGGGACATGTCTCCCAGCACCTCTAGAGACAGAGGGAAGTATTTGCAAAGGGAAAGGCCGAGCTGCTTAACACATACCATACATAAGGAGACCAAAGCTGCCAAGAAAGCTCTTTGGTTTCCAAGCAGCGTCCAATTCTGTTACCTTGGCTTCGCCGCTTGCAGTGCTCATTGCTCGTGCCAAAGGATCTTTGGAACTTTCTATGAGGTCTGATTCTTCTGCGAATCCTTCTCCCATAGAGAGCTTCTGTGCATTGACCAAAGCCCAGTACGCCCCATTCTCATCTGCGAGAAGACCGTCATGTGTGCCTTGCTCAATGAGCTTGCCTCTCTTCAGAACAATGATCTTGTCTGCTTTCTTGATCGTTGAAAGGCGGTGGGCAATCGTAATCGTAGTTCTACCCTCACTGACTTTATCCAGCGCAGCTTGGACGAGCCGCTCCCCACGAACATCTATGGAACTTGTAGCCTCGTCGAGAATGAGGATCGTAGGTCGCTTAATGATGGATCTGGCAATGGCGAGTCGTTCTAGATGACGGAGTTAATAATTGCTGGACTATCACAAACTGAGAAAACGCAAAGTCATATCCCAACAAGAAATTGGGGAGCTTAGACTAGAAGTGGACAACCTAATACGTACGTCTCTGCCCGCCTGAGAGTTTGATGCCAGCGTCGCCGACAGGGGTATCGTAGCCCTGCGGCAGGCGGGTGATGTACTCGTCGGCGAATGCTTCCTTGCATGCTTCTTCAACAAGGTTCTTTTTGGTTGCTTCATCCGCGTGCTCCCATTGAGATCCGATCAGGCCAAACTCTACGTTCTTGTATATTGTGTCATTAAATATGAAGGGCTCTTGTTGGACAAGACCGATCTGTGATCGCCACCACTTCAAACCTACTGTGTCCAGGTTGTGTCCTCCGACAGATATAGAGCCACTTAGAAGAACAGGAGGTTCCGCGACAACCAGGTCTTCTGTGATGCCATTATTCTTGTCCTCATTCTTCTTTCGTTCTTTTTCCTTCTCGGCTTTCTCGTCTTTGATAGCACTCTCTGGAAGAACAAATCGTTTGTCGCCATCAAGTTCATACCATCGCTCAAGCAAACCAACGATGGTACTCTTGCCCGATCCAGATGCACCTACAATGGCGGTGATTTTTCCGGCCTCGATTTCGATCTGTCTTCAGCGTCAGTCTAGTTCGGTACAATGTGCTGAGTTGCACCTAGTACATTCAGATCATCAAGCACTTTGACATGAGGCCGACTGGGGTCTACGTGATGTCAGCAAAATGTGCCCCCTTACAAAGTAGTATCTGAGACACAACAATAGGTCAGGGGCAGGATCTGGAGGAGTCCATACAAGCAAAAGTCACAGACTCGAAGGTGATTTCTTTGGCAGAAGATACCTCTGGAGCTACGAGGCCAATTGTTGAGGGCTTGGGGGCATCAATCACAGCAAAAAAGTCGGTAGCGGCTGCAGCAGCTTTCGTAACGGCGATTATGGGTCCTGCAGTCTGGCTTACCGAGAATGCGATCATCATCACGGACATCAATACGCTGGACTGTGGTCAAATCTAATACGAGTCCGAGCATTCAATATTAGAAGTACTTACATCAGAATGTCTCCAACATTGTCGATCTTGTTCTCCAGATACAGCTTGAATCCAAACCAAAAAGAAAGTGCCATTACACTATTTCAAGTTAACACAGCATGTCAAGTATAACAAGTTGAGAACACTGACGCATATATGGCGAAGAATACTATCAGGGGAGGTCAGTGACTGTGAAAAGCGAAGAGGAAGCACAACTCACGAGGCGCAAACTGGACTCCCATCATCGGGGACATTTTCAGGCCTCTTCGCTGAGATTCTTGAATCCAACCTGAATATTTCTTCGCAACTCGACCCTCGGCTCCGCATGCGACAATCATTCGAATTGAAGCAAGAACTTCGCCTGCAATGGAGGAGGCCTTCTCATCGGCGTGTTCCATCTCCTTCTGCATTTTGATGATGATCGGAACTACAGTACCATAGACCAAGGCTCTACGTGAAGGCGAATTCAGCAATTACTTTACCGGAATGGCCCAAGACGAGACATATTCGATAGTGGAAATGTGCTCCAATACTTACATGAATACAAGGACAGAAGAAGTCACAAGAGTGAGTGACCAGCTGTATGTAAAGGCAATGATAATCGCTGCGAATATCAGGGCTGTAAACTGCAGTATCATTCCTAGCTTCTCAGATATCCCGATTTGTAGGGTATTGGAAGTGTTCGTCAATGTGTTTGAAGCTTGACCACTAGGAAGAGTGTCGAGAGTGGAGATAGGAAGTGAAAACAATGCCTATGCCATAAGGTAAGATAACGATTCAACATCAACAGAAAACGCATACCTTCAGGTACTCAAGACGAAGCTTGGCCGACATTCGAAGCCCCACCATGCGGAACGCATACATAGAAAAGTAAGATAGAATCCATCTGCCGATGAACAAGTACACAATGTACAATCTATCGTAGGCAGAATTAGCTGCCGAGCTATATAGGAGGTAGACTAAACGAGCTCCCTTACGTCAGTTTGTTCAGTTCATCCTGGAACTCTTTCTTCGTGGTGGTTGAGCCAGGGATGAAGTAGTCACTGAACTTTCCCACCAGACTTCCTAGCGAACAGTCAGCTATCAAAAGTCGTGACTTGAACGGTTGATGAGATTACCGAAGACAATGTTCATCAAGGGCAAAGTCTGGAGCTTCTGTATCAGCATGAATTCTACAAACTAAGAAGCTGCAACTCACCGTTCCTGTTCCGATTTGTGCACCTGCAGCGATAATGAGAAAGGTCCTGTCGCTCGTAGTGGAATAAGAGAAAATCCTCTAGAATCACGTTAGGTTCATATCAATCAATGAGATGGAACTGAATGACCCAATAATGAGAAAATTTTGTGTGGTTCTTCGCTTTGCTTGAATAGTCCGTTTGAGGATCGTCACTGTTTGCTGCTTGCGGTGTAACATCAGGGGCCTTCTCTTCTGCCCCCTTCATCGCTTTTGATGACTTCGAGGACTCCGCAAGGTCTTCTCTTGCAGAGCCCTCCGTGTTGACGACGTTCTTCTCCATGTTGTTGATATAGTGGCATTAAGCCATGTTCAACGCGTGACCAGGATAATAAGCTACCTATTACATATGGCTTCGAAGCTGGAGAAAGATAGTACGCGCAAGTCAACAAAGAGCAGATAGAAGACAGGGATTTTCAGACGTTGAGCAAGCACGGTGAAGATAAAATATGAATGAAGGAGCGAACATTCGGATTGAGATGTGTCAAACCGCCTCTTCTCGGGGTGACAGGGCTCTGAAGCTGGACGAATGGCATCGAATTGTAAGAACGGCAAGATGAAGGCCCGGGCAACCGGCGTCGCCAAGGTGAAGACAGGCAGCAGTACTGAACGAACACGAGGACGATGACTTTACCTACTCCTAGGTAGGTACTCTTGGAAGGCTGAGGTGAAGTGGAGTAGACCCGGAGTGAAGCAACATTTTCCGTTATTCGTGCAAGACGTTGACAGTACTGTTTAGCCTCGTGAGCCATTCGCTGGCTGACTATGGTGCTTCTTGGCACTCCCCTTTCTCTGCAGCCCAAAGAAGGCACATGCTGCGCTCAACGCAATCGTACCTAGGTACCTTAACTTATAAAAGCAATACCAAACCCTGCGATGGGCCGACTAGACTGAGCAACAATCACATCGAGATAGGTCGCCGAGTAGGAGTGCTCGAGTTGTATACCTTTCTTACCTACCTAGGATACCTCAAGGTAGGCAAACAATTTGGTCACGACACCTACTAACCTTAGATCACGTGTTTTTGAATAGGACCTTGCGAGGAGGGGAACTCGACTGCCAACCAGCCAGATGATGAGGTTAGGAGGAGCAAGCTTAAGGGCCGTGACTCTCTCTCTGGAGAGCATTATCTGGATGCATCTGGTTGAGAGTACCCTCAAGAGCCATGCAGCCGCTCCCAATCGTGAGAGCTGGTTCTCTTTGGAGCCCCCAAGCAAATTGAGGAAATCGCAAGTGGAGAGAAACAAATGTACTGTACCTAGGTACATAAAAGGTATCTTCTATGCGCAGTCTGTGCTTCTGCAATCTGCCGCATTCAAGTGTGGTTGCGGCACAGCCGCCGTGTCCCTGACCAGAATAATGATGGGGAAAAAAAGAAGCCAGTGGCGGTCGAGTCGTCGACATCTATGGAGGTTTGGGACAGTGTTGTGTGAAGAGGATCGAGCTGTGGAGGCTGCAAGGCTCGAGCTTCCAGGAGACATGTGCCTTTTGCCGGCCTGGTGGGGCCATTCTGGCAGTAGACCTCGATTCTCGCATGAACATGCAATGAGGAGCACCTCCACTCATCTTTGCTTGTAGGGACCAAGAGTTCGAGTTCTCCATCTGAGCATTTGATTTGATTGATTTGGATTTGATTCGAAGCGTCAAGCGCAGACTCAGATTCTGGACCTCATTTGATCCCCGTCTGGTGTCATAGTCCGGGCACTAAAGACGCTTATACGCGTCCCTCGATATCTGGATATTACAGTAGTAGTGGGCACTGGGCACTAGGCACTGGGCACTGGGCAGTAGTAGGTAAAATCCAGGTGAACTTGGTGAAGGGAATGGAGGAAGGGAAAGCCAGGGGCTCGCTTAGCCAAGTGTGCATAATTCTGGCATTTCCCAAGAAGGGGAGAGGAGGGAGGGGAGGGCAGCCTGCCAGATCAAACGTAAGAAGTGTCGGATCTCTTGGTTCATCCGAATATTGAAATCACTCTCATCAACAGAGTGCCCGTTGATGATTAATTCTTTGGCTGCCTTCGCTTCAACCTTGAGCCTGCGCATTTGGAGTGCGAGTTACTAATCGACCATCGACACGCAGGCTCTCTCTTTCTCTCACTCAAGTTTCCAGCCTTTCCTTTTGTGTGGAGTTTCATAGTTCTCGTGTTCATTCATTGCCGTGCAGTGCTGAGAGCGAATCAAATGCTGGCAGGCGCAGCGTTGGCCAGGGGAACGTGGATCTATTCTGGTTGCAGCTAAACGACCAGCTGGATTCCAGTAGTCGGGAGCCTCCGGTGTCGAAATCGAAACGGCCCTGTCGACGCCAGGGAACGGCTGTCCCGCTGCTGGCGTCTCCACTGCACCTGCTACTGTAGGGACCAGCGGTGGTGAGTGGCTGATACTGGCTGTTGATCCCTTCCATTGCGATGGCGCTGAATTGGTGGGTTTCGTGTGGGCCCGCCCCATATCTTTTACCCCTGGCATACTTCGTATGGGCCTTCTTCGTTCGTTCGTTCGTTCGTTTGTCGTCGACTCGTCGTTGACCCTGCCGCCTGCCTGCCCTGGCTGGCTCCCTGGGGCTTGAAGATCTGACCTTGAAGGCTTGACCCCGAGTCCTGACTCCTCCGTACCTTTCTCCTCACGCTCCGTCCTTCTTTGCTTGGGTACATCATCGCCTTTTCCTTTGTGTGAAATTGACACCACTGTTTCTCGTCTGTGCAATTCGTCGTTGCATCCAATCGTTCAGTCTTTGTCTCTCGTTTTCCATCTGAGCAGAGGTCAAAGAATCCACCCCAATATTGACCCATCTCCCACCAACCGCGTTATTTTTGGACCTTTTCTTCGATTCTTCTTTCCAGGTAGACCCTTGGCTATTTTGCCCATACAATCCCAGCACTTTTCAATCACCGAAAGAGATTCTAGATTTTACAATACATACTACGACACAGCTACACACAAGGCAAGGAAGCGAAAGAATAGAGGATAGACCTAGAGCAAGCATAAATCAGAATACCCGGGGCCGGAAAGAGTCGACCCAATCGTTGCGACACCGTCGAGTTCGACAAAATGTTACGGCCATATTTCATATCACCAACTCTTTCCTTATTGTTACTTGGAACCCTCTCCGGCAGAGGTCTTGCAGATCAGATTTTGAAGACATCGGGCTTCAGCGAATGTCTAGCGGGTTCGAACATAACGGTCCAAAATCTCGACATTCAGTACAACAATGACGCGAAGTCGGTCACCTTCAATGTTGCGGGAACATCTCTCAGGTCTATGAATGTGTAAGTAATCCTTATCGCTACGGAACCGTTGCTTCTGCGTGCCCTTGTACTTACTTCTTCTTCCCCTAGGACTGCGACTTTGAACGTTACGGCGTACGGGACGAAAGTGTACGAAAATACCTTCAACCCTTGCTCCTCAGATACATATGTTGAACAGCTCTGTCCTATTCCCTCTGGTACATTCTCAGCCACAGGAACACAGCAGATTCCTCCTTCGTATGCTTCCCTGATCCCATCGATTGCTTTCAGCGTGCCCGATATCGCTGCACAAGCTACGCTTGAATTGAAAGCTCTTGACACTGGAGACAATGTCGCTTGCATTACCTCGACAGTGAACAACGGCAAAACCGTCAATGTCCCGGCTGTTTCCTACGTGGCGGCAGGAGTGGCTGGCGCGGCATTAGTTCTTACTGGCATTTCAGCAATCGGGGCTGCGGCTGGCGGAAGTACGGCGGGAGTTGGCACTATGAGCCCTTCGTTTACTGAAGTGATATCAGTGTTTCAAGGATTTGCTATGAACGGGATGATGTCTGTCAACTACCCACCGGTTTACAGAAGTTTTACCAAAAACTTTGCCTTCAGTGCAGGTCTGATTCCTTGGAACGCCATGCAGACATCTATCGACAACTTCAGAAACGTTACTGGCGGGAACTTGACAACGGAGAGTGTGGAATTCCTTCGTAATGCCACCCTCGTTTATGGCGATGGATCGTCAGTTTCGAAGAGGTCCTATGAGCTTCTAAAGGCTGGATTCCTTCAGGCTCGGGACTCTTTGGAGACTAGTGTCGACTCCTCGCTATCCTCTGGTATCGATTCATCAAACTCTACTTCCACTGTCGAAACAACTGTAAATGGCATCAAAGCTTATGTTGAACAATTGTCAATTCCTTCCGCTAACACATTCATGACGGTACTACTGATTGTGGCATGCGTGGTGGCTGCGATCGCTGTTGGGATCCTGCTATTTAAGGTCATTTTGGAGACCTGGGCCCTGTTTGGATCCTTCCCGAAAAGTCTGGTTGGATTCCGAAAACATTACTGGGGCACAATGGCTCGTGCAATTGTGCAACTCATCCTCGTACTCTATGGCATATGGGTGCTCTACTGTATATTTCAGTTCACGTGAGTGGTATCTGAGTATTCGTTCATAGTTCATGCTGACTCGAGATAGGCATGGCGATTCTTGGGCTGCTAAACTTCTGGCAGGTCTGACTCTAGCCCTTTTTACCGGTGTCCTAGCTTTCTTCAGCTTCAAGATTTGGCATGCAGCCAGAACACTGAAGAAGATGGATGGAGATGCTTCAGGATTGTACGAAAACAAAGACTTTTGGCTCAAATACAGTCTCTTCTATGACAACTACAAGAAAGACTTCTGGTGGGTCTTCGTTCCAGCAATCATTTACATGTTCGCGAAGGGCTGCGTCTTGGCAGCAGCTGATGGCCAGTGAGTACAACCCAATCCCCTCTTCTCTGTAAAGCTTCCGCAGGACTTTGCACTACTAGACGTCCCGAATTTGTCTCTATAGATTTGAAATTTCCTGAGTGAAAAATGCTAATTCTACTTCCAAATAGTGGTTTGGCTCAAACCATTGCGCAACTCGCCATTGAGGTTTGCAGTAAGTGTTGAGTCCCATGAGTATGTTTCTGAACAAGAATACTAACCTAGTCAGTGCTTGGCCTACTCATATGGAATCGTCCCTACGAGAGACGCTCTGGTAATGTTATCAACATCGTCATCCAAGTTGTCAGAGCACTCTCAATTGTCTGCATTCTTGTCTTCGTGGAGGAATTGGGCATAGCGCAAACAACTCAAACTGTGACTGGCGTCGTGCTCATGGCCGTCCAGTCTGGTCTGACCGCTATCCTGGCTATCCTGATTGCAGTCAACGCCATCATCATATGCTGCAAAGAGAATCCCCACCGTAAGAGACGCAAGGAGGCTGGTATGTTTGGTCCATTGTATTATGCAGAGCAATCATTCTAACATCTGTCAGAAAAACTCAACCGAGACCTTGATAACCTCACTCCACTCGATGCACGCAACTCGCTTCTTATGGATCCTGCGAAAGCTCCGCTGTCGTCTGATGTGTATCCATCTGACCGCAAGCACAGCGATGACAGTTTCTTGAACGAACCTGCCAACCCGTACCGAGGTGCAACACCCATGAGATCTTATACCACAACGACGCAAGGATCACTTGCGCCTCAACTAGGAAGACCATTCACCCCAACCTCACATAGTCTCTACCAACCCGACACCAGGGAGGACCAAAATCTGGTGCAAGGAGCAGCTCCGCTGGGAGGTATTGGAGGGAGTCCGCCTCGACAGCCTGCGATACCGCAGCTCCCCGGCTATGGGGGGTATAGGGGCGTTGCGTACTGAAGTAGGCGGCACTACCTGCAAATTTAACGGATTTTCTTGTCGAATTCTTTGTCTGCATTAGCGTTGTTTGGGATATTCATTGTAGATTGTTGTCGATATTGCCTGATAGGAAGGCAGGTTGTAGTATATCACTATGTTCGTCCGACATATCCGGTCCTTTCTACGGATTTTCGTTTCTTTCACTTGTTCATTCTACACTTTGTTCATGAAAGGTGCACGGCCAAGAACAATTACTCGGCATGATCTGTCTTACCTCTCATGGGTCAGAAAATGAGCCGAGTTCTGTAGCAAGGAACAATCTGATGCTTTTGAAACCTTCACTATTTGGATAGCGACTGACATGGCCTAATGTTGTGCTTTAGGTAGGTGAAGTCTGTTGCTACATATGCAGCAATTCCTCGGTCGCATGCGTGGGTAGGCATGCGGAGTATTTCATCAATCACCTGCAGGCTGTGTTCGTTAGCCGACCGAGGCTCTCATCCTATCGTTCTACAGCCTTGTCTGCCAACCCATGCGCCCTTATCCTCTGTTGCAACGCACCCGCATCGCACCTTTGCCTCTAGGTACGTTCCAAGCTGAAAGTGGTCAGGAACACAGGGGTTTTTGAGCCTCTGGAGTGGAGATGGCCATGGGACTAATTCATGATATCTTATCCAACAAAAGCGTCACGCGCACCCTGGTGCGTCATACACAAGCTTCTTTGTCCTGCGACTTCAAGATCTATATTCCGATGCGGGATCCCCTCGGTGGAGAGTCGTATTTTTCACGTTTTCTACGATTGGCTGGCCCATTTATGAGTCGCGCGGTGTTGTCCGCTGCAGGACCTTCTCTCACTCGGTGAGGGAAGGGAAGGCAACAAAGGACCTCGATCGAGTGTGGGCGGCACAAGGCAGCCTGGTTCCAATTGCGCACTTGGGCGGCTGCATACATTGGTGATAAGATCTTTCCCCAGAGAATTCCAAACTCCTTCTTCATGTTACCCTCGAGCAGAATTTCTGCGTCGCAGAAGACCAAAAAATGGCTACTCGGGAATCGCCAAAGAAATGTTCCTCCGGAGGAGAATCATCGTTGAATGCTGTCATGAGAGCTCCAAGCACAACTACACCAGATGTTGTGGTACTTGACTTCGTCAGAGAAGATGTCAAACCGAAAGACCTCATTGACCCAAGAAAAGATCTTTGGCTGTCTACTGCCGACGGGTAAGCTGCTCTTTCCAGTCAGACGAATATACCGACAGCCTGTTTCTGCGCATGCACTTTGAAAGTACCTTCTTTGAGCAAAAAAGCTAACACTGCACTTAGTCGCTACTCCTCTGCCATAATTCCTGTACGAGTTGGGCCACATGCCGAGACCTTCCCTATACACAGAGATATCTTGTGCAAGTCGGAATACTTCAGGAAGGCATTGGATGGAGAGTTCAAAGAGGCAGGCGAGCAGGCCATTGATTTGCCGGAAGAAAACCCAGACATATTCAGCTTCGTAGTCGCATATCTGTATGAGGAGAAGTTTTCGCCGATTAAGACGATGTCTACGGTTCTAGGTCGGTCGACATGGAGTGTTTGCTTGCTTTCTGCTGATATTCTCACAGTTGCTGATGTTGACAAAGGGAAGGGCAGAGAGGACAGTAACAATATAAACTCGGAAAGCGATGATGCGACAGATAGTGGTGGAAGTGCCAGTGATGAGAGGTAAGAGCGTCCCATATGTCCTTCAATGTTTTGGCCTGGATGAAGCCATTGTAAGATCGAGAGGATTTTCCATGACAACTGACAGCTTTCTTAGTACCAGGAGTAGGAGAAGGTTAGAAAGTCGAAGACAGGTAGGATTACATCACCTTGCCTTTGTGGCTTCTGTTATCTCTATTTCTGTAAATGCAATACTAACAATGTTCAGCGTGCGTTCGAGCAGTCTTTACGCAAAGAACCAGGCAGACACCGTCTCGGCTGTGGGTGCCAAGCTTGCTTCTTAGACACGATGGGTCCTCCATGCTGGTCCTGCGGAGCACCAAGAAATCCCCCACCTCCTAGACCACGACACTATATAGGTCCTCCTGGACCTATTGTAGTTGGGCGGAATGGCTACCCTCGGCCCCAACAACCAAGGCCGCGGGAAAGAGAACGTAGGAGAGGCGCACGTCCACCTGGGGAGCCCGTCACACCTACCGAAGACACCGCACCTGAAGAACGAATGTCCCAGGAAGACATCAGAACATGGTCACTGGCGTATTCTCTAAGTATAGATGTCTACGTGTGTGCCGAACGGTATTTGATGCAAGACTTCAAGGTAGCCATATCATCCTTCGTTGTTAACAGGTAGGTCACACTTCAGCGTGATATTTCTTGATATTGACATTGACAAACCACTAGCTTTGAAATAGCCGGCGTGGATGCTGCTATACCCGCCGTCCTAAAATCCTGCCAGAATCTCCAAGCTGGAGTCAGTTCGGTGGATCCGCTCCTCAGAAAAGTCTTCGCGAGAGTTGGCTTTCTACAGGCGAGGCTATGGGAGCAATTCCCTGAAGAGACCCAGATTTTCTTCACCGAGAATCCGGACCTCGCGATCTTGATCATGAAAGAGATGGTGCAGAGGAGAGAGGAAGACAAGCACGACAGCCTACCACCTATGGACCGACCGGTACTTCCGCCAACTCCTTTCGGCGGCCAGGAAGATGTTTTTATCCAGGGGCCAAGACCCCGAAGGAATGCGAGACATTATCGCTAATAGTATTAATTGGCAACGGACAGCTACTTTGGGATCGATAGGTGTTCTTGTGATCTACTTGTGTGGATTTCCTTGCAATCTTCAAGCATTTCTGTTTTGCTTGCATCTGCAGATTATTTTGGGCGCATGATAGCTTTGTGGTGTTATAGATCGAGCAAACGTGGAGTTCTGATTTGGTTACAGATTTGAACGTGTGTTTTGCCAAAGCACTATAACTTTACATCATCTTGCAGAAGGTCAAGGTTGCAATCCATGATGAATACGTCCAAAAGACGGGTTGTCCCTCTTTTCATAATCATTTTCTGCCTTTTTACGTGGGTCGAGAGGAAATTAATTTGCATTGGGTTCCGGACAAACTGCCCCAGCTTCGGGTGATCAATTAGCGAGCTGATCATCCCTCCCAGAAATTCCACCGTTAACCAGTCTCCATTGCCTCCAATCCTTATTCGAGATTGGACGAAATTGCCCAATTCCATTTACCCCATTTCAGGTACCCCATAGTTTTGACTGGGCACCCCGCCTTTACCCCGGCTTGATTCATTTTGGCGCTCAATGACATGTTCAGTGCCAACACTATATATACATCCTCCTGTTCTAGTAGAACGAGCGCAGGAATTGCTAGTCAAGTGACAAGAGCTGCTCCTACAACACATCCGTTTTCCACCTTCCATATAGACTTCATTTCCAGACTTTGCGTTGTCAATAAGCTATGCCAAGAATCTTCGTCATATTGCTGGTGCACTTGCTGTTTTTCTTTGCCTATTCCGCACAGGCACAACAAGTGTCTGTGCCACTAGACTATGGGACTTTCAAAGGTGTATATTCGTCAATGTATGACATAAATTACTGGAGAAAAATTCCCTACGCCGCTCCGCCAGTAGGAGAGAACAGATTCAGAGCACCACAACCACCTCTTTCCGTCACAAATGGGACATATGACTCAAACCAGGATTTCGACCTCTGTCCACAAAGAACTGTATATTACTCTCTGTACCATCACTGAAGCATTACTTACAAGTACATCACAGGTTAATGGCTCAGAGGACTGCCTCTACCTTGGTCTTTTCTCCCGACCTTGGACGCCCTCCAAACCTCTCAGACCAGTCGTGATTTTCTTCCACGGCGGTGGCTTCATTAGAGGTGGCGGACCATTCACCATCCCACCAGGAGGCTACCCAGTCCTCAATGTCACCAATTCCACAGATCTGCTCTTCATCTATCCCAACTATCGCGTCAATGCATTCGGCTTCCTACCAGGTGCTGAGATAGCCTCATCTCCAACTTCGGATCTGAATCCAGGGCTACTAGACCAGCGAGCCGTTCTAGAATGGACCAGGAAGTACGTGAAGCAATTCGGCGGCGATCCCAAAGATGTCAGTATTTGGGGTCAGTCCGCCGGAGCGGGCAGCGTCATTGCGCAAGTCCTCGCGAACGGAAATGGAAACACTTCCCCCCGTCTCTTCTCCAAAGCTGTAGCTTCCTCACCGTTCTGGTCCAAGACCTACAGATACGACTCTGAGGAATCACAAACCGTTTACGACACGTTCGCGAACTTGAGCGGTTGTGCTGGACCTGATTCCTTGAAGTGTTTGAAGAGCGCTGATTTGCAGGTTTTGAGGACTGCGGCACTACAAATTGCGAGTTTGAATGAGTTTACAACTAGCACTTTTACATGGGGGCCAGTTATTGACGGGACATTTTTGAAGAGGCCATTGAGTGAAGTGACGGAAAAGGGGGATTTGGATATTGATCTTGGGTTTGGATTTTATAATTCGCATGAAGGTATATTTCTCTTTCTGTATCGAGCTTCGTTTCTGAAGGGAGATGCTAATTGTGCTTAGGAGAAAACTTCATACCGCCTGGGCTCGCCAACGAAGTCAGCTCAGGAGCTCCAGCTTTCAACTCTAGCAGCGCATCTTTCGACGCATGGGTCAAAGGCTTCCTGCCCAAATTCTCAGACCGCAATCTCCGACGTCTGAAAGACCTGTATCCTGCAGTGGGTTCGACAGAGACTATTTCAAACTACAACACCACGTATGTCAGAGCCGGTCTGATTTACCGAGATGTTGTTCTCGCATGTCCGGCGTATTGGATGGCGAGAGGAGCTCGAAAGAGGAGTTACGTGGGAGAGTATACGATTTCGCCTGCTAAGCATGCGAGTGACACGCAATTCGTAAGTCTTCGATTACTTTAATCTTTCAGAAATCAGTCGCTGACGAGATGATCGAAAAGTGGAACCAAGTCAACGCCGTACAGCAGTCACAACCACTTATCTACAAAGGCTTCACAGGTGCCTTTGCATCTTTCTTCCAGAACAGTGATCCCAATAAGAACAAGCTTACTGATGTAGATCAGCCAGGAGTACCTGAGCTCTGGAAGACGGGGAAGGAGTTCGTAGTGAATAGTGATGGATTCCAGAATTTGAAGTTGGATGCGTTAGCGAAGCGCTGCGAGTTCTGGAAAGATGTCGGAAAGTTCGTGCCAATCTAAACATAACAAAGAGTAGCCTAAGTGATTTCATAAGGCGAAAAGATAAAGTCTGTTACATACTCCTATATTCTGAATGTTCTGTCACATTGAATTTCTTACTTCAGGAAACCCCCATTAGTCTTCGCCAAAATCTCATCATAATATCCCTGAAACGCCAGCCATCCCTTCTCCGGCGTGCCTACCTGTCCGTAAGTATACTTGGCTTCCTCGTCCCCAATCAAAATCTTCTTATGTCCACTTCCCGCACTTGCAGCATCAACAAGCAGCTGCGCATGACACGTCTTGTCCAGACTCATAAACCAGAACGCCGCCTCATCTACACTATGTCCCACCGTCAGGAGTCCGTGGTTCTGCAGGATGGCGGCTTTTCCGTTGCCGAGAGCGCTGGCAATGCGCATGCCTTCTTCACGGTCGAGGACGACGCCGCCGAAATTATCATAGACGGCATGGGAGTTGTAGAAGCGGATGGAGTCTTGGGTTATCATGTCCAACTTTCGCCCAAAGGCAGAGAAAGCTTTGCCATAGACGGAGTGGGCATGACATGCTGCGTGAACATCGGGGCGAGCCTTGTGGACTTGAGAAAGATTAGTCACTTGAGATTAGAATTTAGATCCGGAGGCTTACTTTCGGAATGGATTGCAAATGCTGCCGCGTTGATAGGCTCATCTCCGATAACGACATCGCCGTCTTCGTTGACCAGGATCAGGTCGGAGACGCAGATTTGGGAGAAGTGTTGCGAGAGAGGGTTGAGCCAGAAGTGGTCGGTAAGAATAGGGTCTCGGACTGAGCTGTGAAGTATCAGAAATATACATTAAATGGATTATTAGAATCAGAGACTTACATATGCCCTGCAACACCTTCATCAAAACCTCGCTCCGCGAACCTGAGTTTTTGTTGGAACTGACAACGCGCAAGCTGGGGAGCTTGTATCTGATCAGACTTACACCCGAAACGCAGCAGCGAGATGTTGCTTGCGGTACAGTCTCTCTTCTTCTAGGCTCTCAAACTTAGGATACGATCTGATCCTGAGCTTCTTACCCGAAACAGTCTTTCCAAGAGCGCCGACGCTGGCATTTCCGGAGGATTCGTTGCTGAGGGTCGTTGCTGCTGGAGCCATTCTGTGATCATGGACTTGGAAATACTTTGGGGCTCAAATGTGAACGATGGTATAATTTTGACAGCTCTGTACAAACCTAGTCACACTTATGTTGATGTTGTGGAGGAAGCGGGCGTGGAGATCAGCGCGGGGTATTTTTGAAAGGTGGGGGAAGCTCCGGAGCCGCGCGTCGCCTCGTTTGATCGAACGCTTCTCGCTTGAGTACTCCAGGTTTACATCGGTAAGCTTTATCCCGAGGCACTTCACGAAGTCTTGAATACCAATCGTAAGTGGAAGTGTGCTCAAAGAATGTGCGTTCAACTACTACTTTGATCAATCAGGTGCTGAAAATTGTAGAGCTGCCATGAGGGACAATAGACGGGAAGGAATAATCCATATTTCATGAAACCATCAAGTGACCTCGCCAAAGTCTGTCCTAAGATACGAGTCCAACTGGGCTCTATAAATAAGTCCTCGAGCCTAGGAGAGACGTCAAACTCGCATTTACAAGGTCAAACTATATGGTCGTTCGACAGTCTGGCCTGCTCTTCTTTTTGGATTTTTGAGAAGCAATGATTCTACTACCAAAGACTGTCTTTCCGTCAGCAAGAGACACCTTGCAACACAATGGACTGAGTATTTGAGTAATAGCAGTGAATCCTTCTCCAGATGAGAATCATAGGCTCCTCAGCCCAGCCAAACTGCACTACACGCTTGGGAATATGCTTACATGCGGAATCCCTTGGGTCATCATCGGCTTCTTTTGACAACACATCAGGAACGAAATGGACGTGTACATCTACTTACATTCCAGGAAACGAATGCCGCCTCGAAATCGCCAACCAGACCTCTTTTTCACTTATTTCTCTCTCGACTTGATCCACTGAAGTCTGTGGCGTACCTCTGAGTTTCGCTCGCTTCTCTTGGTCGACCTCATGTTGGCTCATCGCTCACGGAAAACTAGCTAGCACAAGCTATTTGACGTCAAAAGAAGCCGTTGCCATGAAACTGCTTGACGCTTCGATGCAGACTCGCTTCTACCTTTGAAAGCTTGATCAAAAATTCAACGGGACCATAATGAACACTTGGTAACAGCACTAGTTATCTAGTGTTGTAGCATGATAGGCTAAGCGAGATCCAAACACAATTTGCAGCCTGGACTGAAGTTCAAGCAATCAGAAGATTAATCAAGGCTAGAGGAGGCTCCGGCAGGCATTTCCAATTGCGCTGTCAAAGCATTACTATTATTACTCTTCCTCACTTGGCGAAGAGAGTAGAGTGGGACTGGCGAGAGCTTCTCTCAAGCTCCTCCGTCTGGGAAGCATTTCGCACAGGGAAAATAATAGCTAAATTGGAACCATCTCCATGAATGGAACATGAATGCAGTATGCCAAATTATGTAACCCACAAGGAGTATCAACCCGATGCCATTTTTGAGCTCTTCCACCTTGCATTCCCTGACCATTTTGCCATTTCTCGGAAACTTGAGGCACGTGCCGTCGGCTGGACGGCACGGGGGCTCGGGTTATCTCATAAATCAGACCCTCCTTGGTGATACATTCGCCCACCCCCCCTAACCGACCCAATTAGAGTGGCTTAAGTGGGGGCGGGCACGAATTCTCACCGGAGGGTCTGAGGGAAAATGGTAGTATTTGAGGGTCCTGCAGCAACTTTTGGTAAGGGAGAGTCGTCATCTGATAAGAATATTAAAACAGGTATATTAATACCTTAGAACTATCGGATTTTTATAAATAAAGGCTTATTTGAAAGCCCTTGTAATTCTCTATCTTTTAAGCTACCCCTTAAGTTATTTGGATTAGTAGTTCCCTGTAACAGTCTGGTATTTACTCGCTGTAAATACAGAAGGCTGCAGTTGATCTCTGATGATCGAGAGGTAGGTATATCACGTAGACAAGAAGATAGTTACTAAGTATCAGAATACTATTAAAGTTAAGCACGAAGCTCCTATCTAATAGCAGATGTGCTAGTCTTATATAGAACTTTCGTTCGCCTTAGATCCCTATAGGTCCTATAATCCTAGGCTCTAGGAACCTTAGATCCTATAGTTCTAAAAGCACTATACTATCACGTGACATATAGTCCCGTGATTTCGTTCCTAGTTCTTAGCTTCTCTATGTAGTAATACTACTAAGCCTCAGGGCTAAGACACACGTGATACTCCTTCTAAGTGCGTTCATAACACTATCCCCCTTCTTACCTAGCGTAGTCCCCACGCTTAAGTATACTAAAGGAAATACCGACGACGACCTATAGCCGTCTTCTTCTTTCATTATATTCTCCAAAACTACTAAATATAAACAAAAGATAGCACTTACTAAAACAATCAACTCCTACAGCTCGCCTAGTATACCGTGTTCCAATTATATTCACTACTATCACAATTACGTAGTCCTAAATAAAAAGTCCTAGAGGTATAAGGAGTATATCTATCGCAGCGTGAAATACGATACTCTTTAGGTTTCTATCGATAACCTCCAAAGTCTTCGTATAGAGGAAGATCGCCTGAAGTTTAAGAGAGATATAGCCTTTAAGGCAGCTATAGCCGGCCTAGCTCGCGTCCGCGAGCTCGAGTAGCGCTAAGCCGAGCTTCACGAGCAAGAGAGAGAAATACTTCGTCGTGATCTAAGAACTCTAGATAAGTTAGACGAGACTAAGGCAAAAGAAAGAGTAGAGAAAGTAGAGGCGCGGGAAGTAGTAAAGAGGGAGAAGTAAGCTTCTACTACTTAGCCACCTATACTACCGCCCGCCGGCGACTCCTCCGAGTTCCACCTAGTTAATAAACCGCTGCCTAACTTTAGGAACTCCTTCTAGGAAGACCTAGGTTTCATCAATAGAAACTTCGTAGTAACCTAAGGCAGTAGAAGTTAGACTTAGGTTCCTAGGTGTTTTCTAACTATAGGTACCCCTTCCACTTAATCAAATATCATGTTTTACTATAGTAGTTCTAATAGTCGAGGATAGCCTCTACTTCGTATTCAGCGTTCAGATTAACTAGTTATATTTCAGTGATAAGAGCAGGCGGTACTCCTAGCGGTACTAGTTCGAGGAGAGATATATAGAATACCGGGTAGATATTTATTATTTTTAGTAGAGCTAGTTAATAATTAACTAGTCCCTTGACTTTAGTAATCCTAAATAGTCCTAGCTTTTTATAATCTAATTTATAACTTAGTCATTTAGTTATAATATTCTTTCTAAGTAAGTAGACTTTATCTCCCTCCTTAAGCGTTAGTCCTATACTACGCTTTCTGTTATAATAGATCGCAGATCTCTACGCGATAAAGAGAATATCAGCTAATAATTCTTTATAGAGCTATTTAAGCTCACTTACCTATAGTATAGCTTCTTACACGGTACCCTGACCGGCTATTAGTAGGTTATATACCGTGGGATTATACCTATAATTCGCGTAGAACAGCGATACTCTAATAGTCTTTTAATCCGCGCTATTATATACAAACTAGGCAAGTAGGAGCAGTTGCACTTAGTCGTCCTACTTATAGTTTATATAACACCGAAGATAAGTCTCTATTATCTAGTTAATTTGTTCTATCTATATATTAGTCTAAGGATAGAATATAGTTAATATTTTCTGCTTTATTCCTAAGAGCGTAATAAGAGTTTTCTAGAACTTTAAAGTAAAGAGCTTATCTCTATCTAAGATAATCTTATCTAGTATTCCGTAGCTTACGAAGATTATTCTAAGGAATACCTGCGCTATTATAGGCGCGTCCTATGTTCTAAGTACTAGTACTATATACGCGTACTTTATAAACTTATCCGTTATCACATAGATTAAGTCATATATAATTCCTATAACTAGGTCTTTTAAGGGTAGTAGCTCGACCACAAAATCTAAAGCGATTAATTTCTATAGGTAAGGTAGTATTATTAGTAACTTTATAAGCTTATACGAAGTATAGTGTAATACCTTATTCCGGATATATATATCGCACGATACTACTATATCTTTAACTACCTTCCTTATACCTAGGAAGTAGTATTCCCTAGATAGCCTAGATAATATCTTAGCTACCCCTTAGTATCTATAAGTAGGTAGCCTATACTAGTACGTAACGAATTTAATCCTATCCTTAGTAGGTATATAGATTCGTTCTTAGTATAGAAGCGTACTATCTAAAGTAAAAGAGAATCCTTCGCCTAGCTGCTTCTTCTGTTTAGCTATAACTAGGTCGTTAGTATAGCCCCTCTAGATTTTCTCAGCGACCTAGCCCGTTAAGGCCAGCTATTAGTAATTAACTATTAGCGAATCACTATCCTTCTGCAGTACAATATAAGATTCGTAAGTTTTATTTACAAGATATTCTAGTTTTCTACTTAGAGTATCAGCTCTAGCGTTTTCCGTTCCTTTAATATAAGAAATTCAAAGTTTAATAGTAAAGAGTGTTTTATACTATCGAACCTAGCGTCAGTTTAATTCTTTAGTAGTTATAAAGTAAATAAGATTCTTATAGTTCGTTAGGATCTATACTTTATAAATAGCGCTCTCAAGGTAGACCTTCTATTCACGTACTATATCCATAATTACTAGTAACTCTTTATCGTATATATTGTAGTTAAGTTCTACTAGTAATAGTTTCCGCGAATAGTAAGCGACTAGTTACTATCTTCTATCCTCGCCCGGTTAGCTAAGTATAGCTCTAATAGCATAATCTAAAGAATCTATCTCTATACATATTTCTTTATTAGGGGTAAAGGAAGTGAGTACTAGTTCCGCGATAAAAGCCGCTTTAAGTACCTTAAACGCTTTTTATACGCTATTAGACTAGTGGAATTCCTTATCCTTATAAGTTAACTCTGTAAGTAGCCCGGCGATTTTCAAGTAGTCCTTAATAAATCACCTATAGAAGTTAGTAAACCTGAGAAATAATTATACTTCCTTAATATTCGTAGGCCCTGTCTACTTAATAATTACTTTAATCTTTTTAGGATCTATAGCTAATCCTACGATAGTAACTATATAGCTTAAAAAAATAACC